ATCTACTACAAAGTGAATGCGCACCTAGTCCCAATGACCAAGAGGTCGAGATGGGGGACTAGGATGCGAACTGCTCAGTATATAAACAACTCCCGCAATCTTCGGATCCTGATCATGCTACCGATAACCATCTGCTGTCGCGGAGGTAGTACAGCGCTGCTGTCAAGCGTCCGCATGGTCTGCATAAAGTCCGAATGTTGTCGGGAGTAATGCTCGAAGGGAAACATAAGAGGTCCGAGGTAACTCCAGACGTGGAGCAAACTCCGAAATCTTCGGAGGGTCCGAAGGTGTCCGAAGGCGTGCGGAGATGACCGGAGGTGCGCGGACCTGGCTCTAAGTGTGGAAAGGAGAGAGAGGAGGAAAGAGAAAAGAAAGAAAAGAATAGGGGCCTTGGTCGTCTTCACGACACCGCGTGTTAGAGACCTTGCGACGCTTTCCCCGACTGAAAACGACCTCCTCAGGAACATACAACTCCTCTAGGTTGACGTCGGGGTCATCAGCCATGCCTGGCCCAGTGGGAAGAGCGCTGGCGTCGTTGCCTGGATGGAGAATCCGTGACATGAGGTCAACGGGCTCCATCCAGGTGTCGTCGTCGTGCTGCTTGTCGTTCTCAAAGGGGTCGGTCAGCTCGTCTGCCGGTTTGTCTGCGGACGCAGCAGCGATATCTTGAGGGCGAGTGCTGTTTGCAGCCTCCTGCGAGAGCTGTCTGTCGAGCTCTGGGTCAGTTTGGGGTAGCTCGCGAAGTGCCTTGAGGGCATCATCGCTAGTGAGCGACTCATAGGAGAGGTTGAAACCTCCCTTGATTTCACAGCGGGAGAATGCCTGTAGAATTTGTTAGCGGTGTACAGTAGATCAGAAAAGTGAAAGAAAACGTACCTGTTTGATGAGCTCCGGGTGATTGATTGCATGGTAGGCCTTCACACCCCACGAAACAGAGCGGTTTCATAGGGTGGCGATGCGGGTGTCAAGTGTCATAGAGGCGGGGCTGTCATTGGAGTCGAGATGAGCGAGGGCTTTGGCGACAGTGTCATCAAGCTGCGCTTTTTTGATCGCCAGCTTGTATGCGCGCTGTACGCCGACATCACAGGGCTGGTAGAGGCCCGTGCAGCCTCCGGGAACGAAGAAAAGACGGAGGAAGGGCCAGCGACGGTGGACGAGGGAGCGAAAGGCCAAGCTGCGGTGGACAGACCAGCAGTCGAGGAGGACCGCGCACTCCTGGTCGTCATGGCAGCTGTTCAGCTCCTTCTCGCGAGTGAGGTACGGGACCACAACCTGGTCTAGATACCGCTCCATCGACTCGTGGTCGGACCAGTACGTGGTGTCGTTTAACGCGTAGTCGAAGCCGAGGCGTGAAGCCTCGGCTCTGCAAGGTGCTGACAAGGAGGGGAGGGAGCGGTCGGTTGCACCCTTGAAGATGAACTGGGTGGGGAGAACGTCTCCCGATGCTGAGACACCGACAACGGCCGTGAAGGCACGCTTTTCCTCCTTCCCTACGACGGCGATCTGTTTCGATCCCTCAATGTCAAGGGTGGAGGCGGCGTTGTCGGCCATCACGACCTGTGTCTGATCAAAGTTGATGAACAGGGAGGGGTACCGCGCGCCGGAATCACGGAACCAGCGGGCGAGATGGAGGAACAATTCGTAGCCTTGTTCCTTGGCGTCTTTGGGCGTTTTCTGAGCAGCCCGAGTCGAGCGGCGAGGTACCCACTTGAGGTGCTTGTACAAAAACCTTCGGATGAAGGTTTCGGAGCAGAGGAATGGCCTCCCGTCCGGCGCAGAGGCGTGGAGGATTCCGGGGGCGTGATGCTGGATGAGGGCGAGCATGATGGTGCGGCTCACAGCAATTGAGACCGGGATGCCGACCTCGCGAAGGTAGGTGAGCTGCTCGGCGATAGCAGTGACAAGGCCGGGGTGGAGCTCCTTATCAGAGGTAAAATGATGTCAGTACCTTGCCAGATAATGAAATAGAAAAAAACTCTCCAAGACGCCAAATCGCGTGATGAGATCTTGAGGTTTGTTGCCTGTCGCGACACGTGCGAGGATGCTGTCCTTCCAGCACGGTGTTTCCCCAGTGCGATTGATCCAGCGGCCGACGTTTTGCGGATGAAGCTTGGTGAATTGATGGGGATTGATGAGCTGGAGGTATCGAACGATCTCCTGGGGAGACCACCCGACAATGTATCTTGCGTGATCGATTTGCTGGAAGATGAGCGGATGGATCCAATTGTATCGGAGCGCGTTGGTGGGGAGGTTCTTGCGCTTGCGGCCAACCTGAGACCGGGTTGTTGCTCGTACCAGCTCATGAAACTGGCGATATGGGCGCGATGTCTCGGCGGAGGTGGTCGGGAGGGCAGGAGAGATGGGGATCGTCGAGGACTTGTCAAGGATGGAGGCCACTGAGGGCTGGCTGGGGGTGGGGACAGTGTCGGCAACAACGGTCGCAGCGCTGGCATTGGAGGCGGCACGCTAGAAATTAAGTAAGCAAGTGTTGATGTGTACGAAGAGTCTTCGTACCTTTCGGGCCCGTCTGCGCTGACGATATCGCCTCTTCTTCTCGTGCTCCCTCTCCTTCCTGTGTGCCTCGTGAGCGAGGCGCTCCATCTTGTCCTTGCGTGCTGCATGCTCGGCCGCGTCTTCGGCTTCAGCGAGCCTTTCAGGCCGGGTGCGGACTCTTGCTGCCTCCAGCTCTGCACGCGTGATGCTTGCATAGAAGGCAGTGAGAGTCGTCTGGGCAAGGGATGCCGTCTGGCATTTCACCAGCTTGCTAGGTTGAGACGAGGGGAGAGGGAGGGTACCGGAGATGCTGGTGGGTTGACTGGCCTCGCTTGAGTTGGTGTAGCTGTAGTCGCAGTTGTCGTACTCGCTGTACACGTCCGCATTGGCAACAGAGTTGGTGTTGTCATGTACGAGAACGAAGCTAGAGTTATCGAGGTCTGAGAAGTTGAAGTTTGTGTTCATGTCGTCCGCGGCGATAGACGTATTGAAGTCTGAGTCATTGTCGTCCGTGTCCGTGTCATCCACGGCAATGGATGTATCGAGGGCGATAAAACCGCGGTTGAGGTGCAGGGAGACGAAGTCGTCTGGGAGATTCAAGTCACCCTGCCAATCAATGAGTGAGTGAGAGTTTGAAGCGTTGCAAAACAAACGACTTACGAGGAAGTACTGGCTTCCTAGTTGGGTCGCGAGGAGGAGAGCCCACTCGACGTGCTCCAGGTGCTTCGTATGAGGGGACCAAGGCCGTATGTCACGGAAGAAGACACGTTCGATGGTGTTGAGGGTGACGATACCGCACGAGAAGGGGTCGTCTTGTATGGAATGTGGGAGGATAGCGATGTTGGGGTTGAGATCGAGCCCAAGTTTGCGGGCGAACTGACGATAGCCAGCGAGATCCGCATCATGAACAGCATCCGGTGGCAGCGCACCACTGATGCAGGAGTCACCAATGCGGAGCTCACCGGTGCGAGCATCAAAAAGGGCAGCCACGTAATGATCGTGGCGAGGGTCATGCAGAGGGTGCACGACGCCATCGATGTTGCCAGCGCGCAACTGATTGGCAATGTTGCGAAGGTGGCTGAGGTGGCCAGCATCGGGAGTGTCGAAGAGATCCCACTTCACCGTCCGACAGATCGGATAGGTAAAGGGGATCTGAAAGTCAAGGGTGTCAATGATGAGATGCCGATCAGAGTGGAGGTTTGACACCCAGTCCCGGATTAACTCAACACAGCCATCGATGACAGTGCCAGGAAGGTACCGGTCAGAGAAAAGATCAGCAAGCTGGAGAGAACGAAGGGAAGAGGATATGGGAGCATCCCAGCCAACGACCTTGAAGAAGCGGTCGACAGCAGATGGAAGGTGGGCAAAAAGCGTGGGGGCAGGCCTACTGTGAATCCTGCTGTGAGCCCAGGCTCGAGCGCGAGCCCACTGGTTGCGGCCAGCGATGGTGGGCGAGAGCTTGTACCAGAGAGAGCCAACCCAGAAATGGAGGTACCGGACCACGCCGTTGACCTCGAGGCAAATGGAGCGCATGCTGCATTCCCACTGCGTTGCTAGGGCTGCACGACTGAGGAGGTGGGCGAATGATGGGATTGTGGTGGTCGAGAGGTCAAGGGGACCAGGGTCAGGGGGGTTTAGGGAGAAGAACGCCGAGAGCTCTGCATCTTCATATGGTGCTGGGGGTACTGATGGCGGGAAAGGGAATGAAAGGACATTAATGATTGGTAGGTTACGATCCGGGACGAGAGACGAGTGCTGGTGAGGAATGAAAGAATCCGAGAGAAACGTGCGGTCTTGAGACATGAATAGGGACAGGATAAGATAGAACTATAGAAGTGCGAGGTCTGTAAAGTATCAAGGAGGCTGGGATTAGATAGTAAGGGCGAGAATGGAGGGGAATGAACGAGAGACTGAGGTGAGATGGGGGCCATCGACGCAGAGACACTGGCTTTTATCCATTTTCTGGTAGAGGAGCCCATATGCGGTTGAGTGAAGCAGAGAGCAGGTCGGCAAGCTCACTCACCAGTAAGACGTCTCCTTGAGTAGAGCACGACATGGATGTCGTACTCAGATCGGCTCGCTAGGCTAGCTCGCCGGGTTTGTCACAAAACGGCGAGGATAAAGCAGGGAGAGGCAGATCTACGAGGCGTGAAAACACGTCAGTGACTCCATTTGGGCATCAAGAAGACTAAGAAGCTGCACAAAATGAAAGAAGTACGAAGACATACCTCGCACATTCATGGTAGCATCGACCCGGCGTGGTGCCTCGAGAGAGGGGTGGACAGCATCCGATTTAGCCGACGAACCTTGTCCACCCCGGTTCGGCCCTCCGAACCTAAGGGGGTGGACAAACGGTTATGGTAAGTCACTTTAAGCTCCGATTTTCCACGCCACTGCGAACCTATGGTCGAAATGGTACAGTATTTCTGCACCCATACACTCATACACTCATACACGCATATACGCATATACGCACGGAACACATGGACAATCGACCGGTAGCAACAACATACAGCACTCACGGGCATTTGTGGAAGGTTTTACACGTATTCTTTCTTCACTGGTACTGGTACTTACGGTTTACGTTGACGTTGACATGTGTGTTATCGAATATAGTTTTCAATGATGGCAATTCACGACGCCCGGAGACGTTGGCGACGTTCAATATGATGAGCAAGGTGCTGTCTCAGTGGGAGGAAGGGCTGCAAGCATGCGAGCAATAGGTTTTGTGTTGCCTACTAAACCATTGTGCGCCTCCATCACAGAAAGTGGGGAAAAATTATAAGTATTATGGTGTGAGCGTACTTACGATCGTCACTATGGGCTACGATAGAGGCCCACCGTGAGAAAGGGAACATTATGAGGGTGGACTCGGGCACTATATTATAGTGCTCGGTCCAACAGAGAATTATAGACACGCACCGTATGAATGCCATGTATTATAGCCAACTATAGATGGTCATCCAAAGAGTCGTATCCAATGTAGACGCCCAGTGATTTTGCACGGTATAATTTCATATATTATAGAGTCTTGTCAAGTTAGTCACCTACATTATAGAGATCTGCTTCTCCAGCTTCTCTGCTTCATGCCTTCTCTTATGCTTCTCTGTCCGTCTTCTCTTCTCCCAAACCTCCCAAACCACTGCAAAGTGGTGTTCTATCAAATTCCGACAAACGAACCAACAGAAGCAGTCAGAGGGCCCGCATTGAATTCTAACTGTCTATACTGTTAACATAAAGTGATGTGTGTGAGCTTGTTGTTCCTCAGCCAAAATAAGGTGCCGCGAGCGCTCTTTACATTAAGCGAGCATTAAATCGATACTGTTTTTGGAGCCGTTCTTAGGCTTGAGTAGCAAGTAATAATAACAAAGAAGTAAGTACTTGGTTAATAATTAGACACCGACCGTTATTTGTCCAAAACATAAAATATGTTAAAATTTCAGGCGAGTGGCGATCAACGGGTACATTTGCAGCACCAACACAGAAGCAAGCTGCGAGAATGCCAAGCGCTGATCTTCGAATACCTCAAAAATGTGCAGTGTTACACAGTTTAGGCACACAACAGTGGCGTACCATTTTTAGCGCAGCCGCAGGAGTCAAAACACCGAGGAGACTGATCGTCGTTTGCCTAAAGTGTTTCCGAAACACCCTCTTTAGGCTAGTGAGAGTGAAGTTGGTGTGACACAAGGGAAGCATATTCAAATATTCAAGCTTCAAAGCTCGATCGCGTCCGGAAAGAAGCACCCTTTGAATTCCTTTGGCCGAGTCCAGCAAGAGGTCCGTGCGTGCGCCACCGAGGCAAGATGCCTCTTAACATCACAGAGTCTATGATGCGCCCGAAGAAACCTCTCTTGTTCCCCCCGTTCCACTTCGTCGTACCGAGGACTCTTTGAATGAAGAGTCCATCTGTGTTGTGAGTCGTCCATTATTTTATCAGGCTATCACTGATTCATTCTCATAAACCAATACATAATCTGGCTACCGAGACTAATGATTCCTAGGGCAATGAGCTTGAGCGCCCAATGAGCGCGGTGACCAGTGTACCAGACCGTCTTTGCAGAGCATGTAGCTCAAGTTGTACGTCCTCTCTGTTTTCTTATCAGTTTACTGCTGAATCTCCTGCCCATTCATCCTATACCGGCGTTGCTTATACACCCCCTCAGTTATCAGCGTCAAGTTCGTCCACCCCTCCACACGACTCCAAGCCCCAGAAAGCTTGTAGTCCTGCTCTCGCCTCGCGTGATGGCTCAAAGACTCGAGTCTCTGACCTCGACTGCAAAGCAGGCACCGGCAAAGGAGAAGCCGCTGTTGAAGGTTCCCGCAAAGATTCCCGCAGCGTCGACGCCGGCAGAGCCGGGATCTCGGAGCAGAGTATATAGGTGAGTAGCCGCGGTCCTCGTTTTTGGCATTCCATTAATTGTATTCTTTCTATGTGTATCTAAAGTATGCGACGCTTTCCTAATTATCACCTTCTCCTCACATTTCCAATTCTTGTATGCTGACTTGTGTACTCGACCATGTCTACACCGTGTATTTCGATGCTTTGACCTGTACTATACAAGGTACCATCAATTCTAATAGAATATTGTCGTCTTGATCATGCATTGTGTGACTTGAGTATCATTATAGACCTGAGCTTTGCGTGTAATGCCATGTAATTTCGCAGCCCTTCTATCGTGCTCGATCGTATCGGCCTTACTCTACCGTGCACGATAATATCAGCCTCACTCTATAATGCTGTATCGTGACTGGGCTCAAAATGTGAAACTTCGAGGTCTTCCGTAATGAAAGTTGGACCTGTACTTCGGTGATATGCATTATGGTCATTGTACTGTAAGTTAATACATGTTTTCCGTGTACAATGTCTCCCTAGTTTTTGTGATGTCGCCGTTTCGCCTAGTGCTTGTCCCGCAGACGGCTACGCACGTGGTCAACCCCTATCCCATCACAGTGGTCTTAAGTCGTGATCTTCGAATTTGCGGTCTCGAGTGGGGATCAACCCACTGATAACGCAGCGAAGGACGATATGCACTGTACGTAGTGGCTCATGCAGGTGCATACATACTAACAAAAAGTATATACACAGATGCACAGATGCATACCGTACAACAGTATCAGACTCGTATTCACGACTACACAATGTAACACTAACTGTAGAAGCAAGGCGCGTATCTCTCCTTGTCGACCTATTCTTATTACTCTGTGTAGGCATAATTACTCGTCCTAAATGCACTCACTCTGGGCCTCGATGTCGCGTTAGACTGGCAAGCTCTATGTCGCGTCCGAGCCCACCGCTTTGAACACGTTCGTGAGGGATATGGTCTTCTTCGTAACCATCGTCTCCGTCGTCAAACTCTGCAAGCTGCCGTTCAACCTCTCGACTGAGGTCCGACGTCGCCACGCCGAGGTTCTGGCCTTGCAGTGAGCGGAGGCTGAGGACAAGGCGTTGGCCAGCGATAGAGAGCAGCGGACCAGCGACTCTGTACAGGAAAGTACACGTTAGAACACACGATAACACGAGGTTATGAATGAACAGCGGCGAAGATGAGGTAGACTCACGTTGTGGTTAACAGACAACGTGGATCAAAGCTTGCGGGCTGGTGATAGCCGGAGTGCATATCAACCTTCTATTGCTACAGGGGATGGACAGCAAAACTCACAGATCCCCAGTACTTCCTACGATTACTAGCATGAGCATGAAAACGGAGGGTCAAAGAAAATGCTTCAGTGACCGGGCTTACCAGGCAAAAAGAGTGAAAATGCCGGTGATCACGGACACCTTTCCCCGTGGATTAGAAGTGGATCAATCGGTTCTGCCGCAAAAGCACTTACGGCGTAGAAGATGACGGCTTTGAACTAACTGTCAGAATCCGTACAGTTTCTGTTTTGACGGAAGCTAGCTCACCAGCAAATTTCAAGTGTCGTCGAAGGCGCGTGGGATACGGAGAGTTGTGCTCATATCTGAGTAGGCTAAGCATTACGCATAGAAAGAACACCGTGTCAATAAGCAGACTGAAGGAAGAAGGTCGAGGACATCGTTAGCAGTATTGATTAGAGTCAATTTCTGTTCTCGCCTTCCTATCCAAACAACCCACTACGAATAGGCATGAGTGAGTCTTCAACTCAATACTGTCAATACACTTGAACTTACTGTTCCACCTGAACAAGCGAGGTTGTTAGCACTAGCTTTCAGTTGAAAGAGGGAAGCCCACTTGGAATATACCAGACGCACTCTCCGATTGCCCCATAGTACAAGTAAATCGCCCCTGGTAGGAGAAATGGCAAACCTAGTCAGCGAGACATTTTCCACAATCAAACGCTGAGTACAAAGTGATACTAACAAAGCCCGCTGTCGCTTGATTGAGCAACGCCAAGTAGGGCCCAACCAGCGTAGCCCAAGTAGAGCACAAGCAAGGCGATAACAACTTTGCGCTTGCAGCCCCATAGAGCCCAGGAGCGCAAGAGCACTAGAACTGCAGAGGCCCCACTGGGCAAATCAAGAACAAATCACAGCGCATATGTCACTCACTGTGCACGCTTTCGGTAGTGAGAAAGATAGTCGAGACAACGAAGACGTGGTATCCATAGCAAAACTACACTCCGTAGACAACGCTTCACTTTTGTGCCGACAGCAAGCACGATAAGATAACGAACCTGGCTACCCGTCCCCGAATAGAACATTCCGGTCCGCTCCATACACAAAAACGCCTGTATTGTGAGGTTGCCGTATCTATTGAAAAGGTACAGAGCCTTGACAAGCGTCCATTTCGCCGTCCAAATATACTGGACCTGCCAAAAGTTTGAGATTCGAGCCCGTGATCAGCATCTGAAAGCACTGATAGCACCGTCAGCGGACCTGGATATCAATGTGGCCACAAATGGATTGTAGCAACGGCCAACGTAATTAGACGCGTCGCCGTGTGATGGCGGGGTCCGGTTGAAATGGATGAGTTATGAGGGGGACAGGTGACGCGATGGCGCGACCGTAGAATCCGGTTATATAATACGTGCGGGAACATCATTGAGTCAACGAGGTCATAATGGTGGAGGGACATGGGATTCCATGCGATCAAAACAAGGCGTGTGCTTACCTCTTGATCAAGAGTGAGAGAATAGTCGTATAGGAGGATTGTGAGTCCAGCTATACTTGCAAGGCTGTATGTGCGAGAACAAGTGAGTCGAGAAAGACAAGTCAGAAGATGGTCAGATATTTGACGTACTTCCGTGTCAACAAACGCTCCGAGAAGACTATTGGAACATCCGATACTGACGGCGGCATGGATCCCGGTAATGTTTGTATCATCTCCCTTTTACTGAGCTTGCTAGGGTGTTGAGCCACAGGAGATAATGACGAAAGCCCTTAGAAGAGTAACAAGCAGGGAGATGCCAACAGGAAGGTCCAAACCCCGCCAGCCCGAAGTAGCAGGTTCTTGTAGCCGGCCCAGTGCTAGAGCGCGGGCTTCGGAACGCGAACATACTTCTTTCGCACAAACCTTCTTTCTAGCCGCGATAGTTTTCCCGAGCAAATGCGGCGGACTGGGGCCGTATTCATTTTACTGAATTGTGGGCGCCTATGGGTCCCACGTCTGTCTCATTGCCGTAAGCTGATCGGAACGGACCCAAGAGCCAGAAGATTGTTGCATGGCGGAAGCAACACAGCATCAGAGGGTAAACGCGCTATAAATTACTCACTTATTCAAAGACGGAGCGAGAGATACCCTTTGTCATGATGAAATTAGCTTTTCAACCAGGGATAGCCATGTTCGCGAACCATCACTAATGAGGGCAAAGGACGCTGCGGAAATGCTTGATAATCTCTGCCAGCTTCTCCATATGTATAGCCGTCACAATTTGGCGTCGGTACTCGGAGGCTCTGACCTCAAAACAAAGGAGTGCTAAACACTGAGGACGAGAAAACGATATAGAAAGACTGGGTGTAAAAGAAGCTTCAGAAGCGCACTCACCTAATGAGCTAGTGAAGGGCGAGATAACATGCAAGCACACTGTATCAGAGCCAATCATGGGCTCCGTCAGCCAGGACTTAAGCTTCGAAGCCGTGAATGTTACCTCCCTTTATAAGTTTGCCAGAGACGTTGAAGGAGCTTTCAGGACCCACTCAAGCACGTACCCTTGTTTCACGCCGAGAGATCTCTAAGTGCCAATGACATCATCTTTGTTCACCGAGTAAAAGATCTTCTTGAGTGCCAGCTCTTTGTTTAAGCCTGCAGAATGATTAGATACACCAAATATACCAAGTGCCAGCCTCAGATCTGTCGCGGTGGCAAGACCCCGCTCGGGCAGCTCGGAGCAAGTACAGGTATACACTCATGGATTTTCCATGTGATTCCATCTAAGCGACAAAAAAACATGGCGGGATTAGTCTCTATCACCAATCTATTCAATATGAGGGCCGGGGGCATCGGTATATCAGAAGGCATCGGTAGAGAAAGACGAGACGAGACACACGTCGTCGGTACTATAATAGGTTACATTCAGTGTATAGACGCACGATTGCTTTCAGTGAACACCCTAAGCGCGCCGTCGTATAACGTCTCATCGGGCTTTCCAGTATCAAAAGGCTCTTGAAGGCCACGAGGTGCCTTCTCGTCGTCTCGGAAGACCGTCCCATTAAGGGTCTTGAGCACGGCTACATTCGTCAGACTCGGAACTCCTGGCGATACACGACGCGATTCAATCACTCCGCAAAGAAGCGGAAGCTCTGAATCTGCTATCCCCGTGATCTTCAACGTCCGAAGGGCGGGGCAGAGTGGAGAAGCGCTGCGGGCCTTGGGGTCATACACAAGTTTGCGGAGCACCTCGAGGTAGCGAGAAGACATGCTAAACGCGAGGCTTGTGATGGGATTCGTGGCAAGGGTGGAGAGAAACCCGTTTAAGCCGATGGCTTGGTCGCTGAGCTGCAGAATGGTGAGCGAGTTGCTCCCACCGAGGAAGCTGTCGAGCTGGAGTAGCTCTGTCTGTGTGTAGGAGGGATTGTATCGAGCTCGATGAATCATGAGACGCTTCAGTGATGGAAGCCTGAACGCGTTGATCATCGCGACGCTCTCGGGAGTTGAGATACCTATACAAAACTTGAATTCCTCGACTTGTTTCAAGGTCACCGAGGGCAGGGTGGGAGTGTGCAATGACGCTCCAGTGATCGTCAAACGGATGTCAAGGCTCAGAGTCCTTAAGTTCTGCAGCTCTTCTAGCTCCTGGAGTAGCATGATGTAGGAATCGTCGCCGTTTATCCATGCCGTGAGAATTAGCTCTTGCAGCTTTGACCAGGGGACGTACAGCGTCAAATCTGCAAACTGCTTCATCGTGCCAAAGGGCCCACCAAAGGGGAAAGTTTTGATGTGCAGTGACGAAACGGGGCGAGAGCGCAAGTCCAAGACAACAGTTGGAGAACGATGCGTGATCCCCCTGCGCTCTAAACATATGCGCTCAAGGCAGTCGACAGTCTCTGCGCATCTGGTCACGCCAAACCACTGTTTGATGGCCTTTTCAGACGCTCTGATGACGAGACCCGTCAGCCGATCAATGTAGTGAGAGCATATTCGATCATGAACGGATGAATGGACGGATTGCCCCCACTCATCTGCCTGGCTGACAGGGTTTCCGGTGATGAATAACGATATGGGAAAGGTACGATTGGGTTTGAACCAGAAGTCGAGCATGTCAATGTACTGCTGTACGTCGCCATCCGGTGTCGGCCGCGAGACGATGAGGTGGAATTGCCGCCATAGATGGGTGGAATGATCAGCGACTTCCCTCCACCGTTTGCAGACAAACCGAAACAGGAGTGGTGCTGCGCCAACGTCCCAGATCGGTTCGCAGGGGAGGCAGTGGACGAAGATCTTGTCGAGGATCTCGTCAGGCATACGACCAAGTGCATCACCTAGAAGATCCGAGGTGTCTTCAATTGTGATGCTAGAGAACTTGGAGACAAGGTCTGCTGTGGGATCTGCAGCGCGAGTGCGGGAGGACATGGTCGTTTAGTGGCAAGCCAGGACCACGCTCGTAAACCTGACAATGTCACGGAAAATGGCCACTCTGGCGGGTCGGCAGGCTCGGACCGGCTTATTTTGCGTGGGTAGATTTCGCCGGTAAATCCCGACATGCTTAAACTCTAGTGCAGCCTCGACCGCGGTTTCCGCTCCTTCCACATAACGCATACACCATTACATTGACTTAATCGACAATGGCCACTGTTCCGAGTACGCTCCTACCCCTTCTATCCTGAGCACACGCTCAGCGATTCTCCGAGCGTCCGACAAAGTTTTGAAGGACTTTAAAAAGAATCCTATGGGCTAAGCGGATGAGTGGCACGGACGTGCTTCTCGTCGCATTTTGGTGGTCTCTGTCGTCGCGTTAGTCGTGACGAGAATATATCCTCGTTACTGCCTCTTTGCGGTCTCGCTTAAACTTATATATGAACCCCATTATAGCCCCGAATCTGCCGCTGGGTGGTGTTGTCGCAACCTTTGCTGCAGTGTTTGTGGTAGCAAAGGCGTCCACATGCATGCACAAACCTGGGTGATATTCATGTGGATAATCCTTCTGAAAAGCTGTCTGGCTAGGATCAACTCGAGCTTTGCTATTTCCACAACAAATCTCAACTATCGATCTATTAACTGCCGAGTTCGCAGTGGCAAGTCACAAGCGCCATGACTCACACATGTACGCGTTTGGTCGCGTTTGTTTGGTTCTAAAGTGGTTGTTTGCTCACCTTTTTCGGCTCATATTTGCAATGTGTCGCGACTGACTCGACTCGATTTGACGTTATCTCATGGTCCATAAAGTAAACGAGGCACGCCACTTGTGAAATCTCTTCACCTCATGCCCAACCCTGTTAGACCCAGTCATCAGCCCCTCTGCGAATTTGACCTTGCAATGCCAATAGTTTTTTTATAAAGGGATCGAGGCCTCACCTTTGATGCCCCTCTCCTTTTCTTCCAGTGCGCATCAAGCAACCTAGTCCCGCTTCTTGTTAGCTTCATCCCTCGGTATCATGTCAGCAAACGAAAACTATCAGGCCCTGAAAGCTCTGGTCCTTTCGAAGCCTCCGTACGTTAGCGGAACGTGCACCGTCTCCCCAGAGCAGCTCGTGCTGTTTTACAAAACTGCTGGCCATGATAACGCTGCTCGCTAGTAGGTCTCATATTATTCGTTTTTCTCACCTGAGCACACAGCACCATCAATCTAGCGTTGATTTGACCAAGCCATCGCCGGAAGACGTCGAAGCACTTGCGGCTGCATGCCATCCCGCGATGTTCGGCTGCAACGGCGAGGATGTGCTCGACGAGACGTATCGTCGCGCTGGCGTCTTACTTCCTGGCGACTTTGTCTCCGGCCTCAATCCGGCTGAGGTCGGTTTGGGGCACGCAATATGTGGCGGACTCTTTGAGGGCAGCGATGGTGCGCGTCAGGTTCGCATGAAGCTCGATAAGATGAACGTTTATGGTGCGTTATTCTTGTTCGTAACACAAGCGGTCATAATGACGCCGTCATAGGGGAGGGTGCATTTTTCAAAGCTCACAAGGACACTCCACGCGACACTGCCATGTTCGGCTCACTTGTCATTGTCCTACCTGCCCCTCACGTGGGCGGCGCGCTTGTCCTCCGTCAAGGAGACGACGAGTGGAAGGTCGACTTTGCCGAAGCGCTTCGTACTGTAGAGCAGCCGACTATTGGCTACATCGCTTTCTTCAGCGACGTCGAACACGAAGTTTTACCCGTTGAGAGTGGCAAGCGGATCACTCTCACGTACAACCTCTGCTTCGACGATAAAGACAACGACACTAGTCAGCTTGCTGCCCTTTCCCCGCACGAGGATGAACTCAAGCATGCCATGCAAGCAGTTGTCGACGACCGCAGTATTCTCCCTGAGGGCGGCTACCTCTGTTTCGGTCTTTGTCACCAGTACCCCGTCAAAGAAGGCACGAAGACGAGTACGTTTGACAACCGCCTCAAAGGCGCAGACGCAACCCTGAAGCGCGTCTGCGTATCGCTCAGGCTCAACTGGCGTCTTGCCGTCTTCTACCGTTGCAAGATGATGTGGGGCTCTGGCGTACGAAGCGTCCTTGCTGACAGATTCGTCAAGGACCTTGGAGAGTGCGGCGAGGAAACGCGAGACGTGTGGGAGGAGATTCTGAGGCGGTCTCGGACGCACGGAGACTATGTGAGGCTCCCTAGGGATAAGTTGCCGAGATACATAGACGAGGAGGGCCGTAAGAGCATCAAAACGATACTACCGGTCTCGGAGATTAAAGAGAATAAGTTGACGACGCAGTATATGGTGTATGGGAATCAGGCGGAGCTAGACCATGTGTATGGCTGGATGGCTCTGGTGATCGAGGTGACAAGGGAAGGGCCGTCTGCTTCAGAGAGTGACAAACAGGCCGGTACAGAGTCCGCAGGGGGCCAGCGGGATATCGGTGAGGCAGGCATGGAGCAGGCATAGACAATAAGGTTGTAAGTCACTGAGTACTAGATTACCGACAGAGTTTACAATGACAAGAGCTTAGAACCATCCCACTACTTGTAAGGACAGTGACAGTTTGATACAAAAAACACTGAATGTGCCAACGAAGCAGCCAAACAATATCATCTCCTGTGGGCACAGCAGATGTAAGACGGGCGAGGCGGCAGAGGGCACAGGCACAGAAGCAAAAACTTCGACTCCTTGTCCGCACTTCCCGGCGTGGTCGGACCGGCACTGCTTTGCACCTGTCATCGATTCTGAGCTTGAAGCTTTAAAGTCGCATCTTTCCTTGAGGCATCCACCTACTGCAACATCGAAGCGTTTAAAGCATCTTCCCCTAATACTTTCGCTCGCAGTGATTATCGAATGCGAAAGGGCATTGACACATTGCTCCTTTCCCCAAAGGAGAACTGCCAATTGCTGATGACATCTGTTTCGAACTCTCCGTTGAAGTCTCCCACAGTTCTTACCGATTTCCTATGTCCTTGAGTGCATTCACACAAGAGGACAAAAGTTCTTCAGGTATCAAATCTTGCGGGATCACTTTGTCTGGCTAGACTTCTGGTCACGCGTTCACGTTATTCTAGCGCACCGCCAGCATGGCTCAGGACGAAGACGCGCTTTTGGAGTCAGACGATCTCGATGAGTCTGCCACGAACTTTGAGGATATCGCTAATGTGCGTTCACACCTCTTCGTTTCCCTCAAGCAACTCAGGGTTTCAATGTCGCGCGTGGGTGTACTATTACCAGGCGAACGAGGGCAAGGCAGATGACGGCTGCGCATCTGGTGACAGCGACACGGATAGTATGACCTCCGAAGAAAAGGTGCGGCTAGTCAAAAGCATTCTATGATATATTCACACTCGCTTGTTATTCAGCTACAACTTTGGCGTGACTTGCATGTAAACTCTGCCCCATGCAGTGTCGGTTTCAGCGGTCATGGTAAAAACACTTCGAACGCAACATTAGTGCGGCCGTCAGCGGAGACAGCCTCTTACGCGGACCAAGAAGTATGTCTCCAAACCTCGGTGTGCTTTTCATCGCTGATGTAGACTATCAGGAACCTTCTGTTACTGTTAGCGGGGTGCGGTTCTCTCATCATACAGAGCACAACATCATAGTGAATCATTCAAGTGAACGTTCGCTAGACCTATATAACACAAGCCTGCTAGCTATGGTACGCTGCCAGGATCAGATATGCGATTGATGATTAACCATTTATTGATATACTCAGCCGCATGGTATATTTAAAGACGACACGAAGACAGGAACAAAAGAACATCCACTTCCCGCAGCAACCAGAGAACTTGTTGAAACAGCAAAAGCCTTGAGCGGGGTAAAGATCGCCCCTGGCCCGAATCTTACGTCTTCGGCTACCTCAGCGAGCGCGCAAGTTCAGCCGCAATCGTCGCTTACCTCTGATCCACCAACACCGTTGTCTCCATTTGATCCTGACCTCGGCGCTCGGAAAACCCTTGGGATCACACCTGAAGAAATCGACGCCGCCAGACAAAACTGCGTTCTGGACGGGGTAGAAACTAGCAAGTTCGAGTTCGGAATTACCCCTGGAGAAATTGACGCTGTTAGACAGAACCTCATTTCTGATCTAAGGACAGAGACTATTGTTGATCATAAGCCTGGAGAAAAAGGCCTTGCCAGGCCCGAAGAGAGAGAGGTAACTGTAGTTCTTCAAGCACCCGGATAATACAGCTAGCATGTTGTGGTTCAGAGGATGGGTAGATAGCCCCGAAATCATAATTGCCAGTTTACGTTGTATTCCCTTGATTCAGATGAACAACACATACATTTCTAACTAAAGTTGAATCAGGACGATTCGAGGAATTAAACTAAACGACACTCAGAGAGACTGTCTGACCCAGGGACTTGAGCTTGGTATTGACTCTGACTTCGCGACTTGACTTCAGATGCAAGTTGCTGCCCGACCACTTCCACAATCGAACAGCTCAAAGTTTAGCTAGCTTTCAACTCGAGCTATACCAAAGAAAAATCCGCAGAGAAAGTGTATGCGACGCAACAAATCAGCTATCGTCATATTGACATTGCAAGTTCTCCATGTACTATATGTATAGGAATAACGCTAGTGAGAATACTATAAACTATGATATCAGAGCGAAACGTGTGTATGTATGTCGGTGCGGTTGCGGTTGCGGTGCGGTGCGAGTGCGTGATAAGTGCGCGTATATATCAAACGGTCTACCTTCCTTCACGAATTACCTCCTTCTCGCCTCCCAGTCGTTAGATTGCCTACATATTACGGCGACGGTGATGGTGATGGCGACGTCGGCAGGGGCACATCCTCCGGGGCCCATATCGACGACACATCAGGCGTAAACACCAACGCAGGCGCAGGCGCAGACACAGGCGACGGCGTCCCCTGCCTCGTCGCGCGCGCCTCCTCCGTCATCCGCCGCCTCCGCTCACCGACCTTATAAATCACGTCTTTAAGCTCCTGCACAACCTCCCCGCCGGGGCCCCACAGCTCTTTCCTGAGCCTCGCCACCTCCTCAGCCTCAGCTTCCGCTCCGGCATTCGACCGAATTCCGAGCCCGGCAGCGGCACTCTCGCGCTTCGCCTTAACGAGCTTGATTCTCTCCTCGCGCGACATTTTGCTCCGCTCGCGCGCCCACGTCAGCCCGGCGCCCACTTCCGCCTCGAACACCTGCTCCACGCCGGGCGGCTCGAGCCTCTCAGCGCGCAGCAGCCGCGTGTCGTCCAGATCTACGGCGTCCCCTTCGGGCGTGACGACCGTGAGCCCGATGTCCCCGTGCTGGGAAAGCGAGCGCTGGTGTCGGTGGTGGAGCGACGACTCAGCGACAGGCGACGGCTCCTCGTGGCTCTCGTCGCTGCCCAGATCGGGACCGAGGATGGGCAGATCGTCCGCCTCGCTGTCCGGGCTCGGGGGAGGCGGGACGACCGCGCACAGCAGGGGCTCGCGACCGCGCTCGCACTCCCTCAGCGCAATGCCAAGCTCGCGCCGCACGCGCTCGTACGCCTGCACCGCTGCGTGCTCTGCTGGCGACGGTGGTGGTGCGGAAGAGGTAGAGGAGGCGTGCCGGCTGTGCGACGGGGAGGGGTTGAGCGCGTCCCTGCGCAGCGCAGCGACGCATTCTTCGAGGTTACTCCGCGCGTCGTCGAGCGCAGCCGTGATCGCGTCCATGTGGCCCGCGAATCTGGCAATATGCGAGGGCATTGGCGCAAAGCCCGGTGAACCCAAGCTCGCACCTGCGGTAGCGTTATTACTGGCGACCACAAGCCCCTGCGACAGCGACGGCAGCTGTGCATGTCTCCGCGAGGGCGTGGGCGACGTGCTGCTCGCCGGCGAATGGTTGGCGCTCAGACCGTGGCGCCCCTCGAGCGAGCCATCGGACACGGCATCCGCATCTATCGTGTCTCCGTACTCTTCCGAGTCAAGCGCCTCGCCCAACCGCGCCGCCGCGTCCACCAGCGAGCTCGTCAGCAGGCTCATCACAGACCGCACGTCCTCCCAATACGTCTCGTCCTCGTCGTCCTCAAACCGGAGCGCGAGGAGGTGCGAGCACGTGTACCGCTTCGCCGCAAGCGCACCGGACAGCGCCTGGTGCAACGACGCGACAGATAACGGATGCCTCGACATATTTTTCTGCTTCTGCTTCTGTTTCGTTGCGTACCGACCCAACGGGGAAAGACTTGGCGAAGTTCTGGAGTGCACAGTGGTAGACGAAAGAGAGGACATGCTCGTGCGTTTGTCGGAGGATGAGAGGAGGAGGTTCTGCAGGCCATCACTGCGAGTCTGGCGTTTCATTTGGAGAGCAGCGAGTCCGAAGTAGTTTTCGGGGTCGTCACCGTCCTGGCCCAGTCCGCGCTTCTCGGGGTCTAGTGACGTATTACTTTCCTCTTGCACTCCAGGCAGATCGCCTCCTGCAGACGGGCTCGCTGGCGCACTGATACTTGAGGGGCGCGAGGGGGTCGAGGCCTCTAGGAGAGCTGACATGTCCGATCTCCGCTTCCCGCTGCGTCTTCTGGCGAGCTGGACCGGGGGAGCACCGGCACGCGCAAGGGCAGCGTATGACCCATTCCATGTCGCGCGCTTATTATCCGATATCGATGTCGCACGTTCACGTTTACTAGGGAGCGAGAGTGGTCGCGGTGAATCACCCAACGAAAGGGTAGCGATTGTTGGCGATGATGGGGCGTACATCTCAGTCATCTGAGAGAGCTCTGTAGGGGAGGTGATGGCGGAAAAAAGTTGGCGAATGTTGTCGCACTGTGTTTGGGTGGTGTGGAGGGACGAGTTCAGAGCGACGCGAAGAGGGGATGATGGTGAGGTCGGAGCTAGGGAGCCGTAAAGCATACTGCGGAGGACCTTTGAGTACTCTATCCGCGACATGTACATAATAAACAACTCACGCTCGCTCCTCATTCTCAATAGCATCGAGAGTATCGTGTACAACAGAATCCCAAACCTCACCAGCAGAGATGAGACTCTTGAGTGCCTCCAGTGACTGTGTGATCCAAAAATAGATTGTTGAGATCAACCATCCAGCCGACTTTAGAACAGGGAAAACGTACAGGAGTCACCACATCCGGTCTGGTGTGCAGATCCAGCTTGTGAGCATACACGTAGTACAGGGTACCACATATGAACATGACAGCGAAAGCATAGAAGCCCGCGCTGAAAGCTGCAATCGCGACGGACGCGAGGGAAGTGACGGGCCACAGCGGTGTGTCGGCCTCCGCAGCCACTGAGGTAGAGAACTTGTCGACGGGCGACGTATCTGCGAGGGTGCTGTCGGCGGTGCTTGTGTTGCGGCTGTGGGTGCCATGTTGGAGTTTACCGGGAAATGAGGGTGAAAAGGAGCGACGACTTGGTGCGGGGGTGGAAGAGAAGGTGGATGATACGAGGAGCGACGAGGAAATAACGCCGTACTTGAAGCGCTCTGCGAATGCCTGGGCACGCTTGGAAGAGCGTTCGGGGGAGAAGAAGGAGCTGACGAGCTGGATGATGATGTATTCGAGCGACATGCATCGATCGACAGGTGCCCGGTGCAGGAAACGCGAAAGGGACCAAGTGGACAGGAAAGGAAGAGGAATATATAAATGTTGAGTGATGCTGCTATGGATACCAAATAAGATTCCGTTGGACATACCTCCACGGCCCCGAAAATAAGGAAGCATAACTTTTCCAGGTGCTCGCTATTCTTAAGGAGATGTGGAATGGCGTCTTGCGTTGAAGGCGTCAGATCCGGTGATCCGCCGGGCATAGTGTCGAACAAATCGTCGGTTTCTGGAAGAGGTAGAGGGCGAGGGTCATTAGGGCGAGTTTATAATAGGGGATTGCAAAGTGACGTACCCTCAAGGTACTCCTCCAATGGATGTTCATGAAACACAGCTTGGGCCATGGTGGACGCGTGTGGAACGGAATAATGGTGGTTGGGGTCGTGAATGGGTCGTGGTGGTAGCCTGGTAGGACAATGGGAATACACAAGGGAGATAGATTAAGAGGGTGTGGCGTAAAGGAGAGGATAGCCTTGCGCTGAAGAGGCCTAGGTATAAGTTGGTGAGACTGTGCGCGGTGTTGTGGTGTCGGTGCTGAGCTCGGTGGATCTGGACGAGGACCACAGGTGAGCACGCTGGGAGAGGCGGTGAACTGCACTCTCCCTTTCCTGGCTCTTGACACGCGCCTGTTCGCGTAATTTCGGCACCCTCCGGCCCTCCGAAGACCGCAGTGCCTGGCCGCCCGCGCTCTCTCCGCCGCGCCTCTGGTCCTTGTCATTCCTAATCGCTATTCCTTCCTGCTTCCAACATGGCATCTCCTAGACAGCTATTCCGTGGAGAGGGTAAGTTCTCTATCTCATGTAGTGTGTTTTCTTAGTATGCCTTCGAAGCTTGTTTCAGCCGTCTTGTCCCAAGGCACCTCAAAGATGTGTGGGGTAGGTCTCGACCGACATCTTCGTCATCAAACACATGCCTCCTCCTCCACGCGTCTGCAACCAATAGCAACCTGATCCACGCGTTGTTATAATGACTTTAAAGATCTTTCATTCATCAAACTTACAAAAACCCATTTCTCTAGTTCGCCATGGCGGACGTTTGTCCACCGCAGGGCCCAATGAACCCGCTCGGCACGCGACCCATTTTTTCGCTGTTCGCCCAGACGAGCATTGGACTAGAGTGCTTACTTCGAGATCCGTCCTGGTGAGTAAAATGACTGCATATATGCGTCCTCAATATTCAATGTTCATTAAATTGCGGCCTGCCGGCTCGCAGGTCATCCAGGCGACCTGGATCCTACACTGCATCGCACACGATTTCATTGTGCCAGTTGGAGACTACATTCTTGATGGTAATATTCCTGCTCTTCGATCGCTGTACGTCTAACATTGTCAGCAGAAAATTTCCGTCTGAAAGGGTACTGCGAACTTTCGACCAACCTTCCTGTGGGTACCACAGACACTTCTCAGACACACTCCTCTATCACGCTGGCGCCTGCATCGCCTGCTCAACACAAGCGAAAACGCACTTCTCCTGCTTATTTAGTCGACAACTCTGCGTCTTCGCGAAAGAAAACAGCTGTCTTGCCATCTAACGACATTGCTGCGGACGACAGCGGCATCTTCATCGATGACATACCAAACCCGAAACCGTCCGCTCGACCAGAACGAAGGCCAGACCCTCCTCTAGCAGCCGAAGTTCCTGTTCCCCCGGCCAACAACAGATCTTGCGCTCCTACCCCGATGTCTCTCCAGCCGACCGGACCCAACGGAACGCCCCACATAGACCTTTCTAAGCTCAGACCTTTATCCCATGCGCACTTCGCTCGCTCTCACGTAGACCTGCGGCTCCGAAAAGCAAGCAGGAAGGTCCCGAGCGTCTCTCCGTTCGTCGTCGAATGCGGCTCTGCTCGCTCCAACGCGGGCAATCGCTTCATTGATGATGCTGCTGCGGGCGCTTCGAGGCGCTCGCCTACGGTGAAACTGGAGGACGATACCTCGGACGCGGGTTTGGTGGTACCGCCTCCTTCGTCCAGCGCTGCTCGCGCTAGAGCTATTGCTACTCCTAACGGGTCTAATGGCGATCGGAAGCTCGTTGCTGCTGCTGCTACTGCTTCAGCAGAAAAAGATGCACTGGTTCTCAGGGCTGACGATCTCTTACGCATCCGTAACGGGCTCGGGATAAACCTTGGCGGACCGAACAGCCGAGTTAGCACTGGCGCTCTCCGTGCCATCTCGCAGACTTGGAACGCGTCGCGTCAGCCCGGCGTACCACGACCGACGACCATCACTCTAGGCGACGAACACGAAGGGAAGCGCTTCGAGAAAAGGCTTCAACGTGTGCAGGTACCGAAGGGCGTTAAACTCGAGAACGAGTGAGGTCGTTCGTAGAACGTATAGCTGTCGTTGTCATTACTACCTTGTAACCCACTCACTTTGCACTGCTAATACCACCTGATGTATGCGCGCATGCTAATCAATTGCCCCATCATAACATACACTTACACGAGTACGCCCGTCCGACGCATTCTCAGCTTGCCACGCCGTCTTCTCCGTTGGTGTCCGGCTACGAATGGATATCTCCTTGTCGAACCTGCCGTCACCCGGGTGCTCCTGATCCAACGAACTGATATCTTCCTCACCCAGCTCCGCAACCTCTCTCTCGACACCACCGTTCTCCTCCTCGTCGGCGCCGCCACCACGCTGATGGCTATATGGCGGATCTTGGTTGCGCCGGTCGTTCGCGCGCGCCTCGAGTGCGCGGAGCTGGTAGTCGACGACCTTGCTCAGGTCCTGCGTTGTGAAGCTCGGCTGCTTGAGCGCGCGGAGGTTGAGCACGAGGCGCTGACCGGAGACGCACAGGAGCGGCATCGAGAAGCTGCCGAATGGGATCGCGAGTTAACTCTAGACCGTGAAAGGCAAGCGATGTAAAAGGGCTAGAGCACCTTGCATAGAGAAAGTAACGCGGATCGTGCTCGTATACCGACCTGAAAGGTACACACCGTCACTGTCCGGCGGAATGACTGCTTACAACACGAGGGACATACCACGTCAGAACCGCAAACGTATCGATGAATACGCTAACAAGAAAAAGTAGGATGGCTGCGTGAGCGGTAGTTAATGCCCACTTCGTCGCTGAACGCGGAGAAGAACTCACTATCGCGAAAGAGGACTCGTCGCAGCCGCGACGGGTATACGCCCTTGTTTTCTTTGGAAAGCTGGCGTAGGCTGTGCATGGTAAACACAAATATGACGATATCTATAACCACGCTGCGCATACGCGTGAGCATCCGCGCCATGCCTAGTGTATACGGAGTCTTGGTGATGGGGACGTACCAAGTCATCCACCGGATCCACCGTCGGCCCGAGACGTTCCTCACGCACGTCTGGACGTTCTTCAGGTGCTGAAAGTGGTCGTCTAGAAGAGAGTATTCACAAACGAGCTTAGCATATGACGAGGGGTAGCGATAACTTTATATGATTCTCACAGGATTGAGTTTTTACGCCAAACACAATGGAAACGATGAAGAAGAACATGTACGCAGTGTACAGGAATACCAGGACTGTGACGACCACACGCTTATAGCGCCAGGCCCGATGACCCGCGCTCGCCAGAGAACAAGTACTTCAAAATTAGAATGCCAGCGATGAATAAGGTGCTTATGGCCTCAGAGGAGCTCGAAGACGCACTATGAACTGTCGCAGCAGCAAAAAGCAGGAACGCAGTGCTGAAAGTATTTAAACCCACACAAAACTTCAGCGTATAGTATAAGCACAGCACACCTCCAGGGCCAAGGCCGAGGAAAAACGACGCACCGAGTGTGAACCGTGGCTGATCAGGAGCACTTCCTCCGCCTGAATGAACACCTGCCCCGCCTGATTGCCGTATCGGTTGAGGAGAAACGCGACCTTGACCGTCGAGAGGGGCGAGTTCCAAATGAACTCGATCTGCAGAAGCCGTAAGCCAAAAATCGGATGCATGTGTTTTGCCTCTACAGTGAAGAGACCGCCACGCGTATCGCGGTGACACGGCGAAGAACCGAAAGTGAAAAAGGGTGAAAGTATGTTGCAAGTGAAATACGGAGCTTACCTCGTCAGGTAATGTGAGGAAGTAGTCGTACAGCATGAGCGAGAACCCGACGAGGCCAACGTAGCTGTGGATCATGATCATCAGGACGTCCGTTTGATTCAGCGGTGAAATACGTGGCAGCTCGGATTTGGCTCGGATGAATGCGCTTGTCAGCGGAAGGAGAACAAGAAAAGATCTCTCGGAGTTTTGGTTAAGAAATGGGATAGCATTATACAAGAAGAAAGGATGCTACGAATCCAAAATTTGGAACTTACCGTCTGGTCATAAGCTGTTCTAGGAATACCGTCGGTGGCCTGTGATGGTGCGGCATGCCTGCCAGCTAGACAGAGAACGACACTCCTTCTCTCTTAGCAGGCGGTAAACCCTCTGCTTGCGTGTATACGGGAGGAAGCCGCGAGGGCTCTCCCCGGCGGAGGCTGGGCTGGCTCGACGGGACTAAGACTGGGTGAAGAGGAATGGCGAGAGAAGGGAGAGGGAGGAACAGAAGGAGTGGGCTGAAGTCGTGCAGGGCGGAAGAAGGACCTGGAGTCTGTGGATATTTCTCCGGGTCCGAATCGGACTGTTGGAAATGTATCACCGATGACCATCGCTGCCGGGCACAGTCGGCCAGTGGGCCTCTGCTACTCGCTGGAGTTAGCACGTAATTTTAAGAACTTTGGTGTGAAGATCCTTCGATGTACTGGCTGGATGTCGGTAGGGTGTGGCATGTTGCTCGAGCTCTGAGAGCAAGCCCCGTCTCGTGAGTGCCAAGTAGTGCCATCATCTGGGTCTGATGTCGGTCGGTGAACGTCAGTGAAACTGATCGACGCTAGAGCGTTGTCAATTCAGTCGAAATGACGTCGGACGGCTTATGACGCGCGCGCGTTTGACCGAGCGGATTGACGTGGTGTTGGCGTGGGCAAGGCTCGGGATGGCGCAGGGTGCCAGATTGGCGTGACATATATGTGCTGACGTGTGTACACACCGTATGCACGTATGCATCATTACTTCCTCAGCTGCACATATGATTGCAGAACATCATCTGCATAATAAAATTCAGGATGCTTCGTAAGTACCAACTTTTTTCATTGGCATTGATCCAAGGCACCAAGTTATCGAACGCCTTTACCGAAAAATGCCTATGAGACAAGTCGACATTTAAGCCACCGGCGGCAAGAGGTTGCAGGGAAGTATCAGCGGCTGCATGTGCATGTGGAAATGGTGGTTTTAACACTCCTTATTCTCGAAATCTGCTTGCGCTGGTGAGATGTACCATGAAAGAAGCGTCGAACATGCACTCTCACGGCAACCATGAGATGCTAAAGCCCTGCTTGCAATTGGGTGATCCAGGAAACCGGGGATCTTCTCCGTTCTGATAGACGCTGATCCAAATGACCGACTTTGTGCTTGTGCAGAGCTCTCAGACTTCCCGGTGGATTTACACTAACAACGAAGATCGTCAGGAACAACGTTAACGGCGCCCGACCCGGTACCGAGGAGCGACAACCAAGAATTTGGCAGGAAGCCAGAATCGGTGCGGACCAGCGCACGAGAACTTGCTCAGAGCGCTCAGACGGCGAAGGGATTCGGATTCCGGAAGAGAAGGGGGGAAGGACGTGGGTGCCTATTCAGTCACTATTCAGCGGCACCACAGTCAGCTGACGGTACGACAAGGTCTGGAGGCAATCTGGAGGTAAATCGAATAGCCGACGATGATGCACGGGCAACTCACGAACTAGGATTTTTGGAAGTCTCCAATTGTCAAGTGGTCCAGTTATGGACACGTTCAATCGACATCCGGACTGGCTGTGTCTGCCCTGAGAACGTTCCCAGACGTTTGCCGGACGGTTGGGCGCCTTCGTCGAGGCTGTGGCTGCGATGTGGTCACGATACGCGCGAGGATAACGCCTGGACGACGCGTGTGTTTGAGTTCGTCTTCATTTCCGTCGTACAAGTGCCCCGGTATATGCGTGTTTTAAGTGAGACCGGCCTTCCACGGGGAAGAAAGTGACGACTTGGGAAGACCGGCATGCAAGAAAGCACCGGAGAATGAGCCAGAGGCGATGAGCCAGCATGGAACGAAATGCTAGCTCGCTATGGGAAGATGAACCATAGCTTTCATCCTTTTGACAGAAAACGTGTTATGTTGATGAAGGAACCCCCTAGTACGACCTTGAGTAAGAGGTTTGGCAGTTCTTGGCACAGCCATCACAGCTCACCGCTTCCCAGCTGGTACTAGCAGGCGAACGAGTTGCACGGGCAAGTTGCGGCGTCCAATGAAACCACAGAGGTTGTCAAAAGGTGCCCATATTCCGAAACAGATCTTTGTCTGCGGATCCCGTACGACAAACACGTCCGCACCCCATCAAGGACAGTTCGAGCAGCACCTCTGGTCGTGGGATGGCTTGGCCTTTTCCAGCAGAACTTTCCTCGAGAACTGCAGATACGAGTATATGGCACAGCGCGGCTTCGGAGGAGCAGAAGGCGTGGTAGATGAGAAAATCCATACACCTAGTTTGCGTTCGTAGCAAGCGAACAACACACAATAGGTGTCCCGATACTCAGAAAGCACAGTGGACCGGGTTTTGAGTGGACTTCTGCACAAAGCGATATTCGAAGTTGAGGTGCGTACAAGGATAGACAAGGATTGGGTGCCGCTGATCGCACCAAGGGTGCGGGGTTGGTTGCGGTACCGTAACCGACGGTGTGGGAGGCATTGGGCGCGCAGTGGTTTGTTATCCCAGAGGTCAATAGCAGGCATAGTTTTCCCACTAAGTCCGGGGTGCCAGCGGGGGTGCCGAGGACAGGCGGATCCACGAGGGCGAGTTCCATAACACAGACAGGCGAGGCGCGGAGACTCGTGAGACTGAGGTATTGGACGCCTGGCCCGCAAGACCATTCATGACGAAACGGATGCGGCGGAACGGGGCCTGTGTTTTAGCAATAGAGTGGAACAAATCGATCAGCATCGAAGCGAATGCAAAACACGCGTACGGCGTTTGTTGTCAAGCGGCCATTGCATGAACCTGGTGGACGTGGTGGCTTGCAGTGACAAGACGACCCACGAGCCACGAGACCTGGGGAAGGTTAACGTTCAGAAACGTCAGCTCCTATGCTGGCCCTGAACACAACTGCCGAACCTTGGGTGTATCTGGGCCTACGCGGACTGCACTGGATGTTTACAGGATTATAGGCTAATGGTAGATGTATGCGCCCGTAGAGACTGGATATGGATGTTAGATCTGGATACGGGCCGAAGGGAGGTTGCCGAGGAACTGTCCAGGAAAGGAGGGGTCCGTAAATTTGAGAGGCTATTTCAGTCAAAGGAGGAAACGCGTGAACAACGACGCAGGCCAAGGACGGAGGCAGTGCAACGATGCTATAACCCAGCCCTCTCCCCTCTTTATCCACCTCTTCCTCGCCCTCCTCCTCTCCATCCTGGCACCCGCACAAAGTGCAAGTCGCTAACATCTTGACCTTGGGTTGCCCAGCTATTTCGGTCGCGATCGTCATCTAAGCGATGGAGTACGAGGACTTCGGCCAAACGTCACAGCAACATCAACAGCAAGCTCAGCAGCAACAACAGAACCAGCAGCATTCTCCCCAGCGCCAGTGGAACCCGCAGATGCTTACTCCTCCCCAGCCGCCCCCTGGTTTCGGTCAAAATCAACAGTCCCAGTTTTACTACCAGCAACAGCCGGGCCTTGGTCAGCAGCAAATGCCGCCGGAATCGCGACCTGCCACCGGCCAGCTGTCACTAAACATGTCTTCGCTCAGCGTGGCGTCCCCGACTTCCCTCTCCCCCATAAACCCACAGCAGCAACAGCAAGGCACTTTCCACGGACACCACGCCCACTCGCACTCGCAGAGCAGCGGGACACTCTCCTTGTCCCCGATCACCCCTGTTTCCCCGCCATCCTTCTCCGGCCCCCACCTTTCCCCTCAGCCCTCTTTCCATTTTAACCCTCCCGATGATTTAAGCTCTCAGCAACAAGGCGGGTTGGATCTCAGCTCTTCGCGCCGACTCAACGCAGCCTCCCCGTCGCTCTCGGAGTACTCAACTGAGAAGAGTGTCCCGCGCAAGCGGAGCTTCACCACCAACACGACCCCCTCTGGAGGCGTGCCGACCCTCCACCCGAGCCAGAACACGGGCTCACCCTCGCATACGCCAGCGTTCAGAGACGGCCACGCCCACGCGATGCCGCACCCTATCATCACTACGACCGCTTCTTCGCCTCCGCCATCCGCGCGGCAGTCCCCCACACAGATCGACATCAACGCGCACCCGCCATCGCCGTACGACGAGTCGGATCCATCTGGGGGATACAATCTTCTTGGTACTCAGGGCGATGAAAGCGATGATGATACGAAGAGCAAGGCCGGCAGCTCGAGCGGTGCCGTGATGGGCAAACCTATGGGGACGAATAACTTTGTCACGAAGCTCTACCAGTGCGTTCTTTCCCAAATCAGACCTCGGTGGCGGATCAGCTTCTTGGGCGCCGCCGAAAGCACATAGCCAGCGTGCTAACCTGCCGCCGCTTGCTTTTTATAGAATGATAAACGATTCCAAGTCGCAGCAGTTTATCTCATGGACGGAGATGGGCGCAAGGTGCGTCCATTCATTATTCATGCTCAATGATCATGTCAAATTTACCGCGTTTTCAATGTGCGTAGTTTCGTCGTGTCCAATGTCGGCGAATTCAGCAGGAACATTCTCGGGTCACATTTTAAGCACAACAACGTAAGCCTCCCGTCTCGTTTGGACCTCCCTCCCCTTTGCCCCCGGGCCGAAGAAAGAATAGCTGTACTTTTAGCACTATCCACACCTAATTTTGCATCCACCCGCTCCCTCATATTTGCGGGTAGCTGTGTACACGACTGACATCCTTTTGATCCACAGTTCTCCAGCTTCGTTCGCCAGCTGAACATGTACGGTTTCCACAAGATCAACCGCGTGAGTCACTATTCGCCCCTTTCCCCGCTCTTGTGCCTTGTATATTCGCGCATGCTATCTTAGCGTGCTGTTTCCGCCGGCTGCTCCAGCCGGAGCTAAGCGCGCGACGACCTCGGAGGTTATGCACTACCCCTTTCTTCATCCGTCTATGTCCTCGGCGTCTATCTTGTTCGCTTCCTTCTTGGGCGAGCGCAGGGCGGGCGGTGCAGGGCATCCCCTCTCGCAGATCAAAGCGGATGGCACGGTCGAGCACGTTCTGATCGTTTTACTTTCTTTTATCGGGTCATTCCGTTCTTTACGTGTTGGGCTGCGCCAGCTTCCTGCATAGCCTCGCCATGGGAGAATGCTGACATTACTATGTTCTCCTTCTCAGACGCCCCGCGCACAACGGACCTCGTCATCGTCGCAGACATGGGAGTTTAGTCACCCCAAGTTTCTTCGGGAACGCCCAGACCTTCTGGACTCCATCAAGCGGAAAGCACTTGAACCGGATCCGCGAGAACGTGGGAGGTGAGGACACAACTCAATTTCCTTGGTTGTGCTTCTGGAAATTCTTGATTCGAAGCTCACATCGATGCGCCTTGGCGTTTCTTCCTCTTCTAGGGTTGAGCTTCCCGGCGAGGTGGCGCGTATGATCTCAGAGGTCAAGGACGACAACCGAAATTTGTGGAAAGAGATGCAACGGCTCGGCGGGCGTGTGCCTCCGAGTGTGTCTTTGAAGGACGATTGGGATGGGGACGACGAAGGCGACGCAGGGGAGTGGGATAGTATCAGCCAGGCGGCGCCGAATAGCCCCGGAGGCGTCAACGGCGGCCAGGGGTTGAGCTTGAATTCGTATCGAGGCGGCAACTTTATGAACACGGGCTCGGACGATTGGCGTCGGTGGGTAGATGGCGAGATGAGGCGAGAGCGGCGGAAGGTCGAGCGACTGGTTGGTGTCATACGGGTTCTGTGCGAGTCACTCATGAAGGCAAACGTGGGGTGTGCGTACCACTCTCCCCGGCTCCCGAGTTGGCGTACTTACTGATGATATTGGTGGATTGCAGTCCCTCCAGATCTCATGCAGGACATTCTAGAAATCGACACAGATCGGCCACTATCGCCGCACTCAGAGTCTGTGTGCTCGGATAATCACAACCTGAACATACACATCACCTCACCCCCGTCTCCATCTCCCAGTGCTGTCGGCTTCGTCGGCGGATTCAACCCCCACATCGCCATGCCCACGCTGTCCATTCCGCAAAACCAAACCGCATACTCGATGCACACGCCCAGCACTAGTCCCACCGGCTCCGACTTCCCGCACTTCTTCGGCCAATCCGGACAAGGCCAGCAGCACCAAAGCGGGAACGGGCAAAACGGCGGCGGCACCCCAGGGCCGGGACACGGGCACTCGCGCAGCCTGTCCAACACGCACCTACAGCAGCTCACGACGCCCGTGACGCCCGCGCTCTCGCGCCAGCCGAGCATTACGTTCACCGCCTCGTCCGCGATGAGCAAGACCGACTCGGCGATCTCCTCGACGGCGAGCCCGACCGCGATCCCGAGCCCGATCCCGTTCAGCTTCCACCATGGACACGGACACGGGCATGGACATGGGCACGGGCATGGGCACGGGCAGGGACAGCACATCGTCAGCCTCGGCCCCGGTTCCGCGGGCGGGCCTGGGGCGGAGGAGGGCGGGCCCGAGCCTGGTGGGCCAGAGAATGAGCACGGGAGGGAAAAGCGGCAGAGGATGGGGTCGTTGCACCAGGACGACGGGATGGGGATGCAGCTCGAGCTTGAAGACGTGCAGATGGCGCGTGGGCTGGGAGGAGGCAACGGTGTGGACTCGGGGGGCGCGGGGAACGTGAAGAAGGGGACGAGGGCGAGGAGCGACTCGGCGCCGATGTGGGGGAACAATGGTGGCTTGAGCGCGAATTGGGGCCCTGGGCTTAGTCGGCCGCGCAGCGGGAGTAACCTCTCGGGGCGGTGAGACGCTCCGTTGCAGTTCCATTCGTAGGTTCAACGAGTCTGCATTCTTGCGCTAGATGGTGACGTTCAGCTCTTGTCTGCTATGATATTACAGTAATGTTGTGCTTTCGTTTTCTTTTCTCCTGTGTCGACTGTGTGTCTGCGCATACATACTTATACCCCGCTCACATCCTCTGGTTATTCCATTGCATGTAGATGTAGTGATATCGCTGTATTACCTTACCCTGGCGACAGCAACCCGCCGCTGGTCTTATAAAACACGCATTTAGATTTGTTATGGGGAAAGTGTAACATAAAAGTCAAAACATTAAATATAGCATAACGCATTTGAGCAACCGGGAAGGGGCTTGCGATCTCGAGATTGAGCACCCTCAAGTCCACGGCTGACCTGAGAATGCATGCATTCAGGTATTGACTAACCGCTAGTATGCAGCTCAAAACTTCGGAGGGCATGATGACAGGAGCAGCGCAACAAGAAAAGAAAGCCATCCGTCGTGGAATCTAACCTCCGTGAAGGTTCCCTCGATCTACGCCCGTCCGTTCAGCTCACGAGGCATGTACTCCCCGGGAGGGCCGGCCATGTCAGGAGGCGGCTAAAGCGACGGATATCAGGATGAGGCTCGTACAGTGACGGAGCGTGCATACCTCTCGATATGAATGGGACACGCCATTGGTACCAGAGCCGTTCAAGCTCCCATTGGGTGCGTGTGGGGGTTTGGGTGCGTAGCCAGGCTGAGGGTAGTATGGTGCGGGATCTTGTTCGGGGTGAGGGACGCCTGGGGGGACTTCGGGGATGGTAAGTGCGATAGCGTCTAGAAGTAGGCTATATGCGTGTGAGTACGGTGCGAGATTGAGTGAGGGCGGATGCACGCACTCATTCTCCTCTTGGAGCTTCCGCATCCGTGTTTTAGCGAGCTCCAGATTGCGCTCGTACTCATCATGCAGCTGCGGGCGGAGGCAGTGTGAGTGGCCTGAGGTAAAATCCAATAATGTTCGGGGGACTCACAGCATTCACTTGGTCGTATCTTTCTCTCAGCTGTTGGAACCTGCGTTTGGAAGCGACATGAGCCGGATGGATGCAATATTCGTGCCAGTGGCATACTTCTCCTTGTAGCGACCTCCACCGGGTCGGACAGACGAAGTCATGGGCTGAAGATTGCATACATGTTAGCCATATATGTGCGCAATGAATGAATGGAAGGAACATGTACCTTTGACTCTGGAGCCATTGCCACACCGCGAGTGGAAGACGCGATGACGCTGAGGAATGCGGCGACTTGCGGGGTCGCGACAGATGGGACATGGGAATAAGCGCCGAACGGGCCGCCAGGCTCCAGTGATTCTTGCATAACCCCGTATGGTAATTTCTATCCTGTTAAGCTTGCGCGCGTCGTCCCTTCTGTAGGACGTCGACCAGCGCAGGAAGTACTCTTCTTCATTCCCATCTCCTCTCGATAAATGCGCGGTGTCCACTAGGTAAAAGCGATCTAATGGGTATCGCACAATACTAGGTCATACCTTACTCCGCTAAAAGTTACTACTAAGTACCAGTATTCGTGCTAACGATCCACTGGTAGGATCCAGGATCAGTCACATCCGATGTACTCGTCATGATCAAGTTCAGAAGGTCTCACTGTAGGCTCTCATATTAGTGACGAATCTTGCAACCAGGAACGCTAACTTTTCGGCTCCGGGGAATTTGCGTAAGCTTTAAAAGTTTCTCCCTGCCGTATGTATGTGCATTCATGTTCACTCCGCGACGTACCCAGGTATCAGGCTCTGATGCGCACCTCGCTACTCGCAACAACCCAAACCCTCTCGGGTTCAACTCCGCTCATATGAAACTTTTTTCATGCTGGAATTCATTCGAATCACACCAGGCTTGCAGTAGCAACATGGAGCATATGAACGTGTGCATATACGTCTATTGTTCACACTGTGTGAGCAAACGCAGCACGGGGGCACAAGCGCCCACAAATCAGGTTAGATGATAGACAACTCCTTCCGTACTTAGACTCAGGCCTGACAAGTGATACATCAGGCACCACTATAGAATACAAAGCTGAATAGAATTCGGAGTAGGACCGTGTCGGACTTCCTCGTTGACCAGCATCAAAATGCTCGCCCGGGCCGCCCGACAGCTAGTTGCGAGTGTTTACTCCTCACTATGAGCAACTCGGCTAGGAGCCTTCCGATTCAGCATCGATTCAAGCTACAGTTCCCGTGCTTTATAAACTTGAGCTAGGTTTCTCTGGTGACGTTTGCCCTACTCTGCTCTCTGGACCTCCATCAACGGCACAAAGACCACGCCTGAAGCGCTATGACAGGACTAGTGTCCCAAGCAGGCTCCATGCCACCTGTGATCTCGAACATTCCAATATCTTTCTCAGGACACCTTTGGACGCGACAGTAGGCCTTGGTTCCATCCTGTTCCATCCCTTGTCCTTGTCTTGTACTGAAAACCCATTTCTATATAAACTAGCCTCGCCAGCACAGCTGGGTACACTCTTATTGTGTACGACTACTTCCTGACTTTGAGTCAAGAGGTATGTAACGGTAGTCCCGACGACTTTCTTTGCTTCCCTCCTTTGTCCCTTTCGCTCTTGGGTTACGCAGAGTGTAACATTTTTCACAGCGCTGGTATTCAGCGCTACGCTACCGTGCTCTCGTCATTCAGCAGCCCCTATCCCTTTTTCTGATCGCTGTTATTCAATCGCTTCATTCACACGACTGACGTCTCTTTCCGCTAATTTCGGCGGCCTCTGGTGTCACACACTTCCTCCGATACCGTTACATTCAAACTTGCGTGCACCTATTGATTAATGACATTTGCAGATCGAGTACATCTGGGGGGCAAAGTGGACGCCCGCCAAAGTGTTGTATCTCATCAACAGATATGTCCTCATCGGCACACAGACCTTCATCTTGATGGAACATACGGGTATGTTTTACCGAAGCCATCGTACACAGGTTCGTGTTTAAATATTCAGTTTCAATGTCGGCATAAACACAGGTGGACTTTTTACAGTTCTGCTGGGAATATACGCTTGTCGGAATTTTATCCAATTATTTCACCATGGAGACAGTGCACCGTGCGTATCTCCCATTTACTTGGTCCGAATTCGACTTAACCGTGTTTCATTCCGCCCTCAGTGTCTGTTCTCTTACGAGCTTGGACAGTGTGGGGATGTAAGCGGAGAGTTGTCGTTGTCTTGGTCGCTCTCTATGTGGCATATATGTTATGGACCATAATTGTATTGCTACAGTCCATCGGGGCTCATTTCTGTGAGTAGTATGCTAGTCACCAGTTTCTTGGCCGTCTTTCTCAAGAGACTAACTCGCTGGTAGGCTATGAATTCATGTACTATGGCACAATAGGGACATGCATCAATTTGCTTGGTGAGAGAGCGGTGAGTTAGCTCATGGATCGTCGTGTATGACCTGTTTGGCTTACTCGTGGTGGTGAGTACACCTCATGGATAGGGAGGTAAATACAGCTGCCCAGCCACCGTACTTCCACCCATGCTTATGGGCACTCTCTCAGCCTCTTGATTGACACGGTGTTCTTCCTCTGCACAATGTTCAGCCTGCTTAGATATGAGCGGATATGCCCGTACCCGACGCGCCTCAGGAGGCACCTCAAAATCTCAGGTAAGTAACTACGAGCATTGCACAAGAGACAATAATTGAATGTATATAGCTATTCTTTTCCATATCGTAAGTCTTACATGTATTTCTGATGGTCAAAACGTCTTATTGTCTTGTTTTGGGACCTGCGACCGCAGGTATGCACATTCGGCAACGTGTTCTATATGTTTACTTGGTGAGTCCACAAACCTACTTGAGCTGCACGCCTACGAGTGGATAAAGCCGGACTTATTCGGGTTAAACCCATATAGGAAGTACTGGGCAAGCGTACGTTCCTCACAATCTATCGAGCTCAATTCAGGATGTAATCGACAAAAAAACATAGGATCCTCGCTGGTTCATAAGCGTAACGTGCGTACAGCATCCTCGTGACGAATCGCTCGTCTCTTAATCTCTTCCATCACCCGCACACGCAGTCTTATCACTCCTATGGTCTCGATCGCAGCCCAACGTCTCATCCTCAGTCTCCGCTCACTACAAGGACAGAATCTCGGACTACAGTCGTCAGACCTCAGCGTAGAAGTCCGCCGCCAACTCGCAGAGTTCGAGAGCGATGACGAGCAAGTGGACAGAGCGGATGACTACCGTGACAGCGCGAAGCAGAGTGTCCAGATAGCTGATCTCAATGTCGTTGAGCTCGCAAGTCTGACGCCAAGTATACTCGCGCGTATGCACAGCATCGAGATAACAGAACTTGACATGTAAGACTGGGGAACTCAATCCCGTGGGTGCTATGATAGCAATACATTAATTCAGGATTACATGACCTTCTCTCTCAATGATACACCTTCGTCACGACATTGCCGTAGCTAAACCCTCCATCGCACGCATCGTCCACTCGTATACGACAAAGATGGCCGCATTCACGGGTATGGCTCTATCACGGTACAGTCAATCAGCGACGCTTGGGTTGACATATCGAGTCATGAATATGCAATGCGTACCTGATGACCGTTGGCGAGAGACCACGCACGAAGACACCAACACCTTCAGAGCGATAAGAGTTCACGATCGTCGACCGAACAGTCCGATAGGGGTTATCTTCCATCGCGTATCTCGCGCTTGGAGGGGATCCCGGTGGCGAAGTTAACGGTGACGAGGGCAAAGGTGCAAACGATGTCGGTGCGCCGCTTCTTATTGGATCAGCGCCCACGAGATGATATACGGACGGGGACGGGGACGAAGAATGTCGGGGGGAGGACGTGCTCTGCATACGTGTCTTGACGACATCCATCGGGAACGTGACGCCCCAGCCTACTACACCCGCGAATGCGCCGGCGAGTATAAGGGCAGGCATCGAGGGCGAGTCTCCTGGGGTGGTTAGCAGACGGCAGGCGCCTTCGTACTAAGAAATTTAGGTCAGCCCGAAATTGAAAGCAGGCGTCATCCCAAGACAAACAATACGTACGGCCCAGAAATATGCGCTGTATCCCGTGTCCCGTAGTGCGGTAGCCACCCATCCGCGATAGAGCCCTCGTAATCCATGCGCATGTACTATACCACCGATAACAGACCAAGCAGAGGGGGTGTTGGTAGATATGACATTTTGTTGCTGCGTCTTGATGAGCTCAACTGGGGATGTTATGATCCTGTATGTAGATGCATGGTTAACAGATTCGGCGGCCATATTCGCTACTCTGAAACTTACGAGCTGATAACACCGCAGGCTGCACCGGCAATGGCGATCTGAGTGAGTGTAGCGTCTTTCGTTTCCTGATCGGACCTGAGCTGGGCGTTGAGGGAGAACCGGTAAGACGAGAATATGAGACCATTTAAGAGAGCATAGGTAGCCTAATAAATACGAGAATGATAAAATGTGATAAATGAGCATGATGCGCAGACGATGTTGTTAAATGCAGGTGCATACAAGGGGCGCAGAAACTCCTTTCCATAGCCCACTCAGGCGTTCCTCCCGTGCGATCGTGACAACGGCATGCAAGGTCGAAGTGTACCTATGTGCAAAGTCTGGGTTCTGGAAGCGAACCTTGACTATCCGTTGGCAATAAGATCCGAGCGTCAAACTTAGTCTCAACGAGGGACGTACCGGTGTCAAGAGGATGTCCAACCAAAAGTCCAGCGATGCCTACCAAGTCCACATCTTCTGTAAGACCACGAGATACAGCCCAATCTATGGGGCACACCTGATGCCGTCCCCGCTACAAAGTCCATTATTGGTGTTATATCAACTTTGGCAACTGGTTAGCATCACCTTCGCTTGTTTACGGCATCTGAGGACGTACATTTCATCTTGACGGGTCTGTTCTTTTACAAACACAAAGGCTCGCCAGACGTCTTGGATCCTCTTGATGGTCAAACAGCCAAAACCCAGAGCCCATCCCAATAGGAGACTTAGCCTAGATGAATTAGCGCTAGACACCGGACGGCATGGGCGGAGTGGTCGGTGATGTTCTAGGACCCCAGCACTCCGGGTACTACAGGGATGAGCGGGGAAGATAAGATGCGGAGATTCGCTGGTGCCTCGGCAACCATTTCGGCGTGACCCCGACGGCAGCGGAGCCAGCCCACCGGTAGACCGATAGCCCCATGCTGAGAACGCAGGCAGAGTAATGCGTTTTCGGAGGTCTGGACGCAGGATCTGAACGTGCTTCGGTATGGTTCTTAACGATTCGATATAATCTCTCATGATCAACCCATATGAAGAGATAAGCTAAAATAAAGTGTTCACAACCTACAATTGAACGTCAAACCAATTCTACTATCAGGTATTACCGTCTGCAGCAGAGAAAATGAGGGTATAATGTGAAGCTATGTGAGTCTACGTAGACACCGGTACCACATTATCTACATTGTAGGCGCATTTTCCCCGTGCGCTTGAGGACCAGCTGTCCCGCAGCTTCTTTCTAGCTCTTCCTCTTCTTTGCGCAGGCGAGCCGTCGCGGCATCAAGCATACGTCGCCGTCGGTCTTCTGGTGCATTAGAGAGGGCTGTACCTGACACTCCCCCCAGGACATGGGCAACAGCTTCCGCCTCCTCATTGGAGGAGGGCTCGTATGCATATCGAGAACCATCCGAAAGAACGTGCGTTCCGGTCGCCACCGAGCGCTCGTACTCGGCTACCTCACGATTGAGGCGAGAGTTGAGTTCCTTGAACTAGCGCGAGCGAGAACGACAGTTTGCGTAGAAAGGCGGGATGAGCATCATGGGATACGGAAAGAAATGAATTAAGCTAGTAAAGGCTCACGTTGTTATCATGGTCGCCCCACACGTTATGGGCGAGCTCGTGACAGAGAACCCGCCGCACCTCCAAGTACGGTCTAAACCCATCGTACTTATCGGTACGTATACGTAACTTGATACTTTCCCCGCGATTGGTGTTGAGTCCCAAAAGATTGGGATGTTCATGGGGTGCGAGTTCTGTGAGTAGGCCCACGGAGAACTGGTGCATACGCATGATGTGCTTCACTGCAGGATCGTTCGCCAGTCGTGTGAGCTGATCTCGGGCGGTGTCCGGGTGAGGGAGGTGAGGCAAGGGAGCGATCGAGTGAAAGACATAGCGTATGTCGTCTGCCTTTGCAGAGCCCGTATTCCGGACTTTCGTTTGAGGTTTCTTGGCACGTTCGGCAAGGATACGCTCGCGTTTCTGGTGCGCGGTTTCGGTTGCTTCGAGGGCGCTCAGCTCGCCGGGCGTCGGACCGAGGAGAGTTATGGTGATATTAGGTCTGATTCCAGCAGAGGACAATGTAGTGTCATCGGCGTCGTTACGCTGCAACTTCTTCCCTCGGAATAGGAGTTTCTGATGTGCGCCTGGCACACCAGTGCGTTCTTCGAGAAGATCTTGGAGTGCCGACAGCGATGCATCGGGTGCGACAGACAGCTCGTGGGTTTTACCCCGATAGCTGACCTTGATAGAGATTTCCGAGTCTGATGCCGACATAGTAGCGTCTTGGATGTTCGAGGTGGGCATGAATGAGACGCTGCTCAGGGCGACGTCAGCCGTATTCGGAGGTAAGAGTAAGCCGGAGGATGACCAAGAAGTCATGTGTCAAGCAGCATATATATTCCCGCGCGTGACGTCACGCGTACTGTGCGGGGTAGCTTCATGCCAACCCAAGTCCACGTTTTCAACGTCTTACGATTATCGACTCTCCATCTCTTCACTCACTCTTTCCTGCTACCGCCATGACCAGCCTCTTCTCTGACGCTGAAATCCAAGCTGTCTTGCATGTTACTCCTGACTCGCTCGCGGAATATAGCGGCATCATCGATGTCCCAGACAACAACCAGACGGACGAGGTGAAAGCGATGTTTCTTGATCGTCAGGTGCGAATGATCTGCTACGATAATGTGACCGCCATATCTCAACAAGATGCTTGTTGTTATTAGATTGCCATCCTACAGAGACAGCAGCATACAGAGTCTGAAAAGCTGTACTGGTAGGCAACACTCGAGACCAGTGGCGTCGCGTCATCAAGTTGAGTTGTAACACAGCGCATTTGCAGCAAAATATCTACCAGAGGCCGTTGCTGCATTCAAGGCGCAGTTGGAGGCCTACTGTCCACCCATGGTCGTTATCAACGTCGTCACTACCACGTACGTGTTAGCCAGGTCAAATCTTTGTGATTTGTTTTTACTGTTTCCTAAAACAGCCCGTATTTCATCCGTTTCTCGCGTCTCCCAGGTGGAAGAGATCTCGCAGCGATCATGGCTTCAAAGGTCGCCGCCATCCCCCTTGACCGAACAGACATTCAGGAAGATATCGCTGCCGCCATCGGCCAGTTCCTGGCAACCCTGCTAGCGGTGCAAGGGGTAGAATCTGTGTCAGGAGAGGACCGAGAGAAGGTCCTCAAGCTGTTCCGCAAGTGGTCGAACAAGTTCTCTGGAAGTTTTGCGGAGGAGACGCTAGGTCGCTGTATCGACGGTTTCGAGGGCGAAAGGTACGCAACTCACCACGTTCACCTTTGTGCGCCATCAATACGTTTATGCTGACCAAATGCACCCTGGGCTCAGCATAATGCAGCAGATGATGGCTGGGATGAGAGAGATGCTCTCGAAACCAGTTGAGGAATGCGGAGCCCCAAGATGTGAGAAGCGACACGATCCGGGAACAACGAACCTGATGCAATGCGGCAAGTGCAAGACAGCCGTCTATGTATGTGTTTCCGGGAGTGTTATTCACGATCGAGCTGACGTTGAATGCAGTGCAGCCCCCAACACCAAAAGCTGGCATGGAAAAAGCATAAGCAGCTGTGTTATCCGACGGCTTTCTGATCCCACTCCAGGAAACTCAACTTAATCTTATATTATCTTAGCGCAATCTACTCGATGTACCACAACCCGCATAAATCCACTTCGTTATCATCTGAATTACAATTGAGAAATCGATTCATTAGGAAAAGCTGGCGAGAAAAGCACTAAACAAATTTGAATACCTCGAGATATAATGGATACAATAAACAAGATAAAGCATGGATTACTTGCATCGCAAAAGGAAAGGATGGCATAATTGTGTATCTCCCCAGCCTAAGCTCAAGCCTCCGGCGCCGCTCCGCTCGACACTTCCTCGCTTTCCTTCGCATCATTTCCCATAGTTGCGATCGCACGCCTCAAGAAAGGAACAAGGTCAGCTTGAGGCATAGCTATCAGGGCTTGCACTGACTTGTAGGCGTCCCGACATTCCTTCAGCACCGCCGGCGACTTCCAACGCTGCCGCTGAGACCTCTTCTCGATCATGTCCTCATCAAGTTCTGCGCACACCAAGGTTAACTGTGAGGTGACGACGGCGCAGAAGAGGGGTAGCGCACCTTTGTCTTCGCCAAGCAAAAGGAGACGGTCGAGTTCGAGCCATTGCCTATGGGAGCAAACAAGAGTTAGCTGTCATCGAGCGGAGCCAACTAGACTTCGAGACGATAGAGCACACACCAATGACCACCCCTGTCAAAGAAGCGCAGCAGGTGCAGGCGGCCGGGCATAGTCCTCTTGGTTTTGCTTTCCTCGTCTTTGACCCGCTGCGGGATACTGGGGTCCGCTGTGTTATAGATGACCGCTGGCCACCATGGGTAGGTATCTGTTGCCGAAAAAGTGTTAAGTTTGCCAGGATCTATTTCAACGCAAATTCCAGAAACCCTATGCGCACCTGCTTTAGCCCAAACTATAGACAAAGCAATTAGTTAGTCCAAGCCTCCACAGAAAAATACCGACAGCTTACCAATGGTCCCTGACTCGAGCCCTTCGCCCTCATGCAGAGTTATCACAGCGGGGCCGTCCTTGACGACGCTCTCGTGTTGAGGTTTCGGCCCGGGCTTGTTCTTCGGACCTGTTTGAGCCTTCGCTTTGGGTTTTGGACCAGGTTTGCCCTTTGCCTTCGGGGTCGATACCGCGTTCGACCGAGTCGCCCTAGCAGGCGTGGAAATCTTTTTACCTCTGCCACGTCGAGTCGATGACTCGGCGGGGGCCTCCTCGCTCTCCAGCTCGCTGAGATCGCTGAGGTCCGACGCATGCTCCTTTGCATCGTCCTCGGCATCATCCTCTGCGCCACCCTCTACGTCATCCTCTGCACCATCCTCTGCACCATCTTCTGCACCATCTTCTGCACCATCCTTTGCATCGCCGTCTATGTCGCCCTCTGCATCGCCTCCCACGATATCCTTCACGCTCTCCTCCACTTCGTCCGCCTTCGATTTCTTTGGTCTACCACGGCGTCCTGGCTTCCCTGGCTTCTCTAGCTTCTCCGGAACCTCAACCGGGGTCGGCGCTGGCTTCTTCTTGTAACCTTTGCGGCGAGACGCAGGGGTATCGTACGTCTGAATGATCACCTGGTTATCCTCGATAAAGATCATCGCATCCGGGAACTTCTGCTTTGCCAGCTTTAACTGCTCCTCAAGCTCCTCTGGGCTCAGGACCTCGTCGGAGGATTCTTCGGCCGCGTCTGGTTCTGGTTCGCCTACTGCGTCGTCCAGCTTGTCTGCAATTTCAACATCAACGTCCATCGCTTGCTCTGGTTCCGCTGCGGCATCCGAAGATTGACTTGACTAAATCATGCCCGTCAAATTAGTTTTTTCGATCCTCCAATATTTTTGGCAAAAGGACCCACCAGCTTTTCCACTGCCGCGTCGCCGTCCTTATCTGTCTGCTCAGCGTCGACAGCCGCGTCAGCCGGTTTCTCTGGTTCTTCCTTGACGGCCGCTGGCTCGATTCCAGCGTCGACGTCCATCGGTTGCTCGACGGCACTGGCCTCTGGCTGCCCCAAGTCAACTTCGGCGTCTGCATGTTGCTGGTCTTGGCTGGGTTCGTCATCCGCAGGTTGAGCTGGCGCGGGCTGGGCATCCGCCGATTCCTCCGGTTTCGTCTCCACAGCCATTAAATGCTCTCGCGCAACTGGTTCCACCGGGGTCTCGGAAGACGCAACGACAGGCGCAGCAGCGCTCGCCTCGCGGGTACTAGTGCCGTCAGGCTGATCACTCGACTGCTGCAGCGTATGGTTATCTGACGCATGCGTGCTAAACGCCGACAAGTTTGAGACGCCGCGGGCTGCGAACAATGGCCATATAAATTCATTGACACTATAAGGTCACAGGGAAGTACACTCACAGACTCGCATCCTCTTCTTCGGTGGTGGCCCGGGCAGCCGTTCCTGCCGCCCGCCGCGCTTTTGCCCACTTGGGAGAATCCAACCCTGCTCAAACATCCTGAACGTATCGTGGTTCGAGACATCCTCAACGATCATCGGCTCCCTGTGCTTGAATCCCGGTGTACCACGCTTGCCCCTGGATGTCGGGGCCTCGCTCTCAGTCTCAGGAGTAGCAGGGATGGCGTCCGAAGCAGTGTCAGGAGCCTTTCCGCGACGTCCGCGACCTTTCGTGATGGGAGTCGCCTGCGCCTCCGGTTCGGGCGCAGGGGAGGACGTCTCTGCAGCAGCAGCCGAAGTTTCAGCCTTAGCTTCACCCTCGGCGGCTTGTCCTCCATTGACGCGATCGGCATCCGCAGCCTTGACAGAGATTGCCGCTGCCAGCTCCTCGGCCTCTTCATTCGCTCTGGCGCGGTCAGCCGCGCTCTTTCTACCACGCTTGAGCACTTTCGGAGCGGGGGCAGGTGGAGGTGGCGGCGGCGGCGGAGGCTTGAGTTCACCGATGGCAAAGTTGAAGATATAGGACAAGGGGTCGTCCGAGCCATCGAGGAGAAGCGGAGTGTCGTCCTTGACGGAGTTAACATTCGCCAGCATTTCAATAATTTCCAGAGGGGGTTCCAAGTCTCCAAGAGTTTCCGACATGAGTTCCGAATTAAACAATTGCAGAGGATGTTTATGGGTGAGATTGTCAAGCTCGGAGAGGATGGGCTGACTGTAGGCTTGTATCCGTTGGGCTGCTTTATAAAACGGACTGCCTGGCTGATTGTATGATGTAGCGTTTGTCAGAACCAGCTGGACGTCATCCTATTTATCATACCCCTTGGTCAATAATTATCCTCGAGAAAATGTGGTACAATCTTCACCTTGAAATTCTGGAGGTCCCAATACTCATGACGATCAAGCTTAGCGCTAATATCGTCCCAGCTCATTGGCTTCTTGATGACCTCGTGATAATCTGGGACTTCGGTGGATGATACAGGGTGCTTGAACAAATCTTGTCGATCATAACTATTCCAAAGATCAGAATAACATCAAAGGAGAAATAATTCTCAACGTACGCTAATATACGTTCGAAAGCGTACCGAAGAGGTGCTTCATGCGCCAGCAACGCGACCTCAACGACCTTCTGAATGCTGTCCGTCTGTATACGTTTGCGGCTCTCGCGTTTCCGCGTGAGCTCCGCGAGCTGTTGCACCCGCTCCAGGTCGGTCTTTAGTCGCTTGAGTAACTGGGAACCGTTAGCAAATAATTTTAGACAGCGATGAATTTACTCACGTCGAGCTTCATGGTCTTTTCCTCCTCGCTCAACGTCCGTCCTGCACCTGCCGCAGTCCAAGGCTCAAGATGTAACCTTTTGAGCAGGGGCGCGCCCCGACGGGCCTCGCGCTTGAGACTCCAATATTTGCAGACAAGCCACAAGAACTCTTGTTTCTTGCGCACGATAATCTTGGCGATGTAATTGTTGATACGTTCCACGATGAGCGCAGGGACTAGAGGAGGGCCCGAGTTATATGCCTTAGCATACGCCCGCGCGGACTTGGAGAGCTTCACGCCGACGACGCTGTTGGACGATACGCTGGAACTAGCTAACGCAGCCTCGCGAATTTCCGCTTGCTCTTTCTGTATAGTCTCGAAGATAAGTGTATGAACGATGGCCATGGAATAATTACACACCGGAAGATGCTTCTCACAATAACAGGCCAAAACACTAGGTTCAGGCCCAGCGGTCTTCATCGGTAGCAACAGTTTTTCTCTCCGCGCACACGTCGTATGAAACGCCAGGACACATGAACTTTTGTTGCATTGGATACATGCGCCTTCCTTGACGCCGCACACCGCGCATTTCTTGAGAGGTTTTAGTTAGGACAACTCTGATTATATTACGCAGGAGTACTCACTAGTTTCCAACGTTGCTTGTTTACCGACTCCATGCCCATGATGGGCTCCATGAAGACTTCGTTCGCAACTCGCGTTTCGGGAAGCCAGATCGCGCAGAGGAGGTGGGCCCATTCGCCTGTCGTAGTTTGCTTGAACGCGCCGCCTTCGTTCGGACAAAAGATGCACGACTGGTTGAAGGGCACATAAAAACGAGGCTGGCGGGGGGAGAGGAGACTAAGCGACGTACCACAGGATTTTCAGGGGAAACGGTGCATTTACGGCAAAGCCATTGGCCTTCAGGGATATAGGGTACTCCATAACATTCTGCGTGCACATTTCATATAAAAACAGCGTAAGATGGATAGTAAATAAATTACCTTGGTGGACGGCAAGGTTGCAGCCGTCACAGAAAACGATAGCATTGCTGTTCTCCCCCTCAGAATCGTCGCAGATAGCGCAGGTAGAGTCTTCGGAGGGCATAGCGTAGTCTGGCTTCGGTATGTTCTTGGTCTATGCGGAGCAACATGAGCACAAAACGAAAGGAGGCTGGTTGCATGCGCGCGCACCAAGTCGAACCATTCCTTCTCCAACCGGTCCATGACGACTTCGAACGTCTCGTACGATATGGGGTTTAGTTGCTCCTTCTTCCGTTCAGCGTTGAGAGCGTCGAGCCACTCCTGATCTGATGTAGCGTGAGTCGGGGTTGAGTCAAAGCCATGATCAGTTGTATATCACACACACCTTGCTCGTCCATGTCATACTCGACCTGGATGGCCGAGTCCTTCTCCAATGGTTCTGATGCGCATGAGAAGACAGGCCTACAGAGATCACTACGTATGATGCTCACCAATGTACCGAATGTAATGATCCGGTTTCTGGAACTCAGAGAAATCATTGTCTGTTCCGAGAGCCGTGGGTCAGGAGTCCGTCTGGGAGTACAAACTTGGGAAAGACGCACAGCCATAGGATCTCGCCTGGTGGTCATGAACGCCGGCAGGTTGAGAGGAGCTTTCGTCGTCAATTGTTGTGAATGAGACTTTGGGTAGTGGTGCAGGGGAGCCCGTCTTGTGGGTCATTTTGGCGTCTCCTCGAGAGGAGCACTCGCGACGAGGAGAAACGAAACAGGCGCCCGTCGGGCCAATTGGCGATAAGCGAGAACGCGCCACACGTGACTCCACATTAAAGAGACCGACGCGTCCCACGTTTCCCCTTGACTTCAAGAGCGCGACTTGGATTTGGACCGTGTTCACGAATTTACTTTACGAACTTCGATTAATCCAGCTGCGATGAATTCATGATCCTTTTTGCCGCAGGTCTATCTATACATGAAACAAGACCTTTAGAGGAAGTAAGAGCCGAGGCAACTTGAAGAACTTTCACCCAAGCCACGCTGCAATCTTGCGGTACGTGTCCGTCCTCTCAGGCTCGAACCACCCAAAGTTCAAATACGTGTGTATCCCCTCAGGCGCCTCAAGATACTTCACCTGCCCCGGCCCGTCGCCCTCGCCCATATCTGCAATCATCCGATCCTTCAGTGTCCTGATCTGATCCACGAATATCTCAACCCCTCCAGCGTTGATGAACGTCCTCGGGAAGCCCGCGAATGAGGTCTGTGCATGCTTAGAAGCGGGCGACACCCACTCGTTGGTCTGCAAGAACTCTTTACCGAAGGGCCCTGCGAACGCCGTCTTGGCGTAGGCTATCTGCCCTGGGAGCGCACCGAGGGGGTCGTATTTCTTGAGCCTCTTCATCGAGGTGTTGGGGCCTTCATGCGAGTCACCCAGGTCCGCCCACGGTGAGACTAGGATGAGTGCCGACGGTGGCGGGGGAACGTTGTTTCCCTCGACGGTCTGCTGCTCGACAAGGTAGCGCGTGAGAGCGACCGCGAGGTTCCCTCCAGCGGAATCGCCGACAAAAACAATGTCGGATGGCTGTACACCAACGGTGTTGATGAGGTAGTTGTATCCCGCGAGCGCGTCCATCAAGGCCGCCGGGAAGGGGTTGGTAGCGGAGTGTGGAGGACCGGTCGACAGCCTATACTCGATGGAAAAGGCACGTCTGAAGGACTTGTAGTTTTCCAGGAAACCCCTGCACAGCGCTGCAACGGGGCTGTCCTGGTGTGCAGAGAGCGCCACGTAGCATCCAGCATGCATGCGATACAGAATCTTCTCCCCTGGCTGCAGCGCCTCGCCAACGGCCGGATTGAGACCGATCTTGTCCATCCAGTAGCCTGGAATGCGTTCCGGGCGCACCTTGGCGACTTCCGCCCACTGCGCGATGTACCCATGGATCTGGTCGGGGACAGGGTCGACCCAGACGCCTTTGACCTTTGGTCCTATCTTGCGTTGTTCTTGCAAATCAAGAAATGTATGCTGGAGAGGTTTTTTGGGAGACGGTCCGAGCCTGCAAGATCGTGTTCATTGCTCGCTATTACGAAAGAGTGATAAAAGCTCACTTGTCTCCGACGACTAATGAGTGGCGAAGCATCAGGACTTTGAGGTTTCGGTTCCAGTCCCACTGCGGTCGGGGACGCCAGAATGTGACCAGCGACCGAATGAGCCAGGTAGGTGCTCTGACGAACCTGGTGCTAAGCTGATCATAGGTGACGTATGCCCCGCGAGCGGGCTGTTGCTGCATTTCACGCATGGGTGGTAGGAATGTCAAGAACAAGAGAGGGTGCAGGTGAAATTATAACTTCGTCGCAGATGTATTAGCCATCCATGGGAAGTCAGCTACCCGGTCGCACGAAGACGAGAATCCAGAGCTATAAGAGTCGAGTCCCCGGCACAGAAGACGTGAGCTGTGGCACACGGACGACAGAACCGCGAGAACTGCCAGGTAAACATGCGCCTATCGGAGCCGCTGCATTAGCTTAATCCCAACGCTTTATGGTAAAAGTCGACGAGGGAACAACTATCAGCTGGAGAGATTTGAAGACTTTGCATTTGTTCTAAAGAAAAGGTTAAAGACGTTGTTCTTCCGTCAGAAGTTCGGACTGTAGTTATTCGAGTAGCTGGTTTCATCGATCACTGTTATCGTCGTCCGATTGCCTTCGCAGTGGCGGCATTATTATTATGGCCAGCGTTCCGTCGTCCCAGGTGGTGAAAAGGCTAAGGAGGTCGCTCGAGAAATTGGGTTTGTGTGAGAAGAGACGATGTGAGAGTTCCCAGAAACGTGAGCCCTGCTTCGGCGGCCACTTCATACTCCGTTCGGTAGCGCCCGGCTGCCGGCTACCGAGCGCCTCTTGCTCCTCATATTTCACCAGCACGATCAAGATTCATGCCTCCCAGTTGAGATGTGCAAGCCACGTCCAAGTCTATTCTTATCAGCCGTTTACCGGCAAATTGCAGGGGTTATCGCCAACCACAAGGGACGATAGCGCACGACATGAATCTTTGTCCGTGTTCATAACGGGCATGTTATTCGTCGTAAAAACCTAGGCGATACAAATACATGGTGTAAGAACTACCATTTGGTCATAACTTTCGTGTCATATTTTAGGCCTCCTGGACCAGATACCGACATCCAACGCTATACATAATCACCATCGCTCCTCGTCATTTCGAGGCACCTTTTGACTCCTCTTCTCGTGTGTTCCACGTCCTGCGTTGCGTCGCGCAACACCGACGACCCCTTCCTCTACGCGGCGTCCTCTCTCTCTCTTGCCTCTGGCGTGTGTGCGTCAGCAGACTCAGTCTGCGGTCTGACACGTCCTCAGCCATAGATAGCGGCCCGCGTTCGCGACTCCGTCTCCGCGCTCGGAGAACTGGCCTCTAGCACTACACCGAAGACGCAGTTCACGCCGCCGCCTCCCTGGACTTCTCGGCACTGAGATGCTTGTTCGCAATCAAGCTCTCCGCGAAGCCCTTGAAGTCGGCTTTTCCGGCTCTTCCGGGCTGGCGTCATTCGTCAGTTAGCTTCTGGCAGACGAGGCGGAGCAGGGAGCAGCGCACCTTCATGGCGTAGATAACAACGTCCTCTTTCCCCTCAGCCCCGACTGTCTCCTTCAGAATCACGCGCAGCGTGTTCTCCTTCGCGTCGTACAGACAGCGCACGGTTGGCCGCAGCCCAGTGTTGAGCGAGACCTGGCCGAGCGGGTCGCGGCGGAACACTGGATAAATACATGTCGTCACGCTCAGCAAAGGCATTTTGGTATTCGAGGAGGGAGTCTACTCACAAAGACGATCCTTGGCGGACTCAGTGTGCGAGAGGACCTTGATGTGCCCAAAGATGCCGTCGCTGAACTCGCGCGCGCCGCGCTTGACGAAGAGCTTGACGCCTTTGAGCTCGGAGAGGACGGTTTCGTCCTCTTCGCCTGTGGCAGCTAGAAAGTTCCTCATGCGTTAGTGAAGATATTCTTGCATCAAGGGGTAAAAGATAGTCTTACGAGGCTTCTCTAATGCGACCATGCTAGCCTGGACGCGCTCATCCTCGATCGCGTTGGTTTTCTTCACACTCTTCCCTCTCGAGAACGCGGACCCGAAAGTGTCGTTGGGAGAGGCGATGGCTGAGCTCGCGAAGACGTTGGCGCTCTGCTTCCAGGCGGGCGCGGAGATTGGCGAGGCAGAGCCGAGCATAAAGGGCGAGGAGGCGCTAGCGAAAGCTGCGAAGGCCTTTGGGGTCTGTTTGGCAGGGGTAAACGGAGCGGGAGGCGTAACCGGTCTCTCAACCACAGCGGGGGCAGAGGCGGGGGCAGGCTCCGAAATAGCAGGGGACTCTTCAACGATCGGCTCTGCGGCAGGCTGAGGAGCGTTATCCGCGGGAACGCTGGTCTCTCTCTGGGCAGCTGCGATCGCTTCCTGGACAACTTCAGGGCTAGGAGCCCTAGGTGCGACAGCCACGATGACTGGAGTCGCTGGAGAGAAGGGAGCCTCGACGGCTGCTGTCTCCTCCATGGCCACAGGTTCGATGATATCGACGACCACGTTGTCCACTTCAACGTTTTGGGGCTCTGGAGTGAACCTCTTCTCTTCGGAAAGCTCATAGATCACCTGGTATACTTTCTGCATATCACAATTCGGGCGTCAGATAAGGCGGTCACACGAGAAGGCGCGTGATGGGGCATAGGACGGACCTCGTTGTCATCATACCCTTCCCTTTCCGTGGGGGGAGTCTTGTTGCGTTTCTGGGGACGCTCAGTATCCGACTCTGCATCGTCCTCCAGCTTCCTCTTGAGCGTCGGAGACGGGTTCTACACCACTATCTTAGCATTCTCCCTAACGCGATCACACGGCGACGCCGCTCACCTCGGGTGTTGTGCCACTCGCCCCAGGCGATCCGGACATGCCCACGTCCATACTGAGCGTTGCTGAGATTCTGGTTGGGTAGTACCGGGAGCCGGGCGCGAACTCACGATTGATGTCTTGCGCTTGCACTGCGGGAGTACACGGACATGTTGCGCACGCACGCATATCCCAGCGTCGCAGCGAACGTCGCGATACCTGCAAACGCGAACTCGGTGATCGGCAGCATTTGGTCCTATGGGTTCAGGGTATAGCTATGTAGCGGGGTATAGCTCTAGTTAGATTATAGATGACTGGAATAGGCCTTCGAGTGCGGCTAAGAGATAGAGATGCAACGAAAGTGCTTCAAGCAGCGATGGTGTAGCCTCGGTAGCGGGTAAAAGATGAAGGGTCTAAGGAGACATCGTATATTTGCGGGGACGCCTTATAAGGCCCCGATACTAGGTTCCGCGTTGCATATTGCCCGCGCCTGCCTCGAGGCGTACACGATGGTATTAGCCCGTGATGCACGTGTTGTCCCAAATGGGATGGCCGTGTCCGTTAGCGTTCGCTGAGGAGCAACGGAGGGGAGCCCGCGAAATTCGTCGAGGGAGAGCTGATCAGGATGAGATTTTATCGTGAACACAGGTAGAGTTGGGGTTGTTGGGACGAGGAGGCGCTGAGAGAAAGGCGGGGGTTGTAGATCCATCAGGGGCTAATCTGTCACTTCATGGCAAAAATGCTTCCGCACTGCGCGAGTCTGTGCCTCGTCTAAGACAGTCTAAGACCCGTAATCGGCGTAGATCAGCTGGATGCCTAAGGTCCGAGCAGTTGCTGGGCGTAGCGCTTTCATTATGCGGGACCGCCCCGGTAGGTTCGCGGTGTAGTGGCCTGAGCATTGTAGGATACAGAAGCTGGTGATACACAGACGTAGTGGAATGGAATGAGTTAATGCCAGTTGCACACCTCCAATGCCCAGTGACGAGTTAGAAGCACGCAAAGCTGGAACTTTAACCAAACAAAGACGGAGTGGACTCTAATGAGCAGCAGCCGTTAGTTGGTCCTTCAAAGTGTTGACGTTACTTCGCGTGCTCATGACAGCAGGCGGTAGCTTTTGATGTACCGATATGCCCGAATGCGCGATGAGTCGGAAAGTCGCCTCGGCGTCCGATGTCAGCTGGATGTTACCCTATTCCACTGTAGAAGATAGAAAACCGGTGTGAAGTTGAAGGAGTAAATATGGTGATGATCGACTGTGAATGGGAGGAATCACATTGTGGAAACTCTACTGCACCCTGGTTCCTCCTGGTCTCCATCCCTTATATGCATGTTATTGGGAGAGAATTTGATAGGACGAAAGAGCATTTGTCATATACAAGGTTTTGAGAAGAGCCTTGGTATCGAGGGCCTCGTATACCACATACATGGTGAATTAACACCACAAGGCCTAACAAACGGGGAGCGAAGTTGAACAAGCAGAAGGGTGCGATGCCTCGCTTCGAAGAAGGACGTGAGGGGGGGTGACGGACAATACATTATTCAGTATGAGATGGACTATCTCATTGCTTCGTCTGAGAAGTTGAAACGAATTTCAGCCAACCGAGCGATCGCGATGACGAGGAATGGGATGCGAAGGGAGGTCAAGGGAAGACAGGGGCTAAATGACCTTACCGGTATTATGGGCGGGGTCAATTGGGCCAAAAATAGAGTGTAACACGTCGACGTTCCAGTGACCAAACGCTTTCACTCCAAGTTACGCTAACCTCACCGACGACCCAGACGACCTCCACGTCCGACCTCTGGGCCACAAAATACGCTAGTGTAGCGATTCCGACCCTCCAGAGGCCATGTCGACGGCCTATCCTCTCCCTTCTAACCTCTCGAAAGAGACGGTCGCCAATACCGCGTCCTTGCTGCGCATCATAGCTCTCGGCCTCATATCCGCTGCTGCTATTGCTTCGCGTCTCTTTGCCGTCGTCAACTTCGAGAGTATCATCCACGAATTGTGAGCAGTTTTCTCCTCTGAACTCTAGCAGCGTTACTGACGTAGCCTTTGCCAGCGACCCATGGTTTAACTAGTGAGTAGAGCGAGTTTTGACACGTTAGCGCTGGCATATTGAATGCTCGAATATAGCCGTGCGACACGAGTTCTGGCGTCCAAGGGTTTCTATGTGAGTATCCTGCCAGGTTTCTTCTGTTGTTTCTTTGCGTTGCTCATGCGAGAATGTAGGAATTTTGGAATTGGTTTGACCCCACCGCCTGGTACCCTCTCGGCCGTGTCGTGGGTGGTACCATCTACCCCGGCTTGATGGCCACCAGCGGTGTCATCTACAACCTCCTCCATTTCATCAACCTCCCGGTCGACATTCGCAACATTTGCGTTCTGCTCGCACCCGGTTTTAGTGCACTCACGGCTTGGGCTACATACATGTACGCTCCTCTCAAATTCCCTTTCCTCCCCAAATACTCACAGACTGTTACCCCAGGTTCACCAAGGAATTGAAGGACGAATCCGCAGGCCTCCTCGCCGCAGCCTTCATCGGCATCGTCCCGGGCTACATCTCCCGTTCCGTCGCGGGCTCGTACGACAACGAGGCCATCGCCATCTTCCTGCTCATGTTCACCTTCTACGCTTGGATCAAGGCGCTCAAGCAAGGGAGCGCCTTCTTCGGCATGATTGCCGCCGTGTTCTACTTCTACATGGTTGCCGCCTGGGGTGGCTACGTGTTCATCACGAACATGATTCCCCTCCACGCGCTCGTGCTCCTCCTCATGGGCCGCTTCAGCAGCCGCCTCTACGTCGGTTACTCGTCGTGGTACGCTATCGGCACGCTGGCGAGTATGCAGGTGCCTTTTGTTGGCTTCCAGCCTGTGAGGACTAGCGAGCATATGGCTGCTCTGGGTGAGTTTTCAGGTGTTCCTGATTTTCGGAGAAGCGAAAACTCATAATTACTTCTAGGTGTTTTCGGTCTCTTGCAAATTGTTGCTTTCGCACAGCTCGTTCGCCAACATGTCTCCTCGAAGCAATTCCAAAACCTTCTCTTTGCCTCCGTCATTGGCGCTGGTCTCCTTGGTGCAGCCGCTATCGTTGTGCTGACCTACAAGGGTTGGATCGCTCCCTGGACTGGTCGTTTCTATTCGCTTTGGGACACTGGCTACGCCAAGAAGTAAGTACCTCTCATTTTTTCCTAGCTACTTAAATTAACTTTGACTCAGGTACATCCCTATCATTGCCTCCGTCTCCGAGCACCAGCCGACCGCCTGGCCCTCGTTCTTCATGGACCTCCACTTCCTCATTTTCCTCTTCCCCGCTGGTGTCGTCCTGTGCTTCCGTGAGCTGCGCGATGAGCACCTCTTCGTCATCATCTACGGCGTCATGGCCTCGTACTTCGCGGGTGTCATGGTCCGTCTGATGCTCACGCTCACCCCTTGTGTTTGCGTTGCCTCTGCCGTTGCCCTCTCCACCCTCATGGACACCTACCTCGACCCCACGGAACCCGAAGGCGCCGTTGAGGCTGCCGACGACAGCAAGAGCGATGCCGGGTCAACCGCCACCAACGGCACCCCATCCAAGAAAGCAAAGAAGGCCAAGGACGCTGCCGCCGCCGCCCCCTCGGGCAGCGCACTCAGCGACCTCGTTGCGGGCGTGACGTCCTCATCTACCAAGGCAAAGGATGCGCAGCGCCCCAAGGGCGTGTTCGGGTTGGACACTCGCTTCATGGTGCTCATCAACACGCTCGGGCTGTTGCTCTTCTTCGTCGTGCACTGCACGTGGGTCACCTCGAACGCGTACTCGTCGCCCTCGGTCGTCCTCGCGTCGCACAACCCCGACGGGAGCCAGAACCTCATCGATGATTTCCGTGAGGCGTACTACTGGCTGCGCCAGAACACGCCGGAGACGGCAGTCGTTGCGAGCTGGTGGGACTACGGGTACCAGATTGCGGGGATGGCGGACCGCCCGACGCTTGTGGATAACAACACGTGGAACAACAGTGCGTTTTCTTCCTCTTAATCCCTCGATTCTCGTGTGTGCTCATTATGGAAATTATCTGCAGCGCACATCGCCACCGTGGGCAAAGCCATGTCTTCGCCCGAGGAAGTTGCCTACCCGATCCTACGCAAGCACGACGTTGACTACGTGCTCATCATCTTTGGTGGCCTGATCGGCTACTCGGGCGACGATATCAACAAGTTCCTCTGGATGGTGCGCATCGCCCAGGGCGTCTGGCCCGATGAGATCCAGGAGCCCGACTACTTCACCCCGCGCGGCGAGTACAAGGTCGACGACGAGGCGTCCCCCGCCATGCGCAACAGCATGATGTACAAGATGTCCTACTACCGGTACGCTATTTTCTCCCTTAGTCATATTATCTTTAAGAAATATTAATAATTTGGGAAACAGGTTCGCAGAGCTCTTCGGCGGCCAGCAGCCCGTCGACCGCGTGCGTGGGCAGCACCTGCCCCTGCAGGGTCCGCAGATCGACTACATCGAGGAGGCGTTCACGTCCGAGAACTGGATCGTGCGCATCTACGAGGTCAAGAAGGACGACGTGCTCGGCCGCGACCACAAGCTCGCGAACGCGTTCTCGCAGGGCAAGAAGCGCAAGCGCTCCAAGCCCCTCGCGAGGCGCAGGGCCGTCGGCGCGTAAAGCTGAGCCGAAGCTTTGGAGTTGATAGATAGATGATGAAAGCGAGTATCTCTCAGCATAGTCGTAATTTTTATGTCAAGCCTCGGAAGGCGGTGGACGATAGATAGTTATATACTTACCACTGCCGAGTCAAGCTTGTGTCTGAAGCATGTAATTCCCATACCTTCTCGCATCAATGCTATCGATACATTTCCATCTCAGCCCTTCCGCGTCATGAGTGTACGCAAGCCATGCTTGCAAACGTCCATCTATTGAGTTCCGTATTCATGCTGGTGTGTATAAAGGCTGTATGGAGCCATCTACAGCTCGTCCTTAGCGCGCTCCGCCTTCTCTTCCTTTGCCTTCTCGACTATCGCCTTGAAATGCTTAGCCAGCGCCTCGTACTTCGTAGCTCCTGTTCACAAAAAAGTCTCAGCAAAACAAATTTCTGGAAGAGATATTTCCCGCAAGGGCGCACCGTCGTAAAGGGTTGGCTCCGTCGACCCAGGCTGGTAGATGACCACCTTGGTCGCCTTGTCGCTCTCCAGCCCCAGCGCCTTGGCCGTCTCGTCGTCCGCGTCCCGGTGATGCGCGACCGCGATCCGCTTGCGGTAGTTGTTGCCCAGCACGCGCCAGAGGAGCGGCGGCTTCTGGTCCTTGTTGATCAGCAGCGCGCGCGGGAGGTCGATGTTCTGGTGTGGAGTCCGAACGCGTCAGCAATGCAAGGCCACACAGAGCACGAGGCAGTGGGAAGCAGAATGAATGAAGAACGCACATCCTGGGCCCATTTGTTCACATCGTCAGTCTTCTTGATGTCCTTCACCTTGTCTGGGACCGCGCGGCCTGCCCAGCGCGTGATGGGGCCCGCGGTGCGCTCGCCCGAGTTGTAGGTCTCTGGGGGTGACTGACCGCCCCGTGGCCACGCCTTCACCGTAGGGAAACCTTGGATGCCCTACGTGGACGCGCATATAGTCAGCATTTGTTCAGCAAATGGAATGTATGTATGCCAACGTACCTGTTCGGCGCACAACCCCTTGTTCGCTTGTTCATCGCAGTCCACGGCGTACAGAGGGATCAGAGGGCTGAGCTTGTCCGCTGCCTTGCTGTATTCGGGCGCCATGCGTTGACAGTGCTGTTTGCACGGTTGGTTAGAATAGGTGTGATGCCCGGGAAGTTGGAGTGGTTGCTTACCCCGCACCATGGGGCAACGAACGCGACGACGGCAGTACGCTATGAGCACGAATCAGCCTATCAATGAGACCATCGCAAAGAAATGAGTGTTTGCTTACGTTCGCGCGCATGGCGCGCTTGAAGCCTTTCGGGTCGAGCATCTTGACCTTGGAGTCGGCTGGGAACACTGCTGCCGACGCCAGTGTCGGCAGCAGGAGCAGGAATGCGAACAATGAATGCAGGAGTTGCATTTGGACTAATCTCATGAACAAGACGTAGAGTAGCTCTCGAGTGAAACTAGGTCAAACGTTGACGGTTGTAAAGCAAGAAGTGTAAGTAAGGTGACTGTCGTGGCCACTTCACGCGACTCGGACCGCGGAAATATTAATGGGGTCAACTCCGTCAATCTCGGGGCGCCCAACACTGACGTGGCTGACACGCCCTCCATTGGCCTTCCACATACTTCTGACTCGGGTCTGACAGGTGGCTGCTGCATTGTGTCTACATATGTTATCTATATGCTCATGGTGTTTCCGAAGGGCCTTGATCTAAGGTGGGATCTCCATGGGCGAGATGCGAAGCGGGGACTTGAACATCGTGTCTCTTTGCCTCTTCCTCATTTCGCTTTATGCCCTTCTCGACTTCTAGGTTCCAGTTCGTTCCCAGCCATACCACGCCGTATTCTCCTATACCAACCGTAAACAGACCAATGACTTGGCCTGGTCGACTGTCAGGATAGCCGTTAAATTTTTGAATTATCCTCCGGCTTACCGATCCACAACCCTTGGAGTCCCAGAGGCGTCTTAAAAGCGAGAGAGATTCCGATGGGAAGCGCGATGATATAGTACGCTACAATGTTAAATAATGCACCAAGGTGCTGTCGTCCTTGGAAATGAGTGTGAATGTCAAAGAAACCTAGAAAAGCGCCAATTTCACGTTACCTTGTCCTCGAAGTATTCCACCACATGAATTGGCCAGCCCATCAGCGATCTATAAAACTATCCGTCAGTTTATCCCCGAGAAAACAGTAGATTTTGTAGACCTGGAATGAAGCAACCAAAGGCATGACCTTGCTCACTAGCCTCACTACATCCTCGTCATCACTGTAGATGTAACCAAATTGCTGGAGAACGTTAGGAGAATCGCTCAAACTGTAAAAGCTACTCTTACATTTCTGGACAGCAGCATAATAACCATCACAATGGACATGACAATAACGCTGAGCAAAGCTGCTGCATGGGCAGCACGCTTTGCACCGACAGCAGCTTTAGCGCCCAAGAGGTTTCCGATTCGGTTGGATGCGACGACGCCTGAAACATGATATTATATCGTTGTAGTAATTAAAATCTATAATTAACTCACCGAAACCGAATGGAAGTGTGCTAACAACTACACAGTTCAGTCCGTCTGTGTATAGGACGATAAGCACGCTCACTTACTTTGATCTGTCGTCATGATCACCGACTGAGCGGCAAGCGGAAGCCCTCCAAGTCTGCCTGCAGCCAAAGCAACGATCTCAAACGCAGCCCTAGCATCACAGCTCAAGTTAGTTGCTATCACACACAAGTAAAACCTAGCCTACCACTCGGTACCGACCATCAGTATACCTGGAACGGCCAGCTTCAAGAACGACCAGCAGCCCTTAGGATTAAGCGCCGCACGTAGCTGCAGACCTTCCCAGGTCCCGTTTCTCTTGTGAGCAGGCGACAACGTCGTAAATATTACCAGCAGGAAGAAAGCCATCCAGTACGTTATCGACAACGCAAGAGGACATCCTAGAAGCCCGAGAGTGGTAAAGTGGATCAGGTATATATGCAGGACTATATTAATGGGCGTCATGATAACGAGAACCCAAGTTGAGGCCCGCATTATCCCTAAGACCAGAAAGGTTAGCCGCGAGATAGATCAACAACTGAAAAGCCTACCCTGACACTGTAAGTATTTCTTCAGCGACTCGAACGCTATATAGCCAGGTGCGCCGATGATTAAAATGCGTAAAATACGCTGAACGTTCGCGCAAAGAACGGGGGGTTCTTTGATTGCCAATAACACGTCACCAATGAAAGTCCAGAGAAACCCCACAGGAATGAAGAGACACCAGAGCACGATCACACATCGCTGGAAGTGGATGGAGAGATCAGAAGCACGACTTCCTCCGGTGAATGCTTGCGACCCTAGAGTGTCAAGGGCGGAGCCGCCGCCAAGGGCAATGCACCAACCTATGAATGGTTCGTGAACCGTACGAAGGGGAACGTCTCCACACTGACCAGTAACATAGGCGAGCATGACTGAGAATGCCGCAGCTGAGAGTTCTTCCGGTCCGAGTTTTCCCGTAATCAGTACAGACGTTGTCTGTACAGAATTTTGCAGGATGTACGACAGAATCACTGCCGTCCATTGTGGCGGTCGAGAATAAGAGTTAGTAAGTATATTTGTGCAGTAGACGCGACACAGAAAAATATGCACACACCCGGGATCGAATCGACGGCCAGCGACGTCAGCAGCCTCACTCCAGACTTGCGGCTCTCTATTTCCCCATTTAGCGCGTTTTCTGTAGGAATCGAACTTAGTGACCCTGCATCGACGTTGATACCGACGCCGTCTTACTGACCTTCATGGAGGAGAGGAGTTCTCTCGTCGACGTTGTCGTGGTCAGGGGACATGCTGGAAAGGAAGGTAGGTGCGTCGCGTTCTCCCTCGGCTTCTTAACTTACTCGAACTGACAGCTTCCTCGCGGAGTTTCGGGCCATCATCCCATAAACTATTCAGGATTTTGGCACTGACGTGCTAGCACTTCCGAACACACCGCATGAAGTGTCCGATGAGGTTTCCATACGCGACACGATCTTGGAGAGATCTTGTGCCTTTTTCTCTATGGATCTTCATTGCAGTCTTGTGATAAGACGTGGACGTGCGATCCTTTTGTCAATAGTTTGTGAACTCTCTGCCTCGAGGCAATGGTCCAAAGAAACGGCATTCGATGACGTCCACATGGCTCAGCTAGGCTGTGATGTAGGGGGTCCTGTGACATTCTGTTTTCCCACTCAAATCGCATTTTAGGCGTGCTGAGGGCGACAGATTATACCTCAACTTTTCAGCGCATCGCGACTTGAGAGTTTCAGTATGTTTTTCTACCTTCCTTTGCTTTTCCTGTTACCTTTCGTGCTTGCACATGATGGCCACGACGAAGATCAGATTCCTCTTGGTTATGTTCGTTTTCCCTACCAAGCCACTTATCCCGGAGATAACGAGGGTGAGTGCTGGTTGTCCAAAGCACTATAGGGGATATTCATCCACGAGCAGTGACCGCTGATTCCGTATTTTCTGGAATTACAACCTTCGCCAAACTTCCATGGGTCCAATGTCTTGGGAGGGACAGAGACACTGCCTTCGACATTGCATTCCTTGGAGCACCTTTTGTCAGTAGCAATCCGAGCACTGTCGGTAGATTGAACTGACCGTGATTTAGGACACGGCTACATCCTACCGACCCGGCGCCCGGTTTGGACCCTCTGGAATTCGCGCTGGTTCTCGCCGCCTTAACCTCTACGGAGGTTACAACGTTCCTCTTGAAGTTAACCCCTTCATGTCTGGACTGAAGCTTGTCGACTGCGGCGACATTCCGGTGACACCCTATGACAACAAATTCGCCATCAAACAAATCGAAAATGGACATAAGCAGCTCCTCCAACGCACCGCTGCCTCGTCTCTAGGTAACGACTCCCTCACCAGCCAACCTCTTGTGCCTATCTCTCTCGACGGAGTAAACCACCCCAGGATTATCACGCTCGGTGGTGACCACACCATCGTTCTGCCTCTTTTGCGCTCCATCCACTCTGTCTACGGTCCCATTTCTGTCATACACTTCGATTCCCATCTCGATACCTGGAAGCCCTCCGTCTTTGGCGGCGCGCCTTCCGAACAGGCAGCTATCAACCACGGAACGTACTTCTACTGGGCGAGCCAGGAGGGCCTAATCAAAAACGGGAGCTCCATCGCAAGTATCATTTCCCTTGCCTTTGTCATCCGTAATTTTTTCCGGCCGCGTGGCGGAGTTTTTCGCTTGCTTCTGCTTCTGTAGTGAACGTGTTGATCCTAGTTGGTCCGCCCCCTTTCTAGCACGGCGCCATCCGCACCACGCTCTCCGGACCCGCGGACTACGTGAACGATGACGAGTCTGGCTTCCAGAGGATTGAAGCGCGTGAGATCGACACTATTGGTAGGTTTAATCTAACTGTAGCTCCCTCTGCGCTGAACATCTCCGTTGCTACCCATGACAGGAACGAGCGGCATCATCGCGAAGATTCGTGAGACCGTAGGGGACAGGCCTGTCTACTTGTCTATCGACGTGAGTGAATAGGGGCCAATTGCGCTCCAATTACTATAGCTGACAGCTCTATAGATCGATTCGATCGACCCCGCATTTGCGCCCGCCACAGGAACCCCCGAGACTGGTGGTGAGTCGCAAATTCCAAAACCTTCCTCCCAAGAAGGTAGCCCATGTTCTTATTTGCAGGCTGGTCTACACGCGAGCTTCGCACGATTTTACGTGGTCTCGATGGTCTTCATATAGTGTCTGCTGACATCGTGGAAGTCGCTCCGGCTTACGACACTAATGCAGAGCTGACGACAATGGCTGCGGCTGATGTGCGTATTTTCTAATCAGCTCGATAGGCTGTGTGCTGACGGACCGGTGTCAAATCAGGTTTTGTATGAGGTGTTGAGCGTAATGACGAAGACCCCTCTTGGAAAGGTGGTGAAGGACTAAGCGGCTCGGACCGTCGCAAGCTCACGCCCATTAACGTACCATGAACCCTTTTTTCTTCCTGTACAGCAAATAAGCTCTGTTAGACATACATTTTGCCGTTGTTCCTTTCAAACCCGTTGTCAACGCACAATCTTCTTCACGCTTGCCGAATCATCCCGCCGCTAGATTTAATTTTGCCTGAAAATGGAAGCTCGTTTTTCTACCACCACTGAGTGGATAACACCATTTGTCATTTGACATTAAGCAACCACAGCAACTTCCGCCCACAAAATTCCTAAAACCTTCTTCAGTTTTCTTGTAGTGTCCTTCGCGGCCCGCCAGCTTCATTGAAGGACATGGCCGTTTTAGGAGCTCATTCATTCCGCTTTACGTGAGCCAGCTTCCGTCGCCATGTGCAGAACCTCTCCTCGGCCACGGTCCCACATTAGAAATATAGATGGATTCCTACACGAGGTTTGATTGTGAGTCGGACTATGAAGATAGTGCGAGCATACCGTAAGAGCGACCACGAGATGATGGAGCGGCAGCCTCGAGGCTGACTTCGGTTCATCTTGAGCGGGCGCCTTTCCACGGATACATCTAAGAGGGTGTCCTGGGTGCCGCTTTTACGCACACTCAAAACGGCTGATCAGCTCACTGGTAAAGGCATTATCGTCATTGTCGTCAATGCGAAATAATTTTTGGCTTGATGTTCCAGTCTCCAACGTCCGAGAGCTCGCTCAGTTGGAAGGTGTGTTGCTCAGAGTCTCGCGTGGATTTACTAGGTTTGCGTCGATCCGTGGGGGTAATCCATTAGGCTTTCCGCCTTTACGGCAGAATTTCCTCTGGCCGCCATACACGAAATAAAACACATATGCTACCCGTCAACACATTCACAGGTCTCGACTATAGCTATACAGTCCAAGCGCGTCCACCCATGTGCAAACCTTCCGCCGTTCTTTATGGCCAAAGACTTCTTGATTACGATAAGCGCGTTGCATACAAGATTTCACGCCATGCTCTTACCGCGTCGAAGAAGATCCGAGGAAACAGCGGTTGAATTCTTCTATTACAGTATCTACAGCTCCTTCTCGACCACACCATCGTGGACATTTGAAATTGGTCCGTGGAACCATTTGTGGGCAGAGAGCACCCAAGAAATGGAAGCGAAAATGAATACGCCCATAATGAGGACCACGGCGTAATCTGCAATCAGTAGACGAGTTTGTTTGAGCGACGACGACGAGAAAGAAGGATGACGCACTCATCGATGGGGCAGTCGGCGCCTGGGACGGAGGAAAAAGCAGCAGAATCACAATGAACGTCACCCAAGAGACCGCGACGATGCCGATGGGCATGTACCATCGCCCAAGAGTGAACGTTCCAGGGACTAGCTTATTTCGTCCCGAGGTAATGCGTAGGAAAATGGGCGTTGCATATGAGACATACAACCCAATTACAGCAGCCCTACATGTGAAGTTAGCCTCGTGTTTTCTGGCAAGGTCCTAGCTATTGTCCCCCTAAAGCGTTGGACGCACCCGGCGAGGGAAGAAAGGGCCGCAGCAGAGAAACCGAGCAAGCCACACACCGCCGCTCCAATCATCACAAACCATACGGCATTCACAGGAGTAAGCGTGTGGGGATTGACCTTCTTCCACCAGCGTGATCCGGGGAGTGCGTTATCTCGCGCGAAAGCGAAGACGACACGCGATGCGTCGACGCCCTGTGCTGCGCCAGTGACGTACTAGGCTCGAAGATCAGACACCTCGCACAACTACACAACAGTGAGCCGATCACCTGAACCACAATGATAAAGCTCCATATTGCGAGCATGCCTCGTTTCCCAAGCACGTTGAGGAAAAGCTGGCCCATCGGCAGGGGTAAATCAGTCCCGAGGATATCGGTGACAGAGCTTGTGGCGAAAGACGCAGCGATAAAGAGCAACCATCCAAGGGCCTGAGTACCAAAGACACCAACTAGGATCGCAATAGGTGCCGTGTATTGGGCGTTGGAGACTTCTTCTGATATGTGAGCTGCCGAGTCGTCTGCAGTTGACGTGAGTATGAAAATGAGACCACTCGGTATCGACGTACAGCCGGTAAGAGTCCACATCGGAGCAGTAAAAGCCAGCAAGAACGCCCAGCCGTCTGGTGTGGTATGAGAAAATGAGATGGCCAGGGGTAAATTTACGTACTATTCGACCACCCTGTATTGTTTTGGAATAGAGTGAACGCATCACGAGTCGAAACCCTGTTGTCCCCCGAGTATACCAGCAGTGAGGCGATAGCGGCTATCGTTGTTCCAACTGTTTCCTCATCTCAGAAAAAGTATATCAGACATCACGTCGCCCTCACCATTGACGATGACATAGAACAAGTTAAGTCTAGCCAAGACACGAGTTGCGGCGGAGCATACGATCCCATGACTAAACAAGATGGCGAGCAGAATGCCATATGTTGCCCCATCACTTGGAACGACTGTACCATCAGAACCTACGGTTATTGCAGATGTGATCATCTGCGCACTTCACGGCATTATGAGCACTTTGGGACTGTGGCGGATTGTCCAAATTACGCACCATGTGAAGTCAATGGAACAAACCAACGTCACTTGACCCGTTATGTTAGCCCAACCGGTGATCCAGCTAGCTAGAGCGGACCATCTAGGAGGCGCGAGTTTAGCAGAGAAGTAATACAATCCTGCACTTGTCCTGTAAGTTGCTTGGTTAGGTTCCACACACGCGCCGGATCATGGCACACTGACGGCATCGAAGACACCATCTCCGCCATGGAGGCTGCGACTGTCATCACGAAGAAGCAGGGTATGAACCAGCCCCACACCATCCCAACATGTCCGCCTATCATCGTTCAGTCAAGGTGCACCTGACGTACCGGTCATGACACACCTGACTCAAGCGGAAATGAGTATGTGGACGACACGGATGCAACCACACCCATGATGGAGAACGCAAAAGCAATCGTCTCAACGAGCTAAGGATGCATCAACATAGAACGCAAGTGATGCCCGTCAAAGCGGCTCGTCGAGATGGGCTCACCGAGAACTCTCTTTTAAACTCGCTCTTGTACCCCAACTCTGCGAGAAGCACATCGTCTTCTTTGAGAACACGCGCAGTGTCTCCGCCAGCATCAACGATGGTGACATTCGTAGCACTCTTCTCCTCCCTTTTAGACATCGAGGAGGCGTTAGAAGCGATCAAGACAGTGGAAAAAGAGGAAGCGTCACCGCTGCGGCTCAAACAGTCATACGGAACTTTAACTGCTCAATTACACCACCTGGAGATAAGGAGAGGCGCCTGGGTTTCACGGATGGGAAACTCAACTAAAGCTGCCTATGAATAAAGCTTATCTTCCCCGCCAAGCACCACATTTTGATGCATCAAGCGGGTCCCGTCCACCTTCTCACTGCATTGCGGGTTCGACGGGTAGGATTAGCCAGAAAACTGAGAGGGATTCATGAACGAACTTGATGCTCAGACATAGTGGCAAGAGAGCAATATTGATTCCTGTTGACAGTTTCTGTCCACCACACGCCCTTCCAAAACAAGCCAATGTTTTTGGGCGCCGCTTGGCGTGACGGCCGGTCAGACCGAGTGGCGGTGTTGTGCGCGCGTCGCGTCGCAGCTCTCCCGCGACGTCATGCATTCATGGTCATGGGATGGAGCTCCAGAAATAAGCCTCCAAAAACATATCCCATTTTACATGCCAAAATGTATAGCTATCTCAGCACGAAGCTCTTATCGCACCCTTGCGTGTCAACAACCACTTGCTCCCCTGGCTGATACCACCGCGTCGATTCAACATGCCCAGACAAATTCTTATCGGTTTTGGCGTCGATGTGGACGCTGTTGCCGGATGGTCGGTGGTTTTTTCTCGTACTTGAAACACGATCAGCTAAGCTCTCAGTTAGGCTAGGCTCATATGGCGGAGAGGATTCTCCTTTGGACATATCTAGAGTAAGTGCGACATGAAGAAATTCTTTCCTCACTTGTTCTGTACACCAACTTTCGCAACAATGTCGTCCAGGGAATGTACTCCGGGGAGGTAGGAGTCCCAAGGTTACTTAAGTTGTTCGACAAGTACTCTATCAAAACGACATGGTTCATTCCTGGCAAGTCCGTTTACCTTTCAAGCGACTCGTAGATAGCTAACTCGTATTCAGGTCATAGCCTCGAAACATTTCCAAAGGAGATGGCAGCTGTTCGCGATGCGGGCCACGAAATGTAAGACCATTTGCATATCCAATGAGTATATTTGAATGAAAATATGACAGTGGCTTGCACGGTTACTCACATGAAGTTAGGCGCAGTTACCTTTCTAAAGTGTCGAGAGGACTAACTTCCCGAACTCTAGAATCCAACTGCGATGACCTTGGAGCAGCAGAAGGATATTTTAGACCGCACCTTCAAGTTGCTCACAGACTTCAACCACGGTGTGCCTCCCAAAGGCAGCGTAGCTCCCTGGTGGGAGACCAGCCAAGATGGCACCGCACTACTGCTAGAGAAGGGCATTCATTACGGTCAGTCGCAGCTCTTGCAATCTGACTTTCACTTTCATTAACGCACTGCGCGATCCGTAGACCACTCGAACATGTCCCACGACTGCCAGGCCTACTACTTGCGTGACCAAGACACCTGGACCAAAATCGACTACAAGGCGCAAGCGCATACCTGGATGAAGCCTCTGCAAAAGGGAAACGAGACTGGGATAGTCGAGATTCCTGCGAACTGGTACCTAGATGACCTCCCGCCCATGATGTGAGCGTCGAGCGCGCCACCGATGGATCGAGAGTCTGACGGTATTGCTCAGGTTCATCAAGTCGAGTCCGAATTCGCACGGCTGGGTCAACTCAAGAGACGTCGAGCAGCTGTGGAAAGATATGTTTTCCTACCTTTACCGAGAAGAGAAAGACTTTATATTCCCTATCACCATCCATCCTGACGTCAGCGGGTAAGTTCCTGGTGACTGCCTGCACTGGGTTCCACATCTGATGAGATGACCGTGCAGACGCCCACACGTTCTCTTGATGCTGGTCAGCATCTCGACTTCCTAAGCACTTCCCTGAATCCAACACTGACTTTGCGTTGTCAGGAACGTTTCATCGAGTGGATCAACACACATGACAACGTGCGCTGGGTAAAGATGCACGAAATGGCAGACGAGTTTAGAGCAAGGCAAGATCCACCGCCTGGTGCAGTGATGCCAAAGGGTGTGACACGCAGAGTGCGTTCGCGTCTTTGAAGCAGACGGCCGTTCGGAACGAAGTGTGGATGATTCATACAAACATAAGAAATTGTAAATCTACTCTGTACTATAAAACCAATATCAATGACGTGTCAAAGCAATGAGAACCGTGAATAGACCTTACATCCTAATCGTACACCGCCCGAACAGTTCCTCGTTCTTTTCACATAACTCATAGCTTCGCCTTACTCTCGCCGGGAAGCACTGGCACGATGCTCATCAGCTCGTCCCACTTCTTGTCTACCGTCCATCCGATCGTCTTGTCCTCTTTGAGCGTCAGGATATCCTTCACGCCCCGCGTCTTCGTACGCAGCCACGCCAAGACGCCGCTGCCTTGCCCGCCCTCAAGCTCTGCATGGGCAGCATCAATAGCGTCGAGCCAGGCCAACGCGACGTGCTCCTGCTCGGGGCTCAGCTCCGGCGTGCGCAGCGCCCAGAGAGGACGGTCCGTCGCATGGGTCACGTATCCTTCATCGAAATCAAAATCAGCCTTGCTCCTGATATCCCTGTCTGTCTGTCAGAGGAAAACAACCCACCCTTCGGCCTCACTTGCTCCGGCGTCCACCGAATCTCATACCTCACCACCGGCACCCCTCCCGCCCCCGCAAAGTCCCTTACAAACATCCTCACAGGGATATGCACCTGCCCATCAGCAACCACCCTCCCCATATAATCAAACGCGCTCGCCGCCGTCTCCCCAGGCGTAACCCCGCGCTTCGCATACGCATCGAACAGCGCGCGCACGACGCTCTCAGGGTAGTACCTCAGCATGTTCGTGTACGCGTCGCGCGGCGCGTGGACCGGGTGCGCGATCGCGTACAGGTACCACTCCTCGGTGAGGTCGCCGATCGAGATGCTGCGCACGCCCTTGGCCTTGAGCGCGCGCGCGAGGGCGCCGCTGCGCTGCCATGCCATCGGGTCGACGGACGTCGGGAGCCAGGTGCCGTCGAGTGCGCCGCGGAAGGTGCCGTGCATGCCGAGCTCTTCAGATGTGATGAGGTCCGTCAGCTTCGAGGCGGAGATCTGGGAGGGGTCGCGAAGCTTCTCGAGGGTGGAGGGGTCTGTGGGAGATAGGCCAAGGGCCGTGCATAGGTCATGGTACTGAGGGCGAAGCTCGGCGAGAGACTTAGGAGTCGTTCTAGAGGTGTTGTTAGACCCTTCGTTGGAGAGAGACGACGTGGTAACTCACAGGAAACCGTTGGACTGCATCTGAACAGAATGGAAAGGTGCCACTTGGCCAGCTGGGAGGTGCGAGACGTGATGCAGAATCTGATGCACCGAATGAGCACCTGTACGACTGTCAGAAATCTTCGCCTTAGGAGTTTGAAATCAATATGATCGTACCCGCACTCAGGCCAGACAGCCTGATATCGTCCACATCACCGCCGAAGTTCACGATATTGTCCTTGACCCACTGAAGAGCAAGCCACTGGTCCTTGAAACCATAGTTGCCCTCGATGCGCGGCTCGTCGCATGCAAGGAAGCCAAAGATCGAAAGGCGATAGCCGATGTTAACCCATACCTCCTTGCGAGTTTCGGCGACGAACTGGGCTTGACTGCTGAGACCATGGGGGGAACCGAACTGAAGGAAGCTGCATAGGCAATCAGTAGACCTCCAGCGCCGACAGTAGCATGTGGAGCTTACCCTCCATGAATGTATACTCTCACCGGATACTTGCTCTCGGGGCTGAAGTCCGACGGACAAACGATGTTCACGTACAGGCTGTGGCCAAGCCACACATTGTCAGATGCTTACTGCTCTTCAAGCAAAAGAAAAGTACAAACGGGTCCTCGGAGGGTTCACCCATGCCTACACGGTGAACAGGTGGGGTTCCTTCAGATGACCATTCGTATCTCATGAGATGTATGCTACAGACACGAAAAACATACCAGCGCTTTGACCATCGTTGCCCGGCTGGGCGCAGTCTAGGAAGAGGACATGTATTAGACGTTATGTGATAAGTGCAGATACAGGTAAGAACGTACGCTTAGTTTCGTATACGTACTCCTTATCCTCGTAACGAAAAGTAGGCGGCAGCGGGTCCGGGTCCGAGAAACGTTTCGGCGGAAGTGCATACGGGACCTCTGTTCACGACGATTGAGCTAACCCTCCCCAGTTCGACGAGCAAAGACATGCATACCAAGGAATGCGATCGCTCCGTTCGCGGCGCGGGCTCCCGTCACTCTTCCAAAGCGCGTCTTGACAGACACGCGCAGACCATTGCGGAGCTGCTCGCCGAGGTGAGATTTAATGCCTGACATTGTTCCTTGACTTGGAGGGGTATCTGCGACTGGTCTGTTCAGCTGTTAGCAGAGTGAAAGCACCTTCTTCGGGGGTCGGGTATGCGGAAGGGCATGCTCCCAAGTCGGCGCTGTTATATTCATGGGTGTGAACGTCGGACCTGTCAGGCGCGTTCCCTCCACTCGTGATCGCTGCAAAGCTCGGGTTTCGGAATGCGGCTCGGCCCTTTCCGACAAGCTACATAACCCCTGGCGCCGCCTCACAATTAGCTTTCCTCTGCCCCTCATCGTTGCCTCGCTCCTTCCCTCGGTGTTTGGATTGTCCTTCTAAGTTCTTCGCAACATACCTTACTTTTCACCATGCCCGAACTCACCGGGGCTCATAACCTGTTAAGAGCACAGGTTATGAGCACCGATGAGATCCGCATGGTTGAGTCTGACCAGCTTAACTTCGTCTTCGCCTCCATGTGCTCGATAAGCTTGACTGTGATGGCTTAGCGCTTAGCGCTTAGCAGTCAATCAAACATTAATCAAAACCTGTATTTTTATCTTCTCCTGTATTCAACCTGTGAGGGAAGGGAGAATGAAGTAACGAACTCGAGTTCGGTGTTGCGAATTCATTTCCATGTCGCTCTGCATTCCCTATCGAAGTGGTGTCCACATGGCTTGTCTTCTCGTTTTGTTGCTATCCGGCGGGATTCAGGATTGCTCTACGTATATAGAGACCATGATGTATGCAGCTAGCCAAAACTCTATCACGACGGATTGCAGGACCCCTTTGGGCTGGTTGCGAGTCTACGCGCTCCCTCCACTTGTGATCGCTGCAAAGCTGGGACTTTAATTCGGGATGCGGGTCGGCCTTTTCCGATGAGCTACTACTCGACAACTCTCAGACACTTACTGCAATGTCTGAACACGAACCCATCATGACCAGCGAGTCCTTTAACGTTTTACTGTCATTATTCTCCACTGACCTGCTCATATACCTTGCTTAGCGGAAGACCTTCGAGCGGAGCCCAATCTGGAGGAGTATGTCCAGTCTAAAGAATTCGACCGGGAGTGCGTTCTGGCTGTCCAGCTCATCATGAGCATGAAGGCTCGCGAGCGCGCCTCAGTCTCCGGCAACAACGGCGATTCCGACTACGAGGACAGCATCTGGTCCAACTCGAATGACGGCGCCTCCTCGAGTGTTGCGTCCGTGGAACCCTCTCCCTACGAAGTTCCCAGATTCGAGAGCCATTTCTACTATGCCGGCCTTGGTCCCAAGGGCCGCGGTCCGAAGCTGATCTACAGGACGTCCAACGATAAATTTGTCGAGCCCACAGGTCCTGAAGCCTATGCGCGTTTAATGAAGCTTTGTCCCGTCACCGAGGATCACGAACTCGGCCAGGATGGTCGTTGGGACCGTATTCGTGATCAGGTGTGTGGCTGTCTCGGCGTGCAGCATTCTGTGAACTAACATTTGTTCCAAGGTTGTCGAACTCCTCGACAAAGGAGGCGTTAAGCTCACTTCCGTCGACCTGGTTCAGTTCACGTGGCTTGACAAGAAGGACGACCAGGAGATCCAGGAGGAAGAGGACGACGATGACGATGACGACTACACGCAGAACGACAACCTCACATATGACGACATCCCACCCATCAAGCCCGTCGAGTATGGGGAATGCCATACCACCAGCCCTACGATCTGGGTGGGCGTGTTGCCGGATACCCTCACCGGCGCGGTTGCACATGAGTCTGCCACCGAAATCCTTGGACTCCTCAAGGAGCTCGGCATCGCCGGTGTTGATGTCGCTGATCGTGAGTCAGTCGCCAGGTTCTTGCATGGTCCAGATCTCTTCGCCCCGGTCTCGGACCTGGACCCGCTCAAAGACGTTATCGACAACCTCTCTACTCCACTTAGCCTGCCCATTGCTGGTCGGAAGACAAAGATGCAGGGAACGCTTGGTTGCTACTTCAGGGTCGGGGACGATCTCTATGCAGCCACCGCCCGCCACAGCGTGTTCCCACTCAACGGGGACTATAAGGAGTACAACTATGTTAGTACGTTATTTTCCGCCTAAGAAGTTGAGGGCAATTCTGACACTACACCTAAGAATCCGCACCTAAGAAGGAGGTCATCATCATGGGAAACCGCGCGTTCACCAACTACCTCACTTCGATCCAGGCCAGTATCGCTACCCTGAATGATACTGTTGACTCCTTGGAGAGGCGGACTAGGACGTTGACGAGGAGGGTGGAGGCTGGTGGCGACGACGCGCAGAAGTCGGCGGGCGAGCTCGCAGAGACTCAGGACCAGCTGACCAAGACAATCACCAAGATCGGTGCGCTGAAGGCTTTCTTTGTCGACGTAAAGAAGAGGTGGAGGAGGTCGAAGGACCGTGTCATTGGCTACGTTGTCTGGGCACCTCCGATCGGTGTCGGTGTCCCTCCCCACCGCTACACGAGGGACCTGTGCGTCATAAAGCTCAATAAGAAGAAGTTCCGGAAGTTCCGTGGAAACGTACTAAGCTTAGGTGCGTGCTGATCCGTCTCGCCGAAGGTTTCTCATCTAAATTTTCACTTTCCAGGGCCGGAGATCTTCCCCGGCAATTTCAAAGCCTTGATGTACGATCGCATCAACGTGCCAGCCGAATTCGAGTATCCCGAGGATGGTCTCCTTCCAGTCCAAGGCATGCTTTCCACCGCGGACATCACCAATCCCAACAGCACGAATCTCGAAGGGGAGCGCATCCACCGCGTCATCAAACGCGGTGGATTCACCATGAACCCTACCGTCGGTACCTTGTCCAGGTTCATGTCTCATGTTCGCAAGTACTTTGTCACGGGCAATCTAGATTCAGTCGAAGTAGCAATCCTCCCCGTCGATAACGATTCTAAAGCGTTCTCCAGGGGTGGTGATTCTGGAGCTCTCATCGTCGACGCCCTCGGCCGATCTGTTGCCTTGCTCACTGGTGGAACGAACAAGGGAACCGATTCGTCGGATATTACTTTCGCTACGCCCATGGAATGGGTCTGGGACCTCATCAAGGACAAGTTCCCGGACGCCAATCTCTATTTCGACGACCTCGAGGGCTTCTTCGCTGACGTGGTTTAGGTCGTCCCATTCTTCCATCTCATCCTTTAGTATTTGTTATAATCACATTAACCCCAATAAATAATAAACACAACCCAAAGGTGTACACATTCGTGTATCAACAGATAAAACAATCACACATATAGTCCAGTGAAGAAGCAGAAAAAGAAAGGGTAAACCCAAGGTAAACCGACTCGATAGTGCAGGGGAAACCGAACAATGACACAGAGGTAATACGCATAAGGTATCTACATTCGTGAAAGGTCATGTCTCGTCATCCTCGGAACAACGATGTGTCGCCCCCCTCTCCAGAACTACTGTACGAACTCAGATGGCGATGAAAGGAGGACGTTAGGAATAATGATAGGTGGGTAGATGTGTGGGGGTGGGATGGGGTATAGTGATAAATTAGCATAGCCAGGTTACGCAGTGAAAGAATGGTCTGAGGTAGTAGTAGTAAGTGATGCCCAACATGCCTGAAGGCTATTTTCTTGCCGTCGATTCGTCGATTGGGCCGACGGCGAGGTGTCCGGGCGATAGGACCGCTTAGAGGAGCGAGACGAGCGCAGCAGCGCCGAGTGCGACGGCGATGCGGCCGAGGAAGCCTTGCGTGGAGACACCAGAGGCGGCGCCGTTCGAGTTGCCCGAGGGCGACGCGGTGGGCGAGGACGAGCCAGAGTCGGCCGCGGTCGACGTGAGGACTACAACAGAGTTAGAGGTTGTGATGGCAGGGGAACTGGTAGCAGGGGTGGGGCTACCTGAGCTGGAGCCACTGGAGCCAGTTCCGCTGCCAGACGTGCCAGAGCCAGAGCTGGGCGCGGGCGCGGAGGTGCCGGAGGAGACCGAAACAGTCGGCGGAGGGGCGCCAGCGCTCGAGCCGGACGAGGTGAGACCCGTGGTGGACTGCTGAGAGACGGTAGACGAGCCGCTCGATGCGCCGCCGACGATCGAGCCGGTGCCCCAGGGGATCTGCTCGCCGTTGGGCTGCGTGCTCTGAGTGGGCGGCACGACGTCCTTTGCGTTGTCGGTGATCGTGAAGCGACCAGTCCAGTAGTTGTTGGCGGAGCCTTGCTGCGAGAATTGGTAGAAGTAGATGGGCGAGTGAGGAGACACGGTAGGGCAGGGGTACTCGAATGTCGTCTTGGTCGGGTCAGTGCCGTCGACGGTGGCCACACCTGGTCACGTGAAAGAGGATGGAGATGGAAGGAGAGCGGGAAAAGCAGAAAAGGCAGGGTGACGATCAGATCAGCGGGGTGGACGCAATGGCGAGAGTGGAGCAGTAACGTACTCATCAAAGACACCATGTTGAAGTTGTCGCCCGTCTTGAGCTCAATAGTCATCTGCTTCCACTGGCCGGTGGTGTCGGCAGCCCAGCCAACCTTGCAGGTCTGGCCTTGGATGAATACATCGCCGGGGCCGGGCTCGTTGGGGTTCGGGTCGGCATAGACCACGCTAACAATGGACAAGGAGGCAAGAACGGCGGTAAGGAAACGCATTGTAGGCGGGGTGAATATAAATTTGTGGGGCGTGGGGCGAGCGGCCTGGCAAATAGAGTCTAGAACAAGGGACCGAAAATAACCGTTCCCGTGTCAGCGTTCTACAAAGTCTATGACCCTGAGCCGTTGTGCGCTTACCTGGAGGAGGATGGGGAATCTGTAGAGGAGCAAAAGAGCGGACGGGTTTTGTACTGCGAGCTGGCAGTGCTGTCAGAGGGGGGAAGATAGACTGAGCGTAAACGCCAGAGCGTTGTCTCGGTCGTTTTTAAACCAGCCCACGGTCCAACCAAGGCCGGTAACTTCGCACACTCACTGTTTGATGCGCTCAGGTACGCTTGTTCTTGTGTGTCTTATGCGATCGTTACTTTCCTCAAGCGCACTGATATTTTCTGAACCTCGGTTCTCTACCATCGCTACTAAGCGCTCTAAGACGTAAAATACACCTCAACACCGGACTGTCCTCCCAACTGATTGCTTGCCGGCGCTGTGGAGCGTTGCTGTGTCCTCGGCATAAACTCCCCGCGTCCTTGTTGACAGCAGGCATCGATCCGTACATGCCCATGTGCTCCCTTGTTGAGCGCTCCGGTGCCTGGGAACATAGCAACTGAAACATGGCTAATTGGGCGGCTAAAAACGACCAGCGAAGACCGCACTGCCTAGTTCTGAATTGTAATAGCAACTAATCCTCGCATTGGTGGATCTAGCAAAAGACGAGTTAGCGCTCATGAGTTTCAAGCGGCAAAGTCCTTGGAACGATCAACACGACAGCGACGCCAAGCCAAGGATAAAAATAAAAACTCGCTGCAGCAACGCCCCGGCCATTCTGACTCGCCCTCAAGACAGAGAAACCCACTCACCTCGCGCGCAAGGCTGACCCACTCGCTCAGCGTCCGAAGATACTCATCGCGCCCGCCATCTGGTGGGAGATCGGGGTTCCATAACACGAACGAGTCGAATCTAGCGGTGGGCTCCAATCGCCGCACGTCTTGCTCATCATCGACATCCTCGGCTCCTTCTTCGAGCGACCCAGTCGCGTCATGTCCATCCATATCGTCATCTTCGACCTCCACCGGAAAGTGCTTTGACTTTCCGCGCCGTGACGGCCTGCCGCCTCGCGACTCTCGGACTTCTTTCTCCGCCGCGGCGCGACCTTTAGAGGAAGTGGGAGCGGTGGAGGTTGACTTGCCCAAGCTTTTCTCTGGCGTGCGCAGGATCAGCCCTGCATAACCTTCCGGTAGCGTAACCCGCTTTCCGACGAGGTGGCGCCCGCGGAACGCCGCGAGCAGCTTCGTGGTGTCTGCGGCATTCGGGGGCTGGGCTAGTGGGGTGTCGGAAGGAGGCGTTGTTGAGGTGGAGGGTGCAGGGGGTTGTGAGTCGCTATCAACCAGTGTAACGGCGGACGCAGCTGTAGACGTATCGATGCCATCCGTCTGCGATTCCGAAGCGACGATGGTGGTCTGTGATTCCGACGTCTCGATGCTAACCTCGGCCTCGGCCGCGACCATGCTTTTGGCATCCTCGTCAATCACCATCTTGTCCTCCTTCTCAATAAGCTCAGCTACACCCGCCTGCAATGCTTCTTCAGGATTTTCAAGGCCATTGACAGATTTGTCTATGAGTGATTGAGATGTGCCGACGGTAGCCCCAGCCTCTCGAATGCGGAAATACGTGCTGATGTTGGCCGGACCTGTGTAATCGATATGGAAGGGAAGCAAATGAGGCGTGCTGCATGAAAGTTTGCGCGTTGGGTGATCTATAGTGAGTGCCATTCTCAAACGAATGTGGCCAGAGACAGACAAAGAGCGAGATGTCTCGGGTATGAGGGTATAGAGTTAACGACGCGAGGGGAGAGGACACGAACAGGCGCGTGTCGCGTGTCGACGCGTCTCCAACTTGCCATGTGGCTGTGCAAAAGCCCCTTAACAGTTCTACTCATCGCCTCTCGAGCCTGTGTGGTTTAAATGCACGAGTTTTTCGATTTTTCCAAGATGGGCACTACTGGTACGAAACAAATCGGATGTTTCGAGCACAGCCAAAGATCGTTAGGCGCAGAAACTTCTCTTACACCCGAGGTACCGCCGCGACCAGGAAGGGCTGGGAGCTCTCACTTGTACTCGAGACACTAGTTGCATATGACTAGTTTTCGTGAGTCGCATCGTTTGACAACCGCTCAGGCAGAGCCAGAATTGCAGGAGCACGAATTAATGCAGCGCAACCCCCTAGCTAAGAACGTCGAGGACAAGATGCAGGTGTTCGCTCAGGGTCGTACAGAATAAGTTTAACGAACCTCTGCCGTGGCAACCATGTCATCATCTCAGGTCACCGGCCGCATTGTGTCCTTCCACTCGACAGCGGCTTCAGCAGCCAGTGCGACGTCTCTGTGCACTCCTGCAGCAAGGATAAACCTTTCGCTGCTGCTTTCTTGCTTCAGTTTCTATGAGCTGGCCGTCACAGACAACTGAATTAGCGAGTCCCACACGGTTTCTTCATGGCACCCTTGTTGCGCTTGACCGCCTGAGAATTCCCGAAACACGCCGCTTGATCGGCCGTCGCTTGGGTTCTTATAAATTCCAATACACTCGAGCTCGCTGCGCTTAGGTGTCGATGTTGCCCCTCCGGGCCCTCTTGACTTCGCGCTTACCCAGAGGATGACCACGGTGTACGATGCACCAGACGCTGCCGGTGTGCTGTCGTACGGGGAAGTTCAGGCTTACGCACAAGGTAAGTTTGAAACCTTGTTCCAACTTGACCAACCATTGAAGTATTGCAACCCGCCAGTGGCCATGACCACTTTGACGATTTGGAACTACTGTAAGCACCCTCGGATCTCGGAGTCAGAATGCGCCCGCTCAACGTTTGTGCACCGACTCAGTTACGCACCTCGGTCAAGAGGTGAAGTCAATCTTCCGCGTGTCACCGTTACCTGTTTGACTGAATGCATGTCTATTTAGGTCGAGTTGATATGGGTATGCAACCATTGTTCAAGAACAGTATATGAGGCCTCATCATGGCAACTCAACATTGTAGATGCGGGACTGGACGAGGATGACTCTTCTTTATGTTATGGTGAGTGATGTACATGATCATTTGGTCTCTGCTGAACATACCGTTGGTTACGTAGCTGCGTTATGGCGGCCTGTTATATGCGCTGTGAGTCTCACTCACAAGGTGTTCCTCCGATGGTCTAATACCCGCCGGCGCTCCAAGTGACCAACTCAGTGCGTCCATCACCCCCAGCCCTACATTTCTCCGAGGCTGAATCGTCCCCCAAGTGTTGAACATATACAATACTCCAGCTCAAGCCAGCGACGAAGTCAGTAAGGACGGCAGCTCCTCATGATCGCTACAGTAACTGACGAGATGAGCAGCTTTGTAAGCCTGGCTTCTCACCGCCGAACGTGAACTAATACATCTCCCAAGGCATGGTTTGGTACATTCTGGGGAACGTACTTGAGATGGTCATGTGCACGCTGGTCGGAAGTACGAGCTCCTCTTCTTTCTCGTGCAGCTCTCAACTCACTCCATTGAAGCTATGCTGGTCATCCGGGTCAACGCCCTCATGGGAAAGCCGCGCAGACTCGGCTGGTTCCTATGGACATATCTCGTCGCCGCCCAGTCTTTCGCCATCGCCACCACGGTCTTGCTCGATGATCCGAAAGCCGGCTTCGACGGTAATGCTGCGTCAAATAATACAAATGTCATGTCACGGTATGCTAACCCGCCTCTGTTATCCGACATGCAGTTTGGTCGACCCTCATTGACGGCCGTATCTCCACGTGCTCCTCTCGCGTCGCCACCAGCCGCCTCTGGGTGGCCCAGACCAACTACGGGATGCTGCTCGCGTTTCAGCTCTTGCTCACCGCGCTGTCGATCTACCGCTTCCAAGTCCACGTCACAGAGGCGCGGACCCTCGACCGCAGGGTGTCGCGCTGCTGCATGAGATCGACGGACACCTTCTTAGGTCTCTTGGTCCGGGACCACGTCCTCTCTTTCCTCACGTCAGCGCTCATTCCCATGATACGACAAGAGCTGAAACTGAACCTCGTACTAGAGTCTTACTCGAGGGCATACTTCACGCCACCACTGTCCGGCTCCACCTACCATCTGTGAGTCCTATGCTCGCCTGCGTTGTCATCAACCTCATAATACTTGAGCTAGCATGGCACGAGCGCAGCGATATTGTCAATAATAACCGTGTTCCTGAACATGGTCGTACGCACACTCGTCGGACCGTACCTCTTCCTCTCCGTGCGCAAATTCGACGCCATGAGGTCCCGGACTCTCAAGCTAGAGGAGATCGCACTGTCTGTCATGATGTTCGCGGATGCTACTCATGTCGATCTTGACGAAGATGCGGATCGTGCTCTAGGTGAGGCCGTGGCGGTTTGCACATCCAGAGTTATAGCGGTCAGGGTTTCAAAAGACGTCGTCCCTGACACGGGTACGAGAAAATCCTTGCACAGATGAGATTGAATGTATAATTTCACTGTCTACGCCTAACTTATAGACTTGTCATGTACACGCCTGATTACATCTCCTAAGGCAAACCTTCACTCAGCTCTAGCCATTGCTCCTTCTGTAAAATCACTCTTGCATCTCCACATAAGTAGCTAAAGTCAAGGCAATCAGCACCACTGTCCCACAGCCGAATGATCAGACAGAAACGTACCAGGGAACAGCCCCGTCTGGCCATGCGGATTGGTGCCTTGCCACCAGTTCTCATCGACCGCTTCGATGTGTGTGATCTTGTCGCCCTCACGGAACGAGATCTCGTTCTCCTCCGCGGCATCGTAACTTCACGAAAACAACAACGTCAGAAGGAATCGCAGGCAATATTAAAACAAGATCGTACTCGTATTGGGCGACGGCAACATAACCCTCGTCCTCGGCAGCGGCCTCCGGTTCAGGCTCAGGCTCAGGCTCCGGTTCGGGCGCTGCGGGAGCGGGCGGCGGCGGCGGCGGAGGTGGAGGGGGCGGTGGGGGCGGTGGGGCCTCCGCCTCGACTGCGTGCTCCTCAGGCGGCACGCTTTCAACAAGGTCGACAAAGTTCGCTAACCAAAACATCGTAGCGTATCAGCACATATGCCTTCAACGTGCACCATGCGAAGACAATCTAAAACGCACCAGGGAACATGCCACTCTTCGCCCCGCCCTGCGCGACGCCAGTCCACCAACCCTCGGCAACCTCTTCGATCTGCTCGATGATCTCCCCTTCGACGAGGCTCATCTCGTTCTCCTCTTCCGCAGCGTAGTCGTACAGTGCGCGTGCACACACTCCTTCGCCCGTCACAGGGCCCTCGGCTGCAGCGTGACGCTCCGGCTCGGGTTCCACTTCAGGCTCGGGCTCGGGCTCTTGCACAGAGAGGGAAGCCATCTGAGCCACCGGCGGCGGTGGAGGAGGCGGAGGGGGCGGTGGCGGCGGCTGTGAAGGAGCGCCATTAGGATGGCTCTTGTCTATAACGTGAGTCAACTTACGGGAGGTGCTGCTTCTTCGACCTCTGGCTCGGGCTCAGGCGCAGCAGCCGGCGCCGGGGGAGGAGGCGGAGGCGGGGGTGGCGGAGGAGGTGCACTCTCTTCCTCTTCCTCTTCCCACTCAGGCTCTGGCTCATCCTCCTTCTCAAAGATGGGCGGACGGTTGCCGCGTGGTGGCATAGGGGGAGCAGCCGGAGGGGGCGGGGGAGGTGGCTAGATATTCCATGTCAGATCAAAGTGCTTCTCTCAAAGTAAACAAAGGCACTCACCGGAGCCGCCTCCTCTTCCTCCTGAGCGTAAGTCGCAGCAACAGCGGCTGCTCCGATAACACCACCCACGGCGGCGGCGCCAGCAGCTGCACCGAATGCACGTCCACCACCACCAGGGGCAGGAGGGACAGAGCGCCCAGCAGGCGTACCGGAGGGAGCCTTCCAACTCGATTCTTTGCTGCGCTGCTCCTCTTCCTCGGCCTGTTTCTTCGCCATGGCCTGCCGCTCGCTCCACGTGAGCTTCCCGGGTACTCGGGCGGCAGGCTTGGAGGCAGTTTGCTCTGGCTCGGAGGTCTGCTCGAACTTGGCGAAGGGGTTGTTGAGCTTCTTGGGTTTGGGCAGCGAGACGGGGGTGTACGCGGTTCCCTATGAAACCATCTTTTAGTTGGGCCAATGAAGGTGAACATGGGGATAGACGTACAACAGGCCCAATGCGGTCCTCCTCGGCGGGCTTTGGGGGTACATTCGAAGCAGCGGCGGGAGCAGGCGACGAGCCCATCGGGCGTGAGCCAGCAGAACCAATCGGCCTCGCCGTAGTAGGGAGCGCCGGCGCACGCGCGGGAGGGGGCGGAGCTGGTGCTGAAGGTGCCTCCTCTGGCCAAGCATCCTTGGGCGCACCAGCGCTCGGCCTGGAATACGCAGGGGTAGGACGGGGGGCAGTGGGCACAGCCGGCCTGCTTCCCATGCCAGGCATTGGGACGGGGCGGGTTGCAGCTGGAGGCGGCGGTGGCGCAGCCGCTGCGGATGAGGCTGCCGGGGGAGCTGCTTTGCGCATAGCCGCGATGTCAGGGCGTCCGACAGGTGTGTAGCTGGTACCAACGGGCGCGATGGGCTCAAACTTGCGGGCTGGCTCAGCGTTCTTTTGCGCAGTATAGTTGGCGCCAGATGCGCGTGAGACACGGGCCATGATGATGGACTCAGAGACATCTGACTATTATCGAGCACAACTTCAGCTTGTCGTCGAGTTGAGAAGCTACAAAGTGCATACCTCATTGCGTGCGTTGATGACGACGTGCGTTCCACGTAGGAATCGTGAAACAGCGCTTGAGTGGGTATGGAAGAGGCCCTTTCTGTTCTCTGGGACACCATCACCACACCAGTTGATTTGAACGAACTTTGGAAGACCACTCTAATGAGCCAAAGAGACAGCGTAAGTGAGTGCTTCAATGGAGCAACACGGTCAACGTACGTTGGGGTCTTTGACGCGCAAGAAAGCATACTGCATTCTGCGAGACAAGATTAGCGCACGTCACTTCTGAGAACTATCACAGCTGTGTCATATCCGCGCTACATCATGGAGAATTATGCCAATTCAACGCTCATAAACGCGGGATGACGGCTCGTTCCCCTACTTGAACCCTCCGATCGCAGGGCCGTGAAATGAAAGGGCGCAACCCACCTGCCATCGCTGAACTCCTCCTGAAGTTCCTCGAGTCCTCCATCGCCAGTAGACTGCACTTTCAGGTCGTTCGTACCACGTTCGTAGGTGAAGAGGGCCCAGTCAATGTCGCGGCCAGCGACGACATCTTGGTAGGCGACCTGTAACTCTGGCGAAGCGAGGTTCACCTGGAGAGACATTGTTCCCTAAATCGATGAATCCCTTTTGAAGCTCCAAATTCGAATGCTTAGGATGGGGATGAGAGTATGTTTGACGCGTAAGGAGACGGGGACGGATGGGTAGATGTGGAAGAGATGGAGGGTCTGGTTACGCGATACCCCAAGCGATGCCCTGAGCCGCAGCTGGGCAGGCGATGTCATTGCACAGCCACATCAAAGATTACAACGGAACACTTCAAGTTGTACAGTTTTGTTCCACATCTAACATACAGTATTGATTTGGGTCGCTTCAATGATCAAGAAGCACAGACCCTTCATCCTTCACGTCAGGGACTTCATCTTTCCAAACCACCCCAACTTCTTTCGAGACTGTCATCGCAATGTTACGAATGCCCCTGACCTCCCCTGGCGTCGCACCATTGCGCACCGCGCCCGCCAGATGCCACGCAATCTGGGTAGGCATGTCGGTCGCGATGAGCGCAGATATCATTGCATAAGAAGTCTCGATAGGAGACGTCGCAGAGTTGTGCGCATAACCAAACCCATACGCAAAGGACGTGACGTAGTACTCTGTAGACATTGATTGTGAGCGATTTCTCCGTAGCAATGATCCTCGAAACCAAGGGGCCAAATAAGTAGCCAAAGGTGTCTTTAATGCGAGAAGATTCCTGGCTTTCGACAAAAGAGACATAGCGTACCGAGGTCAGGAAATATGTCCCAGAGGAAGGACTGTGTCTTCGCAGTTGTATCACCGTACGTTGACTCGAAGTAGGCCTGCCCCTGTTTGGTAGCTTGCTCAACAGACATTGATCGATCCCTACGATGTTATATCGCTTGACAACGCTGATAAGAAGACGGTTTAAGCCACACAAACCTAAGAGTCTCCTTGTCTTTCAGCTCCTCTGGCGTAGCCTTGTGCAACGATGCGAGGGCATTTATGACCTCCAGTAAAGACTCGCGTCAATGGTAGACGCTGGTCAGATAGACGTCATGCACACCCTAGGAAACCCACAAATCATCCCCGCCTTGAACACTCCATCCCTCACCTTCCTCGCGATCTGGAGCCGAAGTGCATGTTCCTCCTTTGGCACGGTGGTCAACGCGTATTCAAACACGACAGGCACAGCATTCGGCCGGTTGGCTGCGGCGAACGCGATAGCGGCAGCCATGTACCAGGGGCTGTCTGCATTTTCCTTCGGTGAAAGATCAGAAAGGTTGGTGTTGGTATGGTACAGAGCACGCAGTCCAGAGAGAAACTCGGGAGATGGATTGAGGTTGGCAGACATGGTGATTTGTGGCAAAAGAATCAGGAGCAAACGCGTTCAGTAATCGCATCAACAAAGATCCAGATTCCATAGGCGCCTACAAGGTCTCACGGAAATATAAACCCTTGGTGCGCCACGGCACTTATCGGCCGACTAGCTCAGTTGGTTAGAGCGTCGTGCTAATAACGCGAAGGTCTTGGGTTCGATCCCCACGTTGGCCAGGTACTTTTTTTCATCTCTTTTTAGCACCTTTAAGAGCTTTCATGCCGTTGAGCGCTCATGTAGGATACGCCCACCGTTAGTGTGTGGGTGGGTGGGTGGGTGCGAATTTCATCCAGCTATCCGTGATCGCTTCTCAGCTCGGTTGCTCCTGTGCTCAACGAAGTTCATTCGTAGACAGAGAGCCTGGGACCAGGGACAAGCCTAGGGAAGAATTGATTCGGGAGCTTGGTCTTCTTCGCACACGGGCTATAATTTGACAAATGACGACTGTCCTCCGGAAGTATCAAGGTACGCCTATGGGAGACTAACCCACGGATATTTACAGCATGGCACTATGCCCTCATGTCATTTAGAAGAGGCAGCAGCATCCCCTTCTCTCTTACACCCCTCGCTCCCTTAGCCGCTGCAGCTCACGATGCGAGTTCCAGCTAGTCTCCTCCTGTCCACCGCCCTCCTCGCTGTGGCCTCCGACCTCCAAAGCAATGTAGCCACAGTGTCTTTCACCCCCTACGCCCTCGTCGGCTGCCGCCAGAGTCAAAATCCGTATGACAGACTCGCAAAGGCATCCAACTTCAACGTCACCTCGGGCGACTGCATCACTCCCTCGTACGCGTTCTCGGCCTACGTCCAGATGGCCAACGACGAGATGGTCAACGGCCCGTGCCAGCTCGTGTTGTACCCCGAGGCTAATTGTCAGGGTATGTCGTTCTGACGCTGCTATGAGTTTCGGGAGCAAAAGCGAGGGCTCATGTCATGTTGCGTTGTAGGGACTGGTTCTCCTGCCACTGTGGCGACATATGCCATGTGCCAGACGGGCAGATCTGATGGTGGTGCTAGTTTCCAGCTCGTTTGCGATGCTTGAATTGAAGCAAGTGCTGCCGGATGCTGTTAGGGAGCTGGGTTGAGGGTACAATTGTTGGATGGACAGTCTGCTTACTGGATTTTGCACATGGACAAGCTATACGACCTGGGCTGTCGCTCTTGTATACGGCCGTAAACTTGGAGCTCGAGCCAGAAGTCGAGTTTTAATTGTCGTCCGTGGACCGCTAGGTTTTGAGGCGCATTGTACAATACCGAGCAATCGAAGTGGCGTCGCAGAGCAAGCACTCGGGTCGGCCGACGGTATCGGCGAAGATGCGCACCTTCCCACAAGGGGGCTACATCTCCTTCAAACCTTCTTACATGAGGGTTCGAGAGTAGAGAAGCAGAACCTTGATGCGGACCGGAAACGACGGCGCGGTAGCACAAGACCGACGGCAGGCAGCACCTGGTCTCATATGTCCGAAGGTCTAGATGAGCAACGATTTGCTCTGTGTCGGTCATTAGCGCCGCAGGAACCCCAGTTCGCTGAAGGCTAGCCTGAAAGCTCGGATGTTTCGGTTACATGTGTGAGGCAGTGAGCATGAGAGTAATGAGGTCATAAACTCTTGATCTAGAGAGTCTGCAGAAGAGAAGTAGAGTAAGTATGTGCTCGAACTTCAGTCAAGAGATTCAGGAATAGCAGCTTGATCCGAACGTCGAAAGTGTTTGGCCTTTCCGAACTCCAGGGAGAATGCAGGGCCCATCTGTCCAGTGTATGATCTGCATATACCCACAAAACAAGAGGCACTGTCCTTCCCGCAAATAATGATGGCGCTCAAACGCAGAATGCAGTAATCCCCTACGGGTTGAGATGAAGGCCGGTGCCTCAATGTCTGAGACTCTGAGCCCCGTTGAGGCCGGGCTGAGCTCGAGATGGAAGTTCCTGCAGGGTTATCGCGTCGCGGCCGAGGTTGTTTGACCCGACGGCGACTCCCGAGCACAGCCTTTATATGTGCCTTGCACTTTGCACATTTGTAGGCTTTGGACCTCGCAAACTGATTCATTCATGGTAGACGCCATGAACTGCATCCAAGCCTGCAAACATCCGTGCCTCTCGGCGGTGAGTGCCTTCGGTCACTCGAAGCCGCTCGAGAACTTTGTTCATTTGTCAGTCTCTGCACTATGTCGCATCGGGCTTGACGGCTGGCGTTAACTCGGGTTTTGTCCTTTGCTGCTCAGAGGTATATAACCCGACGTTTTTGAACAGTCCATTTCACTCACGATAATCTTCTACCGTCGAGCTGGTACCTCCTAACAAGCCCCTAATCCCATTCAATCCGATCACCATGCTTGCCACCCTTGCCCTTGTCCTCTCTACCGCGTTTTTTGCCACCGCCTCTCCCCTCGAGGCCGTGCAGGCGCGCGACGAGCCCGCGACGGTCAACTTCACGCCGTACGAATACGTAGGCTGCCGCCAGAGCCAGGACCCGTACGACCCGGCAACCCCATCGACCTACAACGTCACCTCGGGCAGCTGCATCACCCCGCCGTACACGTTCCAGTCGTACGTCGAGGAGGCAAACTCCCTGGCTGCCAACGGCCCGTGCTCGCTCAGTCTGTTCCCGGAGCCTAACTGCCAAGGTTAGTTTTATTGTCACTTCTGTGCTTCGTTCGTGGAAAACCTGACCGACGTGTTGCATCACAGGTCAAGGCGTCGGTGCTACGCTGACCACTTATTACACGTGCCAGACAGGTGACAACGATGGCGGTGCCAGTTTCATTCTCGAGTGCGGTCCTTAAGCATCTGGTGGAACATTCAGAGAAAAGGCAGAGATACGGTGTTAATATCGTTTCTTTTTCAGCAAGAAACAGACTTTTCTCTTTACGTGGTAACAGCATGGACTTTTCCCAATTGGTACATACATATACTTACTTGGGGTTATTGGTTATTCGTAATGGTTATATTTTGGTCATTGTGCAGGCTATACTTGCTTCGAACCCAAGTCTCACCCAGCAACTTCTAAGCATGATGAGCATGGCTACTAGAATACTTGACCTGGAGCAAGGATGGATTATCGCTTCAGCTTATTGTCTGTGGCCTATTGAGATTGATTCACGCACAGGCACAGCTTGAACAGATGCATAATTATTCCTCAACGCTACGACGGTTGTTATTTGCGGAGTGTAGTGTGTTGATATAGGTAATTGCGTTTGACAGGCGCAACGAGCTCCATTGCTATGTTCACCCTACAGCATTCAACACCAGAAGTGGTCGAAGGTGGGGAGGAAGATGATGACGGCTTCGACTCGCCCTTTGAGATCAAATGAACCGAAACGCTGCTCTGCACATTCATCGCAGTAACATACGCAGAAACAACGGCTGGCAAGACCGGGGCGTCAAGATCGATTAAGATCTGATTCCAGCCCTCCGGAGGGAAGTTGGCATGGACGCTGAGCCACTGACAGCGGACGTGGGCGATGGCACAGGGATACAACTCGAAGTCGTCGAAAGAGGTCCAAGCTGGGCTGGAAGATAGCCGTGCAAGCTCGGGTTGTACTAGCGTAAAGATCTGGACGAGTATTTCTGTTGGCAGCGCCATGATAGAGCACGGGGTTTCGGGATGTGCTGCAGCGTCGTGCAAAAGCGGAGTCTCTTCTGACGAAGTCCTATATCACCTGGGTCTCCTCGCCTTCACCAAGCGATCTGCTGGCGAGCCTTCTTCCTATCCACTAAGACTCACTCTCGATGCGGCTTCGCACTGGAAGGCTCTCACGAAGCCAGCGATTCGACAGGTTTTGCCCAAGATCAAGATTCCGGGCGGGAAAATGGCAGCGCCATCTTTGTGATTGACTACTTGTAACCTCTCGTAACGTGTTTGGTGAGCCCCTGTAGGGCTGTAGTCATCAGTATTACATCACGCAATCTGAGCTATCACATGACCGATGTCTCTCCGACTTAGCATATTTGACATGAGGATTAGACCTCCGGTGTGGCATATTTGAGACCAAAATCCTATGTTTTGACGGAGAGACATAGGTGGGAGTTTCACGGGGCCTGATAGAGCATGGGGATTCGGGACGCGCTGCAGCGTCATGAACTGGAGTCTCTCCTGGTGTAGCATCTGCTGATCGTTCAGTAATGCACAGATGATAGGTTTGACCTTACCCATAGCAGCTCAAGCCCTCACCGACAAAGACCGGTGGTCTAACTACGCGGTGGGGGAAGTAGAGCCAACCTGTTTCGAAGTCTACGAGTAACACAAGGAGACATCGGCATGGACCGGTCGGCTTTTGAATTTGTGCCCGAGCCTAGTTCAGACCACTCGCTTTGTCCTGAACTTCAATTGAAGGGTGTCTCATCTTCAGCTCGCCGCAGCTCGCCACGCTCGGCTCTGCGCTTATGAAGCTGACTAGTGCACAATCATTTACGATTCCAGACCACGACGCTTCCTGCCATTTGTCCTATAAATTTCCGCATTTCAGCTGTCACGCATAACACGATACGCACCATTCGTCGAGCCCAAATCCCTGCAACACACTAGCCCTTTCACTTGGCCAACCATGACATCCCAGGAAACCTCGGACCTTCTATCCGACACCAATTGCCTGGCATTCGTTGCCAGTGCTCTCGATGAGGTCAACAACGAAGAGAAAAGAAAGTCGCAGGAACGAAAGCGTCACGGCGAGGCAGCCATCCTGGATAGCCTGGCTTATTTAGCAGTTTGCAACCCGAAGAAACAGGTCGTTGCCATAGCTGCTCAGCTTTCTGAGGCCTCCAGGGAAGAAGATGTCGGCCTCAGAATCTTGGTTGCAGAGAACGGGAATGTGACTGGGGGCGTGGTTAAGCATCTGCAGAACGTCTTGGATCGCCTTGCAGAGATTCGCGAAGAGGCTAAACCACACATGCCGAAAGGGGGCCAATCTCCCCGCGTGCCAAGGTGGATCGCGGATAACCCCCATAACCCTTTTGAACAATCCCTTCTCGATCTAGAAGTCATTGTAATTAGGCACTCGTGGATGAAGCTACGGCAACGCGCCATGAAAAACTATCGACACACCAACGCTATCGATACCGCCAACGCTATGTGCAATTATGATGCCCTGAAAAGCATAGACAGCACTCTCCGATCATGCTTAGAGAAGGCTCAGGTTGTAGTGGGAGCTGAACGGCAGAGAATCTTGGATATGGTAGTACTGGTCAAGACACTAGTTCGGACGCTAGATGTGCAAAAGCCGAGCGACACCGAAGTCAAGAGAGTTCGAAAGCTACTACTGCTTCTTGACAATTTCCGAACAGACTTTGAACAGAAGGCCGAATTTCTCCGAAACTGGAATGATTATACCTATTGTAAGTCGATCTCGTGAGCGTCATCTCTTGCAATGATTCACGTGTCCGTCCCTAGTCCGCCTAAAATCGGAGGAAACGTCGGTTAGGAAGCACCCCGACTTGATTCGCTGGTTGTCCAAGTTGACTACAATCCGACGTCATTATCTCCGCTTAGCAAACATCACGACATCAAACACGGTATCAGCAAGCCTTCTAGCTAAACCCCCCGTCGTTATACCTATACAAAATCCAGTTCCTCGCTCCATATCCCACATGGTTGACGAACACCGAATGGAGACAATACTTGAGGGCGCCGGATGCAATATCGATCCAGAACATAGGACTGTAGGCGGGTTCATAGACCAACTCGCGAAGCTGCTTAAATACTCTGTGATCGAAGGAAAGCTTAGTGCGCACGTGTATTTCTCTCTCGATGATATTCTTCTCAACGCGTCCCGCAGCGTTCGAAGGGCCAGCTCCCGTTCACTGCGAGTGCAGGCTACTCGCTGAAGTCCACGGCCGTGCAGCGATACAATACATCGGTGTTTCGAAGCTTTCGTGCGGTTTTTGCGACATCTACTTCGAGGCTTATCGGCAAGCGACAGGTGTAAATATCTTTACGAGCGGCACCCATAGCCAGACCTCTCCATGGATATTTCCGCGGATCGAAGAATCTGAGCTCGACTCCACCATCGAGGAACGCGTTCGCTCGAAGCTTCTCGATAAGATTAACAGAGGTTGGAAGTTATATAGCCGAGCCTCTTTATCTTCGCAGAGCACTGATGCGTCCGAGAAAGATATGGGACCATGGACTACGATATGTACGCTTCCCTTTCATCTTCGTTACTATCAGGACATTATACTGACATGTTCCTATTGTAAGATGATGAAAAAGCACTCAGAGAAGAGGCTATGGCCGAGATGAGACAACTAGGCTAGTCCTGGACAATACGTCGGGATCGCGCGGACAGAATCATTTGTACCGTAAATAGTAATACTGCAATTGCGGCCCGTGTTGCCGTTTGACCAGATCGTGCAAATAAGCCCCTGAGCTGTTATCACCGCGTCTGAACCGTCTGAGCGCCTTCAAGTGTGGACGGTTTCAAGTTCCTGCCTTAACGATACAGCAACATACCATGCATTCGACAATCTCCCACCTCACCAAACACATCACAAGCACCGCTAAACAGCGTGCTGACCGACTGATTATCGAGAACGACCCCAATCAGGATAAACGACGGACAATTGAAACAATCTACTCCTTGGATGCTGGCGCTCTCCCAAAGGCTCGAGACCTCCTCCTGGGTGACAGACTCGACAATGTCAGCGAGTTTATCAGTCATCTTGATGGAAAGCACCTCGAAAACGCGTTGCGTGCATCCCTTCTTCTCTTCGCTGTCAGTGGCCTTGTCCCTCGTGAAATTCAGCTGCAATGTCTTGTCTCAATGGCAGAGGACCGGAGTACACTTGTAAATGCTGCTACAGGGTCAGGCAAGACTATATCTATGATTCTCCCTATGCTCCTTGAGCCAGAGAAAGCTTCTCTGGTCATATCTCCACTGAAAGTGTTGCAGGGTAGCCAGGCAAGTACATGCATCCCTAAGTATGATATCAACATGAGCCTGATTACCCTTCCCTATTCTAGGTCAAAGAGTTCGCACATTTTGGACTTAGAGTAGTAGCTGTCAACTCGGATAGCCCAGAGAGGTGGAAAGACCCAGAATTTTGGCAGGTGTGTACACTTTCTTATCACATAAACTCGTACTTATGATGAGACACTGGTTAGAGGGTAGAGGGTGATTACTACTCAGTGGTTCTGATCTCGCCTGAATCTCTGGGCCAGTATGATGAGGGACACTCAATGCCTCGCTTTGGCTACTTATTTCGACGCAAGAAGTCATTTGCCTCTCGTTTCAAGCGCGTTTTTGTCGATGAAGCACATTTCATATACACAGATGGAGTCCGGCTGTATGGGCAGAGCAAGGCCAACCGCGAGGCATATGGGGACCTTGGTGACCTTTTGCACATGTTTCTAAACCCTGATGCAATCATTCATGCTCTATCTGGCACTCTCCCACCGCATATCAAGAGATCAATTGCCGAAAAACTCAGATTCACCTCCTATACCATCATCGACTACACATCCAACCGGCCTAATATCACCTATGTTATGCAGAAGATGCGGGGATCACCAAACAACTATGAAGATCTCGAGTTTGTCTTCCCTTTGAGGTGGAATGTGCTCCTATTTTTCGATAATCGTGACCAGGCTCATGCAGCAACTGTCCATCTTCTCCATCACTATTCAATCACTCCTGAGCAGCGATCACGAAAGGTTATCCGTGAATACCACGAGGAGATGTCTGAGGAGCACCTTCGGGAGGCCCTTGATGACTTCTCGGATCCAGACGGGGATACAAAGGTTCTTTGTGCTACATGCTCAATCGGATCGGTAGTTTACAGCAGTTTTATTTTATTTTATTTTTCTGACCCGGTGTTTCAGGGCATTAACATGCACATTGTCAAGATTGCTGGCCACTGGGGCCTTTGCAGAGACGCCTCTAACTGGCGACAGCGTGGTGGTCGAATCGCACGCAATCTCAGTGATCAAGGGTTGTATATTACCTTCTATGAGGGGTGGGCACTTACAAAAGTTCTCCCTGATTGTCCTCCGGACGATCCTGATGCACCACTCACTGTCCCACTCCCCGATAAAGCTAGAAAGGATGTTAGGACTGGATATGCAATGCTCCTCCTTGCTCAATCCCAAGATATGTGCATAAGGGAGTTTTTAGCTAATTACTTTGATGACTGCACACCTTCTCGTGAGCCTGATGCTTATAACAATATAATGGTAGCTGAGGCGTTTACAGGAACAACTTTTACGAATGCCTACTGCTGTGACCGCCACCCGGAAAATCCAGTCGACATGACTCACTGGCTAGGTCGTTCTCAGCTCCTTATTAAATCAGAGGGTGAGGGGAGTGGTGCACAGCAGTTGAGAGCGAAGAGGATGCCACAGAGGCCGGCTAAGGATCGTCCACAAGTGGAAAAGGCCTTGAAGTCATGGCGGGGCCGCACACATCGCAAATTAAACCCCACAACCTGGACAACAAAGATGCCGCATGAACTTCTTGAGGACAGTGCAATAGTTGCTCTATCAAAACTTCATCCCTCAAAGGTGACCACTGAGAGTGTCTGTGAAACAGCAAACAAGGGTAACAGTTGGGCTTTGGCAGCTGAAGTTGCACAACTTATTTCAGCATGTGATGTATAGGTAGAACATATGATAAAGTACACTTGAGTGCGATTTAACCATTCTATTCGTCTGAAACTGCTAGCACAATCTGGGAGGGTGGGATATCGTCGACCTCATCATCAACCTCTAAACCATTCTGCAGTTGCTGAAGCCGCTTGTTGAAATCAGCGAGAGCCTGGCTCTCAAGTTTTGACCGTCCAACAGCCATTAAGTCTGTCATAGGCTTGACAGTTTTGCTGGATAAACCCCGTCCAGGAACATATACCAGCAGTTGCTTGTCCAGAACCTTTCGAAGTGCTGTTACAGTGATGTGGCGTGTTTCGGGTGTTGTATGCGAACGAGATTGAGGATAAATCCCCAGGATCTCAGGTACCTTGAGCTTTGATGCGGCAGCTTGCTTGATACAAGCTGCACCATGTCCGATACGCTCCCAATTCCCGTTCATGCCACGGGAGAGGCAAATGTCCTGTTAAAGGTAGAGATGATTGCTTGCTGAGACACTAATGCGAAGTTTATTACCTTGATATCATCAACGCCATGCTCAGCGTTGAGATCGACTCCGAAACAGTGCCCTGGACCAAGGCCTGAAGGGCATATGATAGAATTGTCCCTGACAATATTTCTTTTGCAGAAGCGTCAGCAGTTACGATGCACATATAACACTATGATAAAGGTGGATGGAAAGAGGTCGAAGAAAATGGAGGAGAACTCACGAAAATTCTGGAGTCCATACATATTTGAAGTTGTGCATGAGGAATAGGATTTCAGACGCATAGTTGTGACTCCCAGCCCCTCGAAAAATAAGCTCTAAATGTGGGAACAGGTCCTCCACTCTGCCATAGTCACCATCTGACACAGCACGGATAAGGGTGATAGCATAGAGTAAATCACGGATGAGGAGGTGAATATTGGTACTTATGATATCATCCTCTTGATCCTCATCTAGAGGGACGCTTGCCCAGCGCGCTTGAATTTTCTGAGCCAGCTCCAAAATCTTTTCGGCTGTGAGATCTTCACTCGAAGCAAACTGCCTGTAGATGTCTTCATCCTGAGTGCCACCAGAAAAGCCCTCGTCCCTTAGAACAACGTCCCAAGCAGCAACCAGCAACGCATCTAGAGTCTGCCTAAGAGCCATGAGAAGAGTGTGGTAGTCGGGATGCTGCTTAGTAAGTTTCGTCTTTTCTAGCAGCTCGTAGAACCAAAGCAAAGAACCCTCTGATGATAGTGTACCCTTGTGCTTGTGAGAGATCACCCAGACGAGGTTCAGCTGTAGGTGAAACAGTGCAATGGCAATCTGAAAGACCTTACGACGCTCCCAATCATTGATGTCAAGTAAGCGAATCATCTTGCCTCCACGAGTTTGCTTGTTAGTGTGCTGGTCGCCCATGAAGAGAATCGCGTTTTTGAGAAGCATCGCAGTCGTCATGTCAAACTGTTGTGTATAGAGGTGATTCTGGTATAGCAGGTTGCCCTTTCGAGAACCTTCTTCGATCCGGCTTGCGCGAGTACAGTAGAATTTCGTCTTGTAGCCTTTAGGAAATGGTCGAATTGATGGGTGGCTGAGGATCGGGCTCTCCTTGATGTGCGCTGAGAAGAGATCACCGTACAGCTTAAACAAGGAGTCAACTACAGTGGCTACAAGATCCTGTCGAAGAAATTGGTGACGATCTTCTGGTAGAGCAACATCTTCAATTCTGAGGCCAGGTGCACGATCAAAGCCGTCTCGAAGAGCTCCAGTCCACTCCACATGCGATGGATCTACAGGGCCATTGCCTGAGCGAAGTTCATAGACATAGCCTGTAGTCGCTGAGATAGTTGTATATGGAGTTGTTATTCCACGCTGCTCAACGTCTGTGGTCGAAGCATTGAAGTTGTCATAGCCAATTAGGTGCGGACCACGAGCGGCTTGTGCAGCCAGATCAACATTCTTGTCAGCAAGACTCTCGAGAAGAGCGGTTGTCGAAGTATTCCCCATGCAGAGACCACAAGCAGACAGCACCTCAGTGACTTTCTTCGTCGCATTTGAAGCCCATAGCCATAGAGTCCACATAGACGCAGCACCAGTAGCATGATCGCTTCGCTGATGGCACAGCTGCGCCTCAATAATGGGGACAATCTAAAAATCCGAAAAGATCACAAAAATACGCGTTAGCTCAAGCGTTTTAGATATAGGTCATTAATAGATGTAGACATCCCTTTTCTGGCCGTTTCTTGGTGTTCTGGTTCGACTTAGGACCAGTGGCAGCAGCTACAAGAATCTCAGAGAGGACAGGTGTACTATCTAGAAGGGGCTGGTAGATCGTCTCGAAGTTCCAGTTCTCGAGAAACTCTGGAGTGATATCTTGAACACGTTTGAACATCAGGTGCTTCTTGGCCTTCTCCATCTCGTCGTCAACAACTCCTTTGATCACGTCTACAGCAGCATGAGATCTGAGAAGCCAGTCAGAGAGTTTAGTCCACCGGGGACACTGTCCCTTCTTGTTGTCCTTGTCAGTCGTTAGAGCGTCAAGAAAGCGGTGTATACCCTCAGATTTTGGCCGAAACCAGTAGTCAGAGTAGCTAGAGCCATAGCTTGCCTCGTCATTGAGAATATCTGTAGCAAGATCAAGGGGTGAGACCTCCCATTCACGACAGAGTGCTGCAAGAGTGCGCTTTCGGCTGATCTTGGACTGCTGTTTGATGTGTCGGATGTCAATTGAGCTGGGAAGGGAAGAGATAGCCATATGCGCCTGAGGAGTATCTAAAGCATCAACTAGAGTCATCTGAGAGTCGTCCATCCAGCCTGGTAGCTCCTCAAGATCAAGGCCATCATCATAATCAGTTAGCTGACTCTGTGACTGGTGCTCGCCTCCAGCAGGTGAATCAGGCCTTGTAGATGCCAGAGAGCCCTGAGGAGCAGCATAGGAGGCTTGAGTAGACCCAGAAGCTATACTAGAAAGGGTTGGAGCGAACATAGATCGGTGGGGAAGAGATGGACCCATGCTCTGAGTCCTTGGAGCTAGAAACCTAGTTGTGCCCAAGTTCCCAGAAGCGCTCGAAGATAAGTATCCACGGGGAGCGTACAGGGTCCCAATCGATTGAGGAGGGGAGAAAGACGAGCTAGAAACGACATCTGAGAGAGATCTGCCCGGGAGAGAATCTGTAGAAGGTAGGGAAGGTAATGAGGAGGAGAGGTTGAGCCGAGTGCCTGTATGTGGCCCATTTGGCCCTCTGGTCTTCTTTCTGCGTTGTTCTTCGGGCTGATCTGTTGCATTACGCTTTCTTGGGGCCATAATTTACTAATAAAGAGGGATGTATTGGGTGTCGTGGTGTGGTTTACATGATACGACAAGAGATGTACAAGATACTCAGATATGCTCACTGAACGCGTCTTGCGTCACATCTCAGGGGCATTGCCCGATTAGTGCTAAGAAATGCCTCGACCTCTTCTCGCGACTTGAGCGTTTTACCATATACTGCAAGAAGAATCCTGCCCGCCAAATCTCGGCGAATTGTCCCGGGCCTTATACAGAGCCCCACCCAAATACAGGGCTCGACGTTAGAAGGCCAGGTGGACCGGGCTACAACTAGGCAACCTGGAAGGTGTTGAGTAGAATTCTTTATCAGACATCCCTCGGAGCCAAGAGAGGGTGATCATTGAATTGTGGCTCACTTGCTGGTGGTTGGAAGGGAGCTTGCCAGCGTAAGTAGATTGTGTGATAAATGATATGCAATTCACGATAAGTGCGGTGGCAACAATTGTTTAGTTGTTTCAGAAGTTACAAGAATGATCATGTCAAAAGCCGACAATGCTAGGTGGAACATACGACCAGAGAATTCGCGCCTAACACCACGTAAACGAGTCCGCCACATCTCTCATCGCGTCCTCGATATCTGCACTTATTGGATTTGTCAGCGGCCCGACGTTCAGACCCACCAGGTGAGCGTTCTCCTTCTCCAAAAGTCTGCGCAGCACGTCCGGGGAAGCAGGACACGGGGTGATCGTGAGGTGCTTGAGCTCCGTCCCAAACGCGGCGACCGAACCACCGTGTAACATCAACCTCTCGATCAATGCGTCGTCGAACCCGTCACAGAACTGGAAGCTGAGCTCGACGCCGGACCAGCCCCGCAGAACGTGCACGAGGTCGTCCTGGCTATCGATCTCGTTGAGCTCGAGGATGGGTGCCGTGCGGATGTTGATGGGCCCGCGGACAGTACACCGGTCCAGGCGGACTTTGTATCGGCCGCCGTAGCCCAGCACGTCTGTTTGCGGGGCGTACCGCGCAAAGAAGGCGCCGAGGAACGGATAGGGAAGAAGCGAGAAAATGACGGATCCGTATCGGGTGAGTGGCGTTTGGTTTGGAATTTCACTCTCGTCATCAAAGGACACACTGCGGATCGAAAGGTCGATATCGCAGTTGCTCGCGCCAGTATCAGAGATCCTCAGTTGGTCGAGTGCATCGACGAGACGTGTCGGTGTTAGATCTACGGGGCGTAAGTCGCCGGGGGGATGATACGAAGTGAGTGTGATGCAGAGCGACCAGTTGGGTTGATGATAGCGAGTTCTTCCTATGGTTGTATTTTCTCCTGCCTTGTCACCTGCGCTGAAGGCAAAGTCAGCAAAACTACGCGCATCCATGGAAAGACGCTGGATCTGAGGGCAGCTGAACGAGCTGAAAGGCGCAGGAGCGGTCGTATCCGCTACGCGAGATTGAATATCAAGATCAACAAGCACGGGTGCGGCGCCTGATTCGTTGAGATAACGCATGACGACGAGGGTTGCAGAACGATATCGAGTGCGAACGGTGAAGGCCCTGACGCGCTCGATCAGCGGCGCAAGGAGCTCCATTGCTGTGCTCACTCTGTAGCATTCAACACCAGAAGTGGTCGAAGGCGGGGAGGAAGATGATGGTGTCTTCGACTCGCCCTTTGAGATCAAATGAACCGAAACGCTGCGCTGCCCATTCGTCGCATTAACGTACGCAGAAACAACGGTCGGCAAGACGGGGGCGTCGAGATCGATTAAGATCTGATTCCAGCCCTCCGGAGGGAAGTTAGCATGGACGCTGAGCCACTGACGGCAGACGTGGGCGATGGCACAGGGATACAACTCGAAGTCGTCGAAAGACGTCCAAGCTGGGCTGGAAGATAGCCGTGCAAGCTCGGGTTGCACAGCGTAAAGATCTGGACGAGTATTTCTGTTGGCAGCGCCATGATAGAGCACGGGGTTTCGGGATGTGCTGCAGCGTCGTGCAAAAGCGGAGTCTCTCCTGGTGTAGCATCTGCTGATCGTTCAATATCTTGTAATGTGCAGATGAGAGGTTTGACCTTACCCATAGCAGCTCACCCACAAAGTTCAAGAACAGTCTAACTACGCGATTGGAGAAGTAGATACGTCATCCCCTTTCGGAATCCATGTCGAGAGGCATCGGCATGGACCGGTCGGCTTTTGAACCTGTGTCTTACTCGCTTTGTTCTGAACTGACAAGTGTGTCTCATCTTGAGCTCGCCTGAGCTGGCCACACTTGACTCTGCGCTTTGGAAGCACAATTACTTCCGATTCCAGACCACGACACTACCTGCCATCATTTGTCCTAGAAATTTCCACGTTTCAGCTGTCACACATAACACGAGACGCACCATTCGTCGAGCCCAAATCCCCGCAACACGCCAGTCCTTTCACCTAGCCTACCATGACATCCCAGGAAACCTCCGATCTTCTATCCGACACCGATTACTTGGCATTCGTTGCCCGCGCTCTCGACGAGGTCAACGATGCAGAGAAAAGCCAAAGAAAGCTGCAGGAACGAAAGCGTCACGGCGAGGCAGCCATCTTGGACAGCCTTGCCTATCTAGCGGTTTGCAAGCCGGAAAAACAGGTCGTTGCCACAGCTGCTCTGCTTCGAAAGGAAGACGCCGGCCTCAGAATCCTGGTTGCAGAGAATGGGGAAGCGACTGAGGGTGTGGTTGAGCATCTGCAGAACGTCTTGAAACTCCTCGCCCTCATTCGCGAACAGGCTGAGCCTTTCTTGCCGGAAGGCAGCCGATCTCCCCGTGTTCAAAGGTGGATCGCAGACGACTCCCCTATCCCTTATGAGCAATCCCTTATCAATCTAGAGGTTCTCGTAATTAGGCACTCGTGGAAGAAGCTAGGGCAACGCTCTACGAAAGATTGTCGACACGCCAACGCTATCGATACCGCCAACGATGTGTGCAATCCTGACGCCCTAAACAGCGTCGACAGCACTCTCCGATCATGCTTACAGCAGGTCCAGGCTGTAACAGAAGCTGAACGCAAAAAAATCTCGGCCATGCCAGTAGCGCTCGAGGCACTAGCTTGGACGCTAGATGTGGAAACGCCAAACGACGCTGAAGTCAAGAGAGTTCGTAAGCTGCTAATGCAGCTCGATAATTTCAGAACGACCTTTGAAGCAAAGGGAGACTTTCTCCAAAACTGGAATAACTATACCCGCCGTAAGTCGATATCGTGAGCGTCATCCCTTGCAATAATTTATGTTCCATCCCTAGTCCAACTAATATCGGAGGGAAAGACGGTTAGGAAGCGCCCCGACCTGATTCGCTGGTTATCCAAGTTGACTTCAAACCGACGCCATTACCACCGCTTGGCAGACATCACAATATCGAACACGCTATCAGCAACCCTACTGGCCAACCACCCCGTCGTTGTATCTGTACAGAATCCACTTCCTCGCCCTAGACCCTTCACGGTTGACGATCACCAAATGGGAGTAATACTAAAAGGCGCTGAATGCAAGATCGAGCCAGAACTTGGGGTCGTACGCGGATTCATAGAGAAACTCGCGAAGCTGCGTAACCGCCCTGTGACCGACGGACAACTTAGTATGCTTCATGCATTTACCCACTGCCGCTAGCTTTCTCAACGCGTCCGACAGCGTTCGAAGGGCCAGCTCCCGTTCACTGCGAGTGCAAGCTGCTCGCTGCTATCCACAGCCGCACAGCGATACAGTACATCGGCGTTTCGAAGCCCCCGTGCGCACTTTGCGACATCTACTTCGAGGCTTATCGACAGGCGACAAATACACATATCAAGTTCACGAGCGGCAGCCGCAGCCGGACCTCTCCGTGGACATGTCCACAGGTCGGAGAACCCGTGCTCCTCGACTCCACCATCGAGGAGCGCGTTCGCTCGCAGCTTCTGCGTAAGATCAACAGGGGCTGGGACCTATTCATCCGAGCCTTTTTATCATCATCGCAGAGCACCGATGCGTCCGAGGATAACACGGGACTGTGGTTTGGGACAGACTGTGCGTGTCCGTTTCATTTTCGTTACTATCAGAACATCAGACTACTAAAATGTCCGTGTGCGAAAGACGATGCAGAAGCAGCCGCGGATGAAATTATCACCGAGATGCAAGCGCTGCCCCAACGGGTGATACGCCGAGGATGAAGTTTCATACCAAAGACAGCCTTTCAAGTTTAAGTATTGTCAGAGGCAAGCGCGGGCGATCGTTGCATATTGAATTGTAGTTCGCTCCAATAGCCCATCTCAGTGCACCTTCTGAGCCTGGCCAATGTAGGACTCCCCTCCCTGCCTTGTACACTTCCGAGTCCATAGCCTTCCATAGCTATGAGAGGAAACATGGGCACCGTCTGCCTCGGCTCGCGGCCGATTCTGAGCCTCTGAGGGAAATTAGCATGCACCGGCCGACTAGCTCAGTTGGTTAGAGCGTCGTGCTAATAACGCGAAGGTCTTGGGTTCGATCCCCACGTTGGCCATGTCCTTTTTGCTCTCCTCCTTTTTTGGTCCGTACATGCTTCATCATCCAGGTTCACGACCACACAACGCATCGCGCACGCAAGTCCCGGCCGGGCGTCAAGAAATCCAAGCACAAAAAGATATCGAGAGTGCGCCACCAAGGCAGATCACCTCCACCCTGGACGCGGGACGCGTATGTACAGTAAAAAAAGCGGTAAATAACGTAACGTAGAACATCAAAAAAACTCAGAACTGGAAATGCGGCCCGCCGGTACTGAACCTGAACCCGCCCGCGCCCCCGCCTCCAAAGGGATTGCCACCGCCCGCGCCCGCGCTGCCGCCGCCGAACCCGCCCTGGAAGAACATCTGCGCGATGTCGTCCATGTCGGCGCCACCCGGGCCCATCGAGGACGCGCCGTCCTCGTCCTCGCCGAGGTCGTAGCGCTCGCGGCGCTGGGGGTCGGAGAGCACGGCGTGTGCTTCGACGACGAGTTTGAATTTTTCTTCGTCGCCGCCCTGTGTCGTTGGCGGGTGCACGGTGTCAGTCCCGGTGACACACAGAAGAAGAAGAAGAAGGAAAAAAGCGCACCTTATCCGGATGATGCTTCAGACTCTCCCTTCTATACGCCTTCTTAATCTCCACCTCCGTGCACTCCCGCCCCACACCGAGAATCTTGTAGTAGTCCTTGCTCTTGCTGCGCTTGAGCGCCGCCTCCGCCTTCTTCAGCTCCGCCTTGAGCGCGCGCGTCTCCGCGCCGGCCTCGGCGCACTCGAGCGCGGCGCCAAAGTCGCGCACGGCCTCGTCGAAGCGCTCGAGCGCGAGCTCGGCGCGCGCGCGCGTGCGCAGCGCCTTGAAGAACGTCGGCGCGAGGTCGAGCGCGAGCGAGGAGGCGAGCACGGCGTCTTCGTGCCGCGAGAGCTTGGAGAGCGCGGTGGCGCGGTTGGAGAGGAGTGTTGCGCGGATCTGGCCGCCGCGGCCTTCTGCGTCGCTCTCGCCGATGTGCTGCCGTCATATCGCGCGATCGCAGGAAGAGCGGGGGCGAGAAGAGGAACCCGATAGACAGATCAGCGCCCGCGGCCAGCGTAGGAAGCCCAGGGGGGGTAATGCTCACCTCGAGCGCCTCGTCGTACATCCTGAGCGCGTCGTCGAGTCTGTTCGCCTTGAACGCGGCGTTGCCCTCTTCCTTGAGGCGCTCGATCTCGCGCACGCGTTTGCGGAGGTGCATCGCGGGGGCGTGGGCGGGGTCGAGGCGGAGCGCGGACGCGGCGTGGTCTTTTGCCTGCGGGAGCTTGCCGGACAGCAGGAGGACGAGGCCGCGCGTCGTGAGCGCCTCGGGCGACTGGGGCGCGTAGCGGAGAGCGTCGCTGGGTCGAGGAGGGATCAGCATTGCGAGGAAACGCGATGGCTAGTTTAGTCAGGGAGAGGAGAGGGAAACACGCACTTGGCGCTGATGCTCGCCCCGTCCCAGTTGCCCTTTGCGAGCTCGAGATCGACCTTCCACAGGCGCCACTCGAGCGGGACCTCGCCGCCCTCCCGCTCCACGACCTGGCGGCACTTGTCCAGCGCGAGCCGTGCGAGCGCCCACTCGCCCCGCGCGCGCGCGCCGTCGAACGTCGCGAGGTGCGCCTCGAGCTCGCGCACCCTGTCGAGGAGCGCCTGGGCCTGTGCGTTCGCGGGCTCGGTGTCGAGTGCGGCGCGCAGGGCGGCGGAGGCGGGATCCGGGGCGCCGAGGGCGAGGTGGCAGCGGGCGAGGCGGAGGAGGGTTTTGGGCGGGGCGCCGGATGTGCCGGTGGTGGAGGTGGACTGGAGGGTGGCGGCGGACTGGCAGTCGGCGAGGGCGGGGCGGAAGCGTTTGAGGGCCATGTAGGCGGCGGCGCGGTTGGTGAGGTAGGCGGCTTCGTGCGGGGCGAGGTCTGTGCGGCGGTGTAAGCGTGGAATGGGCGAGTGGGTGTGACGCACCGATGGCTTTTGAGTAGAGATCGATGGCGTCGCCGTAGCGCTGGGCCTTGAACGCGACGTTGCCCTCTTCCTTGATCTGCTCCGCGGATTTGTCTGGGTCGTCTCCGGGGGGCGCCGCCTCATCTGGCTTGGTGGCGTTGTTTATTGGGGGCGGGACGGCGTCGCCATTGGGTGTTGGGAGTGGACGTGATGTGGCGGGGGAGGTGGGCTCTTTGGGTGACGTGGGAGAAGCAGCTGGGCCGTTCTGCCTGGATGGCATGCTGATCTAAGGTCGGGGAGGGGAGGGGGAAGAAGGTGGACGTACTTGTTAGCAGGGCGATTGTGCTTTTTCTGTGATTTGCCCTTGGCCATGATGCGATAACGGAGATTAGCAGGTCAGTGCCCTAGATGAGATGAGCGATGCAGGAGAGGGCGATCGGGTGTCCTTGGACAGCGTCGGGGTCGGTGGGTGGCCTAGGACGGTGGACACGAGGAGGGAGTGTGTGTTGGTGTTATTTTTTATTATTTGAGACTTTGACCTGCCAATCTAGACATTGACTAATTGGCGTGGGAACCAGTTTCCATCTCTGGATGTCTTGCTCGTCTGTCCCGTGAGGTCATCCAGCTCTTCCTCGTCCGCCTGGGAGTCACTCAGCTGCTGACATGGACTCCTTCGACGATCGCCCCCACTCTCCCCCATCCCCAACGTGCCAGGCCCAGTCAACCTCAGCCAGCACTCTCTACATCCCCATCGCATCTCCCCCAACCCCCGCACCCTCTCCTCGCCCCCACAACCCGCCCTCCTTCGCCGGCGTATTCGCCCCAGACTACACCCTCCCCCAAACACCCCGCCATCCCCACCCCCACCCAATCGTACCCGCCAACCCCCCAGCCCACCTCTCCCGCCTCGAATTCGCCGCCCTCGCCTCCTCCGCCCCCGCACGCAGACGCTACCTCGCCGCCCTCCTCTCCGACTGCACCCCCTCCGAGCTCCTCTTCGTCTCCACCACAATCGCACCCCTCCTCAAGCGCGATTTTCTCACAGAGCTCCCCCCCGAACTCGCCCTCCACATCCTCTCCTTCGTCGACCATCCCCGTACCCTCGCACGCGCTGCCCAGGTCTCCCGCACCTGGGCCGACCTCGTCGCCGACGACGCCCTCTGGAAGACTCTCACAGACCGCTATGGATTCGAGATCGAGCAGGCGGCGGCGGGGGACGGCGCGAGAGACGAGTTCGATTTCGAACCGGACGAGACGGGTGGGGAACGGAGGCTCTCCAATGGATCTGTGTCGGCGTCGTCGCGCAGGCGTTCCAGCCTCTCGATCCGAGGACAGGCAGGCGTAGACGCACTCGCGCGTGCATACGAAGACATGCACACCGCTCCACCGTCGGTCCCGCGCCCGCTCTCCCCGTTCCGGACGCACTTCCAGCGCGAGTACATCACGAGTGCGTCATTCGCTTCAACTCATCTACCATCGCCGATGCTAACGCATCTTCCACCCTAACCCCTTAATAACCAGTGTGCAACTGGCGCAAAGGCGGCCGCCTCCTGCGCTCGCACCGCGTGCCCATCCTCGCGCCCGACGCAGGCGTCATCACCTCGCTCGCGCTCGACCAGGACTGGGTCGTCGTCGGCCTCGCCTCCGCCCGCATCCACGTCTTCTCCGCCCGCACCGGCGTCCTCGCCCGCACGCTCACGGGGCACGAGTCCGGTGTCTGGGCCGTGCACCTCGTCAGCCGCGGCGGGGCGTGGCGCGGCGGGCCGCAGTCGTCGGGCGAGAGGTCTGCGGCGGCGGAGGGGGGAGCGGGCGATCGGGTGGTGGTGGAGGAGGAAGATGGAGCGGGGGAGACGGTTGTGCCGCAGTCGATGAGGACTGCGTTGGGTCTTGATGTGCCGCGCCCGTCTGGGCCGTATGGAGACGGAGAGGGCGCGGATGGGAGGGGCAAGCCGAGCGATGTGGGCTGTGCGAGCGAGGGGTGGGGCCAGCCCGGTGCGCTCGTCGTCAGCGGCGGATGCGACAAGCTTCTGCGCGTGTGGGACGTCAAGAGCGGGTCCGTCTCCTCCCCACATATCGTGCTCCACAAGATCGCTAACAACACTCCCTCCCGAACAGCCACTGCATCCACACACTCCGCGGCCACACCTCCACCATCCGCTGCGTGCGCGTCCTGCACAACCGCCCGCTCGCCGTGACGGGCTCGCGCGACGCGACACTGCGCGTGTGGGACGTGCAGCGCGGCGTCGGGCTGCGCCTGCTGCAGGGGCACACGCAGTCCGTGCGCTGCCTCGACGCGTGCGGCGCGCGCGTCGTGAGCGGCTCGTACGACACGACGTGCCGCCTCTGGGACGCGGACACGGGCGAGTGCGTGCATGTGCTGCGCGGGCACCAGCACCAGATCTACAGCGTGGCGTTTGACGGGGTGCGTATTGCGAGTGGGGGCATGGATACGACGGTGAGGGTGTGGGATGCGCGGTCTGGGTGCGTCGCGGGCTCGGTTTTTGGCGGGCGGTTGGCTAATGTGTGTTTTTTTAAACTGATGATTCAGACAATGCATTGCTCTTCTCCAGGGGCACACCGCGCTCGTCTGCCAACTGCAGCTCTTCACCCCTCCCCCCTCGTCCGCCTTCTCCTCCCCCTCCTCTCCCTCTTCCTCCTCACCCCCCGCCCCCGCGGGCCTCCTCGCAACAGGCGGCGCCGACGGGCGCGTCATCACCTTCTCCCTCGACACATACACCGCCCGCACGCGCCTCGCCGCACACGACTCCTCCGTCACCGCGCTCCAGCTCGACGCGCGCTTCCTCGTCACGGGCGGCAACGACGGGCGCGTGCGGCTGTACGAGGCCGCCACCGGGCGCCACGTGCGCGATCTCACGGAGGGCTGCGAGAGCGTGTGGAAGGTCGCGCATAATCGCGCGGGGACGTGTGCGATTATGTGTAAGCGCGCGGGCAAGACGGTGATGGAGGTGTGGAGTTATCGGCCGAGGGAGTGAGCGGGTGTTGTTGGTTTTTTGTTTTGTATAGTTCTTGTTATATTGGGACTTTTTTTTGTTTTTGTTTTGGATACATTGGTTGCGTGAGTTGTAGCGTTGGACAGACGAGTTAATGTAGCCTCTTCTTTTTGGAAAGCAGATGCCGTAGAGACTGCTGGGACAACGCTCGTGAGTACTATGCATGCAGCCCCGTACCCTTCGAGAAATACTGTAGTGGTTCGAACATATCGCGTACCTACTCTGACCAATTCTCATGAGTTTTTATTTGTACGTTCAAGTTTCTCATACCTTACTCTAACGCATACTCGAAGAAGCCCAGCGCAAGAACGTGATTAGTTGCTAGCATTGTGTTACGTAGCTCGATACGCTGTTGTACACAGTACATAGCAGGCCCCCTTCTTCAGAACATACTTATTCGTTCAGGACGCTCGGATAAACGTGCTTCAATGATGGATCACTTGCTTTGAAATTTCTTTCTGGTGCCTATCCTTGAAGTATGTCGAATTTCACTGGAGTACCCCTCAAACTGTGGACGCTGATGTTTAGTCGATCGTAATATATATAAAAAGATGATTAACCTCGAAAATCCAAGGAAGCGAGTTTAGCGCGGCGAGGACCGGCGTTTCTCTGGCATCTCTACTCAGACAAGTTAACGGGCGAGGTTATTGCTTGGCAAATTAAGGCTACGGTGGACATTATGATGAGAAGCATGAAAACCGAGTTCCGAGAGGTTTGTATGTCGATACAAGGCCACTATGAACGCGGACATACCTGATTATCATGAGCACTAATCACGTACAAATCTGTAGTTATCATTCATTTTATACATAGGAACAATGACATTCTGTTGTGATAATCAGGCACTTACCCAAAAATGAACTATTGTCATTTTCGTACGATTCCATTGTCCAAATCACCTCATATGTACCTAATTTTCTAGGGAAAAAGGCGGCACCGTGCACATAATCATCGGTTCTCATAGAAAAGTACAGCATTCATCACGCAACAAGAGCAGGTTAAAATGGCCATGTGAGTTGGTTCTATTTATGTACGACGTTGTAGGGTAACGGGACATTGTGTACAACGGGTAACAGTATCAAGCTCGGCGTTGGCGGAACATACTGGCGTAGCTCCAGCTCCTCGTAATGCCGAGCATGCACTCCTCCTCAATGGGCGACGGGAGAGTGTCGGCACTAAGGTGCGCAGATCGACAAGCGCCTGGCCCTCGACCATGCACTGGACCGTATGTTCACCTTGTTTGCGGGCTTGATAAACTAGTCAGATAGGTATTCCAGCATTCGATGCAGAATAGATACTGACACGAGACGGGGAGGAAGCGTAGTCGGGAGTCAGGTACCTTGACAGTTTCGTTTGCTGCATTTTCAGCGGCTTGCAAGCGCGCAGAGTGGGCTGTGGGCGGCCCTGTCACAGGTGTCAGTAATGTCAGGGGCAGAAAATGAGGCACGGAACCTGCTCACCGCGAAGCTACGATATCCTGTCGTGCAGGAGAACACCAGTGTCAATATTAGCAGCATCAGCGGGCGGGACATGTTGAGGTTCGATGGCCAGGATGGAGACTATAACGAACACCGTGCAGGCAGGGGGGGGGGTGCAGGTGATTCGGGGGGTGGAATGACAGCCGACCCGTCGATTGTGGTTACTGCATGTTCACTAGTCAGCTCGGGCGGACTACAAAGAAAGGAATAGAGGGTAAGAAGGCGCACCAACAGCTCGGCAATTTGCACGTCGGTCACCTAATTTGCCTAACCTGACCGACTGGCTTGCCTCGTACTCGAGCGGGAGCTCCACTTTAGATCGTCATAGCATTATTAGCCTGTTCTCTCCAAAAGTCCAGCCTCACGCATATGACGCACCTATGCCTAAACAACTGCACTTCGCTGTTGGCATTCCTTGCCCCTCATCGTCACTTTTTGCGTGTTGCCCGGTTTGAGGCAGGCTGGCTGCGCAGCCCAGTGTTGACATCAACAAGTGCGAGATGCAATCACTTGATGGTGAAATCAAAGAGATCGAGACACAAGGATGTGCTGGGATATCTATGGTTGGTGTGAGGTTTTAACACAGGGAAAGCTCAGAGGAGGCGAGGAAATGGAGGAAGGAAGACTTACATTTGCAAAGCCTCCTCCCCCATGCGATGCAAGCACAAGCACACTATATACTCCCGGTTTGGCGCATTCACTGCTGTCGAGCTGCAAGGAGCTGTGACGGAAAAGCTGCGCCAAGGCAAAGAGCGGATATGATAGGGAAGTCATGGTGGTGGGATGCACGACGGTCGAGTGGGAGCGATGGTTGCCGCGCGAGCCAAGTCTTCACGCCCGCGAAAAGGCAAAAGCTCTCACGCCACTACGCTGGAAACCACATGAAACTCACGGCATAATGCAGTAATTCTCACTTGACGTCGATGACCTCCATTCAGATACTCATCACCGACCTCAGCAAGAAAAAAATGATCCTACGATTCAGGGCAAAATGCCTGGTTCTGTAAACTAGGTACATGCATATGTAGCGCACATGAATTCGAAATCAGAGCAAAAACATATGATTAAAGTAGATCAGACACTGTGTACATTGTGGGTACATGAAATTCAGGTATATATGTTCTTGCAGTGTAGGGAAAGAGAGCGAGACGAACCTGATGTGTTTCACAAGGAGTACATCAATTGTTTCACAAGGGGTGCATCGATAGTGTGGGTTGAAGGAGAGAAGATGGATCCAAAAACCAAAAACCAAAAACATATGGCCAACGTGGGGATCGAACCCAAGACCTTCGCGTTATTAGCACGACGCTCTAACCAACTGAGCTAGTCGGCCCATGTACGCACGTGTTACCAGCTATAATATAATGAGTGATTTTCGTATCATCCTGTGGCTGCGTTTGATGGCTTTCAATTCATTATGAACCCAGGGCCCAGTGTCGGCATCGTCGTTCCGTCGCCCCTTTGTTGAACATACATGAAGATGCCGATTGTGATGAGGAGCAGTACACGAGATCTGCAGCGCCCACTAGCCAGGGACCTGGCTGTGCTTTGCACTAACATCGCGCCTCCTCAAAGCCTCCTTTCGCTGTCTTGTTACTCCTATGTAGGTCTTTCCTCCCCTGTTTTTCTTTTCTTTTCTTTTTTCAATCGATCAAAACACGGTGACATCACAACCTATTTAGCCAATTTTACGACTACAATATAAGGAGCAATATTCCCGCCGCCAAGGCTTACCTCTGAGCAGCGACCTTCTAGCGCCCCATGAGCCATCCATCCTCCCACCCTCCTCGAAGAGACAATAAACGGCGCAAACCCCTGCCCGTGCCTCGGTCCCTCTCCGAGCCCATCCGCTCGCAGATGCTCACGTACGCGAACCGCCTGAGCGACGCTCGCCGCGCTCAGACTCCGTACAAGCCACCGCGCATCCCGTGCATCGAGTTCGTGTACTACTGGGGCCGCTGGTCCCCGACGCAGCCGCACATTGCGCCTGCGGCGCTCAAGCGGGCGAGATTGGCTGCGCCAAATGGGGGCCGCTGTGCGATCACGAACGGCAGGCGCACGGGGGCGGTCGCGCGCCTGTTAGCTGGGCTGGAGCACGCTGAGCCAGACGTGCGTGTGTCCTGCATGCTTTTATTTTGGCTGGTTGCAAACTAGAGCCGGCTAGTTTCGTTGATTGGTTTCTTTGATTCTGCCTCGCTCACATGTGTAATAGCTGGCGTGGACACGCGGGATGGGCTGGCAATATCTTGACTTTGCGTGCCCCTCGAATATGATTTTCTGTAGGTGCATCACGGCAAACTCGGAGGCCTCATCCTTCTCTGACCGCTGCTTTTGCACATCACAGTGGACTTCGAAATGTTGGGCAGGTTCCACACGCTCGGCAGCCACACGTTCTTCCTGCTTCCAGAGCCACATATTATGGATGCGCTGCTGAAAATGTGGACAAAGAGCGAGAAGGAAGTACAAGAGCTCAGCAAGGTGAGCATGGATACGAAAGTGTAAACGTTGAAATATCGCCTGCTCACTGTATCTTCCTGCAACCCACCCCCAGTTTTTTCAAGACCAAAAGACCTTCAAATACTACATCGTTCCCGAGCAGCGGGGTCTCACCAGCAACTTGGTCTGTCTCTCTACACGCCACCCGAAATCCTCGCGCAGCGCTCGCACCGTACATGCGTATCCTCTCACGACGCTCGGGCCCATCCGCAGTCACGTCAAGCCACATTTCGCCCTGTGCCGCATGTGCACGTTCCTGACCGCGCGAGGAAACTTCTTGTCAGATTGTCTCAAGGAGGCCTATCGGGCTGCACTGGACATGCACGACCCAACAGGGTGGAGTAAGTATGACACAGATAGACTGGTTGACGACGTCAAGGAGATGGAGCACCACTGGAGAGAACGCCAGGTGCGGCTCAAGTCGTTGGAGGAGCACAAAGTTGAGGGCAGCGGAGTTCATTGAGGTTATGCCAGAAAGCTGGTGCTTTAGCTTTATTAACGAGATTACGATTGCGCCGACCTGCACCAGAGTGGAACGTCACAGTATGTTCAAGGGAAAGTCCAAAGTCCTGGAATTTGATGAGCAGAACCCTGATTCATACTGTTCGTTGTTGCTGGTAATCTATGAAAGTTATGACGTTTAGTACGTGGAGAATGGAATGATGCCAATGTAGCTAGCACCGTCGACACAAGATTATGCCAAGCACCCTGGTCAATCACATAGACTTGACCATGCGGAAGAGTACTTCTATACCTCTATCAAATAGCATGTGTCCGTCGTGTTGCCGCGCTTGGCGAACTAGCTGGAACCAAGCCGATGAAACGGGGACTTGCACTTATTATCAGTCCAGATAACACACTTCGTCGCTGTGTAGAGGCTAAAAACCGTGAAGATTAACTCTTTGTTGGTCGATATTGTGGCAAGAAAGGCTATTGCGAGGGGTCGGTTTGAGCTGGTTTCTCGAACCGCAGGAACACTATGTGCCGGCCCAGTGCCAGGCACAAACGACGGAAATCACATCACACAAGATATGCGCTTTTTTGGTTTTGCATTTTGGGACGTGCGTAGTTCGTGTGTCGAACGGGCACAGACATGGGTGGTGTAGACATAAGTCACTGCATAGCGTATTGTACGTGCATACGACGACCATGATACATCGCTGAAGTCGAGAAAGCAAGGGGAAAGAGGGTGATGCATCTATTTCTGCATGTCCATATATTAGCCGTCGTCCACCGCAAGCAGTGTAACACAAGAACTCACCAGGATAATACCGTCGAAGCGCTGCTTAAACCAGGACATGGTGTCGTCCTTGTGTACCCGGTGCTGGCAGCCGACGCGAGCCTTGCGCTCCTTCCTCCGTGCGACGCGGGCACCAGGGCGGCCCATGACGACGAAGAAGTCCATGCCGAAGATACCGATGCCGGGGTCGTAGCGGGCACCAAGATCGATGTGCTCCTGAATGCCGAAGCCAAAGTTGCCCGTCTCGGAGAAGTTCCTGCGGCGGAGCTCGTACTCCTTGACCTTAAGGCCGCGCTCGAGGATCTCCTCAGCCTTGGGCCCGCGGATGGTGACGTGGACGGCGATCTTCTCGTTTCTCCGGATGCCGAACGTGCGGACGGTGTAGCGGGCCTTGGAGGTGACGGGCGTCTGGCCGGTGAGCTGCTCGAGCACCTTGGAGGCACGGGTGAGACGATCACCGGACTCGCCGACGGAGATGTCTGTGCAGAGATGCAAGTGAGCTGTTGAGAGGCGTGCAAGGGCGTGATATGGGTTAGGGACGCACTGATGACGAGTTTGTCAATGCGAAGCTCCTTCATGGGGTTCGTGGGGGCGGTTTTTGCTTCGGCCTTGTTTTCCATTCTGTCAGCATGCGCCCCTCCATGTCTCCTGATGCTGACAGTGGTGTGCTTACCATGTCGTCGTCGTTTGGGGTGGTCTTGAGGCTTGCGAGGGACAGTCAGTGCACGCAGCGTACGGCGTGCGGCAGGCGGGTTTGAGGCTGAAACCTTATATTGGTGAGCTGGGCAGCTCTTTCGGCTCCTCCCGGTGACTCCAGATGAAGCGGGGATGACTTGTGGCGGTGCGGAGCCGTGTCAACGCACGTGTCAGATGATGGATGATTGGATGGTGAGATGGTGGGAAAGTGGGCTAAAGCGGTACGTGGCTGAAACTCGCTCACGGCGTCTCCGCACCGCGACGACCGCCAACGCACCTGCTCTTCCTCTCCTTGACACGTCTCTCCTTGCTCACTTTCACTTCTTGGTTTCATTTTCTGCCTTTCCCTAGGAAAAGTTTGCTCACGGATGTCGTGCGAACCGAACTAAGGCTGCCTAGCGACCACCACTTCACAACTCTCCGCATTCCGGGCGTTGGTTCTGTACGGCCATGTACACGATAGACCAACAAACCGTCCTCTATGGCGTCCTCACAGGGGTCGCCATCCTCATTCCATCGGTGCGTCTCCACTCCCCTCGACATACCCACGTAGTTCTACCCAAAGATGAATACCCTCATCCTTGTTCTTCGAGCTCGGGCTCGCTTCCGGGCGATAGCGCCGTGGCGTTGACGACAACAAACTGGCTAAATGCATGTGGAGGTTCCAACCTGCAGCACTGATGGCTCACGCCCGAGGTGAAATCCGTCAGCTGACGCGGACGGACCGCAGGGCGGGACATCCATGTGTTGTTCTCTGACTTCCTTCTTCCTTCGTTTCTCCTAATTTCCTCACCACTTTAACTCACATGTGTACACTGCATAACCAGCTCTACACTGCCCTCGTCCTCCTCACCCCCTCACCCATCCCGACCGCCCCCTCGGAACAGACTTTCCGCTCACGCGACTCCCCCTCAAAATCCCTGCCCCTGCCTACCCTCTCCGACCCCGCAGAGGTCGACCTCACAGTCGTCATCCCCGCATACAATGAGACCGCCCGCCTCCCGTCCATGCTCTCCTCCACGCTTGCGCACCTCCGTTCCCTCCCTGCCAAGAAGCAAAACCGGACGTACGAGCTGCTAATTGTGGACGATGGCTCGTCGGACGACACGGCGAAGCTCTCTCTCCGCCTGGCGGACGAGAACCCGGACGCGAATATCCGCGTCGTGGAGCTCACGCGCAACCGCGGCAAGGGGGGCGCCGTGCGCCACGGTATGCTCCACTCGCGTGGACGCAGGATGCTCATGGTCGATGCGGACGGTGCCTCGAACTTTGAGGATCTCGAGCTGCTTTGGGACGCGATGGACGCGATGGAGCGGGAGCAGGGGCAGCGCGGGGAGCTGAAGGCCAATGGAGATGCGAAAAAGCCGAATGGCAATGCCAACGGCTCAGCCGCGAAGAGGACATCTCCAGACGAGGACGTCGCAGCAGTCGTTGTCGGCAGTCGCGCGCACCTCGTCAAGACCGAAGCCGTCGTCAAGGTGAGCTTCATATCATCTCCCCTCACCCCACTTTTCCTCCTATAGCTCCTATCGGCATCTTGCTAACCATGGTCCCTTAAACACACAGCGCTCCCTCCTGCGCAACATCCTCATGTACGGCCTACACACCCTCCTGCGGCTCGTCAACGTTGGCCACATCCGCGACACCCAGTGCGGCTTCAAGCTCTTCTCGCGGCGCGCCGCCGCGCACATCTTCCCCGCGCAGCACCTAGCCACGTGGATATTCGACGTCGAGCTCCTCTTGCTCGCCAAGCAGCTTGGCATCGCCGTGTGCGAGGTACCTGTTGGCTGGCACGAGGTTGCGGGCAGCAAGTTGAATGTTGTGAGGGACTCGCTGCAGATGCTTAGGGACCTGCTGGTGTTGAGGGGCAATCAGCTGACGGGGCGGTGGAAGGTGCAGCCGATGGAGAGGAAGAGGTAGAGAGGTTGGTTCAGATGGCGAGCGGATGCTTGGTCTGTTACTATGTACAGACTCGGTCGTTTATGTATTGCAGTTAGAGTAATTTGGTTCAATATCTACTGGAATTTGCGAAACTAGGAGTGGAAGGAGTTCACATCAAGGGCACGCCCGTATTTGCGTCCTAAGAATCGTTGCAGCGTGGATGCCTTTATGTTGTTTGGCAACGTATGCGTAACATTCTCTCAGCAACAGTTATTGGGATCCGTCGCCTTTCCACTCTTCTTTCCATCACTGTCCCAAATCACCATGCCCCGCCAGCTACCCCCTCCATCAGCCAGCGCCCTCTCCCGCATGCTATATGTCTCAGACCAACGCACTGCCAAACGGAACTCCACGAAGCCGCAGAAACCCACCGTAGAAGCACTCAAGGAACAAAGCAACACCGTCAAACGCGCCGTCCGCGCGTTCACAGACTATTGCGACGCGTACAGCGTCCCCGCGGACGCGCGGCTGCCCGCGTCGGAGCTTCTTCTAGTCTTGTACGCGTCGGAGGCGCTGCTGGACGCTGCCCTGTCGAACCTAGAGGGTCCGTCCGACCCGCCGGTAGAGCAGGAACAAGGACAAGACGCGAAGAGCCAGATCGCGGCGCTCAGAGCGTGGCACGCGCATAACGGCGCGGTGTGGCGCGGCGGGGAGCAGCCGAAGCTTGTTTTGCGCGGGCTGGACAATATCGTGAACAGGGCGCGCGCCGATGCGCGTCAAAGCAAGGCCCTCACGGGCACACCTGGATCCGGATATCCCGAGCTGAGTGTCATATAGTAGTCTTTCATGCAGTGGTAGGTCAATTTCGAGTACCGTGCGTAACTAATTACGTTGGTAAGGTCAAACTAATGGTACCGATGCGTGACATCATATATGAACTTCAAGCATTATCGATGGATAGAGCGCATAGTAAGCCCGACATGTAACTGTAACTCCTGTTTTGTAATATAATCTGTGATGTAGTATACAATTGGAGCTTTAGCAGCCTCGCCAGAACCAATGTACTTGATGTCGTTGTTTGACTGAGTTAGAAACAAAAGCACAGGGTTGTAATTGTTAAGACAATGTTAAGACGCGGATGCCACCTCTTCAGTAAGATGGAGCCCGTTTATATCTTCATCAAGTGTAGTACATTCGCGTGTAGTACCATCAATCCGCATTCGACACGTCCTATCGCTGCGCTCCTGGTATGACTGTAGATATTTCCAACACCCTTCACCGTGCTCATGCCAATTATCCACAACGGCAAGATCACGAAACTTGGGATTGAAACAGCAACAGCAACGTCATGATTAAAGCTAGCTAAATGTTTATAATCCTTTATAATGAAATGCCTAAATGCATCAAACAATGTTTCAAGTTGGTTTACTTTTAGTACGAGGTATACACCGGCAGGATGTATACTAAGAGGGGACAACTCTAAGTCGCGAAGACGACGAGCATACTGAAAACTGAAACTCTCGCGCAAAAGTGCACTCGAAACAAAGGTAACACCATCACCTGAACAGGTGTCCCACTGGATGAGGAGAGGTAATGGATGAATCATGATAAGCGGCAAGAGGTGTTAGAGACAGGGAGATGGGGAACGAGCATTCAATCATCGTGCTTTAAATGATGAGACCGCGGCAAACAGCCGTATCGAGCCAGGTGCCATGTCATTGATGGTAGCGTATATGCGCGAAAGAAGAAGGGTTCGGCAGCGGATGGGCCCATCGGAGGTTTTACGATCAGGAGATGGAATAATAACCGAGAAACGGGAGCCGGACCGAAGCGGTAAGCGGACCGGGAAGAACGTAGCTTAGGCAAAACTTCTTCGTTATACCTGTATCCCTCCGGATCCAGGAACTCGAGGCAAGATGCGGCGCGCCGGGGTGCGGGCGCCGGTGGCGGTACTCTTCAAGCTCAAGCCAGTGATGCCGCCGCACCGCATGTCAGTGGAGGCGTGTCGATGTATCCGCCGTTCCAGAGACTCGGACGCGGTGCGGCCCCGACGGGTTCTGTAGGTGGGTCCGGTGCTGGCGCCCAGGCGTTCGTGGAGAATGCGTCCTATTCAGGGGGGCCGGTTCGGAAGTCGCGGAAGAAGATGCTGCGAAGATGCGTGTATTAGTCCGCCATCTCAACGGCCTTCTCAGCCATACGGACAGCGAGAGGCAGGGACCGACCCCCGAGGAGCTAGACAGGACGGGCAAGAGATGTGTGAAGAAACTAGTGCTATAGGTCAAGGACACAGCTAGACTAGATATTCAGCCTACGGAGACTGTTTCAAATAAACGTTGATTAACTTAATGCCTACCGTCCAGTCACTCTATTCCAAGAACAAGCGAAGAATCATACGATTGCCCTTTCCACCAAGATTTATTCTGATTAAAGACCAAGCAGGAAAAGCACAAAAGGCAAACGGGCAATGAGACAAGCTATTCAAGGGGACGACTCCTACTTAACGATCAGCCTCCCTTGGCTCCGAGGGCTGAATTATACTCCGCGCATCTCTTCTCGTGTTGTCGTCTCTGTTCGGCCATAGCCTTTTTGCGGAATGCTTTTTCATCGCCTTATCACAGGAACATGTTAGTCTGATGTCCTGACAGCAGCGAGAATGAGAAATAAAACGCACACATCCCAAAGATCGGTCTCGTATCATCGTCAGAGTCGTACACATCGGCGCTCTGCGAAGACCTCGATGGCCGGCCGAACTGGGCCCAGCCCTCGTTGATCTTACGAAGGAGGTGCGGGCGGATGTGGTTTTCGATTTCGGTGTCCAGCTCCGGCACTCGGAGATGTGGAAATGCCCATGGAGCGGCTGAAGGAGTCTGGTTGCGGCTGCCAGCATGTGGGTCTGAGTCAGCGCTGCCCGTGATGATTTGCGTCTTCGTCGCTTTGCGGTAGGCCTCGAAGTATATGTCGCAGAATGCGCATGGAGCCTGTTTCGAGACGCCAATGTACGCGATCGCCGCACGGCCGTGGGTGGCGGCGAGGAGCTTGCACGCACCGTGGACCGGCGCTGGCTTTTCGACAACTGGGATCTAACGCGTTGAAGAAGGTCGGACTGTATCGAGGAGGTTTTATGAGACGTACCGAGTGTTTCGTCTTTATACTCGAGGTTGAGAGTGTCCGCGAGCATTTTGACGAGCCCACCAACCGTCCGCTGTCCTGACGCTTCAATCTTGCATTTGGTGCATCTTAGCACGTCTTCCACTCGCTGGTGGTCAACTACGAGCTTGAGGCAAGGTATTGTATTTTCCACTGCTTTGACAACTGGGCGGTCGACCAGCAGCGTTCCCAATAATGTGTTCGATGCCGCAACATTTGCTATGCGGATATAGTGCCGGTGGATCGCAGTAAGCTTGGTCAACCACCTGAGAAAATCTGGAGGTTTCTTTATGTTTGCCTGCTGTGATTCTAGGCGGACTATAGGTATACGTAGAAATTGTTAGTTCGAAATGTTTATGACAGTCACTCACGGCGGGTATAGCGATTCCAGTTTTTCATAAATTTGGTATTTCCTTCGAATTTCTGTCGGAATATTTCCAAACAGAGGACCATCCCGCGGACGCTCCTGACGTCGTTGTCGGTGGGCGCTTGTGTCTGGATTATCCGAGCCAGAACGCTCAAGGCCGGTACCACCTCTGAGATCAACTCTCGTTCCTCGTCCGTCGATGCTTGGAGCTTTGCCAGGGGTGGACGCTGATCGGGGGCAACTCGGTCCATGGCATTTGGATCGCACACGTCGTTGGCGGTGTCAGTGGCGAAGACATGCTGCGAGTCTTTCGTAGCACGCCGCCGCAGCTTCTTCCACGAGTGTCGGAGGATGGATACCTCCAGGTCGACAAGGGACCGTTCGAATGCGTTTAAATTTGGCGCATCGCCGTCTATCCACTCTGGAAATCGCGGAGAGAGGCGGCTTTTTGGAAAGAGTGGCTCAGCTTGTTTACGGATGAGGATGAGACGGTCCAAGACGCTCTGGAGATGGTCGATTACGGTCTGGCTCGCTGTCCCGTTCTCTGAGACGAGGATCTCAAGCCCAGCTCGGTTTGTGGAAGAACCACCGGGGAGTAGAGCCGCTGTGGCGACGACGTGGTGTTTCTCCTCGCAGACAGCAATGTAGGCGAGGCTATCCAAGATGTCGGCCTGGGCGCGCTTTTGTGCGCAATCGCGTTCGGGCCTTTGGCGCTTTTCTGTGTTATTGGCCACGTCAAGAGCATGCGCGACAAATGCTAAGAAGTTGGTGTCCGGCAGAGGATTCAAGTTGCTTTGGCTCGTCATCGCGAACTAGATGAAAGGAAATTTAGATGAGCGTTTGACTCGGACGCGTATCTGGCGGGTAACGCGCCGTGTGACGTAGTGCCATATTACTTGTGACAAACATGTGACAGTCCCAGGCAGTGCTATGATCGGGAATCGGAAGTGATTGTGGTCAGCTTCCCAGTGACTGTGGCCAGCTGCGGTGTGCTTATGCTCCTCCTCCCCATATCCTCCACTCGCCCACCCATCTAAGTCATATCCTTGCATGCCCGGTGTACTCGCCTTGCCACCATCGTCGCCTCTAGGACCCTACGGATCCCCCAACCAGCCAAACACCCCACACCACCCACGCACCAACCAGACGTCATCAGACGCAGCTATGCTCAATGGTGTCGCGTCGGCAGCAGACAATCTGAACATCTCCGAGATCAAGGAGAGGGCAAAGGAGACAGCACAGAAGAACGCCCGCGGTGTATCTGCCCTTAGTCTCATTCGCTCCGCCCGCACCCAATCACAGCGCGCTCAATCATGCGAACTCAACGACGACCTCAAGGGCGCTCTCAGCGCGTACACCATGGCCGGGTGTCTGGCACAGATCTTTATGGATCACGCAGAGTTTAACGCGGAGAGACAGCCGGGGAAGAAGGGAGTGCTGTTCAAGGAGTTCTTGGACTTTCAGCAGGTCAGCTGCTATTTGTGTCTCCGCCGGCGCCCAGTACTCACGAACGCGAACACTCCAGCACGATGGAAGCAACCTTAAGCAACGCGTGGATACCCTCGAGACGAAGCTCGCAGAGATGGAGAAGTCGGCGCCTAGGTGCATTTAATCTCTCCACCTTATCCTCACCAGACTTCGCTTACGCTTTGAACAGCACCAGCACCGGCGTTCCCCTCGACGACTCAGCCAAGAACATGGGCACATCCATCGCAGATCGTGTCAAGTCCTTGAACCAAGCAGGTCTTTCCCTCGGATCCACGAAACGCTTCTCAAGGGAGACCCAGCCATTGTCCCCGACCCTCCGTTCCCCCACCAGCCCACCCCATGCCCCACTACCATCTCTCTCGCCCGTACCCCAGCCTGCGCCCCAGATCAGCAGTCTCATGAACAGCCTCATGTCGCCGCCCACAGCGTCGACTGCGTTTACACCCACAACCACAATCGCACCTACCCCATCACCCCACGCCGTCGTTCCGCCATCACAGCTCGGCCCGCCGTCCCCAACGTCAGATTCATCATCTCCCAGGAACCTAGGACTTAGCCTATCCGAGTTCTCGCAGGCGTTCCCCTCCATCGACGAGCTCGACGAGGGCATGTCCAACCTGCATCTCCCATCCGCTCCGCAGGCGCAGGCAACCGGTGGGAGCGCGTCCAGTAGCGGACGATACTCGAACGGATCAAACGATATCACCAAGCTGGACGGTTTCCCGCCAAACGCTCTCAAGTCCTTCCCCGTCGTGTCCATCGACCCTGGCCCGCGTCCATCGAGCACCCCTGTCACGCCCATCACGAACTCGTTCATCAGCCGGCCCGCCTCGCCCTCCCGCTCGCCTGTGATAACGAACAAGCCATCACTTGGTGGAGGCGGTTTTTCTTCGTCGCCGCTTGTGCCTTCGAAGGCCACGAATGGTGTTAGCGGCGCGTACCCGCAAGCACCGTCATCAAGCGACAAGCCGACGATACCCGTGTCCAACTCGATCCAGCCGCGGATGCTGCACGATTTCATGAACCGGCCGGGGATGAAGGTGCTCCTGGTGGATATCCGGTCGCGGGACGCGTTCGAGCGGGAGCATATACGCGGGGACGCGGTTGTGTGCATCGAGTCGACGGTGCTGGCGCGCGCGAAGTGAGTTCCTCGTCTCACTCTTTTTCGGCTGTATGACTCGTCACATGCTAATTAATGTATTGTGCGCAGTGTATCCGGCGTGATGCTCGAAGACTCGCTCACGGTCGCTCCGCGCACCGAGTGGGCGCTCTTCACGAACCGGGAGAAGTTTGATGTGGTGGTGGTGTACGACGACGCGTCGGAGACGTACGACGGCGCGTCTGGTCCGATTTCGTCGTTCGCGCGGGCGGTGTATGAGAAGGAGTTTAGGAAGATCTTGAAGCACACGCCGATGCTGCTTATTGGCGGGCTGCGCGCGTGGAAGAGGGAGGTCGGGGAGGACGAGGTTGTGTATGGCGCTGGGTCGTCCTCCGCCGCGTCCTCGCCGTCGATGGCGCCGTCGTCGAATGGTTTGGTGGTGGATGGGGGTGCGAGTGCGAGTGCGAGTGCGAAGAGGATGAGCAGGCCGCTGCCGTCGCCGCTTGGGCCGTCGTTGTCGGGCTCGGGGTCGTCGATGCCAGCTACGCCCTCCATGCCGGTGACGTCGCCGCCACCGACTATGACTGGATTCTTTAAGGCTCCGCCAGAGGTCAACGGGGCGGGTCCTGTGTCCATTTCGGGTGAGAAGAAGGTGTCACCAGATCCAGAGGAGCGGAGGCGGCTGCCAGAGGCGCCTCTGAACGGCCCTGTCTCTGTGGGGCGTCGGCCACCCCAGGCTCGGTCCAGTATATCGTATGGGTATAATGGTCTCGAAAACGTGAGCTCCCATTCGATGCTTCCTCGCCCGTGTTCACTGCTGACTTGCCGCCGACTGGTAGGGCTCCTCTGCCCCTGCAAGCATACCCTCCCCACACCTCAATGGCGTCACTTCTCCCATCCAGTACCCCTCCTTCCCCGCACGCGCGCTCAGCCCACAAACTACCGGAACAGGTGCATCATCCCCTCAATCGTCATTCTCCGCCGTAGGCCTCGGCGGACTCTCGATGCCCCCGCAGGCGTCCATCAGCTCATCGACGCTCTCGAGAAGACGAAGCGAGTACATCGACGCGCAGGGGACCGGCTCGGGTTCCGCCGCCGCCGCCTCTGGTGGATACGCGTTGCCGCAGCGCGTGTCGATCGACTACCCGACGCTGTCGTCGCAGCACATTCTACGCCCGCCGCCACCCGTCGCGTCGCCGTCGAGCGAGCGGCGCGAGCTGCGGCACTCGGTGCAGAGCATCGCGTCGACGTCGGCCGCGAATGCGGGAGGGATGGTGATCCCGAGGCCGCCGACGATCCAGTCGGACTATCCCGTGACGTACTGGTCGGATATGCAGCCTGCGTCTGCGGGCCTGAAGAACCTGGGGAACACGTGCTATATGAACTCGACGCTGCAGTGTCTGGCGGCGACGGTGCCGTTTGCGCGGTTCTTCACGGACGGAAGGTGGAAGAGCGCGGTGAACATGCTTAATCCGATGGGGACGAAGGGCGAGCTGACGCGGGCGTTTGCGGGGTTCGTGTATGAGATGTCGCATTCGGAGCTGCCGTATTTGAATCCTGGTGTTTTCCGGGTACGTTCTGTCTTCCCATTCCCCCGCTGCGGCGGATGGAGTTTGAGTGGCATGTACTGACAGCTCGTGATGTTCGTGTTGCAGAAATCCATATGCGCGCACGCGCCGCAGTTTGGCGGCTCGGACCAGCACGACTCGCAGGAGTTCCTCTCCTTCCTGCTCGACGGGCTGCACGAGGACCTGAACCGGATCCTGCACAAGCCCGCGATGTCGGAGCCGACGCCCGAGCGCGAGGCCGAGCTCGAGCGGCTGCCGCAGCAGATCGCGGGGGAGCAGGAGTGGACGATCTACCGGATACGCAACGACAGCGTGATCGTGGACTTTTTCCAGGGCCAGTTCCGGAATAGGATGGAGTGCATGACGTGCCACAAGACGTCGACGACGTATAACTCGTTTATGTATCTCTCGCTGCCGATTCCGAACCCGAGCCGGACGGCGAAGGTGAGCTTGTATGCGTGTTTGGACGCGTTCGTGAGGGAGGAGGTGTTGGAGAAGTCGGAGGCTTGGTATGTCACTCTCTTTTTGGGCGAACGCGGATGCTGATTGATGTATTTGATGCGACGACAGGCACTGCCCGAACTGCAAAACCCTGCGCAAGGCCACGAAGCTCCTCTCGCTCTCCCGCCTCCCGCCCATCCTCCTCATCCACCTCAAGCGCTTCTCGTTCAAGGGTCCGTTCTCGGACAAGATCGAGAACGTCGTCGATTTCCCGCTCAAGGGGCTCGACCTGACGAACTACATGCCGCCGCCGCTCCCGCCGGGCGTGCACAAGCCCGCGCTGCCGTCGTCGTCGTCTGGCGCCGGGGGCGGCCTGATCAATGGATATCCGCAGCTTGGGGGCTCGGGATCGCCCGGCCCGTCGCTGGACGACCCGCGCACGCAGATGCCGCCGTACCGGTATGATCTGTACGGCGTGACGAATCATTTTGGGAATCTGAGCAATGGGCACTGTAAGTTTCTTTCGGGTGTTTGCGGTGCTGATAAGGAGTAATGTTGTGTTGACTGGTCTTTCGTTTCAGATACCGCGTTCATTGCTTCGCGAGGAGGCTGGGCGTACTGCGATGACAGTAGTGTGCGGCCGACGGATGCTAAAGAGGTTGTGGTACGTGTTTTCTTGTTGTTCGTTTGAATTTGTGAGCGCGTGTAAGCTGAATGCAATGTCGCTTGCAGGGCCGTCCGGCATACGTGTTGTACTACAAGCGGGTCAAAACCTAGAGCCACTACTACTACTATACCTTAGCTAGCTAGCTAGTAACGCTGGCATTGGTGGCATGGACCCTCTTATACTAAGTATCTATTTAACAGTTGTGCTTATTTGGAATCTCTGTTTGTTTGTTCGTCTCCTTGTTACCCCCATTGTCTTGTCAGAAATCAAGTTCTTTATTTTGCTCTTTTGTCTTTTTTGCTGAACCAATCTCAATCAACTCTACGTATACGTCGACGTGATATATCCATCATTACTACCCGCTCGTCGCTGTCTCTTCCTGTTTTGGTTTTGTAAACCATCGTCTCGCCCTGAAGCCTAGTGCATCTCCACCCTCCATCTCCATCTCACAATCTCTATGTACGAAGCGCTACTATCCAACAACCGCCCCCGGAACCTCTCCGCACGTCGGAGGGTCCAAACTAATGATTACGTAGCCAAACGAGGTAGCCTATGTTTTGTGCGCATAGCGATATACATCCATAATTGAGAAGGGGAATTAGGGGTCTAGAGCCTGGTCAAAATGACAAACGAACGAACGAGCGAGCGTCCGTCAGAATATGGTGCTGATGGCGGTCTTGCGCTCGTTCGTAAAGCACCGGTGGCACGTCCAGCTCGGGGACACAGCCGCGACCGGCATCGCAGAGAAGCCGTTTCCGTTTGCGTTGCCGTTGCTGTTTCCGTCGCCATTGCTCATGTGCACGTCGTCGCCGTTCTCCTCCTTGCCGTAGTAGTGGAAGAACGGGGAGTACTCCGTGCTGCACTTGCTGCACACGGGGTCCGTCGGCGTCTGCGGCTGCGCGGGCGAGGACGACGCGCTCCTCGACGGCGCCTCGTCGTCGTCGTCGTCGTCCACGTCAATCGCAGTGACCGGCCTGTCTCCGCCGGCGACCATCGCGGCGTGCCCAGATCCAGAGCCAGATCCGTGGTCAGAGTAAGAGGCGAGGAGCACCGCGTCCATCCTGCGCGCCTTGCGGAGGAGACCGTGCGCCTGCGCGACGGGCGCCTGCTTGTACGTGCGGCAGTACACCTGCAGCGCTGTCTCGCCCGAGCCGGCCTCGTCGACGTCGCACAGCTCGAAGATGGGGTTCGGCGGGTGCGGGTGCGGGTGCGGGTGCTGCCGCCGCGCGGAGGTGTCGCTGTGGTGGTCGCGGCAGTACACGACGGGCGCCATGATGCCCGAGACGCCGCGGAAGTTGACGAAGGTGCCGTCGCGCCGGCGGACCTAGAGGTGCATGCATGGATTGGAAGGAAAGATGGGAGTCAGCAATGCGAGAAAGGCGGAGGGGAGTGTCTGCGCATACGCACCTGTTGAACCTCAAAGCCGAATTTGTGCCCGTACGTCCATGCACATGACGCGTGGTACTCCGCCGCGCAGTCTGCACAGCGGATAGTCGCGCCGCTGACCTCGTAGCATAACGAACAGCGCTGCCAGAGCGTAGGAAACCGCGACGAAAATGGTCAAACGTGCTCGATAAATCAACGCCTAAAGACTCACAGACTGCCAGCGATGCTGTGGCATAGTGCTGATGCCCTCGACGAACCGGAGCCTCGACACGTCAGTGAACGTTACCTCCGGCGCGAACACCGAGCACAGGACGTGTGCCCACCCTTGCCCTTCGGTGGGCTTCGCAGCGCGGAGGTAGGAGTCCGCGGACTGCAGGTCTTGCTTCTTCATCGTCTTTCCTCGGGGACACAAGACACAGGCTCCGCTCTGGAATTAAGGGAAAGACGGGGAGGTATAGGCGTTAGAATGGATCTAGAAGTCGCGTGAAGAGGGAAGAGAAAACTCACGAAAGAAGCCTCGAGCGTCTCCTCGTTCTGACACATATCGCACGTCCACGACTCTACGTTATTGTCATCCAGAACGGCGCCGCAGCATCCTGATTGGGATTTGATTATTGAGTTGAGCCGACCGCGTACAAAATAGGGGATAAACATTCTTACCCGCATGAGCCCGGAATTGACATCTCTGGCACTTGATGACCTTTCCCACCGGGCCATTGTGACGGCACGCCATGCAGCGCATCTGCGGTGTTGTAGATGGCGGCGGTGAAGAAATCGACGTTGCCGTGGAAGTCTTCTACACAGCCATGTCAACCATTCGCATCCCATCATCCTCAACCGAAAAGTATGCGAGAGCAATAAGAGACTCACCCTCAGCCGCTTCGACGTCGGCCCATTCAACATCGCACCCTCGCGCTTATCGCCGCCGTTCTTCGGCGGCTTACCCACCACGCTCACCACGCTGCCGGCGACCACCGCAGTCTCCTCCCTCACCGGGCGCACGTTGATGTCCGCGTACTTGCGCCAGTTGGTGCCGCACGCGTCGCACAGCACGTCCGTCACGAGCCCCTTGGGCGCCTTCCACCACACGGGCGAGTCGCGCGTGCGGCACGCGCCGCAGCTGTAGCTGGTGCGCCCGTTGCCGTGCACGATCGAGCCCTCGTCGTCGTCGGCTACGATGCCGGGCCGTCTGCCCACGGGGTTCACTGCGGGCTCCTTGTCCGCGTCTTTGGTGAGGAGGCTGCGCGCTTTGCGGCGCGCGTTTTCTTCCTTGAGCTTGGAGCTGTCCGACGAGAAATGGAGATGAAGGTGTTCAGGCACGGCAGCGAAATAAAGAAGCGAACGGGACCGTACTTTTTCCACTGTCCATAGAAGCGAACGACCTCTGGCATAGGGCGCGTCGCAACCTCTTCACAGACGGCGCGGAGCTCGGCGCCATGGGCCATGATGCCATCCTCAAACGCGGCGACCTCGTCCGGTGACCACGGTCTGTCTGTGTACCGCGTTTCACCCCTCTTCCACTGCAAGAAGCAAAAAATTTGCAAAAGAGATAACAGACGATGCATGCGTATATACCTTCTCCTGGCGGGTGTTGCTGCTCATGTCGACGGTGAACCCCCCGCGGCCAGCCAGCCACGCTTGGGAAAAGCGGCGCACAGCCTCGGTGAGCCAGTCCACGCTGTGCAGAAGCTCTTGCTTCCGCGTCAGGGTCTTCATCCTTTCGTCGACTGGTTCATGGTCATAAGCAATTTTTCAACAGGACAGGAAAATATGTTGCAGAGAAAAACATACCCTCGTCAGCTGTGCAAGAAATGGAGAAAAATAATGCAAGAATTAATGACAATCTAGGCGAGCGAAGATCTAAAAATACCGACCTTCTTCTTTGGACATGGAGTGCACTGCACTAAGGACCTCGATCGTCTCATCCCCGCCGCGCTCTTCTGTGGGTACTACATGAGCAATGTATCAGAAAACATATAACAACGCGATTAATAACGTGCGTACCAGGGATGGAGATGCCCTCCGTGCTTCCCGGGATGACGGCCTGGTACTTCGGGCCCACCCGAGTTGCCGTTCGCGGAAAGATGAGATCGTCAGGGTCTGACGCAAGAGAACACGACAACAGACTCCATGTGAGACTCCGCGGTGCCAGCCATCCAAAAGAGAAGAGAGCCCCCGCACGCACCTAGTGTGTCCTCCGCGACCGTGTACTGCCTGCAGACGATTGCACGCCCACCCCATCCGCACGTCCGTCCCGTCGTGCACCAGCATATGTACGTACACACGTAAAATGAAATGAAGCCCATGCAGACGGGATGCGTTGCCAAGACGCCGAGGAAGCAAGTTCAGACGTCAGAAACCGCGGTCATAAGAGAAAACCAGGTGGAGGAGCAGGGATGAGATGGAGGTGGAGGAGACAGAAAGGCGGAGCTACGCACCCAAAGTAGCGGAACGGCCACATCTTGAAGTGCTTGACCTCGCTCGCCTCCTCCTTCTCGGCGAGACTCCGGTCCTTGCGCGGGCGCCCCCTGCCCCGCGGCGCCGGCGCGTTCGTCTTGGGCTTCGTCTGCGCCGGCGCGGGGTGCCGCACGTCGTGGCTGTCGACCTCCTCCGCGTGCCGCTTCGAGCACGGCGCGCACGTCCAGCCGTACCCGCGCGATGGCTTCGCGAGCAGCGGGGGCTGCACGCAGCCCATGTGGAAGTACTTCTTGCACCGATCGCACTGCACCGTCTCGGGCCTGCGCGTTCACGTGGGGTGTGCGACGGGGCGAGTGGTCAGTTAGTCGGTTCTCGGTGAGGAACAGTAGGCCGATAAAATCCGAAAAATAAGAGAGGGAGGGGAGGGAGGGGAGGCTTACGTGGGGCACCAGGTGTTGCACGTACCGCAGAGGCGAGGAAGGTCTGTCAGGTCAGGAACGGCCTCTTTCTCGGCCACGACGAACTCGTAGCGCGAGTTGAGCGTGTCTCTGACGATGTCGGGTACTACAGAGACGGTTTACTACACTAAGCAATAAAAATCCCTAAACGAGACATTGCCCTACCGTTTCGGATGTCCTTGGCCTGGATGACCTCGAACTCTTTGTTAATGTACGGGTCAAACAGCCGATTGAAGTAAAACCGGTCGGGGCGTTTCTTCCAGCCCGCGAGATCGGTGATTTTGTCGCGGTGAACGACAAAACACCGCGAGCGCAGCTGGCTGATATCGCAGACCTCGGAGTAAATAGCGGCTAGGAGCAGGCGCGGGTCCTGCACGGGACGATCGCTGACGTCGCTCGGACGGTAATACCACGCGAGGCGCGCGCGGGTGTACGTCTCCTTCGCCTTGCCCTTATTCGCGGCGTGGGCGCCCTCGGGCGGGAGGAACTCCATGATGCGGCCGACGGAGTAAGGGGTGCCGTCGCGAACGGACCAGGTCGGGGAGCAATAAACATGGTCTTTGCATACCACGACTCAGGGGTCAACGCGGGGCAGAATGAGGACAGAAAGGGATTTTTACCGTTGACTTTGACCTTGTCGCCGTTCTTGAGGGTTATCTGGACAGCCATTCAGGGCCGGCGGCACGTCTGAAACTGAAAAAAATAATCGTCAGACGCGTAAACCCGAAAGATGCCTGACAAGTCAGTGCGCTCTGAAAAAATGGGGTACCTGTGAGGGGGAGTGAGAGGATGCGAAGGGAATAAAGGTATGCGCGCTATGGCAGGTGAAGGTAACAAGGTGGAGAAGGCGCGACACGAGAAAGGCTCTTGATCGTGTTTGGCGAGAGAAAATCAAACTCCGCTCGCGCGGCAACAGAAATGCAGGAGGCTCGTTCGCTTTCCCTCAAGCACAATTCAGTTGTCTCAGCCACGCGCTTGTTTACGGATGGACTCCTCCTTCCTCGATGCCCTCTCAGAACATTCGACGATTTTCGAGTTTAAGCGCCCACAGGTTCTTATTTGCTTCGTGATTCAGAAAGGTGAGGTGGCCTCATTATTCATTCGGGGGCAAGTTACAGTGCCGGGTGGTACTAAGTGGGGACCGTTCTGGCAACCTCAGGCGGGTTGTGGACACGGAATGGCCACGGAAGGTCAAAACGATTTCGGAGATGCGGTTGTATGCCGAAACAGCCGTGCCATCGAAAACGTGGATGCACTACTAGCCGATGCCACGCGGTCGGTGCGTGGGTTTACCTCTCCTCGTGCTTGCCGTTCTACACACACAAACCTTCACATAAGCTCAGAACGAGCAAAGCATAGTCAGACAAACGGTGCTGATATCTTAAAAGATGAGGCTGTTCCGGCGTAATGGCTGCTGCGAAAAGAGCCGTTGTGGCTAGGCTGGGAAGGGCAAAGCGCCCTTTGGTGGGAAAGTGTGGGGGTCATCCAGACGTTTTTGGCGGGGAAGATAGAAGTTCAGAACGAGAGCAAGGGTCGTCAGAAAACGTCGGAACGTGCCGATGATGATCAGCTTGACAGATGACTTGACAATCCCCTTCTCGACGTCGCTCTCTTCTGTTAATAAAGCGTTGTTTTGTCTGTTCACTGACTTTATGCGGGTGATTATACTCCCGTGCCTGGCCGTTGGTCTAGAGTGGAAGGTTGCATGGCGTCAGGCCTGGGCTCGTATCTGATCACCATCCTCTTCACACAAATAATACACTCGGCCACATCACCAACTACAGTCATGCTAGCTTATTGCAGCCCTTCCTCCCACTCTTCCACGCCAACCTCCATGTTGTCCTGTTAGCGCCCGCCCTCTTTCCATGGTCCATTTACCCAGGCTCACCGACTCCCAGCCCCCCACAGCTGCTCCCCTAAGCGTAGACGATGAAATACCCTCCACCCCCTCCGAGGTAGCGGAGGAGCTGCTCGCTCTCCCAGCACCCGTCCTCGCCGCGGGCACACTCTACGGCTCGGGGAGCAGATCCAACAAGAAGCGCATCAGGACCGCGCGCATCGACGGCCTCAAGGTCCACTGGGCCCGCTTCATCAAGCGCGTCGGCACAGAGTCGCCCTCGGACTCGTCCGCCATCGTCGAGAGCAGCCTCGGCAGCAGCCAGCGCCAGCACAAGCCCGTGACGGACGAGGAGGAGGAGGACGACGGCGGCGAGGTCGACGAGATCGTCGTGGATCGCGACTGGACGGAGGACATGAAGAGCTCCTTTGGGCCCTCGGAGCAGGCGCTGCGGGACAGGTCGGGCGACAGCCGGGGAGCGTACGGGGGCGGCGGGACGACCACGAGCGGCGGCGGCCACGAGAGCACGGCGCTGCTCGAGGACGGGCGGCTGTTTCAGAAGCTGTTGATTATTATTCGGTGGGAGGTGCTGCCTGCCATCGAGAAGTTTTTCCTCGTGCGCTTCCACGACCTCAAGACGGAGAAGCGGTATCGAAGGGAAAACTGGTTCATCAAAAAAGTGCGTAGTGCATACATTCGCTTCGTGACCCCCCGAATGCGTTCCTGAGGCTGATACGATGACGTCGTGGTCTTGCTCAGTCCCTCGCCCTCTGGTCAGCTGCTTTCTACATTGTAAATTGGATCATCGGCGCTACAACAATTGTCTCTCCGGAACTGTTCGATAAAATATGGGTATACGGTGTACGTTAACCTATTATATGCATATATGCTTGGCCCTGACTTGTATGCTGTGAGCAGATCACACCAGTCTTGACATTTCCTCTCGTTTTGTATGTGATGTACGACTTCCCCCGGGATCGAGTCGTAGCATACCAAGTCGCACTAGGATTAGCCACATGGTGCTGGTAGGTCCATTCGCAAACACATTCTTGCTACAGCTTACCGCCATCCCACTGTCAGGGCCATATACGCGTTCATAAACATGTGGGTTACGCTGTACACGTCTTGGACCACGTAGCTGACCAGGCGCGCTGCAGGTACCTTACCGGCTTCACCAGCAACGCACATATATATCCGCTCGGGGGGAAAACATTCTTGAATACATTTTTGTACGCTATTTTGGACATGTCCACGCATGTGCTCCGCATGCTGACGGCGTGTGCTATAGCTATACCTCGGCTCCTCAAACGATCGCTTTATTTGGTCTTGGAATGAACAGGATCACGGCGCTCATCTGTGTGACTTCGTTTTTCGTGTTGTACGTCCCGCTCCGCTTTTGTGCTCATTTCAATCGTCTGTCTGACGTGCTTGATGTAATGACAGTGCTTGTGGAATGATCCTCCCTTTTGAGCCTATCTGGATACGCAGTAGGTCTTGATATTCTTGGAAAGGGAATTGGCTAACGCGCGTGCACAAAAAAAACAGATCTTCTGACATTCTTGATTTACCACATATTTTTGCTTTTTGTGCATTACATGAACGAGAGCGTGAGTGTCATATTTATCTTGTTCGTGCGCACTTTGCTAATTGCGACATGCGCTGTAGTCCGAACGACGACTGTTTATCCTGCGCGAGCAGCTCAAAAACCAGTTCAAGGCGACGCAGAAGGCGCAGATTAACGAGAGGAAGGAGGCTGATTCCAAACGGCGGTTGACTTCGTGAGTTCTCTCTCAGACGCCAGACTTGTTGCTTCGGTGCAGTGCTAATAAGCTATACTCTACAGCTATGTGTTCCATGATAAGTGACGTTCCGTCCACCCGCTGTTTTATGTATCTGACGCCCTTTGTACAGGTCCGAGTGCCTCTCAACACAGCGCGTGAGTCCCACGTTTATAGAGGACACATGGTTATGGCTGACGGTGTGTGCAGTGCTGGCTGTGCAGAACATGGAGGCGTCGGGCGCGGTGATGAAGACGCAGGAGATCGAGTTTATGGCGCTCGAGGGGAGCCTGGTGATGATGTCGAAAGGTGAGCGGTGCCTTTTCGCGTGATAGAAACGCTCTAAAGCTGATTGGGGATCTGTGTAGTTCTCAACGATATGCTTGATTTGTGCGTGCCTGAGGCGTTGATTGGGGGTGGAATGCGCGCTCATGGTGTGTTTGCAGTAACCGGATGGACAGTGGGCGGTTCGAAATTCTCTCCAAGGTACGCTCCGACCCTACTGTCATTCCGTAGTACGCGAATGACAAACGAGGCCTCCCAGCCATACACATTCCACGCGGTCCTCCGCTCCCTGTTCGTCCCCCTGCGCATGGCGACCGACGCGCGGCAGCTCAAGCTCGTCACGCGCCTCGACCCGACGATCGACCAGGTCGCGTGGCGCGCGGCGTACGAGGCCGCGGGCGAGGACCCGGACGCGGTCGACGGGCTGCTTGCTGCCGAGGGCGAGAGGGACGGGGTCGTGCTGGGCGATGCGATTCGGCTGAGGCAGATTATTAATAATCTTGCTAGGTGGGTTTCTCTCCCCCTTTGGGCTGCGACCGCGTTGTTTTCTTGTTTTTGTTTTCGGTGGTCGATTGAGATGATGCTGATGTTGTTTGGGATGTGGATAGTAATGCGTGCAAGTTCACACGCGCGGGAGGTCAGATCTCTGTTACGACGCGGCTCGTGTTCCCCGCGCACCCGCAGCCCGAGCCGGCGGCGCCGCGCCCGGAGATGCCCCTGTCCGCGCCTCCCGGACTCGATGACGACGTCGACGTCGACGGTGGCGGTGGTGGTGGTGGAGGCGAGGGAGGTGACGGCGAGGTGGTCCAGGAAGCGTTGTTCACGCCGGCCGAGGAGCGCGACGAGCCGTTCACGACTGCGCTCGAGGTGCGCGAACGCGAACGGGCGCGCGAGCAGGAGCGCGAGGCGCTGGCGGAGCTGGCGCGCACGAAGATGCAGGAGAGTAGGGGCGGCGGCGGCGGCGGGCAGGGGGATGCGGTGATGGTGAGGCGGAGGTCGATGACGAGGTCGAAGTCGAAGTCGTCGACGAGCGGTGCGATTCATGGGCGCGGTGCGCCTGCGCCACCGCATGGTGGGCCCAGCGGAACGGCGGTACACGAGGGTTTGGGGGACCAGGAGGGGGAGAAGCAGGCGACGGAGGCGTCGAGCAGCGGGCGGCGGCAGGTTAAGCGGGTCGTGGTGCGCATCGAGGTGAGCGATACGGGCACGGGGATTCCGCCGAGGGAGATGGCGCGTGGGAAGCTGTTTTGTGCGTTTTCTCGGTTATGCGCGCGAGTGACTTTTGTTGACGCGAGGTGTGGTTTGACAGCTGCGTTCAACCAGACGGAGCAGGGGCGTCAGCAGGGCGGTAAGGGCACCGGGCTTGGTCTTGCGCTTGTGAGGCAGATTGTGAAGCTTAGTGGTGGACGACTGGGCGTGCGGTCGAAGGTGGGGCAGGGGTCGACGTTCTGGGTTGAGCTTCGTGCGTTCTCTCCTCTCCATTTTAGTGTTGTTGGCGGGGGCTGACGGGGACTGTAGCACTTGGCGTCGGAGCGAGAGTTGTCGATCCTCCCGACTCGCAAGATACTACCCTTGTCGATCACGGGCACGATGCTCAGGTTCGGGATGACCATGGTAGCACAAACGCTAACGGCGGCGGAGCTGTGAACCCGTCCGTGATGAAGACGCTCATGGACCAAGGCGGGCTCGTCGAGCTCAAGCTCCCGAGCAGTGCGCGTAATAGCCTGGAGCCGAATGTGCTCACGCGGGGGATCGGCGAGCTGTCTTCGGGCACGCCGTGTCCTGTCTTGCCGGGTGCTGGCTCTGGCTCTGGTCCTGGTGATCTGGCGCCTCCGCCACCGATGCTGGGTCGGACGTCGTCGGAGGGGGCTTCTTCCTCGTCGTCATCTGGGACGTCGCCTACCTTGGTGTCCTCCATGTGGTCCACGCCCTCCGCAGCGGAATCGCCTACTAGGAGATCACAGGACAAGGATGCTCCGGCTCGCTCCAGTCCAGAGTTCTATGCGACCAAGATCGATGCCTTTCCCAAGTCATTCTCCAGTGCCTTGCCCAAGACCTTCGAGCTCGCGAAAACCGCACCCACGCGTGCGACTGTAGCAAGGCGCAAAGGACCGTCGGTGGTGTTCGATCCGCCGCTGGTCGTGCTCGTGGTGGACGACGATAAGCTGACGCGGACGATCATGTCGCGGACGCTGGCGCGGCTTGGGTGTACGGTGTCTACGGCGGAGAACGGCGAGGTCGCGCTGGAGATGGTCGTTGGGAAGTGGGTGGTGGACAGGATGAAGGAGCGGGACCAACTGACGTTCGACGTTTTGGCTGGGAGAAGGGGGAGATCTGTGGCAGCTCCGGAATCGGGATCGTCACCTGGGTCAGGGTCTGGTGGCGCGGAGGAAGCGTTTATGACGCCTCTTGCAGCGCCTGTGCAGTACGATGTTATCTTTTTGGATAACCAGATGCCTGTTATGTCTGGGATCGAGGCTGTGTCGAGGCTGCGGGAGATGGGTAGGGACGATTTTGTTGTTGGTGTGACTGGTGAGTGCTTCTTTTATGGTTGTGCGTCAGTGGGTCTGGAATGTGGGTGCTGACGTAGAGGGTGTTTTTTATAGGTAATGCGCTCATTGACGATCAACGGCAGTACCTCGAGGCAGGGGTGGACCAGTGAGCATTTGTTTTTTTTGTTCTTGTTTTGGAGCCTCGGGGCTCGGAACGGACGATGGGCTGATTGATCCACGTGTTTCACTAGTGTCCTGACGAAGCCTGTGTTCGAGCCTGGTCTGGTCAAGATGTTGACGACTGCAGACGAGCGGAGGCGGAAGATACCAGCGTTATCGGGATCCAATGAGGGTGGGGCGATACCAGCGGTCAGTAAAGAGGTGATATCCGAGGGATAAAGTGATCCGGCCACGAGGGAAGGTGGGAAGGCTTGAAGGTTTCGAGGAGATAATTGACAATGTGGTTTTCTTTGGTGCATATTGTAGCTATTCGTCTTTTATTACGGGCCATACATACGCGGGCATTCGTTTGCATTGTACTTTATATACATACACGAAGATGAGCATTAAAAACAAGAAGGTTGTGTTTTGGGGTGAGAGAAGAAAGAAGGGGTGTGGCCGAGGTCGGCGTGTGCCGATGGTTAGCCGAAACGGACGACTTCCCCTGCCCACCTCTGAACAGCCCACCAACACCACAGGCCCCTTGTCTTCCTCCCTCTCGGACACACCGACGACGACGACAAAGACAGCACCACCATGCCTGGCACACCCCCAGCTGGCTCCGTGGCCAATCCAAACGACACCGACCAGGTCGACTTTCCCAAGACACGCTCAAAGACACCATCGCCCACTCGGAGCGATTCACCAGGTATGTCTCTTTGCCATCGATAGACTTATTGACTAAAGTATTCTTTTCTTTTCTTTTCTATCCTTGTGTCTACACTTTGCACCTCGCGGCTCTCCTATCTTGCGTGTCTCACATTTCGTCAGAGCCATCGACATCAAGAAAGCGGGAGCGAGAGGTCTCGCTCGAGCCGCTCACCCCCAAGCCAGATAGCAGCGCTGTGAGTATGACCTGCCCCCCTTCCCTTCCTCCCTTCACTTTACTCGCACACCCTACCCTACCTCGTCCACCTGTCACCTTGGCTATCCAGGTGAATTAAACCCACCCTCTGCCTTTCCTCTACGTGTATCACCCGCCATGTGCTAACCTAACCTTGCCTCATCGCGTGTTCCTCGGACTGTTGGACACTGACATCAGCACGCGCCGGACACGAAGGAAAGGGACAATCGGCGCTCGTCCAAGAAGGGCCGCGTGATGCTCGACAGCACCGCCGAGGAAGATGAAAACCACGCCGCCGCCCGGCCGCCGCCGCGCTCACGGTCGCGCTCCAACACCCCTCCCAATGCCACCACCGGGTCCGGCTCGGAGAACCACGCTGACGAAGACGCAAGCGAAGACACGACCATGGAGCGGGGGACCGCGACGCCGCCGCCGGGCACGTCGCCGCGGTACGAGGCGCGCGTGCGCCAGATCAGCCAAGGTGTGGAGGACATCAGCTGGCGCCCGCTGCACACGCCCGGAGATGCTGATCGCGCACCCGAAGAGGGACCGCAGCAGTCAAAAGAACAGCAAGCGCAAGCGCAGGCTATTGAAGTCGATGACGACGTCACCGCCTCGGCCGACGTATCCGCGACGGGAGATAAGTTAGTGGCCGATGATGCGGCTGCGACGACGGCCACGTCGATTACGACAGAGGCGATTGAGACGCCGCTGGGAGAGGCGGCTGTTATCGCAGATGGCGCGAAGACGGTGCCGGAGCCGACGCTCGAGGTTGTTGGTGCCACTGCAGGCGATACGGACGATGTCGTTATCGAGAAGGCGCCCAGCGGGGCATCGACGAGGCGGCCGTCGGACTCGGACGGAGGCGAGCAAGAAAAGGGGCTCAAACGCAAGCTCGGGGATCGTGGGGTCAGCCGAGGCCCCCCTGAGAACGGGAGTGCTCCGTCGCCGTCGGTGGTTGAGCCTACCAAACGCGCACGCGATGATGCGGACAAGGACGATAATCCGAGGGAGGCGAAGAGGCTGACGCCGCCGCCGGATAAGAGCAAGGAGAAGCAAGAGGAGCCGATGGATTCGACGCCCAAGTTTGTGCGTGACTATGTTCGGTTTGTAGATTCATCAAGCTCACATTTTGTTATCTATCGATTTAGGGCGGATTCATGGCATACGCATCGACGAGCTCCCCATTCGCCTCCGTCAAGGGTCAAAACATTTTCAGGCCGAGCCCGTCGCCCACACCCTTATCGCCAACGCCTAGGACATCCTTCGCCTCCTCCCCGTTCCCCTCGTTCTCGAGCATATCGACGCTCGGCGAGCCATCCACACCCAAGTCATCCTTTGCAGGTGGCTCATCGACTACCACGACCACCACCTCGACAGCAACGAAGCGCACGGGCTTCGAAGCCTTCGCATCCAGCGGCGGGGGGTCGCCCTTTGCGAGCGCCGCGCGCGCCAAGAGCCCGCCCGTGTTCGGGAGCAGCTACTCGTCGTCGTCGGGCAAGGCGACACCGTCTGCGCTCGCGCGGAGCAAGTCCCCGTCGCGCCGCGGCTCGGCGAATGCGTTCGCGACGTATGCGTCTGGGGGCGCGCAGGCGTTTGCGCCCGCGCCGAAGCGCCCGCGCGCGGGGTCGCCGGCGGGCGGGTCGCCGCCGCCTGGGCTGGGGAAGAGGGGGAAGGAGGGGGTGGCGCTTGTGCTTGCGGGGGCGTCTGTGGGTGCGGATAATGGGAGCGGGAGCGGGGAGGATGAACGTGGGAATGGCAATGGCAATGGCAATGATAATGGGAGTGGGGAGGAGGGTGGTGTGCGTCAGGAGAGCGAGAAACAGCATGGTGAAGGGAGTGGCAGTGGCAGTGGCAGTGATAATGATGACGAGCGGGTGGGTGTGAGCGCGGGCGATGAAAGTGCTGCGGTGGCGGCAGGGACGACGTTTGGCGAGCGTTTGCGCGCTGAAAGGGACCGCGAGGGCGATGCGAGCGAGGAGGAGCGGGAGAGGGAGAGGGAGAGGCTGCAGGAGCAGGAGGGTGCGTTCTTTCTGTTGATCGCTTATCGCACGTGCTGACTCGACTCCTTCGCTTTTTTTCTTGTGGATGCACAGTCCTGACGGGCGAGGAGGACGAGGAAACGATCCACCAGGTGCGCGGGAAGCTGTACGCGCTCGCGGCTGAGAACAACTCGTGGAAGGAGCGCGGGACTGGTCTGCTCAAGCTCAATGTCCGGCGCGTGGACGGTTCGGCTGCGCGGTTAGGTGCGTTTTCTATCCTTCCTTCCCTTGTTCCCCTGGTGTGTGACCATCTATTCGATGCAGTGATGCGGAAAGAAGCGGTGTATGCTGTACTACTGAACGTGACGCTCTTCCCGGGCATGAAGTGCTTTGTCGCGCAGGATCCGCGTTATATCCGGTTCAGCGCGATCGAGGATGGGGTCACGACACATTATAATCTCAGGGTGTGTTTTCTCTCTCTCTTCGGATTCGCTTGTTGTGGTCTTTTGATTCTGACGACGGTGTTTTTGTGTGTTCTCTTTGTTAGGTGTCGAACGCCAAAATCGCAGAGGAGCTGCTCGAGGAGATCAACTCTTATATTCCTCCCGCCTGAGCTCTGGCTCTAGCTCTGGCTTTGGCTCTAGCCTCGAGCTTGAGCCTAATGGCGTCCAACGATGATGCTTTTTGATCTATCTACCCGAGTAATGCTAGCGCTGACGTCGATGCCGGCGCCTAACAAGTCTACATACAGACGCGGTGCATATGTAGACGCTGACGTGTATTGCGCACGTTCGTATATATATACGACGCTTTTACTGATGATGTTTTGTCTTGTCCATTTCTCTTTCTTCTTTTCTTTCTTCTTTCTTTCTTGCGTTCTCGCGCTCGTACTCTGCTCGCTTGCTTGTTTGCTGGTCACTAGCTCATGTCCTGTGTCTGGCTAAAACCGTTTATTTACTAGCTGACGGCGCGATTCTTTCGCTGCTGTGGTGTTTTCTGTCTTTGCTTGCGAGAGAGAGCGCTTTAGAGGGTTTGAGGTTTTTTTAAGTGCATGGCTTCTGAGCTTCGCATCTGGGGAGACGTAGAGAACTTTGACTTACATAAGAATTGAGTGTCGAAGGGCTGTCGCACTGTGGCTGGTCAAAAGTAATATATGTTACTTGTTCTTGCTTGTGGTGTGAATGTCATTTTCTCAGCTGTGGTGAGAAAACATCACAGAAAGATTATGACGCAACTCTGGATCTAGGAACTCGGACCGATGTGTGACACATGTAACAGTGTCACACTGTGGTCACAGTGCGTCACTCGCCTGCAGATCTCCCCTGCACGTGATCCGACGCGTGCAAGTGCATCCAGCGCCTCAAGTTGAACATCACAGTCACGACCAGCGTCGTCGACATCGGCAAGACACTCTCAAGCTCAACATCTCGTTATTGAAGACAACATGACGACTCCGAAAAAGATAGTGCACTGGGCACTGGACACGCCCATATCCGACTTGGGCTCCCCGTTCTCGGAGGGATTCTCCCAGGACTCGGACGTCGCTGGCTCTAGCCTGGCACGGCGACAACATTCGCCTCAGCCCTCTTCTCCCTCAACGGACTCTCCTCCTCCCGCTCCCCTGCGTGACCACCGCCCAGCCGCGGCAACACAATAGGCGTACTGATCCCCTCCGGCGAGCGCTCTCCCTCCGCACAGGCGTGCTGCCCAGCCCCGCCGGCAGCGAGACCCATCGCGCGCGACGCCGCCAGAACCTGCTTCTGCGTCTCCTCGGGGCTCTCGGGCGAGTCGCGCGCGAGCATGAGGATGCGGCTGAGCGGGCTCGGTTTCGCGGGGGAGTACGCGTGTGTCATGTGCGGTGCGAGCGTGCGTGCGCGGGGGAACGGGCGGGCGGGGGTCTGAGCTGGTGGGGCGAGTGCCGAGGGCGCGGGATCGGGTTCAGGGGCAGCTGTGACTTGGACCTGGGGGGCAGAGGGAGGGGTGTATCCATCGCCATCCGAGTCGGTAGCTCCGGGAGCGGGCACAGGGCCCACTGTTGACGGTGTCGTTCCTTCGTCATCCTCATCGCCATACCCAGCGAGCGGCGTCTCCGGTGGTAGGAGAGAGAACGGAATCGAGTTCGCGGGCGGGAGCGACGTCCGTGGCGACGGCGGCGGAAGCACGAAGCTCGTTGGAAGAATCGACTCGCGGCGCTTGGGCAGCTCGAACGCTGGTGCGCCCAGCCCAAGTGCTCCTGCTCCTGCGCTTACTCCATCCGCGCCCGCCAAGGCGGCGGCAGAGATGGTCTCGGGAATGACCTCCGTCTCATACGCCGGCTCGTGTCTGCTACTGATGCTAGCATTGGCATGGGCGTTGAACGCCGCAGACGAGCGCCGTCCCACAGTCCTCTTGCTGCCCCGCGCGCCCAGTCCGGGCTTAGCCTTGGCCTTGGCCACTCCGACGGCGATAGCGGGTGGCTTGGACTTGCGCGGGGGGCTCTTAGCGTGTGGAGACGCCAGCGCGGGTTTGGGGACGGGGGCGTGGCGACGCGATGTGCTCGCTGCGGGGGCAAGAACGGGTGCGGGTTGCGGAGGAGGGGAGAGCATCTGGTCGGCTTGGAACGAGCGTTTTTCGTCGCGTAGTCTGATGCGGTCGGTCTGTAAGCGGGGGAGGGGTGTGTGAGTTGGTTTCAAAGCGATCGAGTGGACGCGAGAGATAGAGCCTACCTCAAACGCAGCCTTCTCCTTCGCGAGCTTCCGACGCTCCTCCTCGATCTGAACGCGCAGGCCCGCGAGATCCTCTCGCGCCTCGTCTGCGCCGGCGTTGATGTCCCCGTCATGCTGGACTTGTTGCGCGCTGAGCTGCTCGTACAGCTCCTGCGTCTCCGCTGCTTGTGCCTGGTGGAGCTTTCTTGTCTCGTCTGAGAATTCATTCGTTATTAATATTAACTGCGTAGTGTCTTCATTAAATGAGAGCGCACCTAGCTCGGCTTGCAATGAATCAATGACGCCTTGTAAGCGTTCAGCTTCGAGGTTGGCCTTGGGCAACAGTTGTTCCTCGCCAGATTTGCTGGCTTTCATGGACCGCGTTGCCAGTTCGCCGTTGGCCAGCCGCTCGGGGAGATAGGCAAGCGTATCCTCAAGCGTAGTGAACATAGCCGCGAACCTGTCGTTCGCAGCACCAACAGGCGCAATCGGGAAAAGCTCGACCGACGTAAGCGGCTGAGGCTTCAACGCACATCAGCACCTCCCTCGTAAACATAAATCAGAGACCACACGCCCACCTCTTCCTCAGCATCACAAGTCAGGCTCCTCGCACTCCACACCACCCTCTGCAGCTCATTCGCAGACGAGATCACCAGCCGCCTCAGCCGCCCGTTCTCCTCATACAGCTGCGCCCGCGCCTGCTCCGCCTGCTCGAGCGCCTCCTCGTCCACCGTCCGCCCCTGCCACAGCACCTCCGAGCCGGTGACGACGTCCGCGTTCGCGCCGCGGATCGTCATGCCGCTGGCGGCGCTCGAGGCCGAGAGCTTGGACTGGGCCTCGGCGAGCTTGGTCCACTTCTCGGTCATGCGCTCGACGTCGCGCTCTTTCTTCTTGAGCTCGCTGGTGTGGCTCGCGCGCAGGGCCTGTATGGAGGTGCGTGTGCGCTGGAGCTCGGCGGTGGTGTGTTTGTGTGCGGATTCGGCGGTGTGGAGGGTGCGTGTGGTTGTGCTGAGTGAGGCGGCTGTTAGCGGTGTTGCAGAGGGGTGGATGAGGTGATGTGGAAGGAAGGAACTCACGCAAGACGGGACTTGTGGACGTTCATCTCGCGCTCTGCGTTGGCTGCCTGCTCCTTGGCAGAGCGGTGCATGGACGTGAGGCGTTCATGGTCGTATGTCAAAGTCCTTAGCTTCGTTGAGAGGTCCTCCGCTCGTGATATGTCGTTCTACACCCCGCATTCAGCACCGAACACAACGCCTGACGGCTGGAGCACGCACCACTCGTTGGCCAAGCATGGCCAACAGACACTTGGCTATGCGATCCGTATCAGTCTCCGAGAGACCTTCAAAAGACAGACCAGAGGAGCCCGTATATCCATGCGAGACGAGCTGTGCGTTGATGTACTGCTGTGCCTGTGCCACGGGTGAAGAGGGCTGTTTCGTCGGGGGATAAGAAGACGGCACCGGCACCGGCACCGGCACCAGCGGCGGAGAAGGAGAAGGACAGAGCAAAGGCGAGCACTAAGCTCGCCGCGCCCGCGATATCGATGAAGGCCAGCGTCGGCGCCGGCGCTGTCACGACGACGAGGCTGCGCGCGGAGAAGGAGAACAGGGCGAAGGCGGCCACGAGCAAGGCGGCCGGTGTGGATGCGGCAGCTGCCGCGGCGAAGGTCAAGTCCAAGGGGACCTCCTCTTCTGCGAGGCCTGCCACTGCCTCGTTGAAGAACAGCACGATGGCGAGGTCCACGGCGGGAGCGGCGGTCAGTAGGCTTCCGTCGCTCAAGGGTGCCAGTGGGCCGAGGAGGGTGCCGATTGATAGTGCGGAGGCTGCGCCTGCTCGGAGAGGGTGATTTGAATATTGTTTATCTTTTTCTTCAAGCTTTAGCTTTGTGGCCTCGGAACGTCTTATGTATGCTCGCGATTTCTCATCTTCTTTTCCTTCGATTCGACTCTATTTCCCTTCACTTAGATATGAACTTCATGTCACATTACAATGTACTGTACAATCATCTGGATATACTCTTCCTAGCCACCTAACGAATACATAGCAGCATAACGCAGCGAGTTAAACAATAAGATATACAAGAAAGAGCGCGCCTGATCAAGACTCGCCCCGCTCCTGCATGTAGAGCTTACGTTGACACCGCCGTGCGCATGAACCCCGCAAAGTACGCGTTCACGTCCTCGATGCGCGATGCGGGCGCGACCATCCCGACGTACCCGTCCGGCCGCACGATCACGAGCGTCACCTCGTCCGGGTCGATCCCGAACCGCTCGTACGCGCCGCCCCCGCGGGTCCGCGTCACGTCCATGTCGTCCGTCAGCACCCTAACGGTGCGGCACGCAAGGTCGATTGCGTCAGCAGGAGGGTCAGAGGCGGATGAAGAAGGAGAAGAACGCACTTGGACCAATGCGACCGCAGCACCTCCGGCAGATCAAACAGGTTCACCGCGCGCCCGTTCGTGCCCGCCGTAATCGTGATCACATCAAACGCCTCACCCGACCACCTCCTCAAAAAGCTCCCCGGGCCCTCCAACGCCCCCGCAACCGCGCGTAGCCTCTCCAATCGCGCCGGCGCCGGCGCCGTTGGCTCGTGCGCGCCGACACGCCCCGCAAACACGAGCACCTTGAAGCGCGCGTCGGCGGGGATCATGTCCTGGATGTCGACGGGGCGTGAGTCCGCCGCGCGCACGAACACGTGCGGGGGCATGCGCTGTCCGACGACGAGGTGCGCTGCTGCTACCGCGCACGCCTGGTGCCGCGCGTCGACGAGCGGCGAGGGGGCGTAGTGCACGCCGATGCCTGAGGTGAAGCCGCCGAAGATCTGGAATGCGCTGTTGGTTTTCCGAGGGGGAAGGGGGAAGGGGGGGAAGAGGAAGGGCAAGTCAGCGGTTATCCATTGTGATATTGTGGATGCGCCAAGATGGCGTGCGTGCGTGCAGCGTGTATCAGAAGAGGCAGGCATACCTCAAGAACTGCTCGTGTGTGACCCCGTCCTGGACCGCGTCCGTCCTCGGCTTTCCAGAGAACAGCGCGGAGAACTTCTTGTCGAAGTCGATGAGATCCTGTGCGTATTTCCGGCGCTCGAGCTCGTACTGGTGGCCAGAAAGACGAACACGCGATCAGCGGTTAGCCGTGGGTCAATGCAAGGCGCTATCGAGGACCTACCGTCTTCAACAGCGCCATGTCCGCCCATCCTCTCAGCACGTGAGTAATCTTCCACGCTGTGCGCCGTTGTATTTACATGAGAAAGGCAGACAACAAGGGTGTGAAAGGACGAATGGATGCGCACCTAGATTATGTGTATCGTTCATGCTCGCGTTCATTCCTTGGCCTGTGAAACACAACAGCAGTCATCGTCAATATCGGTGCTCACAATGACGTAGACGACCAGCAGAAATACCGACCTGCTTTGGGAGAGTGGGTGTGGCACGCGTCGCCCGCGATGAAGACGCGCTCGTGCACGGAGAACTTGGACGCTACGCGCTGCCCGACTACGAAGATACGAAGACGTTATCATAATTATGACAACAAGCTTCGAAAACGGGACGCACTGATGTATATCGTCCACCAATCGAACCCTTGCGGGTCTTTAAGAACGTACGGCAAAAACGTCTTCCTCGCGACCTGCCCACATCAACATCCATCCATGAGCCCTCAATCTGATAGGTCGCTTCTACAACAAAATCAAACGCACCGCCATCAGCTTCTCAGGGCTCATCCTCTCCCGATCCACGCGCCCCGTAGCGGGATCGAGCACATCGCGGTCCGCGAGCTGGATGTACAGCCGCACCTTGTCGCCCTCGCGCGGGATGACCATGCACGAGCCGTTGACGGAGTGGATCGCGGTTCGGTTGCGGATGTCGGGGAAGTTGGTGTCCGGGACCATGTCGACGACGCCCCAGATGTAGTCTACCGATACGCGTTAGCTTGATGCAATACGTGGGGGGACGGAGGCAGGGGGCAAGACAGGGAGGCACACCTGTTTGCTCGCCGTCCATGGAGATGTCTAGGGTTTTGCGGACCCATGAGTGGGCGCCTGGGGGGTGTTCGGTGAGTGGAATTGGGGAGGTCGGCGGGGCGGCGTACCGTCTGCGCCTACTACGAATTTGGCGTTTACGATCTCCTCGCGGCTTGGTGACTCCTCCGTCTCGAGGTGCTGTAACGTGACCTGTATCGAGTAGACTCAAAACACGTCCTCCAAGGATGTTACGACCGAGCGTACCTTGACAGCATATGCTGAGGGGTCAGACAGCTTCAATTCGTCAAACACCAGGGCAGAAGGCACGATCGGACGCTCCACAGTAACGCCCCTTTCTCTCATCGAATCCAAGAATATACTCTCGATAGCACCCTGGTGCAGAGTTATCTAAAGAGCACCGCGTCAGCTATAGATAGACGACCTCTACAACCTACGCGTCGCGTTAAACGCACCTCAAACGGGAAACGTGCAGTCGGCGCTGTCACATCCGGTGCACGACCTGTGCACTAGTAGGGTTGAGACGACAGGGCCTTCGAACGCGTGGCGGCTGCATACCTCGATCTCTCCTTTCTCATTCGGGTTGTAGAATGCCTGATCGACGTCCCATAATGAGGGGCTGCTCTAAAAACACGCACGCGAGGTTGTGCTTACGGCCACGTGCATTTGATTCCCTTCGCGAATGAGGCGATCGGCGAGGCCGTAGCTCTGAAAGCGTACCGGTGACGAGCTACGTGAGCATGGCTTGTGTAGACGCAACAGACACGACGTACCTGCAAGACCTCGATTGTCCTTGGCTGTATGCCGTCCGCCTGGCCTGCAGCTACCTTGGCTGGTCTGTCGCGCGTCCCACATCAGCGTCAACGACACCTGTCACTCCCATGGACGACTGCAACGCACCGCTTATCGACGACTCTGACGTTGACACCTGCGTGAGCGAGCGCGTTGGCGCACATGAGCCCCGCGGGACCCGCGCCGATAACGAGAACGTCGACAAAACTCTCCGCGGCGGACATGGCTGGGGTGTGACAAGGGTATAACTTGGAGGTGAAAAGGGGGGCGCAGAAGGAGTCGGTGGGTGAGCGAGAACACGGAGCTTGGGATTAATATTTATTGGGTGCACGGGTAGGGCCAAGGCCCGTCCGAGATCCGCTCTAGGATGGCTGAGTCGCAGCAGCTGGAAAGTCTCCGGCATGGCACCAGGCAGGTCAGCGATCCACTCTTGCGGTTTCGTGTGTCAGGCCGTCTATCCGAAGCCAGAACGTTTCATCCGTCTCATCTTGTTGTTGTCCGTGAAAACGCAATGCAGGCTAGAGAACGTTGAAAACGCGGCCGAGGCAGCAAACACCGACGCGACTAGATCCGCCCACATGACGTCTGAATTAGCCCCTGACCGTCGTACAACCTGGTTGTGCATTTCCTATCGACTGACAACTTGGATTGTTATCTTACAAGAAGTACAAGATAGGCTGACCCCAGTATCCATCCACCTTCTAGAAACAATCAGCTAACCCGAAAGGAAAGGCAACCTACACGAGCCTCCACGATCACGATGATAACGCGTCGACCTGTTTTATAAAGGCAAATCGTCCAACACGAAAGACGCCGAACAGATCGGACCATCCACACACTAAGGGCCTGTTCGGTTGCACGATGTGGAGATAAATATCGCGATATTTACGAGCTCACCTTCCTGTAATGGCAGTCGTGATCTGGGCACCTCAAATATGACGCTTTGGAGCATATCCCGCGTTCGGATGCGCAATATGGAGCAGAATATGACGTTGGCCAAACCAGCAAGGGGCTGCCATGGCCAGCCGCAATCTGGTGTTATATCGACGCGCGCCGTCCGCGTCATATTTTGGGCTAGCCAAATAATATCACGTGACTTTTTACGCAGCACGCGAATATCTCAATATCTTATTGCGCAACCGAACAGGCCCTAACACTTCTGCCACAAGTACTAAATGACGTCGCTCGGGACTGTTTGAGTTCATGAAGTACTGTACTAGTGCGCCCACAAGGCTTCCTCGACTTCTTGAACCCAGTCCGTCGAGGATCAATATTCGACTTGAATATCTCAAGCTAGTTTGTCCTTTTTCCTGACATGATCGCTCAATGCATGTGTTCCAGTGTCAGGATCCTCTCACTCGTCGTTCAATACACCATCGAAACGCTTTGGATTATCTTTGTGCTTTTTCGGATGCAGCAAGAGTGGTTGGCGCAAAATAAGTACTGGCAGCCGCGTTCGGAGTGTAGGGACATTGCCGCATCTCGTCCGCCTCCACCAGCGGACAGTCCGCTCGCTCGACCACCTTCGAGGTGGTACGTGCGTGGTAACACAAGCATGCCATCACACCGTCGTCAGACACTCTGCTAACCGCCTCTTTTTACCATCCATCGTCCTCCCTCCACGCAAATCTGCTCATACAACCAATGCCCCGCAAAGAATTCGGAGTACCTACCCGCTCCAAGCCGCAGAAACAACCTGGCGTACTCTCGTGGAAGACGGAGACACGTCTGAACAAAAAAGGTGTCAAGGTGGACGTGTTGGTCACGATGGAAGACGGCGAGCCCGTGGACTTCTACGTTTTTAAACCTCGCAAAGCGAAGACGGCGCGCTCAGCAAAGGAATCTCTTCTAAACCCGACCAGGAAGCCAACGGCGGCGACCTCGGCCGAAGCAAAGAAAACGGCAGGCGCCTGCGAAGTTGGGGAGGGCTCCAGCGGGCCTATCACTATGCTTGCGCAGACAAAGGGAGGCTGTCAGGTGAGTTCGTAGACCTCAACCTTTCCTCTCCTCTAGTCCTCAGATTTTAAACAGGTTCACGAGGAAGCAACCAGCGCGAAGTAGTATGAGATAGAGACGCTTGACAGCTTACTCCCAAACATACGCGCCTTGACGTTAGATAGATCCACAAAGTTCTTAACGAATGAAAGTATGTTACATGTCGATGCTTTGTACATGGCTTGTCACAACAGACAACCCAAGAAAATTCTACGTATTCGTGCTCTAGCTATGTGGGAATGCGTAAGCTTTATGCGGAGGCCTGCATGAACGCAGCGAAATAGCCCTCGATCCCGTCAATGGCGTACAGAGGTGCAATAGTTCCAACGTAGCCATCCGGACGAACGACGACAACAGCGCCATCTGGACTGATACCGAAGTAGTCGTAACCGTTGCCGCCCATCTTGCCCGTGCAGTCGACATCGTCGATCAAAACACTAAGACGAAAGCTTATCAGCAAACCAAGGCAGTAGAGCACAGCATTCGAGCATACTTTGTCCAGTGTGGCCGCAGCACAGCAGGAATATCAAGGTAATTCACCTCCTCCTTCTTCCCGTCCCAAATCGTAATAACCTCAAACCTGTTCTGGACCACCGCCCCCTTCCCGCCCGTACCGGGCGGCGCATACCTAGTGTAGAAGCTCCCGGGCTTCTCGAGGCCCTCGGCGAAGGCCCTCACCCGCGCCTGCTGCGCGGGCACGTTGTGGTCGCCCGTGAACACAAGCAGCTTGAACTTGAAGTCGGAGGGAAGCAGGTCCTGGAGCTCGAACGGCCACGCGTCCGCTGCGCGGACGAACACCTGCGGCGGGACGCGCTCGCCGATGACGAGCTTGCTCGCGAGCGCCTGGTGCGTGTTCTTCACGGCCACCGAGGGGCTGTAGTGCACGCCGATGCCGCTCGTGAAGCCGCCGAAGGTCTGGAAGGCGCTGCGAGGGAAGGAACAAGGGTGTGTTTAGAAACGCGGGGGTGCTACGAGGGTTTAGTGGGTGTGTGGCTTACCCCATGAATTCTTCGTGGCTCACGCCGTCCAGGTCTTGCTCGGTTTTTGGCTTGCCCGAGAACATGGTGGAGAACTGCTTGTCGAATGCGATGAGGTCCTGTGCGTACTTGCGCCGCTCGGACTCGTACTGCGCTCTCATTCAGCGATCGATCAAGCGATGAGCGAGCGCATGGAAGCCGTACCGTAGACAGAAGCTCCATGCCTGACCAGCCACGCAGGACAAAAGCGAGTTTCCAGGCGAGGTTGTGCGCATCGTTCATACTGGCGTTCATTCCCTGGCCCGCTTTGGGCGAGTGAGTGTGGCAAGCATCGCCGGCGATGAACACGCGGTTGTTGATGGAATACTTGGAGGCGACACGCTGTCCGACTTCAACGCCTGTTAGCCAATCTTCTCGATACCACGAAAGAAGGAGTAATCTCACTGATGTACAACGTCCACCAGTTGATCTCGTTCAACGGTTCGAGCTTGAACGGGTGCAGCGACTTCTGCGCCACCTCAAGCAGCTGCGGCGGACCCATCCGGTCCTTGTCCACCCGCCCCGTCTCCGGGTTGAGCACCTGCTTGTCCGAGAGCTGCATGTATATCCGGATGCGGTCCTCCTCCCGCGGGACCAACAGACACGAGCCGTTGTTGGAGTGAATGAGCGCCTTGTTTCTGATATCGGGGAAGTCCGTGTCGGGAACCATGTCGAGCACACCCCAGATGAAGTCTAGGGTGGAAAGGGAAGTACCATCAGATCGTTGTCTCGGTCGGCCGTGGAGCGGCGGCTTGATTGCGCTTACCAGACTGCTCGCCGTCCATGCTGATATCGAACGCTCTGCGCACCCACGAATGCGCGCCGTCTGCACCGAGGACATACTTGGCTTTCACGACCTCCGTCGTTGGTCCTTCCGTTGTTTCCAGATGGTCCAGCGTCACCTGCACATTATTGACCCTTGAGCAACCGGTGCGCGTGCTGAGACTGAGGAGGTACTCACTCGAACGGGATAAGACTGAGGGTCATTGAGAAGCGCTTCATCTGAAGACAGCTCAATCTTAGTTGGCACTGTCGATCTTTCCACCTCAACGCCAAGGTTCTTCATCGAATCCAAAAAGATCGACTCAATGCCGGCTTGGTGCAGCGCGAGCTACCAGACCAAACCACAACGGTGTTAGTATAGGCGCTCTCATTTGACCAAAACCGCCGTACATACCTCGAACGGGTAACGTGCCGTCGGCGCAGTCACATCAGGGGCACGACCGGTGCGCTGTCAAATCTAATCAGCACTCCGAACAGCACGGAAAGACGATTCAGTGGCTAACAATGATACCACCGTTGGGGCCCGGGTTGTAGAATGCCTGCCGAGCATCATCAGCGGGAACGCTCGAGTAGCGAACAAGACGGACGCACAGCCAGATGCACTTGGCATCCCTCCCTCAGAAGGCGCTCGCCGATACCGTAGCTCTGCGCCGATAAGTGAGCGAGGAATCTTGGGGCGGCGGAACGGCCGTACTACGTACCTGGAAGACCTCAATCGTGCGCGGGGAAATCCCATCAGCCTGCCCGGCAGTGACCTGGGCCGCCCTGCAACCATAATCAGCGAGCCGCGCACGTCTCCAGTGGAAGTGGTCCGCACCGTTTATCGATGATCCTGACGTTCACTCTCGCGTTCGCGAGAGCGTTGGCGGTCATGAGCCCAGCAGGGCCAGCGCCGATGATGAGGACGTCTACCTCGGACTGCGTAGTGAGCGTGGCAGGCATAGGTGATGGTGATGGTGGTGGTTGTAGAGATGCAGAAGAGATCGAGAGAGAGAGTAGTAGGTGTGTGTGTATCGAAGTGGGAATAGGTTGCACGCTAGGTTTTATACCGAGGAGATCAGGGCACCAAATAGAGTACTATAGGGGCTTTTTGCCTGTGAGCGTTGGGATATCTTTCGGCGGGCACACTCGGACACCAGGACAACCCCAGTGGTATATCGAAGAGACAGCCCTCATCCTCGAAAAGGACCAGTCACCAACAGCACGCCTCGCCTCCCGTACAATATCGCGGACGGAATCCGGTCAGAGGCGTTGTTCATGGAAGCGCAACACCCTTTTGCGGTAAGTCGAGCCGGGCCTGCAGGTCGAAGAGTGATGAATGTGTTCTAAGAGAAGGTGCGTCGACGTACCTGGGAAGCTTCTGCCTAGTAAGTAGCGTGAACTAAAAGTTGCGTGCTTTGCACCGCGAAGAAGCGCCCTATCACCGGCATCGCGGACGCGGTCAGGTGGGGGCCAATGACCGTACTCTGATCAACCTGCTCGAGTCGGGGTAGCCGCCTCACATCGTCTCGGCCGCCGCCAGGACCTAGAACCGCCAAGGATATGCAAAAAGCAGAGTCAGCAAAACTTCGACAATCAAGGGTTCAAATCGTGAGGATCAGCACGCAAAACGAGATATCCGAGAGCAGACGTGAGAACCAATGAGTAAAAGTCTAACTGACTTCCACGATCTACTCCTTCTGACACCTTTTAAGGAGGTTCATGAAGACATTTGGTGGGGAGACCGACATCGAAACAGGACAAAGCTTTTAATAAAACGTACACCTGAGAACGTCTGCGGGGTCCAGTTATCAGATATCCTTCCATGAGAGGCAGCTATGTTATCGCTGAGAAGAAAGCAAGCAAGCCTTCGTAAATCGTGGGAGCGTGTGAGAGCGTTCGAGGACTACTCCGAGGCCTGCTAAGCCTTTGATATGGTTCCAGACCTTCGATTCGGAGGCTGAGTGAGGTGCAGAGCGATGACCTCCGAAAGATGTTAGGGTTGGGCAGCGAAGTTTCCGCCGTGATCGAATTGCGTTCTATACGGCGAGTGATGCAGTCGATGAATAAATATGAGTACGCACATAGACTGAAGTGCGACACCGACGCAGACCGGCGCGTGGCTGTAATCAAGAACGTGACGAGACGCGTGTGACGTTCATACCAAGGATGTTCATGAACTTGTTCATATACGCGGCAAACTTCGTTCAGCGTCTCGAGCTCGGATAATCTCTTTGTCAGGAATGATCATTGGTCAGAGTCCACGTGAATACATGCTAAGCAAATGTACAGCTAAAAAGTAACAAAGTCAGTGCGTGCCAGGAACAAATTAGTAAGAGGGAAGGTCCAGGTCTCCACCTAGACCCTCCAGAAGCGTAATAGGGTGAATAATAAACGCCTGGAGAACGATGTGGTGTGAATAAAAACCACATATGGAGGAAAGGTGAAACGTACGGCGTCAAGGATTCGAGCAAGGATAGTAACGGTAGAAACCTCGGTTACACTTCTCCATTGAGAACGCATTGAGCCAAATCCTGGTGGCCGACACCCTCTTTGGTGGTCAAAATATCGTGAACCTGGCGGGATATCAGGTCACGAGCGTATTGGAAAACACGGGCACTACGTACCTCACGAGGAGGATCCAAGCCGAGATTGTTGGCACGCTCCCATCTCTCCAGACGCGTCATGCCGACGCAAGGGCCGTACTTGTACTCGCTGGCGACGTGTATGAGCACTGACATGCATATAGCCACGAAGATACTTACAAGTCGAATACGCGTAGGATTTCATGGTACTTCGTCTGTCCCTCCGCATGTACTGGAGAAAAGTCAGCCCATGTAAGTAATACAAGTGTCAGCCAACTCACTAGGATCCATGTACCCCATCTTCGCCTTGGCCGATTCGTAAAGTTTCTTGTATGGTTTGATGATCTTCAAGTTCAACGTCTTCAAGGGTTCCTCCTTAACCTTCACATCGAGCTCGTCTGCATCCTCAATGTCCTCCTCCTCCTCCTCCTTCTTCTTAGCGGCAGCTTGCTTTGCTTTCGTCGTCACCGGCAGCGCCTTCTTCGTCCGCTTCTTAACCGGGCTAGGGGCGACCTCGTACCTCTCCTCATCGGAGATCTCGCTCACTCGCGCATCGCTGTCGCTCGAGCTGTCGTCCACCTGGATGGGGGAGAGGGCATTGAATCTATTGGAAGGCAGCTCGACGAACATGCTGGCCTCCTCGCGCTTGAGCTTCTCCTTCTCGTCCTTGGAGCCGCTGCTCGCGCCAGAGCCTGTGCGCTTGGAGCTGCCGAACGACAACGTGCCTTGCTTGAGAGAGGCACTCCTTGTTTCCATAGTTCTTTGTCTCTTGGCAGCAGGTAGTTTGGAGGACATAGTAGGGTGTGGATGAATGTAGCTGGGAGACGAGGCTGCACGTTGGGGGAAGTTGTTAGGGGAAACGGGTTCATCTTGGTTTGTAGCAACCCATCATAGACGTTATACAAACACTTCTTTCAACGGCCGACTAGCTCAGTTGGTTAGAGCGTCGTGCTAATAACGCGAAGGTCTTGGGTTCGATCCCCACGTTGGCCACTGATTTTGTTGGCCTTTTGTGTGACAGGCTACGCTCTTTTCCTCTTGGCTTTTGTAACGTTTTCTTTACCCCTGCAACGCTTGAAGCACTTTCACCAAGTTTAGAATCCAGTGGTGAATATTTGAATGCCCTGATTGACTAAAAGCTCTTGCACAGAAGGGGTGAACGAGTTAACATCTCGAAAACATCAGAGCATTGACTTCAATGATGTGCGACTGGACACATACGCTCGAGAAATGGGGTTCGCAGTGGGTGGACGATCGTCGAAATCTTCAGTGTCCGCCTCTGTGCGGGTTCAGCACAATGTTCATATTCTCAGGAAGAGCGGACGAGCTTTTCCCAGGGCGGCATACTTGCTGTCATAAACCTATAGGACGTCAATATGAAGCACAACGCTATAAACACACATGAGCGAATGTGGCGATTGACACAAATTTGGTAGCATTACAAAGACGGAATGCATACCGAGAAGGCATACTCATGTGCATGACATAGCCACCTGTGAATTTCGACATACTATCAGACCGGCTTGTACGTAGTGAGGGAAGCGCGTGAGCTACTGATACTAAGTACGTCCGCAGAACGAGGATTTGGAGCTGTCCTGAATCTCAATGTCGACATTGAAATGTTCCCGCTCGCCTCGACATCTCTGCTAGGTCGATTATCTGCCATGCGTCTGGTGTGGAGGATCAACTGCGCAATGAAGATGGAATGCAGGACCCGACCAGGGCTTGAGATAGTCAGTGCGCAGTTAGCACAATTTCTCTCTGAGTATCTTTGAATGCGTGCACGTACAGTCCGAGAGTCAGGGCCAATTCCTCGCTCTAAAGGGGGTTAGCATTCAAGATTGTGCAAGAGAGAGAGCACCCTCACATGTTGACCCATAGCTATGATGACGATTATTACGACTGAGAAGGGGTGGCACATAAGGATGTACCCAGAGGACAACGGTGATTCAAACTCACCAAGTATCATGATGTAGTAGATGATACCTGAAATGTCTGTCAATCATGCCGCTCGCCAGGGTGAGTGATGTAAGTAAGCCTACCCTCAATGGCAACAATTCTGATCATACGAGACAAACTGCGAGTTGTTCTGTCTGTAAACGCGTGGCTGTTAAACGTGATATATAGGCCGATGGACGTAGACTCACATATCAGAGAAAACTTCAATAGAATGAGGATAATGCAAACTTTCCCGTTGGGATAGTAAACAACAGTTCTAGTCAGGCTTTTCAGACAACGCACTCGAATCTCCTGCAACCAGCATTATCCACCCGAGCTGAAGCCACAACCTGTTCCACTTAGATGGAACGAGAAGACAACCATCGTAACCCTCCAGCGAGTAAACTGTGGCAGAGCAGAGAATACGTCAGACGGGCAGATTATCAGGACCATCGTGGCTCACTTTGGATGGTTTCCTGAACCTCAAACGTGAAACATATGCCTGCAATGGTCATGACGACCCAAATGCTAACCAGAACCGCTTTCATGGAACGATGAAGGTCCCACACGGCCCATGCACGGACGAAAAGAGTGACTGACCATATGTTTTAGCTAATGAAGTACGAATAAAAGACTGGTCGTACTTTCTGATATCGCCATGCCGAGTGTGTTTGTATCTACAAGCCGGTCAACAAATGCATCTTTCCTCGGCAGGGACGGATAGTCTTACAGAGAATCGCCGCAATTGCCTGCGAACTACAGCCTCGGGACCCAAATCCGGATTCAAATGCCACTGAAGGATTGTCGTCTATCTTATACGAGGCAAAAGACCACTTACAGTATTGTAGTTCGAGTCCTATATCGATGAAAACCTGGTACCTTGTCCACAGGTACAGAACTTTCATAAGCGAGAGACGTGCGCGCCATATGTACGCGATCTCAAGGTCGAGCAACCTGATATAATCATACACCTTGATCGTCCAGTTACTTCATTAACCGATAAAATCTACTTCATTCAAGAACTTACGGTCACAGTGGTCGCTGCAACTAATAAAGAAGCTTTCAGTAACGTCGACCCACAAGAGTCACAAAAGCGCTTACGGGCTAAGTACTGTAAGCAAGGACGTCGTTACCGTTGAACCCTTTACGATGACACTGGCAGCATCACTTACCGTAACAAGCTGTTCAACGCGAAAATGCTCAATCAAATCATCGTAATCCATCCCCGGTGTAGAAGTCATGGTGAGAAGGGGGAACAAGGTGAGGGGTGGGAGGGAGCTTCTAACTCAGTTACGCTTTGCAATAAATAGCAATTGCCAGCCGTACCAATGCGAATCAATAACGTGATGGCGTAGTGCATCGTACACCTCACCTCGGACGTTTAGAGTCGCGTTGGACATTTAGACAGCGTCGGACCTGGTTGGAAAATCAGTTCGGAAAAGATCCAGAAAACATTTTCCGTTGTGCCCAGCGACTCGGAACGCTTCCTCTCACGGAAAGTCGAACTGTCTAAGTTTGACGCATACGTTAGCAGAGGTCAGCAGCCTACTTTATATGTCCCGCCCAGGGTCGATTTCTTGCGGGATCGGTTCGGGGATATGAAGGGATCTGATTGTCACTACTATCCCTCGGTCATAATGATGGCAAGAGTCAGGCGCGCTTGGACAGGCGCCGGACCAATTATGTCGGGGCATGTGGGAAGGCGGATTGGCCCCTGTTTTGCGATACCCCGTCACTCAAGGCAAAATCAAAAGCATAGCCGACTTCCGGAGGTCTGAGCTCAAGCTTATGTCCCCTTCGGGGTGACATACGTAAAAATTGGAACGATACAGAGAAGATTAGCATGGCCCCTGCACAAGGATGACACGCTTTTCCAGAGTGGTAGACCTACGGGTCTCAATATTTATTGCTCCTTTTTTTGCCTGAGTCGACGTATACAAGCTTTTACACCGAAAATTCTATTTTGAAGCAATTGCCTTCCTGTGCCGCCATAGTCACTGAAGTGATGTCAAACACTACAGGCAAATGCGATAATTCTGGACCCGAAAATAAGGAGGAAAATGCACTGGAAAGTAAATACTTTCCTCCATATTTCCCTTTGACCAATAGAGGCCGAAAAAGTTTCATGTTCCAGTGAATTTTCAGGCGACAAAATCAAGCTTACCTTCCATTTATAAACATTAAGCGCTGGCGGAGATTCAACTCCTGCTTCAACCTGCCTTTTTGGGCCTCTTTGCGCACCAGAAAATGATAACTTTCCGCGTGCTTATTCCTAGCCCGAAAATCTGTAGGAAGATGTTTACTTTCCAGGTCATTTTCCTGCTTATTCTCGGGCACAGAATTAGCACATTTGCCTGTAGTGAAACCTACTCATTCAAAGAGGGCGAAGCCGGAGCATGACACTCTGAATTCACGATCCCTTGTGCAGCCTGATGGCATGAGCCCTTGTTGACGTTCACTGCAGAAGATGGTCTCGTTCAATGTAAGGAAATAAAGACTTGAATGCGCTGTTAACAGTATTCTATAGGGAGTCCCAAGCTGAGGATGTCGGCCGCGGGGGCCGAAGCCACGTTCCGCCAATTGCCATTTACCAACGTTTTCCACGGCACCTCTTGGGGGTGTTCTAATAATAACCACCAGCATGAAACTAGCACTCGAGTGGTATAATTGACCACGCTTGCGTACTGCAGTTATCAACGTTTGTTCGTCAACCTAAGCAAAAAAAAAACCTCCACACGACAAATTGCGCGTATAGAACAACGAAACGATGATGAGAAACTCGAAGGTGTATGTATCAGTACCGAAACCATCGTAAACAGTAAACATGACAGCATTGAGCATCGAAAGGCGTCCAATGGTTTGATTACAGGCCTCAGCCCATTTCAGGCGGGCTCAGCAGCGGAGGTATACCACCTCCACCTCAGTACATCAATCTTCAGATCGTCCACGTCCATCGCCATCGACCCATCATCGCCGCCGTCGGGCCGCTCGCCGCCCCTCACCACTACTGCCTCCTTCCCTAGGCTGATGTCGTCTTGCGTGAGGTTTCTGCGAATTGGGTGCAGGGTATGCGTTCGTGGAGATTGTATTGGCGAGGTAGAATCTGTCGACAGGGCTTGTTCTGGAAGTTGCGAAGGAGTGTCGGTTAATGGTTGGGATGGAGGGTTCTCCTTGGAATAGGAATCGGAAGGGGTTGGTTTGGAAGTGGCAAGCGTTGACGCGGTAGCTGGAGACGAGTCTGCGTCCTTCGAAGGCTCAGATACAGGTGCTATTCCGTCGGAAGAAACTTGGGGAGCTGAGGGTTCTTCGGGCGGATCAATGAAATCCTCCTCGATTTCGCCAGGTTCCGGACTAGATACCTTCTTCGCCGCTGGAACAGGGGGCGCTGTGGCCGTGTCTTCTGGGGGTTTGACTTCGGTTGTATCCTTGACCTCGGACGCCTTCGGAGCTTCAGACGTTGACGCTGGAGGCGAAGACCTCAACGGCTCTGGAGGGACAGACACAAGCGTCGACAACGTGTACTTCCCGTCTTCGCCCTCCACCGGCAGAATGACGTACGACTCCTCGGCAGCTTCGAGTACGATCGCTTTGCCCTTGCCCTTGCTGTCAGCGATCGTTTGCATTGCCTCAACAGACGGCGCTGGCGACCCTGAGTCGTCCACTTCCATCGGCGCTGCCTCTTCTTCTGCGTCAACCTTCCACCGTTTGCGAGACGAGGGACCAGCTAGCACATCATCCGAGGATGACGAGCCTGATGAGAACAAAGCAGAAGTGATGATCTCCGGGTCATATTTATACCTTCATATCCGTTCCATCAGTAACGATGCCTCGATAATCACGAAGAGACATACCCAGCGCTCTCTCCCTCCTTCGCAGCCCCAAACACAACCGTCCTCGCCGCCATCCGCCTAACCTCGAGCAGCAGCTCGGCGTCCGCATAGTCCTGCTGACTGTACGTCTGCACCTTGATCTGCGTTTGGCTTCTGACCTTACTCGCTGAAAAGTCCTTCGCGAGCGGGTCCCGATCCTTCTCGATACGCCTCCGTTTCCGTCTCCCATTCGAGATATCCTCAAACGGATCCAGCGTGATCGGCGACGACGTTGACTCCCGGTGTCCGTGCGCAAATATAAGCGACCGCGGCGGGCTGAGCACCTCCGCACGGCGCTCGGCGTACTCTGCGAGACGCTGGGCGCGGTTCCGCCGTCCCAGACCGAGACCCCTGTGTGCCGTGTTTGGCTGGAAGTCAACATGTCAGCAAAAGGTAGTATCAGAGTATGTGCCCCAAATACGAACCTCAACAATCTCAGCCCTCAACACCTCTATCCCGCTCCCGTCGTGCCCCCATCCCCAGCCCGCACTGACCACACACCTCCCGTCATCCTCCGGCGTCGATTGAACCTCGCCCTCGTCCACGCCCGTATACTCCTTCACGACCACCACGTCCTTGTCCTTCCCTTCACCGCCCTCGACCCTCTTATCCTTCCCTTCCTCACCCTCCTTCCCATTCTCGTCCCCATTGCTCGGCGAAGACGCACAGCTCGAGTGTCCCCAAAACGCCCAGCCCCAGTTCCCGACGAACCGATTCGTCCACACGTTCGACCACGGCCCCTCGCTCTTCGCCTGCCCGTCCGCCCCGCTGAGCGTCGGCAGCGCAGGGGAGGCACCCGGCATCCCAGGTCCCGTATTGGCGTTGACATTGCCCCCACTGCCGTTGACATGCCCGTTCGTCTTCCCGTTGACAGCAACAGCACTAGCAGCCTTGCCCTTCCCACTGCCATTCCCATTGACCCCACCCGCATCTCCGCCATCCGAAAGCGGCGACGGCGACGACACCAACGGCGCCCCAGGCACAGACCCCACACCCCCATCCTCCCCATGCATCGCACCCACCTCCTCCCAACTCGCGCTCATAATCGTCCGCACAAGCGCCACCTCCAGCTTCAAATCCCTTCTCTCCCTAATCGCGCGCGCGAGCGCGCTCCACGTCAACAGGCCCGCGTGCACCGCGCACGTCACCAGATCCGAGTCGTCCGTGTACACCCGCCGGCGGTACGCCGAGAGCGCCGCGGGCGGCGGCAGGATCGCCTGCAGCTGCGCGAGCACCGACGTGCCCGGCTGCAGCGCGTGCGTGAGCTGCAGGCCGTGCGGCGTCTGGATGATCCGGTTCGCGACGAACGGCGACGCGAGCGGCGGCGGCGGCAGGAGCCCGCCGCCCCACAGACAGTCGATGTGCAGCCGCTGCCGGGGCAGGTGCGCGCTGGGAATGATGATCGTCACGCGCACCTCGGTCTGCCCTGGCATCTGCTGCTGCGCGCGCCGTTCCTTCGCCGACTCGTCCGTGGGACTCTTGCTCTTGCTCTTGTCCTTGTCCTTGTCCTTGTCGCCTTCTTCCTCCGCCTCCGACTCGACCTCCACATCCGGCAGCCTATCCGGCCAATAAAACGGAAACGGCGTCTTCGGCCACACATACGTGCCCAGGCTCACATGCCGCATCCCCATCCTCGCCTCGCGGTCCTTGATCCTCTCCGACACATGGTCGATCGACGCGAGCACCTCCTGCTCGAGCTGCTGCAGCGTCTCGGGGTGCAGAATCAGGCCCTCGTCCAGCTGCTCCGCCGCACCGGGCGTGTACACCATCCTCGGCTCGCCGAACCCGTTCACAGGCTGGGCGACGGGAACGCCGCCGAGCACGGGGTTCACGCCCATGCCCATCTCGAGCATCATGCGCTCGCGCGCCGCCGCGGCGGCCTCCAGCTCGGCGACTGACGGCCCAGGATGGCCGGGGTGATGGTGGCCGTAGGGCGGAATCCCAGGTCCGGGGGGCATCATCCGCGCCGCAGCAGGATGCGCCTCGCGCTCGCGCTCCAGGTGCTGGTGCTGGTTATGATGCTGGCGCTCCCGCTGCATCTCCTTCTCCCGCTCCCTCATCATCTCCCTCTCTCTCATCATCTCCCGATCCCGCTCCCGGTCCGGATGGCGCTCGCGCTCGCGCATCTTCTCGCGCTCCTTCAGGCTGAGCTGCTCCCGCATATCCCGCATCGTCGGCGACTGCGCGCGGCTCTGCGGCAGACTCTGGATATGCGCGCGGTCGTGCTCCCGCTCGCGTTCGCGCTGCCACTCAGCGGCCATCATCTCGCGCTCGCGCTCGCCGGGCACACCGCGGTACATCCTCGACATCTCCTTGTCGTGCGGCGGCAGCCCACGGTGGTCCCCCATCCCGCCCATACGATCGTGCGGATGCCCGCCCATCGCGCCAGGTGGCGGCGGCGGCGCCAGAGGACCATGTGGCGGCAGACCACCGGGCTGCGCGGGTCCGAACCGCTCTCTCGACGACGACAAAGACGAAGGTGGAAGCGTGCTGTCAAACTCGCGCTGCATCCCGCGCTCGCGCTCCCTCTCCGCGAGCTTTTCACGATGCCGCATGTCCCTCTCCCACTCGTGCTCCCTCTCCATACCACCCATCCCCACACCCATCCCCATCCGCTCGCGCTCGCGTTCCCCGCGCATAAGATCCACGCCCGGACCGACAATCCCCATCCCAGGCCCGACACGCCCGCTCTCGCGCATAAACTCCTTCTCGCGCCTCCGCTCCTCGCGCTCGCGCTCGCGCAGCCGCATGTCCTCCATCTCCCACTCGCGCTGCTGTTGTTGCTGCTGTTGATGCTGCTGCTGCTGTTGATGTTGCTGCTGCTGCTCCTTCCTCCTCTCGCGCTCCCTCTCCCTCTCCCTCTGCTCCCACTCCCGCTCCCGCTCGCGCGCCTCCCACTCCGGATGACCATTCCCAAGCCCATGCGCCGGGAACGGACTCTGCCCCGGCCCCGGCCCACCCCGCTGCTGAGCGATCCCGTGCCCAGGCGGTGGCGGCGCATGCGGATGCGGCGAGGGCTGCGAGGACGGATGCGGGTGGGAGAGGGGCAACGGGCCCGGGTGCACATGCGAGCCAGCGTGTGGCGGTGGAAGATGCCCCGAAGGCGGAGGCTGCGAGTGTCTGGGATGCGCCGACGGATGCGAATGGCCCGGGCCAAGCGACGGCGGCGGCGGAGGCTCTGCGAACCCCATACCGCCAACGCCTATCCCTCGGCTGCCTGGTCCGTGCAAACCGGGCGGACCAGGAGGACCAGGCGGATGCTGCCCGTCGGGCGAGAAAGGCGGCGGACCATGGTTGCTGAGCGAATGGCGATGTGTGCGGTGCGCGTGCGCGTCTCGCTCCCTTTCTCTTTCTCTCTCCCTCTCCCGATGGCGCATATACTCCGCTTCCTCCTTCGTCTGCGGAAGCCCGAGATGCGACTGGGAGTGCGAATGCGAATGCGAATGCTGTGGCGGCGGCCTCGCAGGATCAAACACCAGCGGATCCATCGCGCGGTCGCGGTCGCGCATCTTCAAGCTATCCCGCTCCCTCGACCGCTCTCTTTCCATAGCTATGCGCTCGCGCTCTCCGCCGTTGAGATTGGGGTTCAGATTCGCGTGGTGGGCGTAGGGGCCTGCACCAGCAGGGCCACCAAGGCTACCCATGGGACTGGCGTTGTTCCTATCGCGCTCTCGCTCCCTGATCCGCTCCCGCTCGCGTTCCCCGCCAGGGAAACCGTATCGTTCTCTATCACGCTCAATCCGCTCCCGCTCGGGTGGGTAGCGGTCTCGTTCGTGGGCGTAGCGATCCATGCCAGAAGGGGGAAGGCCTCTGTCGCGTTCTCTGTCGTTCATTCCGGGTGGTGGAAGTCTGTCGATGCGTGCAGGGCCAGGAGCACCGGGACCAAGTTTGCTGATAGGCGGCGAGTGCGACGGAGGGAGCGGAGGTGTAGAATGGGAATGAGAGTAGGAGTGGTGGCTGTGCGTTCCAGGGCCTTGCGCGTGCGTGCTTTGAGAGAGAGGATGGGGTCCGTGATGACTAGGTGGGTGGTGTTCTACAACAAGTTAGCGACATATCCAAGCAAGCTGAAGTACAGGAAAGACGGAAAATTTCGTATGAATGGAATGAAAGGGGGGCAGATTGATGCCGAGTATAGATACAGGGCACGTTATGCATATATGGGGATAAAGAGCTGGAAGCCGGAGCGAACAGCACTCGTGATCGCGGAGAAGCGGTTCGTGTACGAAAAGAACGGGTTTGGGATGCTAAACGCAACGAAGAGGGTATGATACGTACCTCCACCTACGTTTATGCTTCCCGCGTGGTCTGAAGGAGGACGAGATAGTGGCGGAATCGGACTGCGGTCTGCAAAACACCAGGTCAGTATTCACATCACATCTCATAAGATATAGGTATAGCAATGGGAAGAGAAATGAGCGTGATGCGAGTTGAATGGACGCAATGCTCCAAGCAGACACGATAGTGGACTCCCTCAACCACGTGGACGCGGATTTTATCAAGAATGTCACGTTGAAAGAGGTGAATGACTGAAAAGCAGCATGAAGCGAAAGCACGGAAACGTGAACTCACCCGATGACGAAGTAGACATCCCACCTGGAGCGGCTAACCTCTGCACGACCGGACTGCGTTCAAGGCCTGAGTGGCAACGAGCCTGAATCAACGTCCAAAACGCGAGCACAGATGAGTGAAAACACACACCTGGAACTCTGGTGATACTCCTGCTGGACTGGTGGTGCGGGGGTCGACCTGGTTGTGATGGTGCAGCAGCGGATGATGCAGACGGAGTGAGAAGAGGCGAGGACCCCGGAGCCGAGTTGCGGGCGGGACCCCAGGAGGGAGGGTGCTGCAGCGAGGCCATGGCTGGTGATACATTGTCGTGTCCACCACTGCCACCGCCACTGACATTGCCCGAGTTGGATGACCTGAAGCGGAGGTGGACGTCTGGCGGGGGAGGCTGTCCTGGGCCCGAGCGGGGAGGGAGAGACGCGGGAGGGGGGTATGAGGACGGGGATGTGTTGGTGGGAGGCGGGGCAGCGGAGGACGGGGGCTGGGACGAGGGCGGGGGGTACGGGTGGTTGTAGGACGGGGTGGCTGAGGATTGGGAAGGCGGCGCTGGGTTGTTGGAGTTTGTGTTAGGAATGGGAGGGGGCTGGGTGGGATTGTCGGACTGGGAGAGACGCTTCCTGTGACCAGGACCCTGGCTGGGTGAGTCCTGGAGGAGGGCAGCGACGTTCATCGGGTTGTCGCGTGTTGAGTGTGGTCGTGATGATGGAAGGAGGAGGAGAAGAGAAAAGAGAGGAGGTGTGGGATGGGAGCAAAAAGCGAAGCGAGGCGAGGGGAAAGGGAAGCTAAGCCAAAGGGAAGGAACGCGGCCTCAAATGAATCACCTCCCGATCGAGATCTGCCACGCTCATCCTCCGATCATCAGGTACACAACACTTGGAAATAAAACGTCACTTTCCTATGTTCCAGCAATTCCTCGTCTTGCACAACAATTGCCTACCTTATTTCTACGTGCAAATCTCTCCATTGTTCTCATCATTGAGTCTCAGAGAAAGAACAGCGCTACCTTTGCAAATCACTTGCCCCACACGACTGACAGAGTAATGTAATGTTCTCGACTTGACCGCCTATGATATCAGTTATCCCCGCTCGCCATGCGCAGCTGTGCGCCCCCGGCTTTGCATTTCCACCTGCCATAACCTCCAAGCTCCCCACTGATATGAGGACGACTTTCCTACACTCGGTTCATCCTCACCCCGCCCAAGCGCCCATCTATTCCCGGATCCGCACTGCTATGCCGGTAGCCATCTGCACTCACATCTTCGTCGTCGGTACTTTGATGAAATCACAATTTACTTAAAGCCAAACACGGCGACACGCCTGGCATCGAACAACACCCTCGGGACTTCTGCACGCAATACACCTATGCACCCAGCTGTCAACACCTGCCAGTGGCGTCGCCATGCATAACGCCGAACTCTCGTCGAGAATTCGTGATTTGTGGACTTCTGTGTGGACCGACGTCGACATGAGCAGCAGCACGATGGCTCACAAGACCTGTTCCGGACGATGCCGAGGCCCGGACTCATTTGCGGGATCAGGTCTGTTGACTTGACAGATTTACGTGCCCACGTGTCGTGAAGGCCAAATTTCAACTTGCCTCCGCCGAATCCGAACCTTATCGCGTCCGCGATTCCTGAAACATCTTTTGACAAGAACTCCCTCTTGTTCGCCTCACCCAATCTACTCCCACAAAGAGTGGGTAAACGTCCTTGCTGTCGGATTTGCACACATACAATCTCGCTAGTGCCCTTGTGAAGATCATTGCCGAGGTTTGAATTTCGTTTCACTTCCCTCGCAACAGACAACAGACAGGGGCTCGGCGGACTGCGTTGCCGAGGCCCAGGTAAGCACTTGCTCTTTATAGTAATTCATATAAGCGTTAGGGTTGCCGTAAAGCTGCAATGGAACCCCGGCCTTCGGTTCATTTACGTACAGCTTCTCTTTCCCCCACTGGATGCGCTCTGCCCACCACTGCGACTCTCGAGCAACTCATCGAGGCGCAGTGAAAGTATATGCACATACATACTTGGACTCGGACACGAAGCTCTATACGCGATTGCAACCTCGAGATCACGATAACAATGACCAAGGCTTTCACCGGCCGCGGTAACCACCGTCTAACCGCTGGCGCTGCGCATACATTCACCATGCATGTGTTTGCTCTATAATCAACACTCCGTAGTCCCCCGTAGTTCTCCGTCTATCCAATGCGCGTCCAGCCGGCTCATGGGAGGATCCGGGAGGTGCGGGAGGTGAGATAAGATAAGATGCATGCCTTTATAAAGACTGCTTGACCCCACAGTGTTCGACCCAAAATGAAAGACTCGTGTCCTCAAGAATACACCCCGCGGCTCTGAGATTCTCCCCATGGCCATGCGTCTCTGACTAATGGCTGCGTTCACTTTGGCGGACTTTCTGACCAGCGACATTCCACAATGTTCGCCTCGGACAATCTACAGATAGACACGCGCCTCGTGGCCGACACAACTAGCTCCTACTTCGACCCCTTCAGGGCTACGCTCGCCATGAAACATTGCCAAGGTCAAAAGACACTCTACCTGCGCTCATTTAGCCTTTTTGCGGGCTCGGAGCCGCCGCCCGGTCTCAGGGATGCAGAATGCATGATCAGCGCACTGGCAGGGCTCCGTGCCATGGCACCGAGACCACTTCCATTTCCTCCAGCGGGTTAGACGTAGAGCGTGAGCCCGCTCAAGTCGTGAGCTGCGATGCTTGTCGAGCGTACAGTTTTACAGTGCTGGCTGTGGGTGATACCTGCTTTCCGTCGCATTCAGCTCAACCCATGGAAGTACTTATATGATGAACGATTGGTGTTCTAGGTTGCATTGACGAGACGGACACCTTCGGGACGAAACGAAAACCGTCGCTCCTGTCATACGGGCCCATCGTCCCTTTGCAATGTGCTAAGCGAGCCGATCAGTTGGTAGGCTGCAAAGTCCTGGCGCTGGCAGGACAATTGGTGTCCATTGTACCACACCATTTCTGGCAGCGATCGGCGCGACACGCACCGTCTCGTACTCTCGATTTCTTGACGTTTGTCACGTCCAGACTCAGGCTCGCGGAATGCAGGCACAGTACATGCGCTACGCTTAACTTTTTAGATGCTTGGGCTTGGACTCTTAAAAACCCAGCAATCCTCGACCGCCCAGGTGTAGACTCCAAGTTCTTTTTTTTTCGCCCCACCATCCCTGCTAAACCTCCTCTCTTTCCTTACCCTTACCAAAATCCCTCCCAGACCGCGCTCAGCCAGTCAAACCCCACCAACATACTCGAGTGCATGACTGGCATGGCACGCCTCCGCGACCTCCCACACGACATCCACCTCGCCATCCTCACCCTCCTCCCAGCCGCAGACGCCCTACATCTCCTCCGCGCGCTGTGCCTCCGCGAACTATACACCTCGCGCCACCTCTGGTGCGCCATCCTCGCACGCGAACGGCGCGTCCGCCCGCTACCGTGCCCGGAGCACGTCTACACGTGGGACCTCGATCTCGCGGCGGCGCAGCGCATGGTGCGCAGGGCGCTCGATGTCGCGTGCAATATGGCGCGGCCTGAGTTGAGGCCGAGACAACTGGTAGTCGGAGGCGGCAGTGGCAAGTCTGACGCTTACGCGGAGTCGGATTTGTCGGGGGCGACGGGCTCCGGTGCTGTGTATCTTGGGTTCACGGCGGCAATTCTGCATGTTGTTCCGGGGACGGGTGTGGTTATTCTGCATTCCCCGCTGAGTCAAAGGGGGGATTTGTGGTACTACGACGTCGGCACGGGGACGTGCAGAAGGTGCGGGCAGGTCGGTGATCAAGTTGACCATATCGCGTTCAAGGAGGCACGGGATCGTCTGCTTTTTGCTGTCGCTGTGAAGCGGCGCGATACAGTGTAAGTTCAACTGTCTGACCGACAGCATTTTTTGTCGTGCCGGTGTCATGCTCCTTCTGACTCGTGGTTGTAGGGAAGACACGCGCTCACTTGTCTACGTCGTCGACATTAACTACAAAGATCGCACCGCGCCTGTTGTATCGTTCCACGAGGGACAATTGCACGGCTGTTCACTGGGCATTTTTATCTTCGACTCCGTCCCCTCTGACGAATCGAACTTAATCGTCGGAAGCCTTTGCCTCGTGAACGCGAACACGAGGGAATATCCCCACAACGTCCTCGCTCTGGAATTTGTGCGTATCAACGACACCAAGCACAGGCGAGTATTTGTCACCACTGGTGTCCCGGAGGTTGTTCGTGAAGCCGAGGTACGTTGGCGCGCTAGACAATAATAAATCCTGCACACAATCGCTAATTACAACGTGAAATACACCCACTGACAGATGCGTCCAACGGCCTACACTTTCAACGGCGACGTATACATCGCCGAAGGCAACGCGTACCGCGTGTCTATCCACCGGATACCTCCTCGCTGTCTGACAGTAGTCAAGGACCTTTTCTCGAGCTCGAGCTCGGGCCCAAACAAGCTGAAAATTCGAGACTATAAGATCCCACTAGGCCTGGACGACACGCTCTTGCACTCTTTCAGCACGCATCCGAGCCCTGGCAAGCGGCTCCTCGAGCGACAGCGGCTCGTTCCCGTCTATCCTACGTACGGCCTGCACCTGGTCTCTGTCCACGAGTTCGCAGAAGACTTGCGCGAGGATCCATCGTGCTATGGTAATATTAATGGCCAGGAGCTGACGTTGTTTCAGAGGCAGAGGAGCAACTACTTGAAGCACTCTACGACGCTGACCTTCTGGCTGGCTTCTCTTTCTCCACGTTCTGTCTCAAGCTCGGGTGCTTCGAGTAGCAAGGGTTCTCAGGCGATACCGCTCGAACAGACTCACACTCAGCCTAGCCTGGATTTCAAGCCGCAGGTACCTAGCACTTCCACTACCGTGGAGGACTCCTTTGCCAGCGCGGGAAGGCGCGACCTGCTCCATGTCTCTCGGTCCGGCGCGTACTGCTTCTATGTCTCGAAGAAACAGAGAGTGCAAGGCAAGACTCTGATCACGGTTCTGCACCACGATATCTTGACGGGGGCGACCTCGCGTCATACACTGGCTTTAGGGATGTCGAAACACGATATTTATTCACTTGCTTTTGACGAGAACGACGCTTTGCTGCTGGTTACCACGAAGGACTCGCAACTGCACACTTATTCGTTCGACGGGTGTCGTAATGGCTGAAGATCGCGGGTCGTACATGCTTGTTGATGGTCGATGCGTGAATAGACCCAATAATATACCTATATAATCCAGCTGTTTGTCAAAAGTACAACAACAATAATAATACTACATAATCACTCAGGCTTCTGTCCGCAAATCGCATACCACTTTGTCACAATGCCCTCTCGCTCATTGCACCTCTTCACGAACCGGTCGACGTACTCATCGTACTCCTCCGGGCTGTTCACCATCCCGAACCCGCCAGCCGCCAGAATCGGGTTCTTGAGCGCCCTATACACGCCAACAAGGTTATACAGCGACCGCGCGCCGTCCTCCCCGCTCCACTCGCCCAGCGGCACGCTGCGCTCCTCCACACTCACGTTCACAAACCCTTCCCTGCGCAGCAGCCCCGACAGGTCCTTGTAGCAGTCCTGCACGAGGCCCTTGCGGCGGAAGAGGTGGCCCATCATGTCCGATATCCGCGTGCCGTCCTCCTCGCGCGCGCCCGTCGTCGTGAAGACGTGCGCGCAGATCTCGACGAGCTGCACCCACCCGCCCGCGCGGAGGACGCGCATGATCTCGCGCGCACACGTCGTCCATTCGTCCTGCTTGAGCGCGGCGACCATCAGCCGCTGGTTCACGAGGGCGAACTTGGAGGACCAGGAAGGGGGGAGGTCGAGGAACGAGGTCGCGGAGAAGTGGATGTTGGAGGGCGGCTGCGCGGGCACGAGGCGCGTGTGCAGGTCGACGCCGTAGAAGGATACTGAGGGAGGGAGGGCTTGGGCCATGTCGAAAATCCAGGCTCCTGAGAAGGTACCGTGCGGGATAAGCGTCTGATAGGAATATTTTGGCGTTGACGGGACTCACCAGTACCGGTACCATTATCCAGGACTTCGTCGTCGCCAGAGATGGCGATAGGCGCATACAATATGCGGTTGCCGAAGATGTGCTTGACAATCTCGTGCTGAGAATCAAGTCTGGATGTCCGTCAGGAATGGTGACTAGAAGGATACACGAGAGACTATTCACCTTTCTCCCTCTTCAATGTCGGCAGGGAGAACATAGGCTGCCCCAGTGACACCATGGAAGACACGCTTCTCGGAGGTGTTGGTGGCATATGCGGGAGGCGCGACCAAAGACGCGTTGAGGACCTGAGTTGCCATGGCTGGGGTAGAGGAAGGCGGGCGTCGAGACATTTAGTGGGATGCAGGAAGCAAGGAGATACTTCTCAAGAAGTGGGCGGACGTGGCTTATTATACGCAGTCTCAGGAACCAAAAACATAAGCACACCGTGATGTGGCCCTGCAACAGGAAGCGGAGAGCTGAGACTTGGCCGGTGACGCTCGCGTCGCAACAATTCTATTGATATAACTTAGCCGTCGGTGCCAGAAGCCCGTTCTAACTCACATTTAGCAGCATAGCCGAGCCAACGAAGGCCATCAAAAGATTGAAGGCGTTTCCAGATGTCTGATGACGGTCTCAGGGGCCAAACCATAGCTTGTCATGTAAAGCCGATGCTTCGCACTCTGAGCCTGGGCTTTGGGGTCGAGTTTGGGGCAAGAGCGTAGGGTGTCGAGACGAGCGGGTCCAAACGCACTGGGTCGGGATCAGATGGAGCCACCGCACATACAGAGTGAGAGAAGAGATGATCATTCCCAGGACCCGCAAGGCTTACGTTGCAGCATAGGCTTCTTTGATCGCGAAGTACGAAGCTGATATCTTCTGATACCGTATGTGCCGTGCTCACGCGCAATGTTCTACTGATCGCAGATGCTATGCTGTGGGCGTGATCCACTATGGAACACGTCTGTCTTATCCGCTTTTCGTGAGGAAAGCTGCTGAAGGCACCCGACGGCTTGATGAAGTGACAGGTGCTATCCATCTTGCTATGAAACCCTTGATCTGATCCTCCAGGCGTGATGGATGGTATGGCTAAGAGCGTTAACTTTGCATTCTGGGGCCAAGATGACGAGACGCCAAAATGTGGACGCATGATCGCCAGCGGAAGCAAACATCACGGACAAGTTTGACTCGGAAAAGGTGAAGTTGAAGTTGCTAGTCTCCAAAAGGAAACGAAAGTCCACCTGCCGATCACGTGCAGGTCATATGCCCGCTGACGCGTTTACCGCCGGCGCGATTGAATGCTCGTTCCCTTGACTTTGCACAACAGACCACACGCGTCTCCTCACTTCGGATTCACAGCGTTTGATAGCACTGTCCCATCCACATCTTCTCGATATGGCGATACCGGAAATGTCGGTCTTATTTAGTGCGGCAGCAGGAATAATGGCCACTTATGAGACCGAGGGTCGCATGAAGTCAGTGCTTGTTTATCGTGCGACAGACTCATGCCTCCACATACTGACGGGTGGTTGCAACAAGGGACCTCACCATTCGGATCATCCGCAAGCAGCTCGAAGAAAAGTTCTCGCTGGAAGACGGTGCGCTGGATGCCCCAGAATACAAAAAGCCTATTGGAGAATACGTCCGAGATGCGACGGTATGACCCATTTCGTGCCGCATACAGGTGCTTGTCGTCATTCCCATCAACCAACAGGCCAAGGGTCAGAAGGCAAAGAGTGCTGGCGGGGAAAAACAGGACGAGGGTGGAGAGGACGCAAAGCCGCGCAAGAAGGCTAAAGTGGATGAACCCAAAGACAAGAAGCCTGCCTCGCGCGCAAAGCCAGCGTCTGGGAAGGGCAAAGAGGGAAGCAAGCCAAAGTCCGGAGTGCGTCTCCGTTCACATTTCCCGCATAAATGCTCCTCATGCTCAATATTGATATTGCAGGCAAAACCTTTATCTTCCGTTGACGACAGTCCGAAGAAGCCCTCGGCTAAGAGGTCGACTTCTGCTAAGGAGACGCCAACAAAGCCAACGGTATATATGCTGTTTCCTCAAAAAGCACTCCCCACTCACCATCTAGCAGAGCGCTAGCGCCGATGAGAAAGGCAAAAGGATCTACAAGTCAAAGGCAAGTTCGTCCGCTATCTCCCCTTGGGCGCCTTTGAATTGACATCACTAACTTAGGACACGGTCGACACCTCCGACGAAGAGGATGTCAAGCCCTCCAGCAAACCTCCAGTTTCGAAGAAGTCCACTACAGCACGGCCCGCTAACCTAACCAAGAAAGCGCCGACATCCACAGCCTCGACGTCCAAGTCACCGCCAAAGTCCGCCAAGGCAGCTGAAGCTGAAGACTCCGACGAACCTGACAAGCCCAAATCAGAATCATCGAAAGGCAAGGCCTCGGCTGCAAAGCGAATGCGAGTTGAGGTGTCAGACGACGAAGATGGTGGCGAGAACGAGGAATCTCCACCAAAACCTAGCTCGAGCGGGCCGGTAAAAAAGGAGTTGAAGCCAGGTGCGCCTTATATTACGCTTTACAGGCATTTTCTGCAGCGTGTTGAGCAGGTTTCCGGACAGAGTCGAAACAGGCACCCCCTTCGTCAGACAAGCCTGGCAACAAATCTGCCCCGGTGAAAGCAAAGGCTAAAGATGCCAACGATGAAGTATGTTCCTAATTCGGCCTTTGCTCGCTCGCTCGATTAGACGACTCAAACGGATTCGCCATCAGCTCAGCGAGTCAGAGCTATCCTCCGTTATCGACGAACCACCGAAGAAGAAACGGGCCAAGGTACGTAGGATGGGACGACATACCTTAGTTCACTCATTTGACACATTCCACTATCTTAGAGTGCAGGAAAAGAGAAACCGACAAAGGCCACGAAGACAAAGGGCAAACGCGGCTCCCCCGACCCCTCGAAGGAAGACCCAGCCGTGACTCGTCTGAAAGTACGTCCCAACGATGCCCCGCTCTTCCGCTTACCTATTCAATCATGACGGCGGTACAGAAAATGGTCCTAGCATGTGGCGTGCGCAAGACGTGGAAGACCGAACTCGCGGATAAGTCGACCAACGCGCAGATCAAGAGGCTGAAGGAGATCCTGTCGGAGCTTGGCATGGACGGACGACCGAGCCTCGAGAAGGCCAGGGAGATTAAGGAGCAGAGGGAGCTCGCGCAGGAGCTAGGTACGTTTCCAGTGATCCTCACTCAGTGTCGTTATCTGCAAGGCTAATCTATGCGCGCGCGGGTTATCAGAGGAGGTGCAAGCGTTCGACAAGGCGATGCGCTCGCGAGGGAGGCGCAGTGGGTCGTCCGCCGCTGAAGAAGATGAAGAGAGCGAGGAGGAGGAGGAAGTACCGACGAAACGCAAGGTGATTGGTATACTCAGATAGTGTGCGTCCTGGCTCATCCCTCCGTAACAGCGAAACGCGCGTGCGAGTATCGCAGCATTTCTCGGGGACGAGAGTGACGAGGAGTAAGGCATGTGGCCGTGATGATGATCGTCTCATGCTTCTGGTTACGAATGGCTCTTTGAAGACGTCTAAAGCTGTTCTCCGCCAAGCCCAACTTTCTACTCAAAGAACTTATCGTTTACTTTAATCTCGCGTAAATGTAAGATACCATCATGTAGCTCGGATATTTCAATCTTGATTTCTTGTCGAATCTTGAGTACATGCCTGAAGCGTGAGTTCCAAAGCTGCACGGCGCGGCGTCTAAAAGCCCCAAACCCCTGGAAATGGAGCTCTTTGGCCTCTCTCGAGTCCCTCGCCGAATCTCTCCACATGACACAGTCAAATTGCTCAGCTCGTTTTTGATCTTTCGTGTCAGACACCAGTATGTCCCTTGGTTTCTTTATGCTTATCTCATACTAATCATCTCGTTTGCACCCTCTTCGTTCAGTGCTTTCTCCCGAAGACATCGAGGATTACATTCGCTTTGCTAGGAGTTACAACGAGGCTCAGAGCTCCGTCAACAAGGACACTACTATCTCCCCGACCATCACCGCGTCGACCTTCTCCTCTCTGAGCTTTGGCGGCAACACCGCGTCTAGCGCTACCTCCTACATTCGCGATCCGTATGTTGTCTCCGAGGCGGAGGCTCAGTCCTACTATGCAGGCCTGCATTCTGAACCCACGTTACTCTACCGCACGGGCAAGGAGCAGTGGCCCCCGCCCAGAGGACCTGAGGCCCAGCGCCGTTTGAAGGAGTTGTGCGAAGTCTTCAACCATCCGATTGCAAAGGTGTGGAACCACGACTTGGGCTGGAATTGTCGAAGTTATGGACACTCACAAGGTTAGTCAATGTTCACCATATCGTAGAATTTGCTCACTGGGATTCTAGGTCCTCTTTACAACGATAGACGTCGTTCGTTTCAAGAAGGTCGAGGTTGACGAAGCGCCCGAGGACGAAGAAGAGGACGAGGCTAAGAAACCGGCCCTCGGTCCTGTCACCATTTGGATTGGCGTATTCCCCGAGTCTACCTCCGCTACGGCTGCCCACAACGCGGCTCAGGTCGTCCTAGCCCTTCTTCACAAGGACTACCGGATCACCGACGTCGACATCGACTTCCGCGAGTCATTCTACACGCGCGAGGTCATTCCTCAGCTTCTCGAACCCGTCGGAGACCTGGACCCACTTGTCGACGTTGTTAGTCCCCTCACTCCTGCTCTTGGCGTCCGCATCTCTACCAAGGCCAGGCCCGAGGCTCAGGGAACGATGGCTCTATACCTCGCCGAAGGCGGCAGTAGTGATAAGCTCTTGGGCCTTTCGCGCCGTCACGTCCTCATCGGATCCAAGGAAGCCAACATCGACTACGTTCGCCACCCCAGTCGGCCTGTTAGAGACGTTCTCCTGCTCGGCAGGAGAGCTTTCACCAACCTCGTTGATTCGATCAAACTCAGGATCGGACTCCACGGCATCACAGTTAAGCGCTGGAGGAAGCAAATCGAAGAGTTCAAGGAGAGGGAGAAGGGCACCAATGCTGCGGACGCTCAGAAGGTTAAAGCGGCCCGCATTGAGACCCAGGCGGAGCTGGACAAGGCCGAGAAGGCGATGGAAGCACTTGGAGTGTTGCTCAATCAGGTCAGCAAGGACTGGAACAAACTCGATAAACGCATCCTCGGCCATATCTTCTACTCCCCAGCCATCACTCTCGGCGTCGGTGAACATCGTTTCACGGAGGACTGGGGAATTTTCCAGGTTGACCCCGCCAAGCTCAGTGACGGCTTTCAGGGCAATAAGATTGACCTGGGTGTGTTTTGACTATCCGACTAATACCGTCTACTAACGTAAATGTTATTTATATCTAGGAACAAAGATGAAGCCTGAGGAGTTCACGCTCAAATGTTTCCCCCGCGGAGACGCCAACTGGGGATTTGAGTATCCAGTAGATCGTCTGCTTCCACTTGTGGGCATCATCACCAATGAGTTGATGCGCAACCCCGACATGTGGGACTCGGATGGCGAGCCGTGCTTGTTGGTCGTAAAGAACGGCAATGCCACTGGCACCACCCTCGGCCGCGCGAATGGTGTCTTCTCCATCGTTCGCGACTACTTCAACGACATGTCCGTCCACCAGACCGCCATGGAGTGGGGGATAATGAACTACGACAGCAAGTCAGAAGTCTTTTCGGAACCTGGCGATTCGGGCTCAGCAGTCGCTGACATCTGTGGCCGTCTCGGTGGCATGATTTCCGGCGGTGCTGGTAAGGCGAACTCCCCCGATATGACCTATGCCACGACGTTCTGGTGGCTCCTCCCGCGAATCAGGGCCTCTGGGTTCCCCAACGTGCACCTCAACGTCTAGGCTAGGCATCTCGACATCAACATCGGCGATTCTGTGACTTCTCTTTCTTCTACGCTCAGACATTCATAGGCAAAAATGTTTGTATCCCAGCATGCCGTGGGATAGCTCAGCGAAGTTTAACCCAACGACGCTGACTCGTTTCCTATACTTGGTTCGTACATGCCATCCTCTCCATTTCCGAGTCTAACACGCTTTGTACCTCCTCAAACTTGTCTCCATCCTGCACATGAGCTGTGGCAGCGAATGCCACGGTCGTCAGTTCGTGTGATTCGGAGACGTCTTCTTTGAGATCCCGCTCATAATTTTGCCTGAGACTGAGGATCATCCACGGACCGACCATGGATGTTAAAACAGCTTGCAGGATGGTGTATACGCATTTTACCAAGACATACTTTCGGATCGTGTATGTCAGCGTCTCCGTGGGATGCAATAAGTGGTCAACATTTTTCTTACACTGCTGCTTGCGACAGTCGGTATTTGCTGCAAACTGTCCATAGATAGCGTAAGAAAAGCTCTTCGTATATGCATGCATCAGTCCATGTCAACTTCAAATGACCATAAATCTGTTATGTGCACATACATGAAGAAGTAAAGCAGGTTGTGGCGAACGACCACCATCATGAGCATGCTGACCGACCCCAACTGAGTGTTCCATAATGAACCTTGCGGGTGCTTGATGGCGTAGTTGATGACAAGCGCACAAAGGACGAATTCGTACGCAATGAGGAAGTAGCTCCCTATAGCTTGCATCCAACCATTGGCTTGAGGAAGGAAAAAAGCGCACACGTCCAAGGTGAAGAGATTCATTTCATCTGAATGATTGTCATATGTTTAGATCCTCAAAACCGCACCAATTAAGGATACACACAGAATGTTGCGAAATAATCAGCGAGAACGATTCCAAAAAATGTCACGTTGACACCGTGCACAGTGGCGAAGAGCGCAAAGAGGAAGTATAGCAAACCTTGACTCGGTTTTCCCAGAAGGATGTAGACTCTGACAGCCATCATTCCTGCACAAGTAAGCGCAATGTGTATTTCTGTATCGGTTGAGACAGACCTTGCAGGAGGGCGATCGTGATGATCATGATTGCTTGCATTGCTCCCCAAAGAGTCATACCTACAGTTTGAAAAGGCGAGTAAAGGAGTTCTTTGACAGACATCGCGTTAAGACTTACAGCTAGGAGTTTCAGTCAGCAAAAGCACTAATTCATAACGAAGGTGCTACATACGCCTGAAGGTTGATTATTACGTCAAACAAGTGCTAGAACATGATGCTTTGATTGCACTCACATGTACCGATAGTGGTGTGGAAGTGAGATTATGCACTATTTCATTGTGAGGACGAAGGACCCGAGATGTGAACTCAAATAAGACTGACGTAAACTCAAACTTATTTTTTGTTGATTAAGTTGTCAATACTACTGTCCAGTTTTCGACGTAGAAGTCAAGCTTACATTGGGTAGACCAAGCCCATGTAACGCATCTATATGATATGTTGAGGTTGCGTTAGTGCTTTCTTGAAACGGAAAGTTCCAGACCATCAGGTATATAGCAGTTGTCCAAGACAGTTTTCTGTGCTGCATCATGTGTGAACGACGAAAAGAATCCCTCAGCTGCTTTTGATCCGGAAGATGAGTCTCACCCAAATGAAATCTATCTACGGGAGTCTACTAAGTTGGTTAAATCTCCTAGTGAGTACAAGGATTTGCGTACCTCGAGCGGGACACTCAGCACTATCAATCACGATGAACATGTCAATCGGATAGACGGCAATGGCAGTGCAATTGCATTGATGATTGACTCACAGTAGTCATAGGCCGTCAAGGCCGACATGGCGACTGAGATAACGTTGAGCCTACTCGTTGAATGGCGACGGACTAGAAGTCGGAATATGAATACCTAACGCGTATTCTGTTACTACGATCCCCTGTGCAAGATAGTTGAGCTCTTCCGGTTCGATAGCAACGGAAGACATCTGGTCAAAGGTCAAGCGAAGAGTTCCAAGGTACGAAAGAGGGGATCAATTTGAAAGGGATGCTTTCTCATGTTTTATGAGTGAGAACATGTTGTCAACAGCGTAGCATGGGCTGTCTAAAGCTGTGATTGGTGTCCAAGCTGTTGATGGGAGTGAAGTTACGTTCGCCGATCTTCGCCGATTGACTTTGCTCCATCAAACTTTATCACGGTTAGTCCAGCGCTCAGCGCTCAGCTCTGACCATCGTTGAGAATTTGAGAACTAACAACAATTTGAGTTGGCCCATTACGAACAGACTCAGAAAATCGATCTGCACAGTAGTACCTAAAACCCAGAGGATCATTTTTCGGCTGGGTATACTGACAGTGAGGATACGTATTTGAAGCATCGACCTCCATAATTTTCCTTATCCTCGAGCTGATTTTCGTTGAGCTGATCTTTCTGTACAACCTTGTCCAGATGTCTAACGCAAATTTAAGCCCCGCAGGTGGGGTATAAATATTTGCACGCGTATGCAACATCACGTTGCGCACAGGTTGGCACGGCCGGTTGATTGTTGTAAACCGATACATGTATCTCACAGTTGAAACCGCTGTCCCCGCCAACAACGCACCAATATTCTGCTAATGTAGCCTTCGGTTACTCGTTGAGTCGTTAGTAAAGAGGAATATTCGGGACGATACTTATTACGAACGGAAACCCATATATATATCATGATTATGTAAATGATGTAGTTTGCGTCCCTACTCGCCTAGGCCCTGTACAGCGCGATTGCATCCCATAATTTCCCCTTGACATGCGATGGGTAGCCCCTCACACACTGCTTTGAAGACGTGTCTCTCTATCTGTTGAGCACGGGTCAGCGAACTCCAGACGGCCGTTGGTCGAGGTGGAGGTTCCACTGGTGTTGGCGCTTTCTGAATTATATCTCCGGGAACCGAGCAAAAGACGAGGCACGACTATGAATGGTGCCATGATAGTCAAGGTCGCCATGTATTCCAATAGTATAGCCTGTGTTGACGGAGTAAGCCATTCAGTACAGTAAACTCGAGATCGGGGGATAAACGCAGGGGCACACACATTTTCTGAGAACGCCGCCGCAATACTCATAATATCGCAGAACAACACTCTGCATCAATTACAACAATGAGCCAAGAAAGCAGAAGTTCGAGAAAAATGATACCTACATCACGAAATACTCGCCGTTCTGCTCCATAAGGAGTTTCATCCAAATATTGACGGTCCATTCTCCGGTGAATCTCTTTCTTTCCATTGCATGCCTGTAGAATCCCCACGATACCAGCATCATTAGTAAAGTCCCAAGGATCACATGGGGAACCCTAGTCAACTCGACCAAAGTCGTGTAGCTCCAGCTATCAGATTCAGTACAGAGGAATAGATATAAGACGTTGATGTCCTCGCCTACATACGGACTTTTGTTATCAATAAAAAGGGTGCAAGAAAAACCATTACTGGCCTTGATGCTCCATTGATGGCAGTAACCCTACAACGTTGAGTATCTCCGTTACCAGAAATTCGGCCAAAAGGAGCGCTTTGACTGTTTTTGATGTGGGGAACATTGCATAAACTCGAATGACCATGATAGCTGAAAGTAAGTCGCATCAGATGCCATACAATATACAATTTACTGAGATGAATGCGTACCATCGGCAGCCCCACTACTTATGAAGAACAACCCAGAATAGAGAGTACTGACTGCCGTACCTATATACCCGGAAATCTGTCTGTTTCTCAATTAAGGTGCTATGAGACACTTACATCTAAGCTTGGTGTATGATCCGCACATGGTAAGAGCCGTGAAACCAGCTAATAGGTTTTACATACCCCTGAATTGCATTAATAAGAAGATCAGAGTCTTATCATATATGAAAGCCCGTACCATTGTAGACAACGGAAGCGTAGTCGTCACTAGCGTATCCAGCTGAGCCGTCAGAGATGGAAACTCGCGTGACGAAATCAATATGGACTGACTCAAGATGCCGCAGCTGCGAGTATCATCAACGAAGTTTCGTTAGTGAATAATACAACGCACATGAATCCAGCAATCGGAAGGTAACGGCACTATAGTTGCTCAGCACAGAGTCACGGAAAAGTACGTTTTGTTTGCATACGATGAAATACAGCCAAGAGACCAAGCTCATATTGCGTTTCTTGTGAGCCAATGAGCCGTCAAGGTGCGCGCAATGTTGATCAAAATTTTACCCATACAAGGTCCACCTTAACGAGGAATTCTCAGAATTTGATGATTATAGTAAAAAATAATAAATGGACCTCTCTCTCGAGCGTGAGCACTGATAGTAATTAATCAACGATTTTTCTCTACAATGGTGTGATGTTTATGAAGTTACGACTTACAACAGTCGTACATGACAACGGATGGTGGGGCCACTGCAAAAACCATGAGTTTCAAGTTTATACACCAACTTCATCTACACTTTACCGACGCATAAACTTGCCTGCGAATAGAATGAAACCGACCTGTATGAATCAGTGGACATGATATGTGGTTGCTGCAGGCAGTTGGGTGTGCATCAAGCGATTGTGCATGGCATGTCCCTGGGCGGATGTGGAGTATATATACAGTATGTGCCAAGAGTGTTCTTGCCTCCAAACACGGATTTGATGAGAATCAACCTGAGCACAGCGGAGGGATCAGTGGTCTCCTTGTGCATCAAAAGGATAAGGGCATGTGAACAACAGGATAGGTATAAACAGCCTGACTCGGAAGCAGCTTTACTTGGACAGAAGACGCGCCCATCATAAAGCAAGATCGTGACGGTTCATCATTGTTGGATGTGGCTTATAGCCTGTGAGATCCGAGGCCGTGTTATCATTATCCATTATCAAGATCCCGTACGCAGCATACTGAATACGGCGCCCTACCAATGCGTTACTAGTGGGACGCCGTTATGTTAGACTTTCGGTATCAAGTATAGCGGTGGTTGATGACTAACGGGACTTGGAAATTGGAATGAAGGATGCACGATGTAAGCTCTGTGGTGCCAACACGGATCGACCATTGTTGGAGATGCCGTTCATGCCCGCCTGCTTTACCTCGAAAGGGCTTGCTCTGCCTGGACCATAGCCCAACCATAGCCTACCGCGATGGTATCCGGCAATCTGACTAAGGGCGAAATGCGACGTTCGCGCACACGGAATTTGCCGGACATTCCCAAACTGGATGCCCCTAAGTCTGACCATAGCCTGTGTGGGTTGCTGATCGGGGACTTCAAGAATGAAAGCGACAGAGGCTAGTCAGCTTGTAAAGACTGAAGATGCACAAAGAAATATGGTCCGATGTAGCTATGCTTTGCGTAGATGAGGCGTCTTCTCGGAAGAGAGGTCGAAAACCGGGTGCCCTGGTATGGCTAGCTCTCTTGGTTCGTCGCCATCAACACTTTCAATGCTGACACAATGGATGAGGAGCGGGGCTGTCAAGAATACCGCGTACGAGCACATCACATCCATTGGCTAGAATCATGGCAAAGGGCCTTGGCTGTCGCGCAGGATGTCTGTTAAGAGCTTCACCAGACTGGGATACATAACGTCTTTGACCCACACGAGCAGAATGTCCACGTCTAGCAGAACATCCTGATAACGAGAAAAGATTACTAACAATGCGTCCATGTTAAAGTGATATATAGAGACCTTTATGATCAGAGATGAGGTACATAAACGGTGACGCTGCGTAGGTGACGGCAAACGTGAGTCCACCGAATCAGATCTCCAACCATTATGGCGATTCCCAAGTCTGAGCAGTAGTTAGGGAAGGGAGGCCCAATGCTGAATGACATGATCCGCTAGTGCCTCGATTGGCAACGTGGAAATCCTCGAACGTTATGTTATGCTTTCACTCCCATCGAGTACGTCTGATGACTGGTCTAGGATTGCGAGCAGATGTGAATGAAAGCGAGTCACGGTGACGTGGCTGCGATCTCATTCACCAACGAAAATTAGATAATCTGGATAGCTTTGCTGTACGTTAGTTGAGTTATTAAGACATCAGGATGTGGTTGCGTGCGAATACTTAGGAGAACGTACGAGCTCAAGCGCAAGAAGGAAGGAAGGGTGGCGGTGCCGATCGTTTGCTTCTCGACGCGTCAGTCATGTGATCCTGGGGCTGAACCGTTTGGTGGCGTGACCTGGTTTAGTAGAACGCGTCTCTGGTGAGCTCAACCGTCGCGTTGTTGCCGCACCAGCACACGAGTCCCCCGCCGCCCGTCTGCCCACCATGGCGATGCTGGAAACACCTTCACGTATCTGGAGGAGAATAGAGGCAGCAGACGGGGACGAACTTCCCTCTCTGCCATCACTCCCCGCATTCGACCAGACCCAAGCTCCCCCTTCAGAATCTGAAGAATCTTCAACGGATGACAACGACAACGACGATCACAACAATCACCTTCTTCCTGTCCACTCTACTCCTGCCCCTTCGTCCCATGGAAATACCGCTACCTTTCGTCTTCCTCCTTCCAGTGCTTCCAGCACCGCCCGTTTCGCTAGCTCAATCGGGTCTCGTTCTCTGGCCGCCAGATCATCGGCCTCCTCTACATCTAGAGGGATGCCACGAAGTGTCTATGACAGCTTTGATATCAGTGTCATCCCCTCGCAACCCCATCGCAGCCCCACCGAGAGCGAGGAACACGACCTCGACCGGAGCAACAACAGCGTACCGGAGTTACACCTCCCACCAGAAGAGGACGATGTCGAAGAACGAGAGCTCTCTCTGACTGATGCTCTCGAGCCTCTGAGTCGATCAAACTCTCCTCCACTGCCGCTGCCACTTCCTCAACAGGTACCATCGTCTAAGAGGACTTATGACTATTCTGTGTCCCTCCGCACGGAGCCCAAGGTGAGCTAGCTTTTCATCAAAAAAACCGTCAACTTCCTCATCAACCTAGGCCTCGCCGTTCGACAAATTTCGGAATGTTGCCATGCGGAGACCTGTCATTGGTCGCACCCGCACCCCTTCTCTTTCGCGCACCACACCCTCGCCTGCATCGTCTCCTGCCAACTCTACTCCAAGAAGCGCTTTAACCGCGCCGCCTCGCAGCCCCTCTCCTACTCCAGCAGCTCGCGTTCCTCTGCCTCGCTCGGCTACCGCCTCACCTGCAGCATCCTCTTTCAACAATGTCACGATTCAAGGTCCAGCGGAGCTATCGATGACCGAGGGATTGCCAGACGCTCTCAACCATCTGCACGAGGACTTGGAAACCGATGAGGATAGGCATGCTGAGGGAGAGACGCAGGCGGACGATGAAATGCAAAGAGAAGAGGAAGGACAGACTGAAGACGAGAGGCAGACCGAGGACCCGAGCGAACCGTCCCAGCAGCAGACCGACTCGCACGAGCCAACATTTTCATCAAATTCTGACCCCAGCTATCCGCCCTACAATCGTTCCATCGCAAGTCCCTACGCACGGTCCAACGCGAGCCCTGCGCTCGCCCGCTCCCCGGCACTTTCCAATGCCAACGCCAGTCCCGCCTTCGCGCGCTCGCCCGCCCCGTCGACTGCCGTTCCTTCGCCTGGAGGAACACCGGCAAGCATTGTCACACCCCGCCCTCGTCCGCGGTTCAACATCCCCGCTATGCGCTCTGAGTTAGATTCGGACGAGCATGCAGAGCAGACCACGAGCAACGAAGAGCAGCTTACGCCTCACACCCGCCGTCGCTCGTTCTTGCTATCCGTCATCAACTCGACCGCCCGCCCGCGCATGAAGTTCCCTACTCCTCACCACCGTCGGATCAGCGGTATCGGCCTGGAGGCCTCGGAAGCACTACACGAGACCGAGGAGGACGAAGAAGAGGGGGAGGAAGGGGAGGACGCAGGACCCGTCGTCGACGCAAACGAGACGCCCAGCGTGCCCATGCGCACTTTACCCGGCATAACGCCCAAGCCCGCCCTGCGGCGCGCGCGCTTCTCGGCTCCCATCACGCAGGCTTACATCCCCGAGAACACGATGGACGGCGTCGGCGCCGGTGGACGGGACTCCCCCGTTCACTCGGACCAGGACCGCAACTCGTTCGTGTCCACCGCGTCGTCGCACGACCTCACGACGCACCCGCGCGCGAACACGTCGTACGACCCCGCGCTCGGGCTCGGGGAGCGCGGCGGTGTAGGGCGCTTCGATGCGGCGAGGCTGAATAGCTATTTGCATGGGCTGAATAAGCGGCTGCAGGAGGAGAATATCGCGCTGCTTGAGCGATTGCGTAAATTCGAGGACGTCAAGGACGGCGATGCGCATATGCCCAGGTTGAGCTTGGATAATGCGAGCGTGGCCTCGGCCTCGAGCCGGAAGAGGCGGATCAGTGCGGGGGGTGCGCTGGGGGATGTGGAGGAGACGAGTGCGGAGGGGTGGGCGGAGGAGAAGCGGGAGCTGGAGGAGATGGCGGAGGAGCTCGCGAAGGAGGCGGACAAGCTCGCGGGTGAGAAAGAGGACGCGGAGAAGGATCTCGAAGACGAGCGCGCGGCGCGGGCGCGGGACAAGGAACGGTGGAAAGAGCGCATGCTCGAGGTTGAGAACGGTGTCGCGGACATCATCGGGGGGCTCGAGGGCCAGGTGAAGGGGGCTGCGGAGAAGCTCAAGGCCGCCGAAGAGGAGCGCGAGGCGCTGGTCAAGGCGGCGGACAAGGAGATTGCGAAGGCTGGCAGCGAGCGCGATATTGCGCTGCACAGGGCTGAGAAGGCCGAGGAGGCGCTCAGCGGGAACCGTGGGGAACTCGGCGGCTCGCTCAGGGAGGCCAATGGACTCGTCGGAAAGCTCCAAAGCGAGCTCAGCGAGGCGAACGCCCAGGTTAAAACCCTCGACGGCGAGCTCAAGAGCGCCGACAACAAGATCGAGGACCTCGAGGCGCAGCTCAAGCACCACCAGTCCGACGCCGTGCGCACAACCAACGACCTCCGGTCACAGCTCGAAGATGCCGAGATCGAGCTCGCTGGCTCGGCGAAGAAGGTCTCGAGCCTCGAGCGCGAGCTGACACTGAAGCAGCGCTCGATGGAACACCTCCAGACCGAGCTGCAGGCCATGTCGGACGAACTCGAGGGCCTCCGCAGCGGGATGGGCAAGGGCGCGCAGGAAGCCGCGAGCGAGCTGCGCGATCTCAGGGCGTACGTCGTCGACGCGGACGCCGCTGCCGACGTCGCGGCACAGCAAATCGAGGCGCTCGAAGGGCAACTCACTGACGCCGAGCAGCGCCTGCACGCTGCGGAGGCGGAATGCGAGGGCGCGCTCGAGCGCGCCGATATGCGCGAGCGGGAGGCTGAGCGCGAGAAGGAGGCGGCACGGCAGGTCGAGGCGGCGCTCGAGGCGGCGGAGCACAAGATGCGCGCGGACGAGGACGCGCTCGTCGATCTGCGCGGGCGGCTCACGAGTTTGGAGAGGGAGAGGGAGCGAGAGCGCGAGGTCTCCCGCGTGCTCCGCGAGCAGAACCATACCCGTGGGTCGAGCCCTGATATGGAGGACGCGCTGGAGGCGGAGCTGGACGAGGCGAACCATGAGATTGCAAGGCTCAATGCGCTGATGCAGCAGTCGCCCGCGCGTCGTGCGATCGACAAGGCGAAGGATGTCAAGATCGATATATTGGAGCGCGAGAGGGACGAGTTGCTCGAGAGGCTGAAGACATTCCGCGGGAACGCGATGGACGCCGCTGCATTTACACCGCAGAAACCAATGAACATGAGTGGGATGTCGCCCTTGCATCGCCATGTCTTGAACGTCTCCCTCAAGGCGCCGAAGACACCTGGTGGACCACTGAAAGACGTACGTTTTGTCTTGTTCCTTGTTTATTTCCGAGATAAAAAGCTAACACTTCGGGAATCGCTAGCTCACCTGGCTCAACGCGACCACCAACGACCCATCTGTCTCCCCCCTGCTCGCCGAGATCGCACGCCTGCAGACCGAGCTCGACCGCGCAAACGAGAATATCGACGATAAACTCGACAAACTCGAGGACGCGGGGCTGGGCGTCATCGGTCTCACCAGGAATCTCGAGGACGCACGCACGCAGATTGCCGCCCTCGAGAGCGAGGTCAACCGCCTCAAGCGGCGCGAAGAACGGCGCGCGCGCCGCCTGGCCAGGCTACACTGCCGCAAGTGCCTCGTCAAGGTGGACGGAGCGTCCATCGAGCGGATTATGAACCCTGATGAGAGGTGAGAAGCGGTGGTTTCGCTGTCGGGATGATTAGGAGAAAGCTGACGCTTGGGGAACTGTAGCTCGTTTGAGCTTTCCTATGCTGACCTCCCCGCTTCGACTTCGCCGGCTGCGGCTAAGAAGGCGGCGGAGGACGCGCTCACCGCCGAGCTCCAAGCTGTCAATGTTCAGCTCCGCGACCTCCAGAAAGAGTGGCAGCGCGAAAAGGAGGAGCTTCTAGGCGAGAATGCCGTCCTGCAAGATGCGGCGGAACGCCTGAACAACCAGGTTCGCACTGCCATGAAGCGCGCTGCGAGCATCGAGAAGGCCAGCCTGAAGACGAAGGAGTCTCAAAGTGTAAGTACAGTCATTGTTTGATAAGTTGAAATTGGGCCTAATCATTGTTCAGGAGCTGGACAAGGCCAGGGACGTGATTGCCGAACTCGAAGCCGGCCTGCAGGCGGAGCGTACTCGGCTGAGGCAACTCTCTGCTGAGCAAGACCGTGTGCAGCGCCAGAGGAGCGGGGTCTCGCGCCAGCTTGACAGAACGGAAGCGGTAAGACTCACTACAGCGGATGATGAATAAAAACTTACACTTTGCAGGACATTGACGAAGTAAGGCGCCAGCTAACGAAAGCCAAGGAAGAGAACAAGCAACTCGAGAATGAGCTTCGGTGTAAGCCCCGCTCCGAGCATTTTCATCGTGTCCACAGCCGCTGACCACCCTGTCCTGAGGCAAGACTCGATCAAAGAGGTCGCTACACCGAAGACTTGCTAGACGACGTACCTGACGCGATGTATGAATATCACACTCTGAACGACGGATTTCAGTCCGCGGCGTTTCTTTGGCGCTGGTCGAACAGATTTAGCGGCAAATCCGACTCTTGAGATTGCGGCGAGTATGCGCTTGTCGCTGGGCGGTTGTTTCAGTAAAAAAGGCGAACAATATTAGATGGAAAATAACTCATACCTGGCTTCGAAGTTGGCCAGGAGCATCAGTAGGTAGGTCTTCTGGTATCCGAGGTCATCGCGGAAGAGCGACTCCCGCGAGAACTTGGCCTTGAGGTATTTAATCTGGACAATGAGGCCCTTGCATTCCCTGTTGTGCTGGGCTTTCAGCTCGACAACCTGGCTGTTATCGCTCCTTCACAAAAAGTCAGCCTCCGCTGAACGAAAAGGAAGACAGCCTGGCAAATGGAACGTACACTGGGCACTGATGCCTGCTGAACTCCTCGTGAGCCTTCCTCGCTTTGCTCCGCTCGCTCTCCAGCTGCTCATTGAGCAGCCGAATCTGCGTCTGACTCTGCTTCCTCAGCCGCTCTGCCTTGCCCACCTCCTCATCGTGCCTCTCCCGCATCCTCTCCTTCTCCGCCCTCAGCGCACGCAGATCCTTCCCAAACGCCTCCGCGTCCTTCCTCACCCTCTTCAAATCCGCCTCAAGCGCGCCGATCGTCCGCGCCACATCGCCCTTCTCCGCAGCCAGCGCGTGCTTCTCCGCCTCGGCGCGCTGCAGCTCGCCCTCGCGGTCGGCCAGCGTGCACCGCAGCTCGTCGATCTCCTGCAGGTGCAGGTCGAGCTGGTGCCGCCGGCCCTCGTGCGACGCGCGGTAGGACGCGAACTCGTCCCGGATCGACACGGCGCGCTCGGACACCTCGGCGAGCTTTTTCTGGAGGGACTTGTATTCGCCGCTGAGCAGGGAGCGTTCGTCGCGCAGCTGCGCGATCGCTTCGGAGTTCTCCTTGGTGCGCTTTTCGAGCAGGCGTGCTTTTTGGGTCGCGTTGGTGTTGGCTGGAGAAACCGTGCAACGTTCCGGCGAAGCCTGGAGTCAGGCCCGGTCCTGCAGGCAGGCAATAACGGACGCTCTGCAGGACGTCCGTCGTCGTCGCGCCAATTAAATCACACGTTTTCTGATCTCTTCCTTTATGTTATTCTTTTTCTCTCGTTTCTTTTCTCCTCCTCGCTTTCGACACTCGCATCCTAACGGGTCTTATGCATCTGAATCGACCGATAATATTAGCAATACCAAAGTACCGTTCTTCTGTAATCCGCTGTGTTGTATCGATATGTAGAATGATAGAACATGGATACCTGGAAATGTCTAGAAAATCCCCGACGTTGTCCGCGACCACTGTGTTCAACGTGGAATGACCGAGTGCTATGATGAGGGAGGAGGCTCCTTGCGGGTGCTGGATATGATGCGCACCGCGTCCTTTGTAAAGACATACGAAAGGCCGCTCCAGATCGTTGTGGCTGCAACCATCCACCTGCGAAAAAAACATCGTTCAGCGTGCTCTGGCAAATAGGGACGAGGACAGGAACACTTACTGCAGTTCGGTCAGGCCGAGCCAGTACCCAGAAAGCAAGGGCGAGACGGTGGTGATGCCCATCAAGCCCAGCTGTAGCGCGGTGTTGACCTTGCTTATGAACGTCGGCCGGACCTCGGCGGAGGGTATCGAGAAGTCCCAATATCGCGAGAACGTTTTCTGTGGGTTGGTCCATGTATAAACGTCGGACTAGTTCGTAGAAGGGGAAATGAGGGGCTCACAGGTACAGGGAGAGACGTATAGCGGATCCAAAACGCCGAGAGGCTGAGCAGGACGTCGCGTCCTATGATGATCACCGCCAGCGGGACTGTTCGTTCGTGTCGTCCGTTCGTTTCCACGAGCAGGATCCAGAGTGAAGCACGGTTTTGGTCAGCCTCTGGCGCTTCCAATTGGCGTAAGAAAAGGGAAAGTGGTGACTCACCTGGGAGCAAGCCCTTCATAGCGAGCGTGATAGTCAGCGTCGTCATGAGCGTCTTGTCCGCTGCGGGGTCGAGAATCGTGCCGAGCACGGAGCGCATGTTGAACCGCCGCGCGAGGTATCCATCCACCTTTTCCGTGCCGCACCACCACATCCGCCACCACCATCACTGGGAGTCAGCCTTTCTTCACCGCGACGCAGCTCCTCGGACGAAGAGCAAGAAAGACGGGGTGCGCACCAGATCGGACAGGCCGGCGTACGCGAGCAGCCCAGTCGCGAGGTGGAAGTTGCCGTCGACGATGGACCAGCCGAGGACAGGGCATGCGAGGATGCGCGAGACGGTGAGAAGGTTGGGGATGGTGTATATGTTTTCGTGCACTGTCACTGCTGGAGGCGCATCTTCCTGGGTCCCCTCGTTACGCTTCTTCTCCGTGTCGCGTGAAATGGGCGTCGTGCTCAGGCGCCGCACGGGTGAGACCAGGTGGAGTTTCGATGCAAGGTTCCCTGAGCTGGGCTGCCATGGTCTAGTAAGCAGCGAGCCGAATCGTGGGTGTGTCGATATCGAGAGCGACCTGAAGTGCTGCTGCAGGAGAGCATGGCGGCATGGTCGAACGAGACGAACTGCAGTGAGAGTGGAAATCATGACGCGAACAAGCGACGCGTCGGGGACGGTAAGGGCTCTTGCTCGCCGGTCGCTGGCGTTTCGTCGCAACAACCTCCGTTCAGGGGCTATTTATAACAGGGCGAACATAGACAAGATGACGATAGCGAAAGTCCATAAGCAAGAACATAGGTAAGTAGCGATACATGCATGACTGAGTACATCCATATTAACGTATTAGACAAGATAAACAGGGTGGTAACCGTTATCGTCCTTGGAGGATAGCGATAAATTCGTGATGGAAGAGTGGAGGTGACGATGAGTCAGTGCAATGACGGAAACGCGAGCTCCTCAACGAGCCCTAGTGAAAGTTGATTCCCAACGGGACCTTACAGAGGGAGCAAGAACGAAGTTAGCTGGGATTGAGATGTTGAGGCCGAGGAAAGAACACGCACGTCCGCTACGATTTCATCGACAAGGATAGTCAAGTCCTTGACAAACACCGCCATCCTCTGTGGCACCCGCTCACGGCAGTTCGGACAGCTGCCCGCCTTCTTCAACATGGCGTCCAACCAATCGCTGTTGAGAAGTGTCTCGGCGCACGGCCGGAATGAGAGTGCGTAAACGACAGCGTCCTGGTACTCCTTGGTGCTTATCTTGGAAATGCCTTTCTTCCTGCACACCTTGCAGTCTAACGGAGGGAGCGGAAGGAGCGACCAGTGGCGCGAGATCTGGTTCATGGCCTGCCCGCAGGTCGTGTGGTACTTGACCAGGCTGTGGTAGTCCCCGCCCGATATACAGTCGAGTTCCGGGGTGTATTCTATCTCTGCAATGGCATAACGCAGCAAGTACTTTGCCGCAATCGACGTCTCTTTCTCCGCTCTGTATCTGCACGCGATCGCGAAGACGCGCAGAGGTTCGGCCTCAAGGAAGCGCGGCGCAGTGAGCATGCCGACGATGAACGTGCCGACGCGTTTCATGTCGTACTTGTCCGCTGCGTCGAGCAGGCTGGTGACGATGTCGAGGTTCTCGAGCGCGGGCATGTGCGTGTCGTACACGGGCGAGCAGAAACCTAGCAGCTTGCGGATGACCTCACTGCGCTCGGTGACGGGTATGATGGGGCAGCCGTACTTTGTCTCATCCGCGGCGACGTCATGAGCCTTGGGCTGTGGGAGGGAGAACATGTTCATAAAGAAAGGGGAGGCGAGGAGCAGGAGGAACTTGTAGAAGCGGAAGTCGACACTGTCGGACGCCCGCAGGATGACGTCGGCGTCAGGCCTGTTGAACGGGGCACCAGCGTCCACGAGCTCGACGAGGCTGGTTGTCCCTCCTCCAAGTCCAGGCCCCGGTGAGACGTGTAGAGTTTCTGTCGAGTCAGTGTCAGTCTCTGCGACAGACATATTGTCGGGCACCAAGGACATCGAATGGGCCCTGTTGGTTAAAAGCAGGCAGGCTGATAAGCCCAGGCGCTGGCCAGACTAGATGAGACAGCGTTGGTCGTCGTGAGGGGTAGTCCGGAGCACACGGACAGAGCGTTGCCTTTCCGGCAACCACCATCATGTCCAGGGCCGACCAGCCGAAACCCCTCCTCTGCCTCCGCGCCTCACCCGTGCGTCACCCAGCAACCAACAGCCTCCTCCAATGACAGTCTAACTGCTGCATTCTGCAATGGTGCAAGGATTGACGTGCTCATTGTCTCCTGGAATGGAAGTCTGAGCCCGGCATTATTGAACTGTGGGCGATGGACCAGCACTCGTGCTCATAGCTAGCGATTAGATCGCGACCGAAGCGCCGAGGGGAGGGGCGAGGGAGCAAAGCTTTTGACGCGGTAGAGAGTAAGATGCGTGGAGGATGGCAAGTCAGTCTTACAGTCGACTCTCTTGGCATGAAAAACCTTGTGTCGCTGAATGGCGCAAATCGCTCAACCATGTGCAGCTGCAATCGGGCACGGTGGTTTAACGTCAACCACGGGCTCGTCGGTCATCCGCATCGACTAGCTCTTGATTTTTTTTTGCTCTGGCGTGACCTGCGTGGGCTCAGACACCTTTGAAGGATACTCCTCGTATCGCCATCGTACTCCTGGCTGCTTTTACGTCGTCCGAGCGTCGTCGCGCTCCTAACCACCACTTCGTAAAAGGATTCCTGCACGTAAACGTCAAAACACCGTCACGGATGTTGGTGCCAAGTGGCCGCTCGAAGGGCGGCATGTTCGCCTCAAGTGCTTCTGCTCGTTCGAGAGGACGTAAATCCCCGCTTCTAGATAGCGAGGCCCGCGCTCCAGAAAACGTATAAAAGCCTTTGGTGTCTCTCGCTCTCTCCTCAGCTCGCAGCCCGCTCTTCAGCTTCACCAGTCTTATTTCATCATGTTTTGCCGTCTCTTCGCTCTCCTCCCCTTTGTCTCCATCGTCATCGCTGGCCAGTGCAACACCGGCAGCGCGGTATGCTGCAACAGCGTCCAGGACGTACGTTCGTCCCCGTTTTCCGTGCCTATCTTGTTGCTGACGTCCATGCTATGCCACCCCACCAGGCGAAGAGCACTGAGGTCGCCGAGGCGTTCAGGTCGCTCGGTCTCTCCGCCGAAGGTGTGACTGGACAGGTCGGCCTCCACTGCAGCCCCATCAGCGCGCTCGGCGCCGACGCAGGCACCTGCAACCAGACGCCCGTATGCTGCACGGGCAACAGCTACGTACGTGTCCAAACTCTCGTATCATGAACGGGTAGCTGACGGGACGGCTCGAACAGAACAGTCTGATCAACGATGGCTGTTCTCCCATTGGAGCCAATGCGTGAAGGCGCTCTTGGTCGCGTCCTTAGATTAGATTCCTTTGCTCAAGCTTGGGCTTTAGATGATGTCTAGATGAATAACGCTACAGTTGATGAATGCTAGTCTAATGCTAAATGCTGGATTTACTCTTTCTACATGTCTTGATGTCTCCGCTGTCTATCCGTCTCCGGTGATCCCGGGGGAGATCTATCGACCGTGCCTCTGCCTTCTTGACGGCATGGGAGGGCATGTGACTCGTGCCCATATACCCGCTGTGTTGGGAGACAACCGTCGGTGACCGCTGGCAGTTCTATGTGCCATTCGAATGTATTGAACGGGAGCCCCTTGACGCCTCGCCTGAGGCGGCGGCGGCGTCGCCAACCATCATGATGGACCTGTGAGCAAATCCCAGGATATCGGTCCGCATTTCCCCATCTACATATGTGCGCGAAGGGCCTGTCAGGCCCCAAGTCTTGGATTCAAACTTTCCGAAGTTACAGCTCAACCTATCGTAAAGCAGAAAGTCAGCACCAATGCTCAATGTAACACTCAACCAGCCACACAACAGATATCTGATGCAGAAACGCCCCAAACAACGCGCCGCCAGCCAAGTGGCAATTCATCGAGCAAACAAACCAGGGCAAACCACAAAAAAAAGACCCACCTGCTCAACCGCCCTATCGATCTCCCCCGCCAGCGCGCTCGCAAACTCGCTCACAGCAGCATGCGCCTTGCGCCTGCACCGTGGACACGCCGCGCACCGCTCCTCAACAACCTTGTCCACGTCCCTGCCGGCCGTCGCACCGCACGGCGCCTCCGCCAGCGCATCGCGCACACCGTCGAGCCAGTCCGCCCACCACGCGCGCGCGTACGTGCCGTGCATCATGTACCCCGCGGCGCGCGCGTCGCTCCGCGTCGGGCACGCGCACGCGGCGGTCCACCACTGGTAGAACGCGTAGCTCTGCGCGAGCCGGGGCCCCGCGGACGCGAGGTTGGCGAGTAGGGTCTGCGCGGCGTGTGTGCACCGCGCGCGGTATTTGTGGAGGCGCGCGAGGTCTGCTGCGGGGAGGACGGTCCCCCGCTGGATCTCGTTTCCTGCCCGTGCTTTTGGTAGAGGCAGAGGCAGAGGCGCTTGCAGGAGGTGTCGGGCGGCAAGACGCGCCTCGGGCTCGAGCGCGAGCCGCGTGGCGATGGCGAAGACGTGCAGGGGCTGCGCGTCGAGGAAGCGCGGCGAGACGAGGAGCTTTCTGATCTGCTGCTCGACGCCCTCCATGCCGTACTTGATCGCGCCCTCCAGAACCTGCTCGACGTCCTCGAGGGTCTCCAGCGCGGGAAGCGGCACCGACGCCGCCGGGTAACAGTACCGCAGCATCGCGTCCACCGTGCGGCCGTTCTCCGTCATGGGAATCACGTCGAGGTCCCCGACGAGGGTGGTCCTTCCGTGCACCGTCGCTGGCTGTGGCTGGGGAAGATCGAACATGGCGTCGAAGAATGGGGAGGCGAGCGCCAGGAGGCACCGGAACACGCGGAAGTGGACGGCATCAGAGGACCGCAGGACGATGTCGCCCTTGGCAGCGCTGTTGAAAGGCGGGAGGGCCTCTGTGCCGGTGTTGTACACGGACATCGTCGCAATATGCCAGTAGTGAGGGTTGAGCCTCTAAAGTGCGGGGTGAGCGAATAAAACGCGACCGAGGGTGGACAGGTGGGCGACCGAGCTTTGCGTGCCTCGCATCTTTGCTTAGTTGGCTTCGTTTTAATACCCCCACGCGTATCCAGCGCAGTGGAACAGCTCCCCGGCCCCGGGCCAGGCTGATTCAGAGCGAGCGCCCGCAGGGAACACGACATTTGCACAAGGGCTTCCGATTCTGATGCCTGCGTGAAGCGACCGTGTAAACCCATCCGCACTGCTCCATAGTCTCCCGCCTCTCCACGTCGCAGAAAGGGGGCTCCAGTGCCCAGCTATTCCCCGAAATTGAAGCAACGACCTCTCCAAGTCCGAGGAAGTAGCAGCACAACTTCCATCTCCTGATGGACCGCGGGAACGCTCGGTCGTGCTCGCTGCGAAGATCGACCAGAAGACGGACAAATGGCAGGGTCCCCGCCTGATTATTTTCTCATGCACGCAGAGCGAGAACACACTCGCCGGACACTGTAATCTCGTAAAATCTGAACGCGTGTGTGGACAGATGGCGACAATCGAAAGCTTACTTTACTTTATACGCGCCCTAAGTGGGTGACACACCCTCGGGCAGTGGGCTGGCGGTCGACCGGTGCGGTTCATGCTGGAAGTACTATTGCTCGAAGGCAGTTTCGAAGCCTATCGTCCATCAGAAACCGGGATTAACGCTTGCACGTCCTTACCAGGCAACTCGCCCCTCGTATTATCGCCGCTGGCACCCCCGCTGTTATCGTAGCGTAGCTTGACAGTGGCGATCCGGGGTTCTGGTTGCCTCCATGAGGCCTGCAGTACAGCCGCAAGTCAAGGGGCACTTACTGCATAGCGTGCCCATTGCGTATACGTGTATACCTCGTGAGAAGCAGAGCATGGCGATGAGGAAAGAGTTTCTCATGATGCGCCACCTTTCTCAGACGTGCATCCTCCATGGACATGTCAAAATTAGGGCACTGGGAACATGTCATACATGAGCGTTGCAAAGGAAGGAGAGATTAAGTTGTTATCGGATAAAGTCCTCGGTGCCCTCGAAGATGAAGGCATTTCCTAGTGTGCTATGAAAAGCTCGAGGGAGCGTGGGACGCGCCAGGAGGAGAATGGCGAGCTTTGTCGCCGAGGAGCATTGCGTTTCGCAGAAGGCGGGTTGCCTTGTGATAGTCGACAATGTGGTACACGCCATGTTCGACTAGAGGATATCTCTCACGAGAAGAGCGATGACGGGGTCCTGTTGATCGTTTTAAGTGCGCAGTGAACCGTAACGATACTGTTGGGTACTTTGAACACCAATACAAGAGAAAGAGGCACGTCGTGCTTGTTTAATAACAATACCGGTGGTTGTATGCAGTGTCGTATACAGTAACTTGTTCCCGAGCGTAACGGAAGAAAATCGAGTTCCAACAGATCCCGACAGGATGAGAAAGATTGGCTCGAGAGCTTGAGGAGATGAAGCCTGGAAACAATCCCACGGGAAGACAGACCTGGTATCGAGCATGGTGGATAAATATCGGGGTCGAGCAATGAATACGACGTGCAAATGACTACTGTGCGATGAAGTCTAGTAAACCCAAACCGAATAGATTACGAGTCGGAGCGTGGTCGCTGTTGATTTTGACTTTGATTGCGCAGCCTCTTCCTAGGCGGCGGTCCGAATAACCCCTCGTCTTCACCATCGCTATCAAAAAGAAACGATGGGTCGCTCTCGGATAATTTCTCAGTTTTCTCAGATGCAGCAGATGTGCTTGCTGGCCCTGCTGCAACAGACCTAGATTCCGACATCATTAGCAAGTTTACCATCGGCCAACGAGTTCCATGAACTCACGCGTTCGCTGTCTCAGCCTGTGCCGTGCTTTTGCGATACTTGGCTAGCTTCTTCTTCGCATCGCGGGCCTCCTTCCGTGCGCGCTTCTCCCCCTCGGCGTGCTCGGCCGAGGAGGCCATGTAGGCCTCGCAGCGCTGCATGAGCTGCTCCTTGTCTCTCGAAAGTGACTGCACGCGCGCCTCGAGCTCTTTGACTCTGTGCCGCAGTTGATCGGACGTAGACGTATCCAGATATACTTTGCGGACTTCTGGATGAAGGAAGGTGTGTAGCTTTTGAGGGATAAATCTTAGGTCAGGGGTTGCTTTCGTGCGCGTCAGCTTACGATGCAGTGCGCCGATTGCGCTTGGGGGCTGCTCACTGATGCTGAAAGGCGTACGACAGGTGGGACATGTTGACGTGTACGCGTCATCTCCTCTTTCTACAAAACCTCTAAGGCACGCCTCGCAATGGATGTGACCTAGTACGCGTTCAGCATGAGCGCGTGCAGCGCGACTTCCGAGTCGCGACGCGCCGGGTGACTAGATGATGCTCCTCACCACACGGAGTACACACTGGATTCCTGAGAGACGATAGACATATGCTGCAATCAGACATGAGTGGTATTGAGCTCGCAGGTAACGAGGGCAAAGACAGAGACGGTGGATGTATGCGTCCACGTGGACGCGTTGCGGGTAGTGGATCAAACAGAGTCAAACAGCGGGGGCAGTGGTCGGAGGTTTCTGAAGGTGATCAGCTCAGCACACGAGGCATCCGCCTGACGTCGTCTGAGGCAACGAGCTCACTCCATAGGCGCTGGACACTATACTTACTATCTCTTTATTTCCTTTTATCTTGCTCAAACCTTAACCCACACTACACTCGTTTTCTACCTAGCAACCACTGCATCCAAGTGCTCCGAGTTGTTGCATTTTACCGTCCGTTTGCCCTCTCACCTGTTCTCGACGCGCCATTGGATGTCTGTCTCGCTCGGAAGCCCATACTCACCTATTCGGCCCACATCAAGATCATCATCACGCAATTCCAATCGCTCGTTCCGGACACACTCTCCCTCCCTCTCTCCCTCCCTCTCCTCTGATGACCCAGGTACGTCCACCTCCCACTGCCATGTCGTCACTGCATTTTACTCATCACCATTTCCATTTCCATCCCCAACAATCCACATCCCATCTCCACCCGCGCAGTTGCCGTGCGCAACCAGATATCGACGCTCAGACACTCCATCCGGCTGCAGCAGGCCCAGCTACACTCCTTAGAAGACATCATCCTCGCCGGCCCCCGCCCCCTCCCCCTCGGATTCATGATGCCCCTCTCCCCAGGCACAACCACCCAGGACGACTCCGTCCTCGACATCAGTCCCTACCCCGCCCCCGGCACCCCCAAGATGCAGCGCCGCAACAGCCACGACCACCTCCAGGGCCTCGCCGGTCGCGACTCGGGTCTCCCGCTCCCGCTGCAGCAGGACGGGATCAGGGAGGGCGTTCCGACGGACTTTGGGACGCCGTCCAAGGACGCGATGAGGCGGCAGCACAGCCTCGACCGCTCACTAAGTCGTGGGTCCGTCGCCACCGTTTGTCTCCCGTACTGACCACAGGACGCGATAGGGATACCAGTTTCATCTGTAGGTCAGTGCCCCCCTTCCGCCCCCGCATCTCCGTGGCGCCTCGCAGCTCATCGTCTCTCAACTTGTAAACTGTAGGCAACGCCCGGGCTCTCGCGGAAGAGGGCAATCCCGCGAACAGGGGAATGTCACCCACGCCGCCGTCGCCGTCGGGAAGAGATGGCGGGAGGCTGAGCGTGATGTCGCCTACCGGGCAGCCCTCGTCTCCGAATAAACGCTTGTCGTTTACGCCTGGTGGAACGACCAGGGTGCTAGCGGATCTGCAGACGGGCGTTATCAATGCACGAAACGCGCTCGAGAACACCAAGTCCCAGCTTCGATTGTCCCAGCGCACGGTGGCCCAGCTCACCCGGCAAACGGAGGATCTGAAGGAGAGCCGGGAAAGGCTGAGGCTGGAGAATGAAGGGCTGAATAATGTCGTCGCTCGTAAGGAGCGGCTACTACAGGAGGTGCGTCGCCTGTTCCCCGATGCCTGACGCGGCTAATATGAGATACCGTTCATTAGGTCCTTGAGAGAGCCCGCAAAGCTGAAGCCGAAGCAGCATCCATGAAATCCCAGCTAAAAACCGAAACCTCGGCATCCAAGAAATCCCTTCGTGAAATGGAAGCCTCCCTCGCCGAGTCGACGGCCTTGTCCCAGAAATCCGAGCGCGAGTACGTCACACTCCGCGATAGCATCAAGAGCATGGCCGAGGGCTGGAAGGTGGATACGGAGCGCCTGCGCGAAGAGATGAGGCGGCGGGAGGACATGCTGAAGAAGGAGGCGGAGATGATGGGACAGAAGTACCAGCGCCTCGTCGCGGAGGTGCGCGCGGCAGATGGCCAGCGGGAGAGCATGCGGGAGCTGAAGCACGCGCACGAGAATATTCGCAAGGAGGCGGAGGACTGTTTCCGGCTGGAGATCGGGCAGCTGCGCACGCAGACGGAGGAGTTTTCGAAGAAGAGCGATGAGTCGAACCAGATTGCAAAGTGCGTTTTCTGTTCTTTTGGTTTCATCGTCGATCCCGTGCCACTGTTGACGTACGCTGACCTCTGATCGTCATCGCAGGGAGCTTGCCAGCGAGCTAGCCCGACTCCGACGGCTGATGCAGGCCGCTGGGCGATCGCCGCCGCAGTCGATGATCATGGACGACTCTGCGCCCGACGTGTCTGCATCTGCGGATGGGTCTTCATGAGAGGTTCATCTCTGCCTTTACCTTCGTTTTTCTTGTCTTTGATTTTTGATTTCATTACATCATGGTCTTATTCCCTGCATCTCGAAGGATCCGTTCATATATCCTGCTGAGGACTGCCTGCATTTACGCATACCATGTATCATATATCCTAGTCGCTCCAGGGCCCACATTGTTTCCTTGCTTTAATTAAATGCTAGCATCGATCCTATGGCTTATAACCTACTCGCATAAATATCTATATACCTCTTTTTTATATACCCTCGAGCTCGAGGACCGAACTGTCTCGAGATGATTGCAAACGACATATTGTGTCAACCTCGGGCAAACGGCCGGCGTCCCCGATGCTTCGCGCGGGCCTTGGCCGATCAGGGCCGATCCGCGTCAGGTTCAGAGAAGCGCATCTGCTGACGTGCCCCGCATAATGCGGCAATCCGGAGCATTGGGTTGCCGGGTGACCGGTGGTGAGTGCATGTGCCTGTGTCGTTTCATTCATATACGCTAAAAGCCTCTCGAGTCTATTGCTCCTTCCCTCTCCCACCGCCTCGTCTCATCCATACGCTTTACGACGCTATGCCCGTCATCACGACCCCCGTTACTCAGATGTTTGGGATCCAGCATCCCGTTCTGCTCGCAGGTTCGTGTTTATATAGAGAGGAATCGGAGGAGAACGGCGAGGGCTGACCCGCTCTTGTGCGTCTCACAGGCATGAACGTCGCTGCTGGCCCTGAGCTCGCTGCTGCCGTGACCAATGCTGGTGGCCTCGGTGTCATTGGTGGACACGGGTACACGCCCAAGATCCTCAGGCAGCAGGTACGCCCGGTTTGAGGACAGGAGGCTTTGGATTCGTTTTTGACCAGCTCGGGAACAGATCAAGGCGCTCAAGGCGGATCTCAAGCACAAGGATGCACCTTTTGGTGTTGATCTCCTGATTCCGCAGGTTGGTGGAAGTGCGAGGAAGACGAACGTACGTGTGAACGAAGATGTACTCAGACGTCATTGTTGCTTACTTATTGGGCTTGCCTGTAGTACGACTACCAGAAGGGCCAGCTCGACGCACTCCTCGACGTCATCATTGAGGAGGGCACCCGTCTCTTCGTCTGCGCCGTCGGTGTCCCACCCAAGCACGCCGTCGAGAAGCTGCACAAGGCCGGCATCCCTATCATGAACGTACGTGGCGTCTTCCTACCAACGACCGCCGTCCTAACCCAGCCTCTTCCGACGTCGCTCTAACAGATGGTCGGCCACCCCAAACACGTCGCCAAAGCGCTCGACGCCGGCGTCGACCTCATCTGCGCACAGGCCGGCGAGGGCGGCGGCCACACGGGCGACACCCCCGCCTCGATCCTCATCCCCGCATGCGTCGACGCCGTCAAGGGCCGCACGTCCCCGCTGACGGGCAAGCCCGTGTACGTCGTCGGCGCGGGCGCGGTGTACGATGGGCGCGGGCTCGCCGCGAACATGTCGTGGGGCGCGCAGGCGGTGTGGGTAGGCACGCGCTTCGTCGCCGCGACCGAGGCGGGCGCGCCCAAGGCGCACAAGGACGCGCTGCTCAGCGCGAGCTACGAGGATGCGGTGACGACGCTGATTTACACGGGCCGGCCGCTCCGTGTGCGGAGGACGCCGTATGTGGATGAGTGGTACGTCGCGTTTGTTTGGAGTGTAGGCAGCGGTTGTTTAACTTGGGTTAGGAACAACACTCGCCAGGAGGAGATCAAGCAGCTGACGGCAAAGGGCATTCTTCCCAACGAGCACGAGATGGAGAAGCACCCTGAGAGGGCCTCTGAGGCCCGCACGTTCCTGATTGGACGCGTTTCGGCGCTTATAAACGAGGTTCTTCCTGCGAAGCAGATCATTGACGAGATGGTGTCGAGCGCGTCGGAGATTCTCACTCACAACGCGAGCTTGGTTTCGAACAAGGCCAAGCTCTAATCTGATGCGTGGCTGCTGTACCGACGTTCTTATCCTATTTAACCGTTTTTAAACACACTTGGTTACCAAGGCGTGATAAGTACACCCTAATGCATTGCAATCTAAATAGTACATGTACGCTTTACAGATCCGATGAGAATTTCACATGAGTATGCGTGAGTATGCGAAGTATGCTGTGAGAACAACCCCAACCCCGACTCGGAGCCATGATCTATGCAGAGAGCGGCTTCTGCGCATAGATGACATAGAACGGGCCCGACGCGCCCTCCGTCTCCTCCCACTCCTTGACCGCGTTGGCCACTAACGCGTCGTACTCAGCCTCCGTCGTGACGAACCCGAGCCCGCCCTCCTTGAGCACAGGCGTCTTCATGCCCCTGTACACCGCCCCGAGATCGTAGTTCCCCTGCACACCGAGCTCGCCCGCCCAGCTACCCAGCGGCATATCGCGGTTCTCAACCGTCACGCTCTCGAACCCCAGCTCCTTCAGTATCTCCGGAATACGGTGGCAGCAGTCGCGCACCAACCCGCGCTTGGCGCTCAGCGCATACACAACATCATACAGCGCGTCCGTCGCCGCGCCGCCGCGCACGACCTTGCCGTCCATCTCGAGCAGCTGCACCCACCCGCCCGGCGCGAGCGCGCGGTGCATCTCGGCGAGCGCGGCGCGCCACTGCGAGAGCGTGAGCGCCTCGATGAGCAGGCGCTGGTTGATGAGCGCGAACTTGTTCGACCACGATGCGGGGAGGTCGACGATGGAGTTGAGCGAGAAGGAGAGGTTTGGCGTGGGGGCGGTGGGGAAGAGGTGTGCGGAGATGTCGATGCCCTGCAGCTGGACGGTGCTCGGCACGGTTTGGTGCACGTCGAGGGCCCAGGCACCTGCGATATCGCGAGTGAGCGATGTTCATTTATATGGGTGCGTGAACGCGGTGCCGCTATTTTTACCTGATCCGGTGCCGCTGTCGAGGATCACGTCGCCAGCGTTGAACGTGATGCTCGGGAAAACAACGCGGTTGTCAAAGATGGTCTTGAGGACGTGATGTTGGAGGTCGAGCCTGTTTGCCGCGGTGGATCAGTGAGCAAACGCGTCTTTCCATCCATGATGGCTACAGTGGTTGCTGCTCACCTCTTCTTCTCCTCACCGTCGGAAGGCAGCACATATTGCATGCCAGGGAAGGACTGGTACGTCCGCTCGTTGTGGGCAATAACGGTAGTAGTGGCCATTTTTTATCTGGTAGGAATGAGGAACGGAAACGCGATATGAATTGAAGTGGGGATGTGTGGGGGAGGGGTCGGCAAGTTGCTGAAGCAGCCTTCCCCACTCCAGCCAACCTTAAATATGTCGCGCAGGAAGTTGCGGCCGCACAAAACGCCTACAACCCAGGGAGTGTGTTTCATTTTTGAACACCGTGAAGTTTGGAGCAAAGTCGCATTCGTGCTGAGCGCGAAGACAGAGGCCGTGCGCGCAGGCACACAAGTGCTCGCCACCCAGGCTACCTATCTCCATCCGGGCCGAGCCACCATGTTCGTAGTACACCCGAGGCCATCGAGTGTGAACGTTTGTACGGTGCCACAGGCCCCCCTCGTCGAGATACGAACCGCGTGTGGGGTGCACTGCATCGTTGATCGCGGACAAGCTCGCGACAGGAACGCATCAGTGTCCTAAAGCACCATCCAGATTGCTTTACACGGTCACTGTAAATAAACACTCCTCCGAGATCAAGCCAAGGCAGCACATCCCTGGGAAGCTTGTAAAACCCGCAGTCGCTGTAGCCTGCCGTGAGATGGCAGCTTCGTTCAAGGCGTCCAGAATCGAGCATAGCGACGCGCGAAAACGCGCTATTCTACTTTCAGCAGTTAAAAAAAAATGCTTGAGGTTTGGTCGGAACGGCAAATGTTTGAGATTCCGTGAGAGACAGAAGCAAGAATAAACGTAAACCTGCGTTCTAGCGCCTGATTGAAGACCTGTAGCCTAGGAAATGGCTGCGCCGTGTGTGATCCCGTGGTGCCCACGTTGTGAGAACGAGAGCGGACGAGGCCGGGAGTATGCGAAGGCATCAAGACCCGCTCGCTGATGCGCTACACCTCTTGGGCATGCTGTTGATGGCTGTCTCTTCTGCGATAGGACAACCGGGAGCGAGGTTCCGGGCACAAGGGCTTCTGCGAAGTCTATACGCATGGAGCCCCAGAAAATAGTAGCATCTACCATCAGCTTCTACCCCGTGAACGAGCGCCTGATCGAACCAAAGCATCAAGCTGTACAGCGTAAATTGCGAAGAACCGGAGAACGTGGTCGGCGAAGAACAAAAGCCAAGGAATAACTTGGTTCCATGGCGTAGGGCAGTGCCACGCAGATGGCGTCTGGGGTAGATCTATGGACCGAAGTGGCATGATAAGAGGATGGTGAATGAGCGTTAGCTGGTTTTCTCTCGTGCAAAGGCGGCTTCAAAGGGCGATAAAGAAAGGCACCAACACCTCATCTGGGCTGCTCGATGACAAGCTGAAGTCGACTCCAGCTTACATCTAGCGTTGTTGAATGCAGCACGGTGCATGCAGAGGAAGAAACTCGGCAGAAAAGGTCGTCGAGCAGGCAGCATCCAGGATTGCAAATCGCAGTTCCGTTGGGACAGGAGTCACCCTAGTAAAGCCTCTGGGTAAGGATCACAGTGATACGTCCGACTCCAAGTCGTGGTGGAAGTCCGAGTTGAACGAGGGAACGAAAGGGGTGCATTGCCACCTCCTGTTCATCGGGCACGTGATCAGCACCGCAAAGTCGCGTCCCACCGCGTCAACCTCCCCACTCCACCCCCACTATTGACGTCTCCATCTCAATCTGAGCGTCTTGCTAGCAATCCAAGCCCATCGACCACTCTGAGTAACCAGGAATCCTTACCACCTTCTGAACACCTGGAAAACTCGAACTTCGACGGGCGAGTAGCACTTTGCGGAGGGATCTGAAAGTCATGGACGGCGGGAATGGCCCAATTATAGAGTGTCCGATATGCTTGGGTGAACAGTCCCTGGCGAGCGTTCTGTCTCTTAAGTGTGGTATGTGGCCCACGCTGTCAGCAGTGGTACCCCCACTGAAACTCTACTGGGAACAGGTCACTGTATTTGTGCCAGCTGTGTCAGCCAATGGGTCCAAACGAAGATTCAAAATCGAGAATGTCGCAAAACAGCCGTCCCCTGCCCAGCATGCAGAGAGCCATTCAACGCAGAACGAGACCCGCGCCCCGTCTTCTTTAACCTCTCCTCCTCTTCCGACTCGAACCCCCGCTCCCCCAAACGTCGTCGCATATCTGCCGACTCGGACACCATCGACCTTACTGGCGACGCTGGTCCCTCATCTACCGACGCGAGGGAACGTCATGCGCGGCAGGTCCAGGACCTTCAAAGTCGCATACACAAACTCGAAACGAAGCTGGGCTTGGCGCGAAATGGGGCAAAAGATCTGGAGCAACAGCTACGAGAAATCGCAATCTCTCTCGGAATCGAACAGCGCCAACGTGCCAACGAGGTGACGACCCTGAAGGAAAAGCTGGAGGAGAAACGCGGTCAGGTCCGCCTTGCCAAGCAGCGTCAGCAGGAGGCGGAGGAGGAAGCGAAGCGGACGACCGCCCGAGCATCCAAAGCGGATCAAGATAGAACTTCTGCGCTGGATGAGCTTCGAACGAAGGACGAAGAACTGAGAACATGGCAGCATCGAGTCACGACTTTCAAGTTAGATGTGGGTAGATGTCGCTGTCCTTGTATCTGTACTTTAACGTCCACACGCAGGAAAAGAAGTGGAAGGCGAAGCACAAGGATTCCGATAGGGAAATCCAGGAATTGAGAGACGAAGTGACCAGACTCAAGGGCCAGCTCGCCGCCCCACCTGCAGCTGCCCCTCCGGATGAATCGCTGATTGTTTCGGCACCAGACTACAACCAGTTACTGGGCGGCGCATCCAGCGACCAAGGCGACGCGGACGATCCGTTCGGCATGGGCTTTGGGTGGGAAGTGGAGAAGACCTCAGTCGCCGAGCCGTCCGACTCGGAAGACGAGCTCAACATCTCAAGTTCCTCGCAACCGCGGCCACCCAGCCCACGGCGACTATCTTCCCCCGGCCCCGCCGCGCTCGAGAACCGGCCGCTCCCCGATGACAGACGCCAGCCTCCGGCGGTCAACTTCCAATCCGACTGGAATCTTGCGCACGCAGCGCCTCAAGGCCGTGTCAAGAAGCAGAAGCACCAGGACGACGGAGAGCTGGTTCTCGGTGGGGGGTCTAGGGCGAAGGGCACGATTCGGAAAGTGTCGATGACGAAGAGCTCAGGTTCGAGCTCGAGGGCGAAGGCGAAGGCGAAGCAGACCGCCAAAAGGCCCGAAAATCGGATGGAGAAAGTGATGGGCCGCGACAGCAAGGAAAACAAGCAACTCACGCTGCCGTATCTCGGGCTGGCCGATCCCAAAGGGAAGCCGTCTCGTAATGTGGTCGTCGCGACCCGAGCGCCCATCCGTGCTCACGCAGACTTGCGACGGACATAGTTGGCTTATCTCTTCTTGGCTTTTCCCCTCTTCCCCGTCCCTTACTCGCGTTTTAATGTCACAATGGTAGATTACAGATGGAATACAACATCGTGCCTGGCTGGTACATACACACCAGATTACAGATTACCCCCTTCTGAGCCTTATACCCCGGATACGCTTCTATGCCTCCCCATACATCGAACAGCACGGACCGTAGTGTGTCGGATCACTCACTTCGCCGCGAACAGCCTTACGCCCTCGCCGTCTGCCACGGAGATGATCTGTGCTCGATTCGACTTCACCAGAAAGGTGACGGCCCGCCGGAGGAGCGGGATGGGGATGCCGGACAGGGGCGATGGGACAGGCGGGTCCGCGATCTCATAGAATGTGAGGATCGTGTTCAGCTGGCCGGTTGCCACAGCCTAAAGTGCGTGCGTCGCGTGCGTCACGACGGACATCATCGTATAAAGCATGAGGCGGAACGAACATAGGTCGTCAGTAAACGCCGTGCCACGGAAAACAGATGTCCAGAAAGCATGTGGACATGGTGGTGGGTGATCGATGAGAGAACGCACCCAGGCATGCAGGGCGTCCGCCCACTCCTCCGGTGTCCGCCAGTAGATGATCGCCGCCCTGCTCTGCTTCGGCGGCTCAAACGCAGCCTGCTCGCTCGCCACCATCGTATCGAGGAGCGAGCTCAGGTGCGAGGGCAGTATTCGGCCTGTGCGCGTCCCACAGTCAGCGTCACACGACCACAGGACGGGCGCTAGCAGGGGGGAGAAGGGTAGGGTGAAGGGGCTACGTACGATTGATACGCTCGTTGCGCAGGATCTCGTCCCAGTCACCGCCTGCGACCTCCGCGTCCTCCACGCGGAGCATGAAGAGCTTGCGATGCCGCGCGTACGTGAGGATTAGCCGCGTCCATTGCGCGGTGAACTGGGCTTGCGTGCGTGGGTTCGGCTGTTCACTGTGGTAGGGCGGTGACGCAACTCGTAAGACATCTTATCGGAAGAGCTGGGGATGGCATGGCACGAACGTGAAGAAGGGCGGTGCTGAGTGGATGGAGGGTAGCAGGAAGCCTGATGGGCGGTGTTGTCAGGCAGATCAAGGATTGTGTGGGTCGAGGACTGACCTGAGGGCGTGGTGAAGGAGGAAAGAGCCATTTGGACACCGCTCATTTGCTTACTCTTTCCTAGATGCGTGGTGTCACTAACTTAGACTACAAAAGGTCAGCTCTGTCGTTATATACTTTACTTTGGAACGTTCGATACAGCAACATACCCAAGGAAACCCTTATAACATAGCTTACAACAATGATAAGAGGATTGATGAGGTCGATAATAGGGCCAAGTGCAAACCAAGTAAAAGTTAAAACCAAAAAGCAGCCATCCTTAGAACTGGGAGGCGAGTCAAACAAAAAAGGAGCAATAAATATTGAGACCCGTAGGTCTACCACTCTGGAAAAGCGTGTCATCCTTGTGCAGGGGCCATGCTAATCTTCTCTGTATCGTTCCAATTTTTACGTATGTCACCCCGAAGGGGACATAGAGGTAAGCTATGCCCTTCGGGACTCAGCTATACTTTTGATTTTGCCTTGAGTGACGGGGTGTGGCGGGGCTAATAGCAGCAAACAGCTGGCACCGCCACCAGTGTCATCTTCCGAGTCGTCTACCGGCTTGCTACTGTACCAGCTTCATCCCGTTTCACTATGTACGTGGTTTATAAGCCAATACATCCTTTCCGCATCCCAAGGATCACATACTATTTCTCTAAAGTTAGCTCAACCCACTGCACCCAGACTTGGCTCTCGCCCGTCTAAGCTGGACAAAGCGGCATTGTCGCCACAAACATCAAGCCCACTATCCTCGAACGAACCACTTCCCTTTTATCCAGCAGGGTTCTTCCGCTAAGGAGACGTACAGTGAGTACCTAATTCAGGAGCTTAGAATAATAAGGAAGGAAAGTCGGGCCAGGCAGCTGTGTCCAAGCTATCTGGATCTGCTCCACGGGCCAAGAGCATCTTCACAAGCCCTCTGTCACCAAGCCGCGCAGCATCTTGCACAACGCTGCTACCACTATCCTCTCCATGCGCGTTGATATCGGCGCCGTGGTCGATCATTAGCATAATTGTGTTGACGCTTTCCTTAGATACAGCCTTCTTTCCTGCGAGGACCGTAGTGAGCGGTGTATTCCCATTTGCACCGCGGGCATTGACATCAGCACCAGCGTCCAAGAGGACCTTGACGGCACCCACGCGAGACTTTCGCGCCGCAGCGTGGAGTGGCGTTGCGTCTCCAAATCGGTCACGGTCGCGCAGGTCCACTGAGGCGTTGTGCGCAAGCAAGAACTGTATGATGGAAACGTGGCCACGCGTCGCGGCTAGATGCATCAAGCCATTGGCATCGTAGCCGGAGCCGTCATCGTAAAGAGCGTTGAAGTTGAGGTTTGGTCTGTCGCGTAGGGTTGACTTGAGGCTGGCAAGATTACCGGTCTGGATGGACTGCCAAAGAGAGGAATAATCGGGATTGTCTGAGGGCGCGAGGATGCGACCGTGGTCCTCCACTATTGTAGCGGTGGTTACAGTGAGCGGGTGAACCTAGTGGTGGTTGTGTCTGAAAGGCTTCGGAGGGGAACACAAGGTCCGAGTCTTGCAAAAGGTGTTAGGCGAGGGGAAGTGAAAGACATTTATGCTGTAATGTTCCGATTGTTGGAAAGGTCGTGGTGTTCAGGAGGGTGAAAACGGCGAGAATAGTGACGTGCGGGATCATTTCTTTGAAGGCATTGGTCTGTTTGGAGGAAGGCCCGAAGTCCTTCTAGACAAGAAGTTCAACGTGTCGCGCTGTCAATCATATTCATCATGCGGTATTTGTTACCCATTTTACGTGTCGCTCCGCTCTTTTTGACGAGCTATATGTTGGCGTGCGCATACACGTTGACAGTGACGCTGACACACTCAAGACACGCTTCCACCCTCGTCTGCCCTGAGAACTACAGCCTCCACTTGACACGATACACAGGAAGTAAAGTTTCCAAATAGACTCGTTGAGTGTCGCAATTGTCCGAATGGTGCCTCTAAAGCTCCTCCGGCGTGCTCTGCATCTTCCTGGCAACATCTTACCCTGCTAAGCACCCAGCATGCACCACGTTTTTCTCATATCTGAGCTCATCGAGCTCATCTTCCAGCAGATTGAATGCCAAGAGACGCTGTTTCGTCTCTCGAGAGTCTGCCATGTATTCAAAGACCCTGCCCTCGACGCCCTCTATGGTAGTATCCAGAGTCTTCCGAGGCTGCTAACTTGTCTCTCTTCAGACTTATTGGATGCGACGCCTGGTGGGGATGGTATGCCCACGACACTAGTGAGTCTCATTGTCAGTATCACTCCTTGGCCATTGTCCTCATAGGAGGGGCTTCCTTCAAGAACTTCTGCAGAGAGCTAACACACGATGATTGGGCCTCGCTAGCATCCTACGCTCGTCGGGTCAAGAATCTGGACATCAAAGTCAGCATTCACCGGCGGCTGCACAAGGACACTTTTGACGCACTATGCAAGTGCCCCATCCCTCTCTTCCCAAGATTGCGCACGCTACGACTCAGCGGCACGATCTACTTGGCATCGCTCCACCGCATCGTGTTGACCCCTTCCCTTCGTGTCTTGCATATCCCAGATGTCACAGCCGACGATTTTATTTCCAACGCGCCTACTCCCTACCTATATTGTCCAAACATCGAGTCATTCACCTGCCTTGACAAGGGCACTGGCAGAGACCCAGCCAAACTGATGCGGTTGGCCAAGACGCTATGCCGGTGGAAATACCTCCACCATCTGGACTGCGGACCTCTGAACGTAGAGATTCTGGCGCATCTTGCGCACGCGAGTTCACTGGGAACACTGGTAATACCCGTGATGTCAAGCGATACATGGCTCTCAGAGCGGTACAGACTTCGAGACGTGGATGAGCTCAACCTGGTCATCGACAGCATTGACACGTGGGCTAGGGCGCTTCGTGCGCTATTCCAGGATAATGAGGGCTCAGAATCGCACTCCGACAAGTCCACTTATGCAAGTCTGCGCGCTCTAACGATGACAATGACTCCTATCCAAGGTGTCTTGTCCGTCCAGGCTCCGGCGCAACGTGTCCCTTCACCTCCATCACTCATCTCCTCCACTCTGTCCTCGCTCGTCTGCCGCAAGCACCTCTCCGTACTCAAGCTCTCGGACTACTGGTCGAGCCCGCTTCCCAAAGGCCGCTTTGGCATCGAAGAGCTTACTCCACTTCGCGGCTTTGCACAGCTCAGAGAGCTCGTTATCAAGTTCCGCAGCTACCCACTGACATTCGATGACATGGAGCTCGCGGCGCTTGTGTCGTACTGGCCGAGGCTCGAGCGCCTGCACCTGACTAAGCTCGAGCAGCCTGTGTCTCTGACAGGTCTCATTGCGGTCCTTCAGGCGTGCCCGAGCTTATGCTATCTCGATCTCGCCGTGCGGTTAGACCCGGCTGACGTCGCCAATGTTAGCGCTAGCTCTCCGCTACCGCGCAACGCGTATATAACTTGGATGGACCTCGAACATACCCACGAGCGCGCCAAGGATGCCGATCCTCTGGCACGCCTACTGCATTGCATGCTTCCCTCACTACTATCGTGCGATCGCTCCGTTTCCTCACGTGGTAGAGATGCATGCAGCCCCGCAGAGGCGAGGAGATGGATGTTGAGCTGGCGCCGGAGGACGACGGAGCCAAGGGAGTGGAGGGCGAGGTTCTGGCTACTGGTCTTTGCGGAGATGCATCGGTTGAAAGAGCTAGAGGAAGTCAAAGAGTCTGAAAAGTGGGTTAACCCGCTTGCGAAATCGGTTGCTGCTGGTGTGTCTCCCGTCAGTGTTCAAAATGGTCTACTGCTAACTGATTCTGGTCGTATTTCAAGCTCTCAGTCTCTACCGACGAGAGTGAAGGACTTGAGCAAGTTCATCTCCCGGCGGTCTTGAGCTCTCTTCGATGAATTGTTTGCGGATAAATGCATTGCTCTAGGCTTTGCCACATAAATGGCGGAGGCGCTCATCACCGTTTCAACACTCTTGTAAGTACGTACATTATTGAAGGTTTAGTTCTGTGGTAGTCAGCGGCCGTCATGCGTTGCAATATGTTCACGGACGATGACGCCTGGATTGAGTTCATGTCAGGGTTCAAAGTTCTAGAACAAATGATAACCAGACCTTTGGGTCGGACGTGAAACATATACGCAGAGGCACCCGAACAAACCTCCTGAAGTGTCTGTATTCATTACATGCAAGCTGTCGACGCTAAGTGCTTTCGATACAGGGACTGGTGCCTGGCACGTTCCTACGAGCGTTTAACACGTTGAGATCGGCGTTCGAAAGCGGGGAACTACACATTGCATTCAAAGCCCCTGACCGTGAAACACGAATCCCTACTCAACCAAAATAGAGGTCTGTAATAGGCACGTTAACGTCAACGACCAACATCTAACAGAGGGAAAGCTCCTCGCCGCAAGATGTTCACCCAGGAACGCTGCTTCTAGCAGCGTTGAACGCGTATAAAGGGTGTGCATCTCATCTGCGAGCTAGACATCCTCAACACTCATCCAGCCTTTCAATTAGTACCTCACAACCAATTCACTTCTAAGCGAAAATGACTTGGACCATCGCCACCGTCTCAGTCCCCAGCGGCAAGACATACACCATCGTTGGTGGTCCTGACGGACAGGAGGGCGCGTTTACGCCGGGCTACTGGTTCTCCACCAAAGCCTACCTCATCATCCCTAACCTTGGCTACATCCAATTCGAAGACCAAGGAAACAAAGGTACTCTCTCCGCTGTCAAATGTTCCCAATGATGTACATTGCTGACCATATATGTAGTTCCCGGTGGCGACTGGTCTGTCAAAGTCAGCGGGACCAGCAGCAACTGGTTCTACGGTGGTGGAGGCCAGATGAAGATTACAGTCAACGCTGACGGGTCCTTCTCCATCACCGGCGGACAGAAGGATACCTCTGGCAAGGTGTAAGTTTTGTTGGACTGATGAAATGCTTGCGAGCAACCTAACGCTTCTTTCTCGCAGCATCGCTTGGGCCATCTAAGAGAATCGTACGGTTAATAGTAGTTGTAAGATTAGCCTTGGTGTTCTACGTGGATTTGTAGCACGCGCAAATATCAGCAGAGTATGAAACGCTTTCTGTCGCAAATAGGAGTTAATTGTGTTGGGGCCGTGGGAAGGCATATTCGCGGTGAAAATTCGTCATGCGCATTGCGCATACTGCTCGACGACCATCACCACAGTCTCTAACTTTGTACATGCATCGCTGATTGCAGATCTCCGAGCTTCTAGACCGTATACTTTCTCAGGTAGATGGCAAGAGAGCTCTTGGGCGATTGGCCAGAGCCAGCAAGAATCTGAAAGAACCTTCGCTCCGAGTCAACGCACTCTACGAAAGTGTCGATGACCTCTGGATCGAAAGGAGAACTAGACCAGACGTCAGTGGACCGCTCTGCTTCGTATGTTCATTTCTCTCCAACGATCATCTTTTCGAATCGGGCGTCCTGACCAAACGCCCCATAACTGGTGTCGTTTGGGTGTCGTGCAATGATGATGGTCACAACTACTATAGGAATTTCGGCGCGAGATGACTCAGAGGGACTGGACTATCACGGTATCGTATTCTGCTCGTATTGTTAGTATCGAACATTTCTTCGGCTGTGCTGGCTCGAACTCTCAATGCGCGTTCTCTGGCCAGGTCTCGGCTTCCCACTAGCATTAACCTGCACTTCTCAGACGCCGATATACCCGATAAGCCCCTCGAAGTCATCACGAGCGCGCTCGCCTCTTGCGCTTCTGTTCCGCTATCTATCATCTCTGCGCTTCCGGTGAAGACGATATTGGCCTGGAACAGGGTGGTAATCTACCACACGTCTGTTACTCTGACCTCCAACCGCCGAAGAGTCTCACCCGTCTGATCAGATTGACGCTATCTTTTGGCTCGATTCCCGTCCTTGAACAAGAACCTTCGCAACTCCTGACTCTCCTCGGATACTGGCATCTGCTCGGATCCCTTGAAGCCCACCTTTTTTTGCTGGATGCTCCGAGACTCTTAGCTGTTTTACGACTGCTACCGGAGTTGGCATATCTGAACACGACGCCACGTCGTGGAGCATATAGAGTCCAGGCACCTATCCAAGGAATACTTATTCTATTCCGCGTTGCCACTAAACCGCCGCATCTAGGACTTGACTGTTGTTCTCCAACTATCGTTTCGCAGCGATGTGCTCCCCTTCAGCCGCTTTTGTACACATCTTCTGCCTTGTTGTCTCCCTACAACCACTGAATGCGTGGAGCCTTAGTGAGTCCGAGCACTGGAACAAGGTCGTCGAGATGAGGCGTGCGAACTTGAATTAGTAGAAGCAGGCGACGTTATGTTTAGTATCAGGCTTCTTATAACAAGAGTAGCTTCTCTGGATAAGGTACTGAAAGGCTATTTCTGGGAACTGACGACAGCCGTCTCCCTGGTCGTTGTGCTCCGTTGTTCTTGACCATGATGCTAGGCTGGTTCCACAAAACATATAAAGTCTAGGCCTGTGCTGTAGTATTCTTACAACCACGATTCACCGAAGCTTGCTCGATTATTGGCCGAGCGCTCACTTCGCATCTCCGCTTAAACCTGCTATAAGCGCTCACTTTCTTCGACGTATTTCATCGAACTTGCATCACACCACTATGACCCCTCCAGCCGAAACATCTCTCCCTCCAGCCTCCAGTCCTTTCGACCACCCCAAAGCGGACCTCTACTTGCTGTCTGCAGATGGCGTGTACTTTCGCGTCTTCAAGCTCTTCCTGTCCCTCGCTTCACCCATCTTCGAATCCATGTTTGAGTTGCCGCAGCCTGCCGCGACAGATAACACCGCACACGAATTCAAGGACGGTTTGCCGGTCGTGACCGTCTCTGAGTCCAGCAAGACTCTGGACTCTTTTCTCCGATTCTGCTACCCCTCTACGCTCACCGAAGACCCGGACTTGAACCAGCTAGACGACGTTGTCGACGTCCTCGAGGCTTCCCGAAAATACGAGGTCTCTGTCATCGAGAAACGTTTAGGGCGTGTTCTCGCGACACCTGAGGTTCTAGCGCAGGACCCGTACAAATGCTTCGCGATCGCTTGTCGTTCTGAAATGAAAGAGGAGGCGGAGCTCGCAGCCAAGTACACGTTACGCCTCCCCCTCATCCCACCCATGTTTCCCGAGATCGACATGGTGACCTCCAAGCAGCTCCTCGTTCTCCTCACGTATCATTCGCAGTGCACCGTGGCTGTTGCGAAGTTGGCCAACGACTGTACCCCATGGATGGTTGCGTACTTCTCATTGAAAGGCTTCGACTGGCTGACTGACAGTCATGGCTACTGTCCGAGAAGGAAGTATCATCAGTTCGGCAGCAGGGAGGTTCCAGGCTGGTGGGCTGATTTCATGGACCAAATACTTCCACTTGTGCAAGATAGACCTTCTCCGAGCACTGTCAGAAACTTTGACACCCAGGGGATCATTGAAACAGCCCAGAAACCTAGCTCATGCAATACTTGCCCGAAAATTGTGCGGGAGCGTCTGGCACAATGTGTCGACCTTCTCGCCGAAGAGATCGAAAAGGCCACGTCCGGAGTACGCTCTTTCCCTCTATTCCTCTCTTCCTTCTGACCATCTACTAGATCAAATTCGAGATGACGTTCTGAGTACTGAAGTATTTTCTACTTGTATGGTTGGGTTGAACATGTGTACGCACAAATGAGCTATGGTCAAAAACGCTTCTTCGAGTCGTTGACATCGGCAGCTAGCGGCATTTCCTTTGCTGCGCCACAGGCTTGCAGTCCCATACGTTTGCATCGACCCACTCGTCTACATCGTCCCGCGAATCCCAATCGTCACATCCACGTGTATCGTTCTCCCTATTTATCTCGTCGCGTGCGTTCCATACATCAACCTACATGTATCAAGGTTAGCGGTTTGACCGGTATAGAGATTGAGACATAGATACCTTATTCAGCGCCTTCTGCACGAAAGTCTTGTACGCAGGTATAAACCTCTCGTGCATAAAAGCGGGCGCGAACTCGCAGCATCCAGTACAGTGAGCCGCCGCAAGTCTGAGCGTGGAGTTTATCCTTGCGTTTGACAGCACGGACACCACGTCGGGATCGTCAAGGAATGCCTCCTTCGTCTCCTCAACGAACTCAGCCAGCCATACAGGCACCTTGATACTCCCAAGGTTGTTTCTTCCATAGCGAGGGACGCTCACGATGTCGCATTGGTGGTGAGAGCGCTTCACGGGATACGAAATTGGCCAGCGCAGATCTGTGCCCACCCTGCTGGCGACTTTCCCACATCGTGAATAGTAGTTGGAGAGGACGCGGTTAACGGAAGGAACTTGACGAGCGGAAGGTTTAGACGAACACCAGTCGAGTAAGCGTTGGTTAGCATTCTTGTGAGAAGGAGAACTTTGGGAGAGGGTATGGAGCGCCGCCTCACGACCCTCTTTGTTCCAGTTGAATCGCTTGCAAACGCTAAAAGCCTCGAGTGCGTAATGCTGGAGGTTGTGAGGGCAGGCGACCTCTTGGCGAAGGAGGTTGGTGACTTCAGGCATGCCATAGACTAATGCGACTTCAGCGGCGTCTGCAATTGCTGCAGGCTCCAATGGAGTGGACGGCCGATATTCGTCCGGGTAACAGCAAAGGAGGGCAGTCCGCACAGCGGAGCTGTGAGCCGACAAATCAATGACTTGGGAGCCCCCACTTGAAACTTGACCGAGGACAGTGGACGAGCAGGCAAGGAAGGATTTGAAGACCCGGAATGTGACATTGTCTGAAGACCGCAGAATAATGTCAGCTTCGGGGTCATCAAACGGAGGTTCTGCTGGACGATCGGGGGGACCGAGGTTGAATGTATAGTCGAGAAAATCAACTTTTGCCCAGGTGAGAGGCAACGGGAAGGGCATGGCAGCGGAGAAGTTGGGTGAAATTTGAGAGCAGATTATCTGAGCGATGTCCTCAGTTGCACGAGGGTTGGTTCTCAGAATTAGTTACAGATGCAGAGGACCACTAGGGTGCTATCGCCTAAGTTTGCGGGCATCAAATATCAGAGGGGCAATTGAGCTGATGCTTCCTGTAAATTCAAGACTAAGGTTACGGTAGATTGCTTTCTACATCCCTTCAAGCTGATGAACGTACGTTACTCGTGAGGACGTTCGTATCCCTATCACCGAGTGTTCTCTTATACTTGGCGAGCTTTGTTCTGACCATAGGACGTTCGTACAAGTCGCAAGAAAGAAGCCACAATATTCGGCACCCACAGTGACCATAAGATCAGAACTGAATATTTGGAAAAGGTAAGATACCAACCAGTTGGGATTATTTCATGTAGCCTTACCACGTTTAATGTCAACGTCAATTAGACACCTCCTTTCCAAATCAGCAGCCTGCTGTTGAATTGAGGCGCTGATCAGCCTTTGAGGCGTAAGTTGCCCTTTTGAGTCAAGTTATTCGCGTAAGATAGGGCAGAAGAATTCGACACGACACGTGTAGCGTCGAGGAAGAATACACAAGCATCCAAGATGGAACAACATCTTGGCAGACCTTCTTTTTTGAACTTCTTGGGGTCGACACTGGCGTCATATCGTGAGATGCAAGATGAGCTCCGCTTGGTGTGTGGCGCTCAGTTCCTCGATCGAGATTGATTTGAGCAATGCCAGGCCAAGTCTGTGTTCCTACTGGTAATGCGTAAATCAAGAGAGGAAGTCAGAAATTAACAGAGAATTGCATGGGCTAGCTCTGAAGATCTGAGTTCTGAATGTTTCTGAAAATGTTGATGGTGCAAGAACAAGCAACGGAAGTAGACACGGGCTACGACGGAGGCGAAAGTGGTCTTGACAGGGGCTAATTTGCTTCAATAGGCAGTCCATTCCCTCGCGTTGTTAGCGACGGCTTTGCCAGTTGCTCCTTGTACGAAGTTATATCCCGCATCACTCGTTAGAAGCCGTCCGGCGCACGTTAGCCCAAGATGAGTGTCATTCGGCCCATGCAAGCAACCGACATGCTCAAATTCAACAACATGTAAGCCCGCACGCTTCCCTGGTGATGCCGTTGATCACGATTCCTGCCAAAGCAACTTGGACATCTGGACTGAGACGGTGCGCCATATGCATCATCGATTATCCACCGGCGCCCCCTGCATTGCTCATTATTTTGAATCTCGCTGCAGTTTAGAATCAACTTCTATCTTGCCTATCTCTCCCGATGGCCCGACCTCTGCTGCATCCAAGAGTCCTCGGCTACGGTACATCGCCCCCCAATCCCCATCGTTCTCTCCTCGCCCCTTCTGCTTGCCACTGAAACACAACGCTATCTATAGTCATGGGCAAGGCCGAGGGCCTCTCCACTGAGTGGCACGGGCACATCACTGCGCTTTCTGTCGCGCCCGAATACTGCCGCATGGGGCTCTCTCGCGCCCTCGTATTGCACCTTGAGTACGTGTCCGACGAGATGTACAAGGGCTTCTTCGTCGACCTCTACGTTCGCTGCACGAACTCGGCGATCAAGATGTACGAAGGTTTCGGGTATAGCGTGTACAGACGCGTCCGCAAGTACTATGGCACCTTGGGGACAGACAAAGGCGGTAGGGACGAGGAGGATGCGTTTGGTGTGTCCTCGTTTCGTTTCATCGGACTCGTTGTTCCGGCTTGCGCTTGGGAGGTGGTTGTGTTCTGACTTGTTGATTCGATCCGCTGACAGATATGCGAAAACCATTATCACGGGATCCTATGCGCCGCTCGGTCAGGTTGAACGGTCGAGACGTGCTAGTCAGCGCACAGGAAGTATCTTAGCATGACTGATAACCTTCGGGGCTCTCCATGTACATCACTCATCAACATCATATCTAGACATAGTCCAATCAATCCCATGTTAGACAACCCTTCTGCGTTGATTATCCGCAAGAAGTTGGAGCATATTTCCCCTGTCAAAAATTGCAACGCTAATCATCATCATTTAACAAACAACGACGAGCACACTTTGATTCAAGCTTCGGCCCATCCACCACAGTTCGGTACTAGACATCACCATCATCACACAACTACTGTATAGAAGATAAATGCCTGAGTGGGTAATATGTCTAGAATCTATCAATACAAAAGATCTAGGAATACACTGAAGATATTACACCAATGTCTTCTCAGCCGGAATACGATCACCACCCTCTACATAACTCCCCATTGCCAGCTTCCTACATCGCCAAACCAGGAAGACTCTTTCTATGTTCGACTCTCAACCTTGGAAACAACGGCACCGGAAGAGACAATGTCGGGCCGAGACGACGCAAGGAGGTCTTCCACATAAGCGCCGACCTTGTAGGCCGCGTCGACGGGACTGCGCTTGTGCATCATCAGGAAGCCCTGGAGTGTCGCCATCGACACTTCGCGCTCAGGGATCGACTCCGCGAATCGGATAGCGAGGTCGTTGATCTCTTCGGCTGACAGCTGGGGAAGACCCACGGAAGACTGTTTCGCTGGCCAGTGCTCCGCCGCGACGTCAACATCGATGAGAGTCACTTCCGACGAGGAGGCCTCAGACACAGAATAACTGACGGGGTCCTCGGGACGTGACACCCGCGCGTCCTTGTTGCCAGCCTGAAAGCCCTGCCGCTCGCCTTGCCTTGCCGACTCCGCTGACGAAGAATTCGTCCCAACCATGAAGAACCGCTTGAACAGCTCCTCGCCCTGCCGCCTGCTTGCATGGCGGAACTCGACATGCATATCCATCCGCCCGGGGCGACACAGCGCCGGATCGAGTGCGGCGTACCGGTTCGTCGTCGCGAATAGTATCCGGCCCTCCTGCGCACCAATTCCATCTAGCGCGTTCAGAAGCCCGCTCAACGTCACCTTGCCCGAGTAGTCGTCCGAGTCCGAGTCCCCGTTGGGCGTCGGCGCAGGCGCATGGGCCTGTGCCTGCCCTTGCGGCGATGGTGCACCGCCGCTATGACTTTGAGCCTGGGTACTCACCATACCATCGACGCCGTCGCGGCTGACACCGTGCAGGAACGCAGCGTCGATGTCCTCCATGAGCGTGATGCACCGCTCGGGGAGGTACGCGATGAGCTCTGCGAGCTTCGTGTCGTCCATGCCGCGGGCCGAAAGGGAGATGAGGAAGACATTGAGCCCGAGTTCTCCTGCGATGCTGTGGATGAGGGACGTCTTTCCCGAGCCGGGGGAGCCATGCTAGTTAAAGTAGGTAAATATACTCAGTCGGTAGCTGCTGATGGTCAGAGTGTGAGACATACCAGTAGGTATCCTCGGCGAAAGGGTATACCTGATGTTGTTTCAGTAAACCCCGAAGGAAAGTGACAATGTTGTGTATTTACCTCGGTCAGTGTACCAGGCTTTGCTCCTCATGAATTCTTGGACATCTTCGAGGACCATATCCTGAATATCAGAATCAAGAATGATCGACTGAATTGGTCGCTTCGGGCGCGTGGCGAGCGGGATCCAGTCACTTGAAGACCTGAAGACCTTCCTTCAGTAGCCTGTTGTCTGGTCAGGAGAAACGCACGCACGGGATAGCCACATAAACGCAGATCTTATCCTCGAACGAGGATAGATAGTCTTTCTTAGCCTCCAGAAGAAGCTCGTTCAAGAGCTCCTGGCCCCACGCGAGAACCCTGCCCGCAACCAAGCCCTCGTAAACCAAAACCCCATAGTGCTACAGCTAAGAAGAACTCACCGGAGCTCCATCGCCTCTCTGTCGTAATACCCGGGGCGGGGAAGCGCTACGCGCCGCACGCGCACCAAGCGGTGCCTGTACCACAGCGAGTACGTCTCGAAGACAGACGGGAGGCTGAAGAGGCGGCGGCTCTTGGCGTCGCACCAGTGGTCGCCTTCCTCGGGCAGGATCGCGAGGCTCCTGCGGTCCTTGCTAGTCGAGAAGATCTTCTTGCGTGCGTTCTCTGCGTGCGTTGACAATAATATGGTTAGCAGTATGAAACACGCGTGGATTCGGAGAAGGCTTACTGATCGCGGGTTGTTTCGAGAGCCAGACCAGAAGCCAGTCTAACAAATTGCGTCAGTTTTTCGTGCGTTAGACACCAGGAAAGCTTTGAATGCTTACCGTAGCAGTCATCGTCGGCGGGTATTTCTGCGGTGACGAAGAAGAAACTCGTGAACCAAGCCTCGAGATTGTACAACTGCCGCCTGGCTATTTCCACGACGAAGCCCAGCAAGATGTACTTCAGCCACTCGTTCAAGCCAAGAGAAGCCATGAGTGATGACACTGGTAATGCCGAATCTTGCTGCGCCGTCGTCGATGAGGTAGTGCCGTCAAAAGCAGCAGTGGAGTTGATGTGATCGCCGCCCGCTTCAGTGCAGGAGGCCATGAAGAGGCAAGTTAGAGTGCGAGAGGCTTTGAGTGCTGAGTTGTGTAAGAGTTTGCTTGGAGGATGAGGTCTCTAGGAACGCAGCTGCCCTACCACTTATACGTGCCGTTCTTACAGCTTCATCTTGGACGTTCATAGCACGTTGTGGGCCGGCTCTGTACTAGCGTCAGCTATCGGCGTCCGAGCTCTATCGATGCACAGCAGGCGCCTACCTGCATCATCTGCCTTTGTACATGGTGTGAACATGCTCGAAGCTCATGGAGGGGGGCTACAGGGCTAGCGCTGGCGTCAACCCTCGGCCCGTGAACATGCAGCATTTTTATCAGGGAGAACGTGTTTCATAGTACCAGCGCGCGACTTCGGCCAACTGTGATGCGCCGGGGAGAACGGGGCCTTTCATGCGATGGAGCTTGAAAGAGAAGCATGAGCGCTTAGGCTGTTGCGGTGCCTTCGTGGTGGACAGGATGCTGTGAGGACCTGCCGACAATCATCATCATCCTGGGATGTCCATGTGAGGTGCACCGTCCCTATGCTTATTTCGAATGGACATATATCTGACAGACAGCTGTAAAGTCGTTGACAGTAGTTACAAATGGACTCCGGGTCGGTAGTTGAGGATAAAAGAAGGTGAAGAGAGGTAGACGGCGGGAACACGGGATCGGTCCGCGATCCGATTGGCGGATTTACCACCGCCAGGATCGGATTTTGTCGGCATAAACATTCATGCCTATGCTTGTCCAGGCTTGTCCTCTTGTCACCATCGTCTGGTATGCAGTGTTGAGTGCTCTCAACGTGTCTCAGCTGCCTTCCCAACATGCGCACGACAAGCTGAACGTTCTTCAGGATAAAGACCTCGATTCCCTTTCTCTTGTTTTCGGCAGTAGAGCACAGCCTTAAAGCTTAAAGGCTCGACAAAGTAGGCTTATTCGGCTTCCCTAGCATTACCTCAGGCTTCCAAGGCGTCTGCTCCCCCCAAACCTAGCAGAACCTACCCCGTCGCCCCGCCGCACATTGCCTCGACAATCGCTTCGCTCGTTAGACCAATCACCTATACATTTTGAAGCTTTCGGATTAGTGGTCGACTTCCAGCACGCTGTCCGAAGGTCGCTGTGTCATCGAAAAGCCTACGCCGCTCCGCATGTTCTGCGCCTTGTACAACATGTCATGCAGCTTCACAGCTACCAACTTGCCCTTGATGACGCAGGCTTGAAGCGCTTGTGCCGCATTGGCCGAGGCTCGAACGGTTGCACCTCACAATGCTCGGGTGGCCAGTGACTTTAACAGCTCTGGTTGCGGTCCTGCGTGCTTGCCCGAGCATGTGTCATATTGACCTCGCCATACGGATAAATCCGTCCGACGTTGCCGGTGTTAGTGCTAGCTCTCCGCTACCTGCAACAGTTTCATATCATGGATAGACCTCGAACATACTCGGGAGCGTCAAGGGCGCTCTTCCCCTCGCCCAGCTGCTCTACCACATCCTGCCCTCCTGCAAACATGCAACCGCACCGTTTCTTCGGACAGCATCTATGTGCAGCACCGCGGATGCGAAAAAATGGATGTCACTGAGCTGGCGTAAGAGGATGGAGCCCAGGGAGTGGAAGGCGAAGTTCTGGCTGCTGGTCTTTGCCGAGCTGCACGGGTCGTGCGGGTAGGAAAGGACGGCGAGGCTAAGATTAGAGGCTGGCTAAGTATCCCATTCGCTAAGTCGCATGTTTCTATTGAGTTGTTCTTATGCTTTCGAAGCTGATGTCTGGTTGATTATGATCATGTCTTAAGAACTTGAGCGCTGAGCCTATATCGACACGTATGAAAGTGTTGCTGCAATAAGCGCTGTGGGACTTGCCAGTGGTTGAACCTCCTTCGCTTAATGGTGATTCGCTGTATCTATATTACAGATACAACTTCTGGATTTTTCGAATAGGGTGAAGGAGACCCTAAGGACCTTAGAAGGGGTCCAGACTGCTTCCCCTTTCCTTTCTCTGTTCTCTCGTCTCAAACTGAAACCGACAGCCAACTATGTCACCTCCTTCAGACGCAGCGCCTTCGTTGGCATCGAGCCCATTTGACCATCCCAAAGCCGACGTTTTCTTGCGTTCGGCTGATGGCATGTACTTCCGAGTCTTTAAACTCTTTCTTTCTCTCGCATCACCCTTCTTCGAGGCCATGTTTTCTCTTCCGCAACCTGATAATGCCGACGGCGAGAATAGAGATGGTCTTCCCGTTATACCCGTCTCCGAATCCAGCAAAACCTTGGACTCGTTCCTTAAATTCTGCTATCCTTCCACCCTCGCAGAAGACCCTGACCTCATCCAGCTCGATGATGTCGTCGACATCATCGAAGCATCTCGGAAATACGAAGTCCCTATCATCGAGAAACGTCTTGGACGAGCACTCTCAATCCCTTCCATCCTAGAGCAGGACCCATATCGGTGCTTTGCGATCGCATGCCGATCTGGAATGCAGAAAGAAGCCGAACTTGCGGCACCATACACTCTTCGCCTCCCCCTCATCCCTCCCATGTTTCCCGAGATCAAGATGATATCTTCCACACAACTCCTAGACCTGCTTTCGTACCATTCCCAATGTAGTATGGCCGTTTCAGCCGTATGCAAAAATCATAAGCAATGGATTGAAGATCGACCATCGGCAAGCCAATTATGGCTTACGACCTACAAGAGTCACTTCGGACGCTGCCGCGCGACGACGCGTTACTGCTTCCCTTACAATGACGAACAGTTCAATGTCGTGGAGTGGTGGGCCGACTACATGGATGAAATCCTCCCCCTTGTACAAGACCGACCTTGCAAGAGTACCATCACCGGGTTTCCTTTCAACAAAATCATTGAGAAGGTTCAAGCCCTCGACTGCACTACTTGCGCTAAAACTGTCAGGTCAGGCGTGGTGGAATTCAACAATACTCTTGCAATGGAGGTCGAGAAGGCAACGTCCAATGTTCGTTCCCTACCTTTTATGTCTTTACCTCGCTGACTCGGATTTTCCGTCATAACGAGCAGATTCGGTTCAAGGTGACGCTCTGACAAGAAGAGATCGTGAGACTTCGAACGTACGTTGTAGGAGAAGCAAAATATCGAATATTTTGGAGGAGGCTAACAGTTTGGAGAATGTCAGAAGATTAAACGTGGCCATTGCGTGGTTTTGGACTTCGAAGAATACGTATCTGCATATTTAAGCTCTAATTTGTTTGTACCGTCCGCGGAAATGTTGTAGAAACGTATTAGAGTAAATTTGCCTGTCCGACGATCTTGCTAGCAATACCATCGCTTCCGCGTTATAGGGGCTACTATGACGTCATGGTGCTTAAATTCCTCCTTTCAGCACCTTCCCCCGCGTCTAGTCTCCTTTGTGCAGCCGTTTTACACGTGTCGCTGCGCTCTTTTGAGGTTGTGTAAAACCCCCCGCGTCGCCCATCGTCGAAATACCTCAACATGTTGCGATAGAAAGAGGTGTAAATGAGCTAAAGCATGTGTGCACGACCTACCGTTCGTCGCCGTCGCAGAGTCTAGGCAGACCCTTGACCCTTTTGAATTCCTCACGTCTGTTACCACCAACGCTCATCGAAGACCCCAACTTAATTCGGTCGGATGACTCGGATGTTGTCGATGTTACCGAAACTGGCGTAGATGCGAGGCCGACGCCAGGATCGTATAACGTCTATCTCATGTAAACGCAGCACCCAAATTTCTGGCGCCAATGGGTCGTACCAACGTTACTTCGCTGTTATTCGTTCGTTCAACAGGATGTAAAGTTGTGAAGCTCGCCACGAAGCACACTCCACACCTCCTCATCATTCCGCCGATGTCTCTTGAGATTGACATGTTATCCTCCAAGCAGTTCACTTACCCTATCGATCAGCCTCACACATCATTTTTTGTGGGGGGCGGCTGTTGCAACCTGGTTAAGCAGCAATTTTCACCGGGTGGACTTGCATAGCCGATCGTTTCGTCGGGCGACACCAGGTCGTTAAGCTTTCTTCATCTGGTTTACCAGCAGACGTCGAGTGGAACAGAAAAAAAATCTGCGAGGAGCTCTTTACAACTCATGTAACACATAGCAATGAGCCGGCAAGCCCCGAAGAGTGGCTATCGACACCTCCGGCTCTGAAGTCGACTCGACTCGACTCGACGAGAGACTCTAACGCATCCCTTTAGATTTAATTCAAGATGAAAGTCTGATTTCTCCCTTTTAGTGCAGACGATAATATCGATGGCGAGTTGATCTTAAAGGGAAAAAAAGCGAAACCAAAGAGTGGCATGAAGGGAAATTTGCACGAAAGAAATGATGAGTACTTAAGTGGGGCCTGCCACAAACTCGAGGACGTGATTTCAGGCACGACTATGTTGGATGAATTTACAAGTTCTGCGCATGGTAGGGGAGTGCCAATTTTTATCGACGCCTCTAAGCCTCAGAAATATCACATATCATATAGGTCAACCTACCAGCGCAAATCAATGATCCTGAACGACAACAAACAAGGACCCACGACTCACCTCCTCTAGCGCTTTGTCAACGCGGTTCTTGTATTGTGGCACAAAGCTATTATGCATAAACGCCGACGCAGCATTCCTACATCCACTACAGTCCGCACCAGCGGCCGAAAGCGCATTGCCCACTCTATGATCGTCCAAGACAGACTGCGGGTCCGGATCAGCTGCAAGCAGCTTGCTCGTCTCCTTCACGAAATCAGCAAACCACTCAGGCATTGTGATACTGCTTTTATTGGAACTGGAGTACCGCGGGACACTGACCCGTTCGCACTGGTGGCGCGGGCGCTTAGTGGGGAAGGAGATAGTCCAGCGGAGTTCCTTGCCGACGTTGCCAGCAGCTGTTCCGCAGCGGGAGTGATAGTCGGCGAGCTGGATGAACAGGTCCCCGGGTATAGCGTTGGACTCGAGGAACCACTGTTGAGCGCGCCATCCGGTGGGCAAGCGGTGCTTGAGCGTGTGCAAAGCCGCTTTCTTCGCTTCCTCGCGCCATTGAAAGCGGTCGCACACGGCGAACGCTGCAACGGACCTGTTCTCGAGATTATGGGGAGATAAGATGATTTCGCGAAGGTACGTGGTCACAGACGGTGCATCGTACTTTTGCGCGGCTTCAGCTACGTCTGCGATCTCCAAAGGTTGGAAGGGATATGTTGACAGGCACGTCACCGGATAACAACAGAGCAGGAACAACCGGAGCACGGTGCTGCTCTCCGTGAGATCAACGGGTTGTGGGTCGCCAGATGGCTGCGGGAGGCTGAGCATGTCCCTGAAAATGCTCGACGAGAAAGCTAGGAATGATTTAAAAACCCGGAATTCGACATTATCTGAGGACCTCAGGATAATTTCGGCTTCAGGGTCGTCAAACGGGGCTTTCGCCTGGCGAGCGGGGTGAAGGACGATAGACGGATGATCAAGGGCTGTAACTTGAACAGACGAAGTCATGGTCTCAATCGTCGAGAAAGGGCGAAGTTAAGCTGAGCTAGCCTACCGAGGCGTCCTGTATAACTCTTAAAATGATTCCGGGTCGGCGGTATAGCTGGTCAACGAGGTTGTCCCATCGCTGAACGACGCTCTACGAGAAGATCCCAAAGAAGAAGCGGTCCGCTTTTAGTAACATGTCGTAAACGAAGGGTTTCAATGTTTTGTCGAAGCTGGAAGCATGGAACGCATAGCATGAGGACGTACGTACACGTTGTAAAAAAGAAGACACCAGTGAGTGCCAGCTTCTGTCGCTAGTATCCATCCCACAAAGTAAGTCGCCGAGCCACAATGGGTAGATCACTCACCAACCCAGCAAATATTCATCCAGACTGTAAAGCAACTTTGATTCCGCTTTCTATACCGTGAGTATCGCTTCCAACGCCTCCCATACCAGCAGGTCAACAACTAATCATCGCACCGATCGACCTTTGAGGCGCAAATTGCTGCTTTCGAGCCTTAATTGGCATTCGAGATTTCCATATTCGCAAGGCGCAAGATACGTCATGGCTATTCGAATTCCCGCGAGCAGTCCCCGAGTCCGATAAAACACGTGTATTGTCAAGGAAGAAAGGATCTGGGCGCGGTCGACGCCCTGATTGTCTGTGAAGATCTATTGTTCCTGGAATCTGGACTTTCAATTTTCAGTAGTAAGGCTCTGCAGCGTATCTTGCGCCTGTTGACGTCAGCGAGTGTGGTTGGAAGATATGTATTGAAATTTGAATTGCTCTCGTTGCGCACGCAGTTCCTCGGCAAAACTGCGTATCTGCAGAGATAGTATGCAGCGAGTCGCAACGCACGGATAATAAGCAATACCCGCCGGAAGGTTGGCCCTGGCTGCATATGCTTATACCGCAGCGCACGCGTGATGTACGCCTGATAGCATAACACCGGCATTGGTATGAAGCGGAAGGTGCACCTCCTTCCTTGGAGGCGAGACGGGGGGAAGGGCTCGAGACAGCTGTGCTGTGTTACCCCGTCCGGAGGATCGGTTGCTAATCATGATCGAGAAGAGCCAATTGGCTCTATAGAATTATCTTCGAAGTCCGAGTGCTTGCGCCTGTCGTCGCGGCCACTTGCATCAATTGTAATTGCGCCTGCCTTGAATCAGATCCTCAGAAAGCGTGCTCGAGGGCAGATTCAGCTCTAAACCCCGCTGGGGCTCGAGAACAGATTGCTCGTTCTTATCGTGTGCATCAAACACTTACTTTTGGGGTCTAGCATCCTTGAGATCATCTATAAGGATGGTTTTGGGCTCCGAGCCGGAGTCGACGGCGAACAGACGCTTGAGGTGTGGACTCAGTGCCACAAGTTATATTACACGGGGGCGCCCCGCCCAGCACGTGGCTCGCAGTGTCAGGTCAGGTCAGGTCAGTGCCCCGGAACCTTAACGTAAAATACCTTCCGCTCTGGGACGTGCTCTGCGTAAAAGCGAGCAGCCAGCTCAGGACGCGTTTATTTCGGGACAGTCCTCCGTGTCCCCAGATCAACGTGTTATCGTTTCGAGGACGCAACGCGCATATGCATGTGGCGACATACGCCGCCGTGAAAACGGTTCTCTGGGTCGTGAGACGTCCGCGCTAGTGGGTCGGTGGTCATTGGACGCAGCCAAAATTGCTCAGGCAGCCGCACTTGGGCTAACATTTTTCGAGAGCCTTCACGAGGGCTGATACTGTTGGGGAAAGTTGGGGAGCCGCGTCGAGGAACGGCTCGGTGGAATGGAGGCGTAGAGTGGTCACTGGCTTCGGCCAGGGCGCGTCGCGCACGAAAATAAACCGGAACGTTCGTTGGCGACTGTTGGTGGGCATCTGCGAGCACCGTCAATGCTCCGGGGACGGCAGTGGCCAGCGAATAGGAAAGCTTCCCGGCACGATCTGCGCAAGGGTAATAAAGAGCAGGCACGAGGGGAGAGCTGGGAGGAATAAGGGCCGCCGTGAGATGGAGCGTGGCGTAAGGTTGGTTGTCGGGCAAGTGCTGGCCTGCGCTGGCCTATGCTGGCGAGCTGTAGAAAATAGCGCTGGGGGTGATATATGTTCCGAGTCCGTGTCTGGGGTCCACGCGCGGCCTTCCTCGGTAGTGTCCATGACCCGTCCGAAACGAAACGAACAAGTTTAAGGTTGAGTTGGAGGCCGTGGTCATGCAGCCAATGGGCAGAACGTTATGCTGGCAGATGCTGGCAGTCCATGCTTGATATGCACCATGAGCTGTCGTCGCAGCAGCATAATAAGCGCTCAGGAACAGAGGAGGAAGATGGACAGAAAGAGATGCGAGAGATGCGGCTGCGGAGGGCCGAGTGGAGCGGTCTGAAGGGTAGAATTTGGATTCCACCGTCGAGGTCGGGATGCTCAGGGAAGCCCGCGCACTGGGACCGCTCGGACTTGGGAGAATTGGAGATCACATACGTAGTTTTGGAGAATCAGCTGTAAGGAAGGTACTGGGCAATGTCGTCAAGCTCTCACAGGCGTTCTCGTGGGTGGCGCCTTGTGGGGTAGTGCGGGGAACCCTGTAAAGGCATGGGCGCGCCTTGGGCACGGCAAGAGGTAAGAACCTTCTTAGGCATCTTAGCTTGCGAGGGCCTGGCCATGGGCGACTGTGCGACCGGTGACGTCCAGTTTACATATTTAATAATAGGATTTCATTCGACGTCGGCCTCGCGAAGAGCACAACGATCTACGACGATGTGCGACGCGAGTGTACGTATAGGCACGTCATGAAATGCGTGATGTGTATACTCGTTGGATGATGATTTGCCTGAGATTGAAACACACAGCTGGTTTGGAGGGGCTAGACAGATCAGTCGCGATGAATCGGACGATGGCCGGAAAAAGCAGGAGCGGAAATATTCACATGTGGGCCATCTGACACCACGGGCCGAGGGGACGGCAGGTATCTCCCACTGTGGCTCTTTCTTTCGCTGGAACGGCTCAACAAGGCGGAATAAATAATCAACAGACCACAAAGCCAACGCCTCCTCTTCCTTCTCTCTCTGCTCGCCGACGCTAAAGCCCAGGTCCACGGCAATGGCCGCCCTGTAACCGCGGACTGCAGCCACAATACGATCCTGACTCAAGTTTCGGACCTTGCGAACAGCTCCGTGGCCGATTAGAAATAGCAATACACCAGGCGCCTGTCCCTGCTCTTTTTCTCGCGTCTTCCCCTCCCCTCCCCCGACATCTCACCGCCTCTTTGCTTTCTTCCTTCATACCCCGCACTCCCCACTCCCTTTCCTCTCACCCCCCTCCATCCACACACTCTCCCCCCTCTTATCACCCGCCTCCCAACGACAATGGCGGTTTACCTCCCCCTCCTCCTGGGAACAGTCAACGCTGTTCCCGACGACTCCGTCCTGTTGGACCTCCCAAGAGGCCAGGTCGACTACCTCTCGCACGACTGGCGTGAAGAGGACGTATGGCGCTCATGGCGCAACATGACCCGCCAGAAGAACGACATCGCCAACGGCGTCCGCCTCGAAAACGCAAGTTGGCGCACGTGGTGGAAGCAGCGCAATGGTCTGGGCACCGTCTCCCCTGAAACGTTGAACTGGTCAGTGTTCCAGATTCCCCTGCCCTCTGCCTCGCCCCGTCCTATACAATCCTAACAACCTATCAGGCTCAAGGATTCCGACGTAACGTGGTTATATGGCCCATTACACACTTACGATGACGTCGACGGAATTAAACGAGTGATTCCTGACCTTCCCACCAAACTTCCCATACTGCCACCCTCGGCTCAGACCTCCCAGCCGAAGAAACCGATATTGAAGCATCGATCAATATGCGAGCTCTTGACATCTGATTTACTACCCACATCTCCTCTATTCTCTCCGCCAGAGTCCGATGATGAACGTCCCAATCCAGTCCTCTCACTAGAAGAGCGCGCCAAGGACCTTCAGGAGTCGACTGCAGCTGCAGAAGCGGATGGATCCTCTGCCCAGCGACCACCGCTTATTTCCGTCAAGAGCGATACCCATATCACACGTTGGGGTCCAAATCGCGCATTTAGAAGAGATTCTCCTCCCCGTGTTATCGCCTCCGAGGCGCCCAATGAAGCATCTGAAGTCCAGATTGGCGCACACCCTCTCAGTCGCCAATCTTCAATGGGGTCCCACTCTCGGTCGCCTCAACCCTCAGTTGCAGATTCCGGTGGCGCGCCGAGGAGGAGGCATATTACATTCAACACGTTCGTCGAGCAGTGTATCGCCATCGATCAGCCGCAGCAGAAGCCGAATGCCGGCTCTCCGGGCAGTGGAGCTCTCGTACGGGAACGGACTAAGAAGGATCTCGCATGGGCTAGCGTGATGGGTGGATCTGGATACGAGGACGACGGGTGAGTGCTTTGCCGCTCCGGTTTCTTATTTTGGCTTGTTTTCGTTTCCTGTTTTCGTTTGGTTATCATTCGATGTGATGATTATGCGCTAATGTCGCTATCCTATTTTTGTTCCTCTCTCAGCTACGACGAGGATTCAGAGGGCATCGTTGACGATGAACTCAGTAACTTTGATGAGGATGTTTCAACCCCACGGCCCGCGCCACCAGCAGCGCCATCGAATCCCCCAAGATCATCATCACCTCCGCCATCAAGTTCCCCAAGCAGGCACACTGGCTCTAGTTCTTCTTCGGATGACGAGGACAATGATGGCGAGGACGCACTCCAGATGCGAGTCAGACAGGCGGCAGGTTTGTGTCTCCCGTAACCCCGCTAGTACGCCGCTGACGTACTTCCCCTGAATGTGCAGCACGTTCCTCAAATTCAACAGGTAATGCTGCACGTGCCGGCGGATCTTCCTCGTCAAGCGAGACGTCATCATCGTCTTCCCGTTCCCGAGGACCTCGAAGGCGCAAGTCAAAGTCGGGCTCATATAATTTCCAACCTCCGACAATTCACCCGACATACCCTCAACCCGATTCGCAGAGTAAAGGATACCCAAAGCCTGGCTCTTACTACCCATACCCCCATGATGATGAGACGTGGGCGGACCGCGAGAAGGACCTCATCACTATCGCGCTGATCGCGCCGACGATGCTTAAGACACACAACACCGGCTCGGACGAGAGCATGGACGAAGCCAGAAAAGGGCACTGGACGACAGAGATCCATAGCGGTGTCAACGCGCCCGTCGAGCTTGTCTATCTTCCGCCCGGGTACTCCAGGGATATAGAAACGGAAGATATATATCCCGCGGCTCCGCCCGCGGTCGCCCATAGCGACGAGACCGCGAACGAAGGCGAGACCGAGACAGGCGCCGAGGTACTCTCGACGAACCCTTCCAATGTCAAGGTGGATCAGCAGGTTTTTGATTCGCTTCTCGTTGTATCCCCCGAACCTAGCCACCGCGCAGCCGACAGCGAGACGTATTTTAGCAAGGCTGCGCCGACCGTGGTTGAGGTGTCCAAGCCCACGCCCGCGCTCAACGTGGTTATCAGCCAGGAGAAGGTGGATGAGAAGAGGGAAAGGTCCCGTTCGAGGTCACGGTCAAAATCGAGGTCGAGGTCAAGATCGCGCACGCCTTCACCGAACGTGATCACTCCGAATACGGGTACAGAATCGAATGTACCGACGGAGACGCCTACTGCACCGGTGCCCGTCCCTCAGGTGAAGGCTGCTTCTTCAGCCTCCTCGGCGTTGCTTTCGCCGCCATCATCATCGGGCGGCCAGATTGCACGCTCCAATTCCTCCCCTCAGCTGTACTCCCAGGATTCGGGATCTCAATCGCGCGGGCGCTCAATAGCCCGCACCAACTCGTTTTCGGATAGAGAGCGCACGAGCGGGAGCTCGACAAGTTCGCCCATGGGCAGCTTATCGCCGGACGCTGCGTTCGGGTTGGGCATCGCCTCTGAAGCAAGCTTTGCTGGAGGCTATGGTGCATTCAGCCCGCGGGACCGTGATGGGCGGGACGGGCGGGATGCTCCTCGGGAGGGGCGTAGGGGCCGGGATAAGACCGGCCGGGGGCTAGGCAGCTCGAGCGGCTCTTCGAGTTCGGCAAACTCGAGCAAGAGCCCCGAGGAAAGCCGGATTCCGCTACAGCCAGCTGCTGACGAGGCGGAGAGCACGCCGCGGGCGGTCGCGCCCTCTTCGCCTGTCAATGTCAATCCCGGCGCGCTGGTTGTGGGAGGCGGGGACGTGCAGGCTTTGGCGTCGTCGGTCGCATCGATCTCTTCGTCGTCTGGGTCGTCGACTGTCACGCCTGCCAAGGCGAGTACAACAGCGGGGTCGAAGTTGACCATTGACTCGAAGCATTCGATATCGGCGTCTGTGCCTGCCCCTGCTGTGACGTCGCCTGCCCAGGCGACGAGCCCACCGCACGGGGCCTCTTTCCATCTGCCGTCCGCATCGGAGGTCTCGGAGGAGCAGGCTCGAAGGTCCGTCCAGCCGACGCCAACGAATTCGCCGGTCAAGTCGATGAAGCCACTGCTGCCGTCGCCCAAGAGCTCGTATACTGGTGACGGTACCAACGCGCCTGCGTCGCCGCCTACGTTGCCTCCTTTCAAGTCCAAAGCCAGTAACAAGCCATCGTCGCCCCCTCCATCTGCCTCTACCTCCACTTCGGCGTCGCATTATAGGCGCCCGTCGTGGGGCGGCTCGCGTAGTCCCACGAGGGGCGGCGACGTGCAGAGGCCCCTCGAGAACGGCACGCTTGTCAGCCGCGCGGTGGAAATTATGGCCAATGCTGGGGCATATTTCGGGTCGTTCTGGCATGCCCAGGGCACGGCAGCGAACCCAGCCGCCAGCGGGGGGGTTCCGGGCGCGAGTGAGGTAACGACGTCGACTTCGGGCTATTGAGTGCTGTAGGTTATATGGGTGCTTGCTTCCTTTGAACCATGGGTTTGTGTCGTCTTTTTTTCCGTGGCTGCCAACCTAATAATAATCAAGTCTCGTCAAGTCTGCGGAATTACGATTTCCATTCGCATTGATTGTTCATCACATTATATCCTTCTCGGACAATCCTGTCTGCTCAAACCATTCCAGTTCGACTCCATTCCAATCCAGTCCAGTTTTCAACGTCACTTTCTACTACGCAACTTTATACTCGTCCCTCCATCCTTAATGATGCACGCTTGCACATTTTCTCTACCCACTCCAAATGATCTCGCGTACTTCCCCCCCTGCAATTTCCTCTGCGTCGGTCGTAATTCGTGTCCTCCCATCTTCCCTGGTCTGGCGTTTTCGTTATTTGCATCCTACCTCTGCCCCTTTGTCCACTGTAGTATTGCATATCTGTTGTTCAGCTTACCAGTTCCAGCCCTAGTCGTGTAAGTGATGCCGATCGAATTGATGCTGCCGCCGCTGCCGCCCCTCTAGCTAGCTACTATTACTCTAAGTATAGAAATTCTAAGGCTCTTTGTACATATTGTACGATTGACTTCCAATGCAACAATGTGCGTGCTTGTGTACTTTATTTCAATTCACAGTTGGAGAAATTGAACTCGTCTGCACTCGAAGAGCGAGCCCGAGACTTTCGGGCGAGCGGGCTAAGGTGGTGGATGCGGCACTGACGCGTGAGAAATCTGGCAGTTGTTAGCTCGCCTGAATTGCTTGACGCGCATTTAGCCTGCAGCTGCTTGCTTCTCACCTTGACCTCGGCCCCAGCACCTTGGAAATCTCCCGCTCATGAGCGCGCGACAGGTTTTTGTTCCCCGCGCTGCCTCGAGGGCTGCACATCGCAACGAGCACCCGCCGACGCCGATGCCTCCGAGGAGCGCCTCTGCTCAGGTCGGCGGCGACAGGCCCGGAACTGGCGCTATCAGTACTAGGGGCTCCCAGGGCGACCGCAGCCGCGACGGCGGTGAACAACCCTTTCCGATCTCGAGGCAGTCTGGGCTTGGGAAGCTGTTTGGTCGGGGCAGCGGCGATAGGAAGGCTGAAGGTTCTGGACACGGACATGGACACTCCGGGGACCACCGCGACGAGAGGGGACATGGGCATCAAGAGATAAACGTGGCTGCTGAAAACTCTGGCGGTGGCGGGGGTAGTGGCAATATGCGCTCTCGCCGCTCGTTCGAGGGTATTGCGCGCCCGCCGGACCCTTCTGCGATCATCATCGGCGCACCGCCGCACAAGTTCAGGCCTGGGTCTCCGTTCGTCGCTGGTCCCGGAACTACCATCGGCTCTGTTTCTGGTCTTGGTTCCGGTGCTGAATACGGTGCTGTTGCTGCTGGGGGAGAGCTTTCCCGCAACGTGAACGTCAAGTCGCACGGCTCGAAGCATCGCGAGATTTCTTTTGGACTACCCGGATCTATACTTCGCCCCGGCTCAGCTAACGCGCTCCACGGGTTCGGGCACGGCCACAGCACACAAAATAGCGCGCATATATCCACGGGGGGCGCTGCGTCTGGCTTCGTCCGCGTCGACATGCACCCCACGCAGGTGATGGCGCCCATCCCGACGTACCTTCCGCATCCGTCTTCTCCTCTTGCTGGGCCTGGTGGGACTCTCGAACGTATCTCTGAAGAGGCTGAGGTCCCGCACGTACCTCACCACGCCTCGGCTCATGATAGCGAACGGACGCTGAGGCGATCGAAACGCCGGATCGGGGAAACTTCAAACGTCGACGATGGCGACGGACTCCTGGGCGATGGCAACGAGGGCTCGGACGACCTCGAGTATGGCGAGCATGCAGCGAAGCGGTACAGATTGGATCAAGGACATAGTGGCCATGGCGGCGATCATCGTAATCATGCCGAGGTACTTCAGTGATCTTGCGTTGCGTTCGTCGCTTCTCTGTTCCCTGCGGCTAGGCTTGCACCCGTTCCCTGACCTTTATTGGTTCCTTGAGCGATACAGGAGAGACGTAATCCCAACATATGCTGACATTCATGTAGGCTACCTATGAACGCTACTCGACACCCGTCTTGCCCAGGCAAGAGGATATACCGTACGCGGGACCCTCCCGCGACGACCCATTGTTGCTTCCTCAGGTCATCGGCGACTTGAACGACGTGATGCGTCAAGACGAATTTGACGCCCTATGCAAGAGATGGACGGAGTGCTCCAGGGAGGAATGGATTGCAGGAGCGGACGGTAGTTATCCTAACCACTTTTCTAGCTACCGCGAAGTATGCTAAGCCCTTTCTTCCACAGAGATTGCCGCGCAGTATCAGGAGATCGTAGATCTGGTATGTCGTTTTAATGTTGTTTCATGTATCGCCTTTTGAGGAACTCTTCAGGTCAAGGACCACTTGACGTACGTCAATGATAGTACCCATATTGCTCATGCCATAGATGTTCTGAGTGTTGTATATCATGGCTTATTGTCACTGACTTTCTAGTTCGGCGGTGACAAGATTCGCGACCTTGAGGCAGCGTCTGGATACTCACGGAGAAGACGTACGAAAATCAACTGATCGAGCGAAAGAAATCACCAAGAACGTTGTCGACGACCTTACGAAAGCCGGTCAGCGGGGTCGTTCGAAATAGGTCGAGGAATAGCGCATGAGCATTTTCAGGTAGTGGCACTAGATAAAGTCTCGGAGAACTTTGCGCGAGCTTTTGTAACTCTTGGTGGCTGTACACTATTGCTCGAGTCATACAACCAATCGGCGCCAATCGCATGACACTGGGGGCATTAGACGATGTTTCCAGGGGAAACATGTCAAAAACATTTAAAATGTTTTGCTAAAAATGCCAAATTTGGAAAGTGACCTGCCCAATTAGGAAGGTGACCCTCAAAACATTTTGAATGTTTTCTACGAAAACATGGGTAATTGCCCCCAGTGTGATGCCGGCGCCTGCCACCTTCTTCCTTTCTTTGTCACAACGCGAACGCGTGCCGCAATGTCACGTCAGAACCACAATTCATCGTTGGACATCAACTTTCTTGCCTTCATCGCACGAGGTCTTGACAAAAGCAATGAGGAGGAGGTCATTACAAAGTCATCCATCCGAAACCGTCAGGCCAAAATCTTGGACAGTCTTGCTTACATAGGAGTCTTGAGAGCGCGAGGGCAGGTCATCGCAACCGCCGCCCACGTTATAAAAGGTGACCGACCCGGCGAAAAGGCCCTCGAGATTCTTGTTGCAGAAAATGGCCCAGTGGACAGTCTCGCGGTCAACCATATCCAAAATGTTTTACATCGCCTAGTGGAAATCCGTCGGGAACCTCGACCGGACCTGCCACTAACAACTGATGGGAGCTCTCCACCAGTCGTCCATCCCTACATCTCCAACAACCCTCAGAACAATTTTGAGGCGCGACTCCTTGATCTGGAGCTGGCGATCCTCGGACACGCATGGGAGAAGCTCAGGCGACGCGTCACGAAGAACTCGCGGCACACCCACTTCATCGCTACCGCGCGTGATATATGCGATCCCGGTGCGCTGCAGCGCGCGGATGGGTCCACTCAGTCTGCGTTCCTAAAGTACCTCCAAACATCAGAGACAGTTGATTTGGATATGGTTTCGACTATGGCGACACATGTAGACATGCTTGCCGAGGCACTCCAACCGTCCTCACCTGGCGATGTCAGACGGGTTCGCATCCTTCTCATGTGTCTGGACACGGCAAGAGCGAAGCTGGAGGACAAAGGCAGGTTCCTCTTCGCGTGGAATCGGTATACACGCAGTGAGTCCCGGTATACTGCTCAGACTTGCGATTAATGAACTGAGCGTTTTTTTTTTTTTTTTTTTTTTCAGATTTGATGGAATCGCAGTCGCAGGGGACACCAGTCCGAGAAGAGCTGAACGTCCTTCGTTGGTTGGACAAGTTGACAGCGATTCGCAGACATTACTTACGTTTAGCCGACATTGTGATGTCTAAGTCGCTCGCAGATATGGTCCTACAGAATCCAGTCGTCATAGGTGTCGATAACACGCCTCCAAAGGATGACTCCTCGGAGACCCAACGCTATACGGTTGAACGTTCACAGATGGAGCAAGTGTTGAAAGAAGCCGGGTGTTGTATTGAGGAATCTGAAGGAGAGTCCGTAGAGGGGTTCATCGCCATGCTCGCCAAGAATCTCGGGGCCAAGGTAGTTGATGGCAAGTTTGGTGCGTATCATCTACGACGTCCTTGTTCATTGCTTCATTTCTTCATTGCGTTTGTCTTACCCAATTTAGACCATACGAGCTCAGCGCCGATTCACTGCGAGTGCAAGCTGCTCACAGAAACTCACGGTATTCAGGCGATACCTTACATCGGCGTCTCAAAGCGCTCTTGCAGCTTCTGCAACACGTATTTCACCGCGTATCGGGAGGCAACAAAGCACAAAATCTTCACAGGCGGCAGTCACAGCCAGACGTCCACCTGGGCGTGCCCTGAGCTCCCCGTCGGCAACGACGGCGTCAACTGTAATGTCCAGTCGTGCGTTCGCTCTCATTTACTAGGGCATATCAAAAGAGGCTGGCACCGGTATCTCCGAGCTCCGTCACTTTCGCTACATACCCCGGGCATGTCGGATCAAGATGAAGATCACATGAGATACTTCCTGTACGGAGACAGATACAGTGCGTCATCTCGTCCCTCGTTGAGAGTATCATGCTCATTCCTTTCCCAAAGAATACGCAAGGGAACAGGCGGACCGATTCACGGAGGAGTCGAGGAAAAGGGAGGCGGCGGCACGACACGCGGAGGAGTCGAAGGAACTCTCCGCGAAGGAGGAGGCGACGTGATATACGGATTACGGACGAGTCGAAGAAATTCTCCGCATAGTTCTGCGATGATGCGATCTGCGACCTTCACCGACGCAATAGCCGGATAGTAGCGGAGAAGTGTACGAATCCTGTTGAACGAGCGAAACACATGACCGTGATGGCGATCTTACAAAGCTAACCAGAAGGGTGGTTTCAAATAGACCGAGGAATCGTGCTTGAAAACTTGCAAGTACTAGCGCAGGAAAGCAAACATTTGTGGGTACTTTGCACGACTATTCGTAGAGATGTTGGTAGCTGTACACTAATGTTCACGTCATATCGGACCCCTGATTAATTCAACCGACATACACATATTAACCCCCGAAACCAATGTCTTTTCGATCAATCGAGGCTATGGTACAGTGCGATTAAGATCACCAATGACTATATTATCGATGAGCCTCGTCTTCCCCACCCGCAACGCGCCGCTCAAGATGACAGCCTCGCAGCCGGCCGTGTCTTTCTTCGACGCAGAATCGAGCACTTCAAATGTCTCGGAATCGTTCAGCTCGACGTACTCCAGCTTCATCTCGATCCCCTCGTCGACGGCGCGCGCCGTGGCGGTACTGATGATGTCCAGCGCGCTCGCGACGCACTCGGTCTTGGTCTTGCCGCTCGTCCATGCCGACTCTGCAGCCTGGAGGGCTTTGTAGAGCGTCCCTGCGACGCCTCTTTCCTTCTCGGACATATACGCGTTGCGCGAGGAGAGCGCGAGACCGTCGGACGGGTCTCTGGCTGTGGGACAGATGTGCAGCCGCTCGGGCGCTGGGTTCGGCAAGAGCAGGTCGCGGCACATGCGCCGCAACAGCAGCCCCTGTTGGATATCTTTCTGGCCAAAGTACGCGTTCGTTGGCTGACGCGTTGCACATACCGCACGCGCGTTGTCCAGTAGAGTCAACACCGCAGTACACGCAACAAGCATGGTCAATTCAACTCACCTGGACGGCATTAAACAGCTTCGTCACGACCGTCGCAACGCCCCTGAAGAACGTCGGCCGGCTCTGCCCCTCCATCTGGTGGCTGTACCCCTTGACCTCAACGAACGTGCCTTTTTGCTGCGCGACGTCCTGCACGATGCCGGTCGGGTACATGTCGTGCACCGAGGGCAGGAACACCGCCGACGGCGTGCGCACCTGCCCTTGCACCTGCCCCTGCGCGTCCGCGCCGCTGAGGCTGAACGTCTGCTGCGCGAGAAGCTCGAGATCGCGCGGGAGCGTGCGCGGGTAGGTCGCGAGGTCCTCGTGCGGCGCGAACTGCGCGGGGTTGACGAAGATGGAGAGCACGGTGAGGTCGTTCTCGGCGAGCGAGCGGCGCACTGCACAGCGTGTGTGTGTCCCGCACGCAGGTTTATGAGGAAGGGGTGGTTTTGGGAGTGGGTGCGTGCACTACGCACCGAGGGAGAGGTGCCCGTCGTGCAGCGCGCCCATGGTGGGCACGAATCCGACCGACTTGTCCTCCTTGAACGCCTTGTGTCGCCATGCACGGTATGTCGCGAGGCTCGTGAAGAGCGATATCGATGATTCTGGGAGTGCCGTGGTGTTTGTAGACATCGCCCGGCGGTGGTGGTCGATGGTGTAGCTGCAGCGGCGAGGCGACGCAGGGCGCAGGATTCTGAGCATAGGTGCCGGTCTTCCTAGGATGTAGAATAAATACGATATGGAGCCGAGACTTATAAGGTGAGTAATAGACTAGGGTGGGGACATGGTGCGATGTCGGTGGTCGTAAGAGACGATGAGATCAGCCGAAAATCTGCGGAAGAGGCTCGGAAAATCACATGCATGTGAACACAAACTTCCATCAGCTTGAGGCTATTTTCTATCAACTTCTTGAGAAGCTCACGACTCCAATATTAGCATGTTTTGTGCAATTGCTGTGGTCTATGCGGCTAGTGTGCGTGATACAATGTCTACATGTATATGCGGGTATGCTCGAGCAAAGGTATGATACAACCACGACTTCATAATATCCATCGTCATCTTTTTCATCATCCTACGAATCGTCCTCGGCAGCGTCCTTCTGCGCTAGCTCCCTCTCCACCCACGCTGCAACGTCCTCCACCGCCTGCACAGGCCTGATCTTGTACGTCATCAAGTACCCCTGCAGCGCAGCCATCGACAGCTTGCGCTCCGGAATCGCGTCTGCGAAGCGCGTCGCAAGCTCCCGGAAGCGCTCGGGCGACATCCGGGGCGCGCGCTGGCTGTGCGACACACCGACGAACGACGGCTTCTCGGGCGACGAAGGCCGCCGCGAGGGCGAGGGCGCAGACGATTCGTCGACGTCAATAAGCTTCTCGGACTCCGCGCGCGAGCCACCGTACCCGGAGTCCGTGCTCTCCTGGTCGTCGTCCCTGTAGGGCTTCGCAGCGGGAGCTCCGGCGGCCTCGAGGGGGCGGTCGGACAACGAGCCCGAGGGGAGGTAGAAGCGCTTGAAGAGCTCCTCGGCCTGGTACCTGCTCGCGTTGCAGAACTCGATGTGCAGGTCCATCCGCCCGGGGCGGCACAGCGCGGGGTCGAGCGCGGTGTACTTGTTTGTCGTCGCGAAGAGGATACGACCCTCCTGCGCGCCGATCCCGTCGAGCGCGTTCAGCAGCCCGCTGAGGGAGACTTTGCCGGAGGGAGTCGCGGCGCGCGGTTTGCGAGGGCCGTCGGGACCATCTTCAGCGTCGTCGGCGGGCGAGGGCCCTTCGCGAGTCAAACCGTGGTGGAAGGCGGCGTCGATGTCCTCCATGAGCGCGATGCACTTCTCGGGCAGCTCGCTGATGACCTGCGAGAGGCTGGAGTCATCGAGCCCGCTGCGGGACAGAGAGAGGATGTAGACGTCCAAGTTGAGTTCCCCGGCGATGCTGTGGATAAGGGAAGTCTTGCCAGCACCGGGTGCGCCATACTGAATGGTAGGACAGATGTTAGCGACGTGGATTTGGCCAAGGGTTAGAACTGCGGACTTACCAAAAGATACCCGCGCCTGAACGGAATACCGCGCTCAGCGTACCAAGACTTGCTGTTCATAAAGTCCCTCGCATCTCCCAGAACCAGGTCCTGCACACCCGGCTCGAGGATGATCGACTGAGGAGGGCGCTTTGCGAGAGTGCAGCTCGACCTCCAGCCGCAGCAATTTCTGCAAAAGCCCAAATCTCAGTACATACCGCCTTTGAGAAAACTCAACAAGACGGCCACTTACGAGTTGGACACGTATATCTCGACCTTGTCCTCGCGCTCCGTGTTGTACAGCTCCTTCGCCTCCAGCACGATATCGTCAATGACGCCATGGTTCCACGTGAAGATCTTAAGGACAAGGATCTCCTCGGGGTTGCGCCAGTTGCCCTCCTTGAGCTCGCGCGTCACCCGGATCCAGCAGCGCCTGTACCAGAGCGTGTAGGTCTCGGACATCGAGGGAATGCGCACGTGTTTCTTGTCGTCGTCGTCGTAGGACGAGGAGTGGGACCTGGTGCTGATCTCGACGTCCCTGCCTTTGTCTGTGAAAGCGTGAGTTGAACAGATTGCACACGAAAACTTGGGGTGAAGAGGAGCGTACGGATCGATGGCTGCTTGGATAACCAGAGCATCATCCAATCTGGGGATTTTATCAGGAAAGATGTAGGGCATCAAGTGGACAAGCGGTCACGTACCAAAGCTGCTATCGTCTTCATGGAACCGCGCGGTGAGGAAGAACGAGTCGGCGATGACCTTCCACAGCGATGATAGGCCTTGGCGGGTGCTCTCGAGGAGGCTGCCGAGCAGGAGCAGGAGTCCCCAGTTGCGGAGGGCGCCCAACGATAGAAGGAAGGTGGCAATCGAAGAGATGTCGGAAAAGCTGGAGGGGAAGCCGGTGGAGGGCTGGCGTGCCGCCGTGCCGTTGTTGTTGGGGGCGGATGTGACATTGATGGCAGAGTTGGAGCTGGCGAGCTCGATGAGCTGGCCAACGATGTCCTCCAGAGAGCCCATGGCTGGTGAGCTTCGGTGCAGGGCAAGGAGCAGGAGGTAGTGTGTAAGTTGGAAGGAAATTGACGCGTCCTGTTATATACGCGCATTTTCGCGTGTATCTTGACCACGCTGCAGGACGGACGCGCCCAAGATGATTGAGTACATGATGACTCGAGTTGGACGATCAAAAGGAAGGTGGGGCCGAGTTGGTGGGTTCCGAGTGGCAATGCAGCACAGGACGGCACCGCAACCTTGACTTGTCATGGGGATGAAAGTGGGTCTCCTCTACAGCAACTTGTTATTTCGACAACGACGATTGGGCGCTTGACCCGAGCAACTCGGCGCGAATCCTTCTCAAAGAGCGCCCAAGAACCGGTACATGTCAAAGCCCGGGTCTGACATATGAAGTGTCCGAGTCATCGATGTAAATGTTGCACAACCCAAAGTGTAGATCTATTTTTAGTTCGCCCGTCTATGCACCTGCAACGCTCAGTTTTGGCGCTTGTCACTTGCCGCCCGTCTCTGTGCATCCCACTTTTCTTTCCACATCCTCCATTCAGCGTCCCGACCTCCGTCAGAGTAGACCGCCCAACCGTCGCGAATGCCGAGCCACGAAGATATCGGGTTAGCGAGGACAGCTGTCCGCGCACGTCCACAGATCGAGTTCGGAAAGCGTACTGGCAGATACTCCGTGAACGTGTATTGAACGACAGCGAGCGCTGCGCCGATGCCCAAGCCCCAGTAGACTTGATGATGAGCGTGGTACTGGAGATGCAGTCTGAAACCCGCATTCAGCGTCCACAAAGCAGGCCGACGGAAAGTGGCGACTGACCTCGAGTACGCGACAACACCTGTCCAAGCGGTGATACCAACGTACACAACGACTCTGAAAAGCTGGTCAAGGATAGGATACCCCGTCGACGCGAAACGGTGCCGGAAGAACATGTGGCAGTAGAGGAACATCGCGAAGAAGCCCATGTACTGGCTGTGCGACGAAGGGAAGCCATACCCGTTCAGGCGCAGCTCACTGTCTTTACTTGAAGCCGTTAGAAGCAAGGTCATTTGAAAGGAGGAAAACTGACGCACCAGCAGGTCGTTCTTCCTTGACTATATGCTTCACTACCAAGTTCAGCACCTCCGACAACAGCTGCCCCGCCCACATGTTGATGATGGTCAGCTCGCGCGTTTGCACGGCTAAAACCGCGTAAGCTGGCTGGTAGTTCGTGTTAATCTCGCGTTCAAGTGACAAGGCAGCTGTTGTATGCGTACCATGAGCAAAATGGGGCTGAGCGTCAGCAAGGCGAGCAGGAGCGATAGATGGGAGGAGGCGTCGTCTGTCAGGCTGCGTTCAATAGTGTTACAGTAGCTTAGGAGCAGGAGTTCTTACAGATGACATGTGTGAGGTCGAGAGACGCGTATGCTCTGGACACGTCCGCCATCCTGGGGTAATGCTGGGAAGCCGAAGAAACCTGCTCGTCAAGCCTTCAAGCTTCAAGGCTGTGGTCTGGTGCCGAAAAAAGAGAAAGGGGGTTGAGGTCTTTATATATCCTGTAGAACGTTGTAGTTTGTAGTGATTTTGTCTGCAAAGGGTAGCTGCGACATGTTTAATTAGAGCACGTACCACAACAAGGATAGACGGCGATGACAAGAGGACAAACATAAGTAGGCATGAATGTTTATGCCGACGAAGCCCGATCCCGGCGGCGGTAAATCCGCCAATCGAATCGTGGACAATCCGGGCCTTTCTTCACCTCAGCCATTGACTTGAAGTCCATCAACTGCTGTTAACCTTACAACTGTCTGCCAATCTGTCCATTCAGATCAAGCATACCGCAACCCAGGGACGGTACACCTCGAATGGACATCTCGAAATGATTTCTGGCAGGTCCTCACAGCATTCCGTGATCGCCACGATGGTTCCGCGACAGATTGAGCGTTCATAGGAACGGGTATCTTCCACAATCTATCATAAAGGTCTGCCTACGGGAGGCTAGAGCATTCATACTTCTCTTTCAAGCCCCATCACATGCAGAGCTCCGTTCTGCGCGGCGATGCACGGTCAGTCGAAGATACGCGTTCGTACTATGAACACGTTCTCCCTGATAACAATGCTGCATGTTCACAAGCCGAAGGTTGATGCCAGCGCTAGCCCCGTGGTACCTCCTCCCAGCTCTTGAGCGTTTTCACACCATGTACAAGGACATCTGGTTCGGATGGGCACCTGCTGTACATCCATCTAACTTGGATGCTATCGCAAGCGCCGACTTAGAACGTGCTATATCTTATCTGTCCATCATGAAGCTTAGGAATGATACGTATAAGTAGGATAGCGGGTGCCCTCCCAAGGACCTCATTCTCCCATTAAACCCAGTACTGAGCACCTCTCGCATCTCAACGTGTCTCTTCATGGCCTCCTGCACTGAAGCAGGTGGCGATCTCATCGACTACGCCACTTCTTCCGACGATACCACCTCATCGACGACGTCGCAGCCTACACCAGCGTCACCAGCGTCGTCCTTTATGGCTTCTCTTGGCTTGAACGAGTGGCTGATATACATCCTGCTGGGATTCGTGGCGGAAATAGCCAGACGTCAGCTGTACAATCTCGAGGCCCGGTTCTCGCGTTTCTTCTTTGTCACCGCCCAGATACCGGCCGATGACGACTGCTTCGGTAAGCAACAGCTCTCCCGTTCTCCGGAGGACAACTAACGCACGGTATTCTCTGCAGACTGGCTTCTAGTATGGCTCTCGAAACAACCTGCCATCAGTGAGGTTTATTTCGCGCTCACCGCAGTGTCTTACTGATCACATGCGCACAGAAAACGCGCGCAAGAAGCTTTTCTCCACTAGCAAAGACCGTAGGAGCCTCGCGATCCTTCCCGAGGAAGGCGACCACTGGTGCGACTCCAAGAGTCGCCGCCTCTTCAGCCTGCCTTCCGTCTTTGAGACCTACTCGCTGTGGTACAGGCGACGCTGGGTGCGCGTCATGCGCGTGGCGCTTCCCCATCCTGGGCAATATGATAAAGAGGCCATGCAGCTCCAGTGAGTCTACCCGAGTCTGAGATGATGATCCCGAAACCCCGACTTACGACCTGCGCGTGAGCAGGATTCTTACGTGGAACCATGATCTCCTAGACGAGCTTCTTCTGGAGGCTAAGAAAGATTATCTGGCCTCGTTTGAGGATAAGATCTGTGTCTACGTGGCTAATCCGTATGTTTTACTATCACATCGCAAAACCGAATCCAGCTAACTCAAGTCGCTGTAGTTCGTCAAGCGACTGGATTCCCCTCGCCACCCGCCCGAAACGGCCCATCCAGTCGATCATTCTTGACTCTGATGTTCAGAATATGGTTCTTGAAGACGTCCAAGAATTCATGAGGAGCAAAGCCTGGTACACCGAGCGAGGTATGTAAGAACTTGGCATTTGGCTCCCTCTCCCGAGGTTTACTGAAGCGCCCATAGGAATACCTTTCCGTCGAGGATATCTCTTGGTGCGCTCCTATATACAGCTGATCATCAGGAAATAACTCAACAACCTCCTACTCCGACTAGCACGGCTCCCCTGGCTCAGGAAAGACGTCTCTCATCCACAGCATCGCAGGAGAACTCGGGCTCGACGTCTTCCTCATCTCCCTTTCGGCCCGCGGCATGGACGACACGAAGCTCGCTGAGCTCATCGCGTACCTCCCCGAGCAGTGCATCACGCTCATGGAGGACATCGACGCTGCGTTCCTGCACGGTGTCAGCCGCGACGGCGTCGACGGCGTATCGAGCCCCCAGGCTCAGAGTCATAGCGGCGGCGCAACGTCACCGCAAGCGCATGCGCCTGCGCCTGCGCCTGAGCCCGCGCATAACGGGGACTCGGACTGGGACGACTACTCGGGCAGGGTGACGCTTAGCGGGTTGCTGAACGCGCTCGATGGCATCGGCGCGCAGGAGGGCCGGATATTGTTCGCGACGACGAACCGCTACGCTGCGCTCGATCCGGCGCTATGTCGCCCTGGGCGGATGGATCTACACGTCGAGTTCCGCCATGCGAGCAGGCGGCAGGCTGAGGAGCTGTTCACGCGGTTCTTCAACATCGGGACTTCGCCACCGCCGCCAGCGGAGTTGGAGAAACAGGTCGAGGAGCGGGGCTCGCGATCTGGGGCCAATGACGCGCGCGGTGCGAGGTACGAGGACTCTGATTCTACGTCTGTGTCGTCAGCGATGACTCTCGTCGATGTTGACGTCGCGGTGGAGCATTCGCCAGCGAAACCGTCTTCCATGGGCCCTTCCCAGCTGTCAGCCGAAGATATCAACGACCTCGCGATCCGCTTCGCCGAGTCGATCCCTGAGCACGAGGTGTCGATGGCGACGCTCCAGGGTTTCCTGATGATGTACAAGCACAACCCCGTCGACGCTGCCTACGAGGTCTGGGCGTATGTGGAAGACCTCCTCGCGTCATTCCGGCCCGACATCGTCTCTTCCGCTGCTGCTCCTCTCGAGGTTGAGAGTCAGATAGAGAAAGAGTCATCCTGGTTTGGCGATGTAAGAAGCTGGCAATGGGATGTTATGTAGATGATGGTTATTGTATTCCGATCGAGGTGGCTGAGAGTGTATTGTGCGTGGAACTGATGAGAGGACAATGGTGTAAAATCTTTGTATTCCTAGATCGTCTGTATTGATAGATTCTAGACATATCACCTCGGGCAATTATCGTTATCCTCTACCAGGTAGTTGTGCGATCATGGTCTAGTGCTGAACTGTGGTGAACGGACCGAAGCTTGAATCAAAGAGTGCTTGCCGTTGGTTTCGACCGCTGGTACGGACTGAATTGGATACAGGAGCGGCGCGTTGTGTCCTCGAAACGGTAACACGTTGATCTGGGGACACGGAGGACTGTCTCCAAATACGCATCCCGAGCTGGCTGCTCGCTTTTACGCAGAGCACGTCCCAGAGCGGAAGGTATTTTGCTTTGAGGTTCCGGGGCACTGACTGACCTGACACTGCGAGACACAGAGCACCCCCGTGCAATTTAATGTTGGAGAAATGTGTTGGCGACTTGTGGCAAGTCCACTCCTCAAGCTTCAAGTGTCAGTTCCCCGTCAGCTTCGGCTCGGAGCCTAAAACCATCCTTATAGATGATCTCAAGGACGGTAGACCCCAAAAGTAAGTGTTTGATGCACACGATAAGAACGAGCAATCTGTTCTCGAGCCCCAGCGGGGTTTAGAGCTGAATCTGCCCTCGAGCACGCTTTCTGAGGATCTGGTTCAAGGCAGGCGCAATTACAATTGATGCAAGTGGCCGTGACGCGTGACGACAGGCGCAAGCTCTCGGACTTCGAAGACTATTCTATCGAGCCAATTGGCTCTTCTCGATCATGATTAGCAACCGATCCTCCGGACCGGGTAACACAGCTGCAGCACAGCCCCGTCTCGCCTCCAAGGAAGGAGGTGCACCTTCCGCTTCATACCAATACCGGCGTTTCGCTATTGGCAGGCATACATCACGCGTGCGCTGCGGTATAAGCATATTGGCAGGGCCAACCTTCCGGCGGGTATTGCTTATCATCCGTGCGTTGCGACTCGCTGCATACTATCTCCAGATACGCAGTTTTTCCGAGGAGCTGCTTTCGCAACGAGAGCAATTTAAAGTTCAATACATATCGTCCAACCACACTCGCTGACGTCAATAGGCGCAAGATACGCACCTACAGTAAGTACTACTGAAAATCGAAAGTCCAGATTTCAGGAACAATAGATCTTCACAGACAATCGGGGCATCGACCGCGCCCAGATTCTTCCTTCCGTGACATTACATGTGTTTTTTCGGACTCGGGGCTGCTCGCGGGAATAGCCATGACGTATCTTGCGCCTTGCGAATCTGGAAATTTCGAATGCCAATTAAGGCTCGAAAGCAGCAATTTCCCAAAGGTCGATCGGTGCGATGATAGGTTGTCGACCTGCTTGTATGGGAGGCATTCAAGGAAAACGATGTTCACGGTATAAAAAGCGGAATCGAAGTTGCTTTACATTTGGGTTGGACGCTTGCTGGATTGATGAGTGCTCTACCCCTTGTGGCTCGGCGGACTTGTTTGGTGGGATGGATACTAGCGACAGAAGCTAGCTCTCACTAACGTCTTCTTTTTTACAACATGTATGTACATCCTCGCGCTGTGCGTGCCGTACTTCCAGCTTCGACAAAACATCGAAACCCTTCGTTTACGACATCTTACTAAAAACAAACTATCTCTTCTTTGAGATCTTCTCGTAGAGCGTCGTTCAGCGATGGGGCAATCTCGTTGATCAGCTATACTGCCGACCCGGATTCATTTTAAGAGTCGTACAGAACGTCTCGGGAGGGTTAGCTCAAATCTACACCGCCCTTGCCCGACACTTCTCGAGACCATGACTTCGTCTGTTCAAGTTACGACCCTTGATCATCCGTATAGTGCCCCTCACCCCGCTTGTCAGGCGAAAGCCCCGTTTGACGATCCTGAAGCCGAAATTATCCTGAGGTCCTCAGATAACGTCGAATTCCGAGTTTTCAAACTATTCCTAGCCTTCTCGTCAAGCATTTTCAGGGACATGCTCAGCCTCCCGCAGCCGTCTGACGACCCGCAAACCGTTGATCTCACGGAAAGCAGCACCGTACTCCGATTATTCCTGCTTTGCTGTTACCCGGTAACATGCCTGCCAACATACCCCTTCCAACCTTCGGATATCGCAGATGTAGCTGAAGCCGCGCAAAAGTACGATGCACCGTCTGTGACCACGTACCTTCGCCAAATCATCTTGTCCCCCCATAATCTCCAGAACAAGTCCGTTGCAGCGTTCGCCGTGTGCGACCGCTTCCAATGGCGCGAGGAAGCGAAGAAAGCAGCCTTTCACACGCTCAAACATCGCCTGCCCACCGCGACCGGAAAGCGCACTCAGCGCGCTCAGCAGTGGTTCCTCGAGTCCAACGCCATACCCGAGGCCCTCTTTATCCAGCTCACCGACTACCACTCCCGCTGCGGAACAGCTGCTAGCAACGTCGGCAAAGAACTACGCTGGGCTATCTCCTTCCCCACCAAGCGCCCGCGCCACCAGTGCGAACGGGTCAGCGTCCCGCGGTATTCTGGGTTCAATACCGGTGGCAGCATCACGCTGCCCGAGTGGTTTGCGGATTTCGTGAAGGAGACGAGCGAGCTGTTTGCAGGTGATCCGGACGTGCAGTCTGTCTTGGCCGATCATAGAGTGAGCGATGCGCTTTTGATCGCTGGTGCGGATTGTAGTGGATGTAGGAGCGCTGCGCCGGTATTTATGCAAAACAACTTTGTGCCACAATACAGGAGCCGCGTTGAGAAAGCGCTAGAGGAGGTGAGTCATGTGTCCCTGGTTGTTACTCTTCGGGATCATTCATTTGCGCTGGTAGGTTGAGCTATATACATGATAGTTCCGATACCTAATAGAGGTGCCAATAAGGTGAAGTTCGCGCGCAGAACTTTCATTTTTATTACACAATATTCGTTCTCGAAAATACGTCCACAATGTGGATGCGGCAGCTGCCGTTATTATAGCACTCCCTAAAACATTTCGCACCCGCTTTCCTTCGTCCCGCTCCTTTGTCTCTACTGAGTATTTTAGAATGACTGCAATAGTCATTTGTACTATCCAAAGCGATAAATCAGACCTTCATCTTGTTTTGACTACGAAGGAAAGCCTTAAAAATATTGATTGAAAGTACAGGAACGAACACTGAATGCCAATCTCTCAGCAAATTCAATGGGCGGAGTCTTGGTGAATAATATTATGCAATCCCGAACGACCACAGCTGCGGAAGCCAGGCAACAGGAATATTAAGCTGAGCATTTTAAAGCCAGCTTCCCATCCGCTCTCCCAACCTGTTCTTTTCTTTTCCCCTGAAGCCACCGATGCTCGTTTTCTCGAGGAGTCTTCATCATATACATAAATCTCACACCTGCGTATGAAAGCTTGATCTCGAAGGCACTTATGATAACACTTCGCAATTTCCGGGTCGAGCCAGTTCACTCGTACTAGTACATACATGCAGGTCGAATTCATGATACTCCGTAGCGTAAACATACGTTTTCCAGATTTGATTGTATTGTGACAATGGTTGTGAATCGAACGAGGTGGATGTGTGGAGTGGTATACATGGGCAGGACGATTGGTGGGACGATGTGGATGAGTGGGGCGAACTACTAATATGGATGAGGCCAGACTCTCTGATGCCGAGGAGAGTATGCCATTAGCGCTGAAGCGACGACAGGTAGAATAGCATGATTGTCCAATGAGACCTTTAATGATCGTAACTTTCTCGCATTCGTCCAATAGAACCAATTGGTTGGTAACAGTTCAAAACCGTTTCATCTCGATTTTTATCTATTGGACGGTCAAACGCAATAGAGAAACGAGAGAGAAGCAGCGTACTATGGAGGTTGCCTTTTCAACCTCTTCAGCAAGGAGGTTGATGCACTCTGTCAGACGCTCCCGGACGATCTTCGAGCAGAGCTCGCATCCCGACTTCTGAGCTGTGTTAATGAACTTCTGGACGTCATGATTTTTGACGGTGCTTGGAGAAGGCCTATCTTGCACGAGGGGTAGTATCTCGTCCATATAATCAGCCCACCACAGCAGAACTCCCTCTGTACCACCAAATTGATAATTCTGCCTGCGTTGGCAGTTCGAGCCATAGCTTTGGTGGGTATGACCGGATCTGGTGGTTAGCCACGAGAGCCCACTCGCCGCAAAGTGTTTAATCATCCATGGATTATAGTCTTTGGCCAGATTTGCAACAGCCGCGGTGCACCTTGAATGATACGTGAGGAGAACGAGGAGCTGCTTAGAAGATATCATGTCGATCTCGGGAAACATGGGTGGAATGAGGGGTAGGCGTAGCGTGTACTTCGAAGCGAGCTCCGCTTCTTTCTTCATTCCAGAACGACAGGCGATAGCAAAGCATTTGTAGGGGTCCTGTGCTAGAACCTCGGGCGTTGCGAGCACTCGCCCTAGACGTTTTTCGATGACGGAGACCTCATATTTGCGGGAAGCTTCGAGGACGTTGACAACGTCGCCCAGCTTGGTCACGTCGGGGTCTTCAGTGAGTGTTGAAGGGTAGCAGAATCGGAGGAAAGAGTCTAGAGTCTTACTAGACTCTGAGACGGCTACGACCGGCAGGCCGTCTTTGAAGTTGTTTGCGGTGTTCTCTTCCGCGGCTGGTTGAGGTAGTTCAAACATAGATTCGAAGATGGGCGAGGCAAGGGAAAGGAAGAGCTTGAAGACGCGAAAGTACACGCCATCTGCTGATAGTATGTAAAGGTCGGCTTTGGGGTGGTCGAAGGGGCTCGAAGCTGCAGACATAGGCGTTTCGGGAGAAGGGGTTATGCTATGGTGAAGCAGATCCAATGATTTCGCCGTTAAGCAGTTGTAGCAGGTTGAGACGGATATGCAAAGCAGCGCTTACTAAGTAACGAGCTAGCTTTCCGTGAGCCCTGGAAGCACGGTCCACTACGGGAGAGGACGACGACAAGATGATGTTATATAGCGGGGGGATAGTAGTTCACGAACAGGGAATACAGGTACCGAGCCTATGAGCCCTAACCCAATGCCTCATGACTGCCTGCTCGCGATCTTGAGGCAGGTCGGTCCGAACATCCTCCTCCACTGATACTCTGCGACATCAATGAGCATGTTCGAAGACTCAAAAGTCAGCAGAGGACCATAACAAGGTGTACGGCTCTCTCCGAACTCCAGATACAAGTCTTCGACTCGGATACTCGTGCATAGTAGTAGCTACGCTTATTCTAAAAAAAATACTCGATACTCAGCAGGGCGTCATCTCTTTCTACCGAAGGGAGTCCGCGCGCACGACTTCGGCGACCTTGTTCCAGTAGTCGGCCTTGCTAGGGTGCCAATCTCCTGCAAATTCGATTGCAGGGAGACAAAGAGGCAGAGAATGAGCCAAGAAGCGAGCGAAGGAATCCAGTTCGCTGCTAGACGATGGATTGAGAGAAACAGACAAGTCCCGAATGCGGGAGTTTACCGGCAGCGTAGCATATGCATGTTTCTGCGGAAGGCGTTTGAAGTCGGCACCCTGCACGATGATGTCGATGTTCAGATATGCCAATTCTGGCAGTAGTCGTAAAACGGCTATGAGTCTTGGAACATCCAGCGAAAAAGGGTGAACTTCAAGGGACCTAAGCAGAGGCCAATGCCCCAGGAGAGCCAGCAGTTGAGAAGGTTCCTGACGCAGTATGGAGATGGTACCAAACGAGAGACTGAGTTTCGTCATATGGCCAAGACACTCCAACGGCTGGAGGTCAGAGTAGTGGATAGCGGGCAGATCACCATCTTCGTCCGGGTCAAAATCATCTTCCTCAAAGAAGCAGGGATGATTGATCTCAACGTCTGTCAGACGAGAAGCGGAAGAGCAAGAGGCCAGGGCTTCCGTGACGAGCTCGAGAGGTTTAGAGGGGCGATACTGAGAGAAACGGAGGTTGATGCTAGAAAAGCTGCTAGAATTGGTCCATGTATGCGTGCGGATCAAGGTCTTGATTGCTCGTTCCATAGTCTCATAGCTATCGGCCGTCATCGTCAAGGACGCTGGCAAATGGCGGTAGATGTGGTTCGAGGTTGAGGTTGAAAGCCAAGACGTATGGTCAGGTACCAAAATATCCAAGGAGTTGATTTGACGATTATTTAGAAGGAGCGTTAGCAGCGCTTCATTGACTGGTCCGCATTTGACATCGCGCAGATGCTGAAGCCGGGAGAGCGTAAAGAAAATCTGGGAAATAGGCTCGTCGTGCATATACCACCACGAACCAAAGTCAAGATGTAATGTCTCCAGCATCGGGCAGGTCTTGTCTAAGCGATGCTTGGGTTCCTTGCCTTCTGATGTCCCTGACCTGATTTGGTCACGATTATCAAGAAAGAATAGTGCCGGAGACATAAGGCAGTGTTCGATGTAGAGATGACGAAGTTCGGGACCAAGTAAGACGGCACGCATCATAGGCAGGTGAAATATCTCGTTCGGGTTGGTTAGCCTCAGTCTGCGTAGCTTCGGGAACAGGGGGTCGGCTGATGCAGGATGACGTTTGGTGAGGGCGAGATAGACGTCAGGCATGATGCCAGCGTTAAATCCACCACGGTCGAAAGAGTGCTCAATGCTGAGGACGCGAGCAGCATACGATGCCAGGATGTTCCAGTCTCCGTGAGTCATTTCGCGTCGAAATCCCTGCATTTGACGTGACCATCATAACCCGTCGAGGTTTGGCACCGGGTCAGGATATCCATCCAGGTACTGGACACCAGCGAGAGAACGTACCCGAGGAATCTGTCCCCTATCATCTGAGTTCATCCCCTTATTGGCCCAGAGATCATCGCCTGTGCAACGGACAAAGTCTTCGAGGTTGTCGACATTTTCATAGAGTGCGTTGAGCGAAGGTTCTTTCAGACACTTGCAGACTCGTGCCAGTCTCGCCAGAGGTCTCTTTCCATCCACCTCGGCAAGAATGCACTCCAGGAGTTCGGAGACCTGCAAACAGCGATGCATATACGAAGCTAGAGATTGTGGTGATGGTCAAGCTCGGCGCCAAACACACATATTTTGTAATGTCGTGGGAACGGGCCATGGATACCAAACTGTCAAATTAGCCCCTATTCGCAATATCGACGCGTACTAAGTTCTGTTCTCGTTCTGCTCCTGCCAAGACATTTTGGACACAAAATAGAACCTAACCTCTAGGAGATCCAGCAGCAAGCGTCCAGATGGGCTGGCATGGTTCATAATGCAGCAGGGCTATCATGAGGATAGCTCGATCTACCCAGCGGCCAGATTCCACAGCGATGACGAACTTGAGAGTTTTGGTATGTTTGTAGTTTTCGGATTCCCTTGGAGGGATTGCCTCACGACTAATGATATAGTGGTTGATGACATAGCTATCCAAACAGCCGATGCTCCGTGCGTTATGATGCTGCCTTTGACGATAGTTTTCCCGGTTGACGTATGGGTTCATCGTCGTCCTTAGGCAAGGCACATAGCGTAACGATCTCGTCGATGAAGTTCCCACTCATGTCGCTACTCAGCTCTCTCCGGAGGGCTCTGTGTCCCACGCGTTCCAAGAAAAAATAACCCTCTGGCAGATGACGCCCTCATTATCTGAGGTGTACACCTTCTGCTACAAGGGAAGTTGGATGTAGGTCTCTCGCGCCGTTGAAAACACTACACCCAAACACGGCCAGAGTCAGCAAATCCTCTCGCTGAGGTAAACTCGACGTTCTTCTGAGTATTTTCAACTTACATTTGACGCGGCCGGCAGGATGATGGCTTGGAACAAACGGATGTTGTTTGGCTTGATCCAAGAAGCCAAGCACTGGCAGGACATGGATGCTGGGTCCAACAATGTTGTCAACATTTTCGTCTTTGATTCGCGAGTTGCATCGCATCATCGGCTGAGTGGACTCATGTAGTGATAATATTCTGCTCATGTAGGGCAGGACTTCGAACCAATCGTCGCTCATGGATCAAACTCGCCGCACGAGAGAAGCGTTCGATCCACTCGATCATCCTAGATCACGGTATTAATATGGAACCCACTCTATCGGACGCACAAGAGATCTTGCGGAGTCAGTCCTGGTATACGAGAGAGGTCAGCATTAAGATATATTTTTCCAGTGATTTTCAGCTAAGATGCCTGTAAAGGCCTTCCTTCTTCCGGCGGGGGTACCTGTTGGTGAGCTTGGACCGCCCATCCCTTCTTCCAGTGGTCGATACTGATAACCTAGTTGTAGCATGGTGTGCCACGTTCCGGAAAGACCTCGCTCATCCATAATATTGCAGGAGATCTTGGCCTCGACATTTATGTCATTTCACTCTCCAACGGGATGAAGCGACGCTCGCGTTGTCTACCTCGGGTCTTCCGGATACCTGCCTTGCGCTTATCGAAGACATTGATGTCGTCTTCCGCTGAGGCCTCACTCGGGACCCAACCGAAGAAAACGATGTCGAGTCGTCTACTACGACGCAAAGTAGGGTATCGCTGAGCAGTCTGCTGAATGTTCTCGATGACATTGCCGCACAGGAAGGTTGAATCCTGTTCCGCGACAACAAATAGGTACACCGCTCTCAACCCAGCTTTGACCCGCCAAGGTCGAATGGACCTACACGTCTGCTCCCACAACACAAGCAAGAGCTAAACGGAGAGGCTGTTTCTGCACTTCTTCGCACCCACTGGGCTTGCCATGCAATCGGGCTCTGACACAGACGAACACGAGCAGCCGAGCATCGACGTCTTTACCACTTCAAAACAGGGAACCGAGGTGACCAACCTCTTACCCCCTCCTGAAGCGCTGAAGGGCCGCGAGACAGCTGTAGTGGGTTTATCGCACCGAGAGCGCGCATCGTCGCTCTCGCAGGAGCAGTCAGTGGGTGAGCTCGCGAAGCGCTTTGCAGATGCTGTCCCGGATCACAAGTTTTTCCATGGCCGCCTTGCAAGGTTATATATTGAATTATAAGGTCAATCCCATTCAAGCGATCGATGATACGGCTTGGGTTGAGAAGGAGCTAGTAACTTGAACCTCCGAGTCGGATGATTCGGGCTGTGTGGCAATCCAGCTCGAAGGCCCGGGATAGGCAGTGCTTTTTACCACGGAGATCGTTCATACTTATTATGAACGGAACCGCAACTGACCCGGTTCTCACCGAGATAGAATGCTGAGCGAGAGACAGTCCTTGCAAGAGATCCCCATAGATAGCAGAAAATGGAAAAGCAAGGTATCGATTGTGGGCGCTGTTTCCATCTCCGGGTTTGCCGGAGGTTTGACGCGGCGCCAAACTGCAAACTCGTTCCTTTCGTTTGTCCTCACACAAGCTCGCATCCACAGTCACCCTCCGAGTGCTCAGCATGCTGTCAATGGACCCCTGCTCATTTCTACTTATATACCGTGCGATCATCGATGATCACGAAATCGGTGCGACATGCTCGCGTTTCAGCATTTATAGTAAGCCGCGGGTGTACAGTACATCAAGGTGTAATGAATGTACTAACGCGGCACATTTCCAGGTCTGGGTGTCTTCGGGCGCTTAGCTCAGGCGCCACCACAGCCTGTCTGAGATGATCAGGTCGCCATCGGGACATCCAGGAATGATATAATCGCCTCTGCAGTGTATGGCGGTCCTCCGTTGCCCCGTTCGTTTCCTCGACTTCCATCATCTCATGGACATCCAAGGCTCGTATGCTGACCTTCCACCTGCGCATACTAGCATCGGTGCACGACCGAACACGACTACAGACCTGGCACGCACACCTGCTTCTGGATATGTTGCTACCTCAGTGGGACTGTCACCGCTGATCACCTCTCTCCTACCCTCGACTGCTGCTGTTCAAGATGGACTCAAACTGGCCGTTCTAGGCGCCATCCTTGAGACGCTGAGGCGAAATGTGTCTACTCTATGGAAGTATGTCACAGACTCCCTTTTCTTCACTGCTAAGATCCACGAAAACGACGAGAGCTTTGGTTCGTTGGCGTGTGTTCGCATATGATGACTAGGGAGACTAAACCTTCGCTTCTTATTACAGAGTGGTTGATGTCATGGCTGTCGAATCAACCAGCTTTGCGTAAGCGACTCAGTCCCTCCATCCCAGTAATTGCGAGTCCTAATTCTCCTCAATTTCATAGGGAAGGCTCAGAATGTTTCCATCTGGACCCAGCCACCCTTCGATCTCGCGGGAATTCCCCCACACATGTACATGGAGGCCGGCTTTCCGGGCAACACGCGGCGAGAGAAAGACATAACCCTACAAATGGTCCCCTCGGTCGCGGAGGTCTACACTCTATGGCACAGAGGGCGATGGCTCCAGGCTTCTCGCATTGTCGATACCAACACTGTCTACACGGGGCACGCAGAGCAGATCCTTTCGCTAAGGTGAATAAGCCAACTCTCTTAGTATGCAATCTAACGCGCCAAAACACATACTTATGCCATAGGATGATGACTTGGAATCGGAAGATGCTGCGTAGCTTGATCCAGGAAGCAAGAGAGGCCCACGATATTGCCTCGGACAATGTCATTAATGTTTATGTCTTTGAGACGTAAGTCGAGCCACAAAGAAAACATTGCTCGTCCTTATTGACCGGCAATGCTCAGAGGGAGACACATGTACTCCATGCCGTGGAGGAGGCTTGCTACGCGGCCGAAGCGTCCAATACAGTCCATCATCTTGGACCATGGAATTCAGAAGCTAATCCTTGAAGACGCGAAAGACTTCCTGCAAAGCAAGGCCTGGTATACCGAAAGAGGGATTCCGTTCCGTCGGGGATATCTATTAGTGAGCTCTCTCAAGTGCTACTCAATATTAATTTATCTCAGTATTGACGAACATTCTCAGCATGGTGTTCCCGGCTCTGGGAAGACGTCACTCATCCACAGCATTGCGGGCGAGCTCGATTTGAACGTCTACCTCATCTCCCTCTCCCGCGCCGGCATGGATGACACGATGCTCACCGAGTCCATCGCGGGCCTGCCCGAGCAATGCATCGCGCTCATGGAAGACATCGACGTCGCCTTCCACCACGGTGTCACGCGCGACTCTGACTCGTCCGACTCCAGCTCCTCCCTGAATTCCTCTTCGCCAGACAGTCAAAGTCAGACTCCCGGTGCGCACAAGGACACAGGTAACAAGCAGACGAAAACGATCGAGAGCCGCGTATCGCTGAGCGGTCTTCTGAATGCGCTGGACGGCATCGGCGCGCAGGAGGGCCGCATCCTGTTTGCGACGACGAACCGATACTCCGCACTCGACCCTGCACTCTGCAGGCCCGGCCGCATGGACCTGCACGTAGAGTTCCACAACGCAAGCAGGGGGCAGGCGGAGGAGCTGTTCAGACGCTTTTTCAGGCCCACCTCTGGTAAGGAAACGAGCACGGCTGACAGTGACCAAGTCAACGGAGATGATCTTGATCTTGGAGCGTCGTCCTCGGAGGAAGAGTGTGAGACAATGACTGACTTTCAACCGAAGTACTACTTGGCGAAAGAATCTGGGATGGATGTTTCGAAAGAGCCGCCACCAGCGTATGTTGGTGTGACCCATCGCCAGCGCGCACCACATCTCTCGCCGGAGCAGCTTGACGAACTAGCGGCTCGGTTCGCTGTCTCTATCCCGGAACGCAAGTTCTCGATGGCTGCGTTGCAGGGCTATCTGATGACTTACAAGGTCAGACCGGTTCAAGCCGTCGAGAATATCGCATGTTGGGTAGCCAAGGAGCTGTCCAACAAGAAACAAGATGTCATATCGTGATCTTGATCTTAACCTCGGCGAACGGGCTGTATACCATCACTATACCCACCCACTTTCCTACAATCAACAATATCATGAACTCAGTGCAACACACCACAGAATGAAGGGTTAGCAAAGCTTGAGAGCAAAGTGTATTATCGCATCAGCATCACTATATGCGTCTAAATAACTATTGGTGGGGTGGGGTAAATAAGGAAATTACTCCAGAACGCGAAAAGTGTGGTAACATGCGTCTAATGAATCGATACAAACAACCTGCAGAGGAAAGTTAAACAACAGCACCTTCCGCCCTAATCCGCGATGTGAGAGAATATAAGCAATGCCGAAATGTAGAGTACAAGGGTAACCGTGATGTTTGTTTATGCGACGGGGGCGCGGGCGTACTTCCGGCGGAACTTGCTGTCCACGCTCTCGAGGTAGAACGTGCCTGGCCAGATGTGTTCGATGGAACCGTCAGGAGTGTAGTTGACGGCGTTGTGGTTCTTCTCACGGAGCTGAAGATAAAGAATGAGTTTATGCGGAAGGCAATGGCAAGACGAGAACTCACGAGTAGCGCGTCAACGTACTCCTGGCAAGGGACAACCTTCATGCTCTCGAGACGCTTGATGAGGTCCATCTTCTCGCAGATCTCGGACGTGTCGCCAACGACACGGAGCGTGAAGAAGCTGGCAGCGCAGCCAGAGCCGAACGCAAACATGCTCAGACGCTTGCCAAGGAGCTGCTGGGGCTCGACAGTGCTGAGCAGCGAGGCAAGGCAGCCGTAAAGCGAGCCGGTGTACATGTTACCGAGGCGTTTCGAGCAAGCCATCGAAGGGTCCACCTTCTTGGCGTACGTAGCCTTGGAGAGACCGATGAACGTCTTCTCGAGGTTCTTGTCGGTGATCGTGGACTTGTAGGGGGTGGCGAGGACGGTCTCGGGTGAGGCGACGTTGGCGAACTGGGGTGCCTCGGGGGAGGTCACGAAGTCATTCCAGAAGAGACGGCCGAAGGCCTTCTGGACCTGTTTGCCGTATGGGCTGTGGAAGACGGCATAGTCGATATCGTCGAGAGAGAAGCCAGCCTTGGGGTCGGCGCCGTTGGCGTGGCCGTTGGTACCGTTAGCGTGGGCCTTCTTGGCCCTGGCGACCTTCTCGCGGTAGCGTGAGTAGGCGGCGTCGAGGGCGGAGATGTAAGTGGTAACGGAGACAGGGCCATCGACCTCGGGGTATTCCGAGTCAAGACGGGGCTTGTAAAAGTCATAGGTGTTCGTCATGTGGTTGCCGTGAATGGCTAGACAAGACAAAGTGTGAGATTCGTTTGAACAAACGCATATATGCGCGCAGGACACTCACGGTCAACGACCACAGGTGCATTGGGGCCAATGAGGAGGGCGACCGCACCAGCACCACCGGCGGGACGAGCTGCACCCTCGGCGTAGATGGCAATGTCACCACCGACGACGATGGCGTTCCGGCCGTCCCAGGAGGAAGACTCGATCCAGTTGACGGCATTGAAGAGGGCGGCGGTGGAACCATAGCAAGCATTCTTGGAGTCAATACCCTCGATATCGAAGTTGCCCGCCTCAGCGAAGAGGTCCATGAGGGTGGTCTTGACGGACTTGGACTTGTCGATGATAGTCTCCGTACCGACATCAATGCGACCAATGGACTTGGGGTCGATGTTGTAGCGCTCGAGGAGGCCAGAAACGGCTAGCGGCACGGTTTAGCCAAGAATGGAGGGAGACAATAGCGCGGGACGCGTACCGTTCAGAGAGAACGAGTTGATATCCTCACGGTCGTCGCAGCAGGCCATGTACTCCTGACCGAGACCGATAGTGTACTTGCCAGCTGCGACTCCATCGAAAACCTCGAGGTCGGCCTCAGAGATGCACTACGAAAACGCGTCGCGGTGAGTGCGAATACAAAAATTGCAGTATTGGTCCCGACATACGCGGTAGGGGAAGTAAACTTCCATGGCAAGGACACCGACATCCTTGGGGCGGGGAAGGCCGTAGTCGAGGGAAGTGGAGGTACCATTGGTGGCGGAAGAGACCATGGCGACGATGACTTTAAAGGGAGGAGGGGGCGAGGAGGGGATGATAGGCAATGAAATCAGACGAACGGAAGGTTATATAGCAAGCCGGTGATGTGCATCGTTGGAAATAATAAACTTGGGTCCTAAATTTTATGGTACGATTCGAGTCCGAAAACGTTACGCGTCAGGCAAGTGTGAGTGGCGTGTTTCACTGGTCCAATCCCTGCACGCATCAGGCTCTTGTCACGCAACCAACTATTTGCTCGTCCCGATCCACGGCTTGGAGGTGTCACCCCAACTCGGAGACCGCCACCAAGACCACAAAAGCGGCGGACGCGCTTGTCTCTCCTTGGTATAGCTCTCTTCGCCGCCCACGAATATCTCACATATCAGAACAAAAACCCAATCAATACTATTCTGTTTAGAGTTTTCATCTGCCTTCTTCTTCACCTCGTGCAGAACGGGCGCATCTTGACACAACACTTGGTTGGGCCTTAGCCCTGCAACTACCGCATGCCTTCCCATACATGATCTGCAGCCGGATTATCCACTGGTGGGTTGTTCACCTACGGGACTTCTTTCTAGCACAAACTCTTGGGTTGTTCCCACGCTTACGCTGCCCGTATGTAAGTGATACGCACGTCAGCGATATGGCTCTTGACCAGTCTTGCCTTCACGTTTCGGGATACACACAAGAGAACAAGAACGTAAGACTGACAGCTCGTTTTGGGGTGGACTCAAATTTGCCAATCTCATGGAATTGGATCCGTTGATACGCCCGATCCGAGTGGCCAATGGCAGCCGACAGCATTTTCCGTGGCTTTGACAGTGACACCGGGATGCTCGGCCACTCCGCACTGATAATCTACTTGACATTTTCTAGCGCCCGGGGTAGAACGTGTCAACTGTACATGCTCAGGTATTTCATGAATGTCTTGAAGAGGATCACTGAGGCGTGGAGCTGTGCCTGCCACCTGCAGTACGTTACATGAACTAACCTGCATGAAAGCCCACTCCCAAGCTCTTTGATGCGGCAGATGTTCTTCTTCGTTATCTCACCGGCGTTCCTGACCAATTTGTAGATGCTGATCGACCCCCACCTGCTTGTTGGCTTCCACGAAAGCATCGCATTTCTTTGCATCTTCACATTAGGTATTATTGATAGAAGCTGGAGATGACGCAGAAAAGACCCATAGGGTCATTCAGAGACGACTCCTGGTTGGCAAACTTAACTTGGTACAGCTAGCTTCAAAATACACTGATCCAAATATGGGAAAGAGCCCCTGATTCCACTGTCTGCCAGCCACCAGCCCACTAACCAATGTCCAAGTTGCGAACGAGCCCAGCCGTTTCTTCCTTCGTCACCCCATCTTAGCTCTTCGTCAAGATGTTGGTCTTAAGCTCGACGCTCTCAAAGCTCTCAGCTCCTTTTAGCTCTCTCCCAGAGGGATGTAAACGCAGACGCAAGCAGCGATACTACCCTCCAGGTGGCCTCACCGAATGCATTCCGCAATCCATCAGCGCATTCTCCATTCCACCTGATGACCCAATCCTCCGCGCTGCCGAGGCTTCCCTGAGGGCACGTAAGGGCAATGTTGCAGCTACCCAGTTTGCGCACCATATAGCACGCGACTTTGACCAGGTTGCTAGCTCCGAGGCCACTGCTGAGGCTGCCGGTACGGCACCATGCGCTCCGGACCCGAGCACGAAGATGAACGACGATCATGGCGCGTCTGTGGGTTTTGATGTCGATGCTAATACTCAGTATGCTCCTCGGCGCACAATCTTCCGCGGGAGGAGCAGCGTCGACGTTCTGGGATATCCCGACGACGATGACAGTCACGGACGCTCGTGCGCCGCCCTTCCCCGGTTCGACAGACGCCCGCGTTCTCGGTCGGTGTCCGCTTCTCCCGGCAATCTCTCGAGGTCGCTTTCGTTCGCCACTCCTCAGTTCCGTAGACCTTTTTCTTTTATTAGTGCAAGCGCGGCCAAGGCATCGCTCCTCGCTCAAAAGCGCCCTCGGACGGTTAGGCGGTGTACCTGGCCTGTAGTTCTTTTGGCTCAAGATCACAACCCCCGCAATGACCTAATAGGCGCTCAGCCCAACTCCTCGGGGGTTCTCACGTTCCAATCTAGATATTCTTCGCGCTACTTTCCGGACATATGCTCGCCGGTGACTCCAGCTCATCTCGGGAAGACGCTTGCTCCTCTGGCTAGCGAAAGACTCAGACAGGAGTTGCGCGATCAAGGCTATTTGCGAGCCCATGACGACAGCCCCGAAAACACGGTTTCAGTCTTTGGCTATATGCGGCGGACGCTCAATTGCTGTTTCCTAGCGCCGACAGACAGCACGGACGGTCTCAGAATAGACGATACACAACGTTCAACCGTACCTCGCCGGCCTTTCTCTGACAGCCCGCTGGGGCGGCGAATAGGACGTATGGTCGCATATGAGATGATCGAGAACGTTCAGGCAAGCTATCCGTATCTCTCCTCTGCGACGCAAACGGGACCGCCAGCCTCATTGATAACCCGCCCCGACTGAGCAGGCCCATGCACCATCTATGACGTCGTTCGTCTTCCATGCGTCTGATAGCGGCTTTGAGAATGAGAACGTCGGTATTCCACTCGAGCTCGCGACAGCCATGGAGGACGAGGACGAGAGCCCGAGCGTGATGGTCACCAGGACTTCCTCGCGCGACTTTCAGACGCAGACTGTGTTTTACTCGTGTTCGGACTATGCGACGATGTCGAGTCGGGCGGTGGCCCCTCCTGCTGCCTCCTCAAGAGGTACACATCTGGCGCAGCTCCCGTCAAGAGGTGATGAGTCCTGGGTCACTGCGTTCTCTTCGCCCCCACGGCCGCATGTTGCGCCATCTGCCGGGAACATTCTGCTCAGACACGAATAACTACGTGTGCTGTGTTTTTGGAATGATTTGACAAGGATGCACTGATATCTGTCACCATACCCGATCAGTACTCTGTGTCTTCCTTCGGAGCTCTTCCTTCCATGCATTTACATTTGGTTTTGTCTTTCATTCCTTGACCTTCTTTCATCAAATCTCAAATTGTGAATCGTAGCATAGATTGCCGAGCTGCGCGAAGCACTGTCACGACAACCATATAAGTCCAAGAAGGGTATGAAATACAACCGTTAGTCGATACAACCACAAACCCAACCCCAAGAAACCAGGTAGACAGCGCTTGTGACCGGGAGAGACAAGGTTTCCTAATAACACCGACCGTCTCATGTCAGATGTGCGGTGGGCGGTTTCTTCTTCCCTCTTCGATCTCCAAAGCCCTTCGGCTGCTGGCCATTGGCCGAGGGCTTGTTATCTGGTCCCAACGGCGCACGAATAACGTTGACGGGACTCCGCATCTGCTCGCCGCTCGTACCCGGCAGTTGAACGTCCTCTGGCACACCTTTTGACTCGCTTGAGTCCTTTGCTGGGGTGTTGCTACCGCTCCCTGAGTCGTTATCACTGGCTTTACTGCTAGACCCAAATATGCGTTCGCGCGCCTCTTGGTACTGCGCTTCGCGCTGCGCAAAGGTATTCCGAGGTGAATCTGCGGGTTTGGCGCTGTTTTGCGAAGTCGCAGGCGAGGGGCGCTTGAGGATCCGCATCGGGCCCTGCAGGGCTGCAGGCGGGGGCGAGACGACCTGGCTCGTGCTCGAAGGTGCGATTACGAGTTCGGGCATTGGCACAGTGGAGTTTCTGTTTGGGACAGTGTATTGTGGAGGCAACGTGAGCATATATGGAGCGTGGTGTAAAGCAATAGCAAATGCACGCACGCCTTCTCCCAGACCTGCGCGTTATCTTCCTCCTCCGAATCTGAGTTGTCCCAGTCATCGCGGACGACCCGAGCAGACGGTTTCTTCTTGCTCTTACTTGGGCCGGAGTTGGAAGTAGGCAGTGCAGTGCCAGCTGTACTAACCTGAGGAACGCCGTGAGGCGGCAGATATGCCTGCATGATTAGACGAGATGGGATGAGCAGAGGGTTACTTTGAGTCACGAGAGATCTCGAGAGGGTACTTGGAGAAACGCACCGTCTCGTCCCATGCGTCGAGCGTTGCTGTGCTTGTTGATGCCTGCATGTCCGCGCGTGTGTCTGGGTGCCCTAGAGCCAGTGGCAGATCGCGCAGAGGAACTGTAATGGGAGACTCGGACCCGTCGGTACGAGCGCGCAAGCTTAAGGCGGTGACAGGCGCTCGGCTATTTGCGCCTGCGCTTTGTCCTGATCCCACACCATCCGGCCATCGACGTTGACGGATGATATGGCTGAATTACATGCTCCTCAATCAACGCTGTAGGGCACTGGACCTGCAGCAGGATTGTCATTGACATTGAGCTAACAACAGCCGAATTTCACCATTCAGTGCTGACTTGATTCATGATTGCTAGGAGCTTTTGCAAATACCTTTACACCTGGCTAACCCTGACCATTGTTCGAAGTCAACGCGTCGACACATGCTCCCTCCACGTTGAAAGGTTGGTAATCGACCTCATCGCCATCGCAAACGCGTGCACGTCTCGTGTTTTCAGCATGTTTGTGCATTCGCCGAGGTGGTATATCAGCAACCGCAGCCAGCTGTGCAGACGACCAATATCTCAGCCAAATGATGTCCCAAGCCGCCCTCACCGCGTCGCGTCCTGCTTCTCCCGACGCTTACTCCCTCCGTGCACCTTTCGACGACTGCAGTGCAGACTTTGTCATCCAGACGACAGATGGCGTGAGGTTTGGTGTGCACAAATTCGTTCTATCACTTGCCTCGCTCCTCCTTAGGCGCACCTTCTCCGCATCTCCACTTTCATTCACGGAGTGCGATCCGAGCATCGTGGTCAAGCAGGCAGAAGACGAAGGTCGAGACACCGTTCTCATCTCGGAAGAGAGCCGGATCGTCGAGATCGTCCTACGCTTTATTTATCCATACGCTAGCCCATGCGTCGAGAAGGTCGAGGACATCCAGTCCGCCTTAGCCATGATGGACAAGCTCGGAATGAAGGACATGATGAATCGCCTTCGCCCTGCCCTTGTGCAACCATCCATCCTTGAAGCAGAGCCACTGCGCATATTCTGCATCGCACATCGATATGGCTTCCAGGACGAAGCCAAACGCGCCGCCTACGAAACTCTCCGCCACCCGATCTTCCTTCCCTTCGTCCCCGAGCTCGCACACATCTCCGCTTCAGCATACCACCAGCTGCTCGCGTACCACCGTAACGCCGGGCTCGCCGCGGCAGCGCTGACGTCCGACTTCTCCTGGTTCCCGACCATCGCGCCGCGCTGGGTCTGGTTCCAGTGCGACGACTGCGCGCACCACTCGCTGTCGTGGCCGCTCTCGGACGGGAAGCTCTACGAGGTGAACGCGTGGTTCATCGACTTTATGGAGCGTGCCCGCGAGGCACTGCGCGAGCGGCCATGCGCCCAGGTCCTCGAGGACCCCGTATTGCTCAGCGAGGCACTGGCCAACGCTGCTGCGTGCGATATGTGTAGGTCCGCCGTGTTTTTGGACTTGAACGTCTTCATCAAGGAGTATTTCGTGCCCGAGGTGGAGAGGGCGACCAAAGCAGTGAGTGCTCGATGGTTCACCTGCTTGTATTACGCCTTTGTCTGACACACACCCAGGTGGAGATAGATCTCAAACTTTAGAGACGCTTACTAACAACATTGTAGCATAACACAAAGCATGACGGGCATTGGCTCTATATACATGTATCATAAACCGTAACCATCAGCATACACAGACACTGGGAGTTGGATTTTCATAGCCAGAATTTGTGTAGTCCATTGTATGCAATCATTAAAATAAGACTGGAGCAGAAGACTTGCGATCTTGTTTGCGACGAGCGTTCGAGGTTAAAGTGAAGGTTAACATCAGTGTTCGGAAATTTCCGAACGCTCCTGACTTCTTCAAGATTTGGGAAGCAAGTACTCTCACTGTCAACTTTTCCTTCGTCTTCTGCTTCACTCTCGCGCTCTTTAGAATGGCCAGAATCTCAAATCCTGCACCAAAACAAAAGGCAAAATCCAAAGCCAAGGCTCCGAAGCTCGTGCAAATTCAAACCGAGTCGGATTCTGACGATGCGCCAGAAGCCATCTCTCAGGCAGCGTCTAAGGCGGCAGCACAACGTGATGAAGAGGCGCTAAAAGAGTTTGAAGCTGAAGAAAACGCGCGTGCGAAGCGTCGTAATCAAGAACACGATCGGAAGCTCAAAGAACGGGCACTGGTGACGAGGGGCGGTCGGCTTAGTGAGGGTAAAGACAAAAAGAGGGCCGAGGAGAGTACAGGGAGCGACGAAGGAGAGGATAGTGAGGGGAGTGATGGAGAAGCTGGGGAAGATGATGAGATAAGTGCTGCTGAGCGGCGGATGATGAAGGCCATGATGGAAGCGGGGGAGGAGATGGACGAGGACGAGGATGGACTTGGCATGGACGATGAGGAGGATGACGAAGACGACGAAGATGAAGACGCATTCCTTGACGAGGACGAGGATGCAGACATGGACCCGGAAGTAGAGGACGAGGACGCATCCGAATTGTCCGACGCAGAACTTGTCAAACCCCCGCCTAAGCCTAAATCCTCGACGTCGAAATACCTTTCGGAAGATCTCTTTGCATCTGCATTCGCCTCGCAGGCTGCCGCCTCGAAATCAAAAGCAAAAGTGTCCAAGGACACACGAGACTCCAAGAAGTCTGCGCGGCAGCGGAAGGTGCGCTGTATCCGACCAAAGGACATTGTCATCGGGTACGTTGGCCTTTCGTATTAAGACTTAAGTCATGAAATTCAGATACTTTCTAGTTCGCGGACGATACGTACGCTCTCCAGTCTTTCCGACCCCTCCGATGCTGCTGCTCGTTCAAAACCTCCGCCAAGAATCAATAAATTCCTCGACCGCACACTAGCTCTCAAAGGCAAAAAGGGGGCATTAAATGCTAAGGCTCGCGGGTGGGAACGAAGACCAGGTCCGTCTCCCCTTGGCTTTTCTTAGTCCCGCCACCAGACTAACGGACTTGTAGCGAACATAGGGGTGATGAAGATGGGTGGAGCGCCTGTAGGTTTCGTGAGGAACCAGAGCTGATGAAAACATCGGTTGCTTCCGTTGTATCGCGTAGTGGTCTATATACTCTTCAATATATCGAGGGTTTGCTTTCATCTGTCTACAGCTAGACCGGGCGCCGTTTACCTTGCGATTATTTGACAAAGTAAGATACATCGGACCGGACATGTGCGCGTTCCGGTGGCTGTGCAGTATGGCATCCGCCGACACTTCATTCTGACGCAGAGGGCAAGGTACCGGGCTACTGCGCGTCCACGCTTCACCTATTCCAACTCTCTGAGCCCGCATCGCGGTGCAACATCTCTCTGACACGTCGCCCCATGGCAGGGAGTGAAGGATCCAGCGATCCGCGAGACGATTCCGGGCTCGCCGCCAGTCTCGACCAGCTCCATGTAAATGCCGCACCTCATGTTAACCCTAGGCAGCCGAGCCCTAATCCATGGGAGGATGAACATTCATCTTTGGAGCTCAAGCCAGCCCACACCCCGGATCCCTCGATGCTCGACCCAGCGGTTACTGCACCATTCAATAGCTCTGCCTCGTCCTCGGAGGCCCACATACCGTCCAGCAAGGATGTCTTGAGCGAGTTCGACCCTCTCGCCAACCAGGAAGAGGTTGATTCGCACAACGCCTGGGCGAGCGCAGAAGGAAACCCTCCCCCTCCCATCCCAAAGTCGACGAGACCGCCACCCCTCGTGCCTAAGCCAGAAGAACCCGACGATACACGACCACAGTCACCACGCACGCCTCCCCCTCAATCCGACACTTCCCCCCAGACTACGCCCTCTTCCTCCTCTTTTCCTTCGCTCGCGGCTTTTGCGCGTACGTTCTCCCTCCCCGGCCGTGCACGACCACGGCCTACATCAATGGACGGTGCCAAGCCAATCGGATCACCCAGCACGGTGATATCCTTTGCGACGCAACAGCAGCAGCGGCCAGCGTCCCCTTCACCTCTCCAGAAGGAGCTTCCCTCACGGCCCGGAGGATCGAGGAGCGCTCCCACCAGCGCACCGAACAGCGTGCCAGGCAGCGGTGCGGCGACACCGTCGGGCTTTAGGACAGATTCGCCGCGGCCTGGCAAAGATAAGGACCCACCTTTCGATTTCCAGAAATTCCTCGATCAGATGAAGAGCAGACAAGCGGATCCGATTGGAAAGTATCTTCGGTCGTATGTCATGGCTTGCCTTGTTGGTGTATGCGCTGCTGAAACCAATGCCTTGCTAGCTTCCTGAGTAATTTCGCGAAACGTTCGTTCACGGTTAATGACCAAGTCAAGATTATTAATGACTTCCTGAATGTGAGCCATTTTCCTTGCCGTGTGGGACCGAGGATAAATGTTTATGTTTTGTTTTTCAGTTCATTTCGGTGAAGATGCGGGAGAACGAGATATGGCGTAATGCTTCGGATGCAGAGTTTGATAACGCTATGGAGGGAATTGAGAAGCTTGTGATGAACCGACTATACGACTTGTATGTTTTCTCTCTCCCTCTCGCATTTAATATCTGCTTATTCCATGTCTGTAGTACGTTTACCCCTCAAGCTGCCCGGTTGACTCCGCCACGGCCAATTACAGCTGACGACCTTGAACGAGACCGCGTGCTATCACAACGTATTGCTTTGTTCGGATGGATTGAAGAGAAGCACCTTGATATTCCGGTGGGCGAAGGCAGTCAAGGGTTCCTCATGTTCGCACAACAAGGCATGTTAAATTTGATACAATGTCTGAATGCTCGACCGGGGGCTAATACTTTCTTCCCTTCAGAACTTCTCAAGGTCAACCATTACAAGGCGCCTCGTGACAAGCTTATTTGCATCCTCAATTCATGCAAGGTCATATTTGGTTGGCTTCCTGCTACATGTTTGCTTTCTTTGAACTGACTTCGGACCGTCCGGCTCGTTATCATAGGTCTGATACGACACTTGCACAAAGACGAAGGAGCGGATTCATTTTTGCCGATATTAATCTTCGTGATTCTGAAGGCTAATCCTGAACATCTATTGTCGAACGTGGAGTGCGTGCTTGGTTTTTGAGCGTTTTGTTTTTAGCTAACGCATTGGTTTTTTCTAGGTTCATCAATCGGTTCAGGAACCCCGAGAAATTGCAGAGCGAAGCAGGCTATTATTTGTCAAGTCTGGTGCGTTTCTTTTGCAATAAAATTGTTTTATCTGGTTTCTCAGAAGTTGCAAAGATGGGCGCCGTTTCCTTCATCGAAACCATGGACCATACTTCCCTATCTTGTATAACTCAGGAGGTGTTCGAGCGGTATGTATTACCCACCACTGGTTGAAAGTATGAGGCTGATCGCGGGTCGATGACCGTTTCTAGAAATGTCGAAGACGCAATCCAGTCCCTACCTGATTCCCGACCACAATCTCCTTCCTTCTCGACTATCTCAACCTCCACGCCCCGTAAAGGCGTCTCGTCACCTTTACCCGCTTCGCCACATGCGGGTGAGGAATCAGCAGAACCCCTTGCCCTACCAGCACCCCAATCTATCGGCGAAGATGCTCGACGCCTGTTACAGAAGACAGGGGATACGATCTCGAAGCCTCTCGGTGCCATCAGCCGAATCTTTGGCGAGGTCCTAGACGAGAAGCTGACCTACCTCCCGGGCCCCTTCGCGCCGTTCGAAATCGGCAGAGAGAACAGGCAGGAACGTCAACAGCAGCAACAGGGATATCCTGGACAGGCGTCCCAGGCCCAGCAGCAGCACTGGTCCCATCCCGATCAGATTTCCCAATACTCTAAACCTCCACAGACGCCCATCGGAGTCGGCGAGAGCGGTCAGCAAGTGGGCGCGTACGGTCCGCCTATACAGACACCGTACAAGCCGCGCGTGCGACGTGGACCGCCTTCGTCGTCAGGCTTCGCAGGCATGCCGAGTACACCTAGCACACCACCAGGTATGGGCTACCAACCCGCGTATTACGAGGACACGCCGACGCGTCCGGGTGGTGTGCCGTACACAAACCAGGCGCTCGCGATCGGGCCGTCGCAGCATGCTCGCTTGGCGCCGCAATACGGATTGGGGCCCGGACCAAGCCAGGGGCAGAGTGGCCTAGGGACACCGGTGTCGGGAGGGCAGGGGCAAGGGCCGGGGCCGGGGCAGAGCGCGCACGTCTCGCGGACGCCGACGCCTGCGATCGACTATATGGGCCTGCAGAACGAGATCGACCTTGCACACGATCGGGCGCATGCCGCTGCGAAGGATACGCTCGTCCAGATTTTCCCGAGCGTCGAGGTTGGGGTGATTGAGCTCGTTCTGGAGGCGAACGATGGTGATCTTGGCAAGAGCATTGAGGCGCTTCTGGAGATGAGTGGCGGGGAGTGAGCGAGTGAGTGGGGGGTGGACGATTGTGGAGATTGGATTGGCGTGGGTTGGCTTTGTGGGTCCTGTTACATGCGTATGCACAATGTTGATGTGTATTGGTGTTTATTATCCTTATCAGCATTTTTCACTCTGACTAGCGCTGTACTAGCAGGTGGGAGGACAAGGAGGAGCAGGGCACAAGCCCATAATCAACTTTACGCGCTTACAGAATGAGATCGACCTCGGGCGTGTCGCGTTGAATAAACACTTATCAAGATTTCCCATCTTTCCGTCTCGAGTCAGTGCCACCGTGACTGAGCTTGTGTAGAGGTAAGGGAAGATATTGGAGTGTCCCCGAAGACGAGGGCATAGTAAGTTAGAGCTAGTTAGGGCAGCTCCTGCGTTGGACCTAGTCACGGTAGGGTCGGGGGCCGAGTCGGTTCTCTAGGAATAGGCTTCGAGCAATCATATGGAGTTGAGTGTGTATCGTTTCAACGACTACACATTCTCAGCGTCTGTATTTTCAGCCGCTATGATAACGCGATGACCACCAATTATCAGTCGTCTATGAGCGTTTTGCTACCCCGTGGGGGCCCGTCAGCCCTCCGACATCACTAAATGGGTGGGAAAAGTTTGACCGTTATACCGAGTGATCACCGTTATAATATCGTCGTCGAGACAGTTTTGTATGATCACGAATGGTGACGCATTCCCATTGAGTGAACATATCGTTACGGTGTGGCAGTGAATTTCGGCCGAACACCATGTCGCGGACACTTTACCATTGATCAAAATTGATGATCTTGCTCGTACATTTGTTAGTCGAATATAAAATACGGAGACCATCTCAGAAACAAAATTATCATTGAGCGATAACTTCAACTGCATATGTCAGCCACCGCTTTAGGCAGAGAGGAATACTAATGAACATTAACAAATAACAACGAAAAACGACGAACAATAACAAACAGTAGAGATTCGAATACCCTCTGACCTTTACAATGATGCGGAGCCGGTCGCGTTGGTGAGAGTCTCGTCTTCACTTAACGTTCACTCAGGCTCGAGTTTGCCTTGCAAGACCCCAAGTTGTATCCAGGTGCGTTGAAATAGGGACATTCCCTTTGAAAACTAAACTTGAACTGCTGGTATTTGAAGCCACGCGCTCACGGAGCAAGCAAGCATGTCTGAGCACCCATATTTTACGAATAGATTTGTAAAATGAGTTAGTGTGGCGGAAACGCCTGAGACGACGCATGAACTCGCCCTTGTGCACGCTTGTGGAACAAGTGAGTGGGGGGAGAAACCCGGCCACACCACGTTGAATGCATGAATACCAACCGCTCTGCCTCTGTCTGCTTCTATTCATACCTAGGCCTATAGTTCTTGCAACGCAATGCTTGATAATTTGAAGTGGCGACATGCATTCCAGCTACAAGAACGACGGCAAAATGAAATAGTAGAGGACCTCTAATAATTCTGGCCAATCAGAGACAGATGATGAAGCCAGCCCTAAAGCTGATGGAGAGATAAGATAAGATAAGACATTTTTGTTCGCCTTCGCCTTTTTGAACACTCTCCCCGCCTTTTCTCTCTCCTCCCTTCAACCGTTTCTCTTTCTTCCCCCCGCTATTTATCCTCCACTGTACTCTCTGTTTGTCTTCCTCACCTGTCTTACACGCCTCCCCACCACCAATTGTCACCACATCCACTTGTCTTAGAATTGTCAAGTTCTTCTGGTGTTTTGGCTCTGGTAAATCTGGCACATTTTACTACGCATATAAGTACCTCCCGAAAGCCAGAACCCCTTATGCACGAAGCCAACAGCATTCTTCAATGCACTCTACTAAGATGAGGTGCATGCATTGTTGCTGTCGCCCCATCACTCACTCATTTTTCATCCCTTTTAGCTCAACCCGGTGGAAAGTGATGGACGAAGAGCCATAGATGGTTGACGTGAGTAACTTGAGTCTAATTATTTCCTCGGACCTCCTGATCTCGTGTACTGCTGCTGCTCTCATGTATCATTGTTGCTCTCATGCTGCTGCCCTCGTGTTCCTGCTCTCGTGTATTATCCTCGTTTGTTGTTTTAACCTCGCATAATGCTACATCATGTACTATATAATATTCACAATGAATGTTTTGTCATTAAAATCATGGGCGAAATTGCGAGTCCTCATCATATGGTGTGAGTTTTTATCATGCGGCATAAATCACAGCCGTTCTTATCGTGTAATTATCATGCAGGCTCCGTCAGTGGTAAGATAGCCATCAATATTATAATATCATCCCTGATCTGACCATTTCACCATCTGATTTTGGTCTGATTTCCCATATGTTAAAAACGGACTTTACGCTCCACTCGTGCTGGAGATTCGAAATATCATTAAGGTACGGTGTCAGTTATAACTGATTCTACTACTGCTCATGTACTTATATTCGGTCCGCCCATTTAGTGATGGAACTGCACGCTGGACAAGTGCGCCACCAGCCGATCACAAACCGATCGCGAATTGCGGCAATTGCGGTTCGGCTAACTCCGCGGAAGCTGATTCGCTGCTTTGTTCCTCCGAACGCTCATGTGTTCCTTACCCCGGACCCGCTTTCGCCTGCAGCACCTGACGATCAACAAATTCGGTGAGCGAGCAGAACATTCTGATCGGAATGCACGTAGTGACGACATTATTTGCTTCTTACGTCTCTGGGTGAATGCAGATGGCTTCTGCTCTTCCAATGAGCCGGCCAGCCACCGCATTTCGTCAGAGTGGCGTCTGGGGTTTTGATAAACGTACGCTC